GGATTCAGCCCCAAAGCCCCCTCCCCCGTAGATCCGCCGTGATCTGTGAAGTCCAGGATTCCACAGGAAGGGACTGCGTTTATTTTTCCTGACATCAACGTTCTTATACCATGATAATAGATTTAAAGTATCAATTATTTATTTTTTGAACATATAAGTCGGAAGATTGGCGGTATTGTTTTATAAACATCAAACAGGAAGAATCGTTTTTTTCTCCGCAACCCATTTCCATTATAGTTCACCCATCCTATGAGAGTGCAGAATCTTATTATTTTGCCAATAGCCTCTGAAGCCACGGGCGGATCTACGGGTGGGGGAAGAGGCTTTCGGGCTGACGCCTCCCCCCCCCTCCCCAAATGCTAAAATATAATCATTTTGTATCGAAAAAAATATTTAAAAAATATCTCTTAAAGTATTATTGTTCGTGTAATTACCTTTAAAAGGGCTTTAGGAATCACTTAAACACCATTTTATACAGGTAGATAACTTCTTTCTTTTTTTCCAAAGTAATTTTCGTTCTTTTTATGAGAAAAAAAAATCGGGCTGAAGCGTCCACCCAAAATTAAATCCTGGATCCGCTAGTGTCTGAAACAGCTACATTTCTATGACAAAGGAGCTCTTTCAGTGCGTTCTGCGTTCAGTGCTAGCTATAAATCGAATATAAAATAACCGGTTATAGATTTATCTAATTCTGCATTTTTTTCTTAAATATTTCTAGGTACTTTTTTAAAGCTAAAACAAATTCATAAATAAAAGTAAAAAACAAAGATTCACAGCGGTGGCAGACAGGCAAACCCGAGGCCAACGACCATTCAAGGACGCAGCTTCGTCAGTTGAAGCTTTTTGAAATGTTCTGTGATTCTGTACTGTTTCGGTTCTACTGTCTTCTCATTCCCATCTAATTAACTATTCAAACTGAATAACCTTCTCTGATTTTCTAAAAAAAAATATATATTCGAATAATGCAACATTAAGATCATTCGTACTCTCTCGCAATGCCGATGAACCTTCAAAAAACAATTATGTGTTGCAGCTAATTAATGACCTCACACAATTCAATAAAGCTACTATTCAAAACAGGAACCTACAGATTCGAGGAAGGGAGTGCTTTCGCGCTGCTGTGTCCATATTCGAAATATAAATTATTATTTTTATTGCTTCATATTTATTTCTATGACAAATTCTTAAACAATCAAGTGTGCTCTTTTTAATAATAACGCATATAGTTCAGCTACTAAATATAACCACGTGTTAAGAAGAAATATAAAAAATAATTATTGTTCCTGTAATTATCTTTATTAAGGAATAAATTAGTAAAAAAATAATCAAGAGACAGACCATAAATGTTAGGTTATTATTGAAAAAGTTCCAAACCACACAGCTTTATGTCTCCAAAATGTAGTAAAAAAAAAAAACCGTCAACGTTTCGCCAATTCAGGCATCAGGACAGAAAAACAGCTAATCGAACATCACTCCATAAAATTCAATCGCATACTCCATGGAGTATTGTTCGATTAGCTGTATTTCTGTCCTGATGATACCTGAATTGGCGAAACGTTGATGGGATTTTCTTTTCCTGCATTTTGGAGAAATAATGGAGGTTGTGTAGTTTGGAATCTTTACAATAATAACCTGACATTTATTAAAGAAAAAAAAATTCTCTCCACCAAAATTAAATCCTGAATTCACTATTATTACCATTCTACTACCCACTATTACATATTATTATTTGGTCATTTAGGTTACATGCAAATATCGACTATGACCAGGGGTACCCAGAACGGGGTTTCATGGCACAAGTTGCGCCATAAAAATTTTTGAGGGGGGCACATTTTGACGGGGTTTTGTATTTTTGAGGGGGCACATTTCGACAGGGTTATGAATTTTTGTAATGAAATGTTTCAAACCAGGGAACTAGGAGAAAACATGTAACCGACGGCTGTAAGTGTAATTGTATATGATCCAAGATTTTTTAAATTCTATTTCAGCTTGCACTGGTTCTAAGAAGAGGAGAACAATAAAATATCTTGGGAGGAGAGGGGATATTCTTGCGTCATTAACCTTGTGGGACTGATGGGCACCCCTGATTATGACGTTGCTTTAATTCCATAAGTAACAGAATTCAATTCCACGGTTGAGTTTTTAAAACTATGACAAAACTGGGGTTAAGTGAAATAAGTAATGTTCTCATGCAAGACTTCATCTTAACATTCACAATGTTTACTTTATAAAAGTATATTCTTCTTATATTACCTAATTATATTAACTCAATTCTTAAAGTCGTCCTCGTAAGGATTGTATGTATCATGTTGAATTAAAAACTATACATCACCCGTAAATTAAAGGCCACTTTTCAATCTTATTCCTGATTCCCCACTCACCCTTAGCTCAGATATCAATTTATGATCTCACAGTAGTATATAACTATATATATATATATAGTATATAATGAAATAGTATTTCTATTTAAAAATATATATATATATATATATATATATATATATATATATATATATATATATATATATATATATATATATATGTTTGAAATTATTACATTAAAAAGTAGTTGTTAAATTACAGGATCAAATTTTTGATAAAATGGGGAAAAGAAGAGACATTTTGTGGAATTTCGGAAGGAAAAATAAAACAAATATTTTATATTTAGTAAAAGTACTAACATAGAGTAGTATTCTATATACATATATATTTTAAGAAATTTTTAGAAATAATGTTTTTAATATGACTGATTTTTGTTTTTTAAAAGAAAAAGAATTTTGAAAACGGCTCTTGTAGTAGAAACATTTTTAAAAAATAATAATTTTAAAAGTATAATAAAAGACTGTGAGATTAAAAAAGGTTTTTATAAAAAAGTTAGCATATATAGATTAAATATAATAATTATTAAAAAATATGAATAACCTAAAGAAGGTTGTTTATCATATATACCTATATTATTTAAGCGTCGACAGAACTTAATTAAGATCAGTATAATAAAACTATTACTGTCTTAAAAAGCCATGGCGAGCTCCGCACAGTAGACATGTGTATTTTTAAAAAAATGAAGACATTGGAAAAATTGATTTTATTTTCGCAATTGATAAATACATTAGCTACCTAAAATACTATATTAATTTAATTGGAAATGTTTTACATTTTTAACGCTTTATAAATATTATAATCTCTTTAAAATTCAAAAATTATTTTTAACGAATATTTTCGATTTTTTTTTCAAAAAACAAAACAAAATAAATTTGAGAAAACAAAATTATTCTCAGCCCATATCTTCAAACCGTAAGTCTCAACTCTATTTTTCTGTTAAGAAGACGCCTGAAACAGTATTAAAACAAATTCGAACTGCATTCACCTGCGACCGAAGTATGAGAAATTTGTAAGGTGAATAAGCTTTGGTATTTGTTTATTTTTCATGTAGCGTTCATTTGAAATAAAAGGATTAGTGGCCTTTTAATAAACATGAATTGGGTTTAAGTATATTTTTATGTAATTAATAAATTAGTATACGTTATATATAAATCATTTTTCCTTTTTAGTAATAATTTTTAAAAAATAAAGTAAAGAAAACAAATGTTTTCTTACTTTCTAAAACCCAGAAACTCCATTGTATTTTTATTAAGTAATATATGTACCACTTGATATAGATTTGTATTAAATATGAAATTAATCCCTAGAGTTAAGGCGTCTACAATCAAAAATGGATAATGTAATTGATTTTTTCCACGACAATTTTTTAAATGTTTAATATCTTATAAAAATAAATATTTACTAAAAAGACATTTTGTCTTTATTAAATAGATTAATGACATCTTAAAAATAGATTACTTACAAAAATAAATTTCTTAAATTGTTATAACCATTATCAACTTTATTATAAATGTTTTTAAAATTACACCCCTACTATGCAGTTACTTATTCATTTTAAATCGATTTCGCAGTCAACATTCTTGATTTACAACGCCTACAGTCTTGTCCTGCATAATAATTATCAATAAAAGTTTATAATAACTAAATATGAACAAAACAAACCAAAAAGCAAGTTAATATTTCTGTGAATGGAATCTTATACTTGTAACGAAAATTGGTCATTTTTCTTTATGTTTGTAAATTAAAAACATAAATAACCATAAGTTGTTATGTGACTAAATCATATCAAATACGGGGAATAAGGAGGATAGGGCGTGGCCCAGCTAACTTCCTCTTTCCATGAATTCAGGAAGACTTCCACTTGCAGAATATGACGGTAGAAAAACTTCATATTCTGTAAAAGACAATGTTTGACTGCAAAAATACTATAACCCTAAATATATACTAATAATAATATCAAATACAATTTATACTTAACCATTTTATTTTAAAAGTCTTGTGATACGTTTTAGTTTCCAATATCACTCCTTTATTTAAACTGTTGGAGCATATATGTTTCGAATTGACTACATGAAATACATAGTATGAAGATGTTGACCATTTTATTAAATGGTTGCTATCATGTAACACATTAATATTTCGTTTAAAAACATCGGGAGTGTATGAGACAGACATTTTTGGCCACATTTCATTCTCTGTCCTCTAAGTTTTTTAGTTAATTAGTTGTTTACTTGTAGCCAAAAACGTTTGAATGCTCATGTAAAAAATAATTGATTTTCTTTATTATAATTTACTATGGAAGAAAATTAAAAGTTAAGTCTTTTACAAAGTAAGATATGACTCTAATCTTTTGTAAGGAGCTATTTGAGCTTTAGCACATTAACAACATTTCAAATGCCAAAAATGAAGGAGATTAAATTAGTTGTAACACGTGAAACTGGAATTTGATATTAGTATGGAGGGAAATATTTAAAACAAAAAATCTATATTTCTTTCGATATTAGTAGTAGCCTGTACCAAGAGATGTCAGGGTAAACAAGTAGTACAAAGAATTACCAGCAGGTAGCAGCACCTCTCTTGTAGCGGAAGAGCCTGGAAGAGAAGTGGTGGGGGGATGAATGTGTAGTAGGTAGACATGGCGAGTGTTAATTTGGGTGCATGACGATTATTGCATTAGAATTACATTATTTTATTAAGTGCAAAGTGATTTTGCTACATATTACTCTTTTTTTAGTTATATAGATTATATGTGAACTATAAAAATGCAGAATGTTGGACAGGATAATACTCCCGATAACAAGAAGCTAGATAAAGTGAATGCCCATGAAATAGGGAAATCGTCAACTCCCCAGTCTTCGAATTCGAGTCCTACCAAATCGGACACTGATCCATTTTCTGAAATAAACCCCAGGTTTTTGTCGGATTCATCTGAAAGTGAAGAAGAGGAATCGTCTGAGGTAAATTTCTGTAATGTATCCCACATAGTGCCGTGAGTTGGTCTGGGCGAATAGATTCAATGAACCTGAGCCAGACATCTTGTAACTTAGTCATAGTTATACATTTTAATCTATTTCTTTTGACGATTTCTTAGTTATTTAGGTTTAATAATAACCTCAATAGTTTTATTTGATGTATTTACAGTATACTATATATAAGTGGAGGGGCAAGTTTTAATATGGGAACACAAAGGCATGAAGGCCCATTAGCCAATGCCCTAACCATTTATGAGTAGCTATTTTTTAAAGATAAATGAATTATAGTTCATTTATTTTATAGTGTGAGTCTGTTTGTAGAACCTGTAATAATCTGTTGTACATTAATTATAGTTCTCAAATAATTATGTTTTTATGTTGTCTGAAGTTTTTTCTTCTTGTATTTTTGGGGTTATATTTATTAATGTGTGAATTTTATGTTTTGGTGAAAAATTCTATTTAGTGCATATGATCTTTTTATATTGTGTGTAAAGGTTAATACTTGGTTAGTTCTTGTTTTTCAGTTCTTTTTTTTTCTTTTTGTCTTGCCTTTTTTTATAGCCATGCTTTTTTCTACCAAAACAAACAATATGTTTGTCAGTCATTTTCTTCCCATTAATAGTAGACAATTTTTTATTAGGTATCTTAAATTTTGTTTTTCTTGAGCTACACAGTTTAGCTAACGTGAGCTATTCATTAGCCTTTAGTCAGATGTGAATGTCTTATCTTCTTGATTATTTAAAGGTTTGAATGGTAATATTTACTGAAACAATGTTCTTGTAATTGTAGTTTAAAGTTTTTATAGGGCATGGCTTTAATATTTTACAGGTGGAGTCCTTTGTGATAGGGGATTTGGAGGAGCCCGAAGGCAGGCTTCAATCTTCTAAGTTTCTATTATCTCAGGAAGATGTGGATCCTACGGTTGACCCAGAAACTCAGGCTAGGCTCGAAGCGCTTCTTGAGGCAGCAGGTAACCTTAGCGCAAATATATATCCCGTACCCTCTTGTTGACCCCCAACTCTTTTGAAATGTTTTGTTTTTCAGGGAATAATGGGATCAATAATAGAAATCAATCAAAGCCTAAACTGCCGAACTCGTTTTTGAGGCACATTAAAGGTTTATCAAATTGTAAATATCTGAATAAAACTCTTTTTTTTTTATTTGTATTTTGTGATTGTGAGGTTATGATGTTTCAGAATAGTATGTGATTTTACTTTTTTTATCAAGGGAGTCTTGTTGGTTACTATTAGTGCCCAATGGTTTACAATTATTTGGTTTCTGTAGGTCTTCATTTACTGCTAGATTGTTGTTGATTGACATATGTTTTTGTCTTCTGTATACAATATTATAAGTTTCATGTTTTCTTTATAGTATCGGTATTGTTAAAATAAAGCTGTTCTCACTTTTCTAAAGGTCTAGAGAACTTATTATTTTATTATTAAATGGCAGTTAAAGTTATATAAAACTCAAAAAGGTCTTAGATTTCCTTTGCATCTGAGGTATATTCAGGCTTTCTTATTTTCTCTCATTCATGAATTATGCTATTGTCAATGAACATGAATCATACTTAAAAAACAAAATAGAAAGGGTGGTACAAGGTATTCTAACGTGATGTTAAAATTACATTCGGTATTATTATGTTATCCATTTTTTAGCTTGTGTTTTATTCAATTTTCTTTATCTATTAGGTATTATGTCCAAACGCTACATAATTTTCTTGCCAAGTTTTTTTTTTTATAGATTAATTTATTCTTCAAATATTATTTATCCTTAATTAACTAAGCCTCCTTTTTTTTTATTTTGGAAAAGATCATTTGTTTAATTGTCATTTATCACTTAAAGTTTTATTCCCCTTCTTTACACTATTTTTGTATTAGCTGCTCTAACCTATCCTGTTCTCAAGTGCAATTGCCTATAACTTCCCTGTATTTTATGTTTTATAAGCACTTTGTGATTGTAATTCAAGATATATCACAATGAATTTTTTTTTTTTAGTTATAATCTTTTTAGATAATTTATATATTGAATATTTAAATATAAATGTTAGTATATAGATTGCCTATTATATTTATGGTAATTTTCTCAAAGACGTATCAATAATGTGCAACCTCAGAAGAAATAAAACGTGGAAATTAATCTTTTTTTTTTTTTTAACTTCCTAGTTGTTAGACTAAATTTTTAATGCTTGCTGTTGAATGTAAACCTTCTGTAGAGTTTTCTGTTGGATTGTTTTTGTAAATCTTCTATTCTTTTTCTTTTTTCAAAGTTAATTTGTTATCGTATCTTATTTTGAGGTTGCACTTATAAGGCCATAGATTAGTCATTGTTTAGGATGACATGCTCTAACACGCCGGTTGCTCGCGCTAGGTATAGGGAAGCTGGCAACAGGGGATGGTAAACAACTGGCTGACCCAGAAGTACTCAGAAGGCTAACGTCGAGTGTTTCCTGTGCCCTCGATGAGGCAGCAGCAGCCCTCACGAGGATGAGAAGTGAGAACAATCCCAGACCACAACCTGAAAGGTATGTGCTTGAGAAATAATTCTGAACCCATTATTTTTTTTTGTTAATTACACATTATCTCAAGTAATTTGTGACTTTCTCATCATAATTTATTTGTTTATCATAATGAATTATTTATATAAAAAAAAAAGTTTCATTGCAAATTTTTTTCTTTTATAAGCTTTATTTCTCTTCCATTTATTATTAGTGATGCAATTCAAAATATAACAAATATTTATCTTTCAGAGAACATTTGTTAGATTTAAATTTTTGTCTTTTTTTTTTTTCACATTTTTAAGTATGAATCTGTTACTCTTATGTGTTATGGCTGCTATTGCTTCTGATTTTACCTTAGATTTTTTTTTATCTTGACAGATAAATCTTACTTGTTTATTTATGTATATACTTTGAATGGTATGGAGTTGACCATGATTATAATTAAAGGACGACTTTATTGGGATGCTCTCCCAATCTATATATTTTTAAAAGTATGAAACCTATCTACCCATTTTTTTATAATGCTACTCTTCATGGATTTAAGGTGCTGCTTTGAATGCCTCTATATATATATATATATATATATATATATATATATATATATATATATATATATATATATATATATATATATAAAACCATTTATTTACAGATTATGACATCTGTTATCCTTTTAAATTGATTAATTTTTATCACTAGTATTCTTATGATCATGAATGAAATAGACGTATTTGTATGACATATTTCAAGATGATCAATTTTATATTGTAATTAATTAATTCACATTGATTTATTTAGGGTAATCATGAATACCTTCTATGTGTAATTAATTAGTTTCTATTTTATACTACTATGAACTACTTTGAATCTTTTTTTCCTTCCTTGCCATTTTTGGCATATGGAGGAAGTTGTTCTTGAGGTACAATTAAACCTATTCTAAGCAGAGTGGGAAGGTCAGGATTCATTCCGTGTTTCTGCCATAAAATGAATTTTAATCTGCTCATACTAGATTCGAACCGGTATCGTTAACCTCGAGAATGTTAAAGTTTATGCTTTTACACCCTCAGCCATCACAACCTCGAACTACTTCGAACTTACTGCTGATAAAACTTTCCATTATTAGAAATTGTTTTGTTGAAAATTATGTGTCTGGTCTGTATTTCTAAATTCATTAATCTTTCCATTCTTGTTCCAAGTTAAACACATAACGACATCCAATTTAAAAAACTAACCAATTTATTAATCTATTCACTTATTCTATTACGATTAAAGTAATACATTCCAGCTCTTAAAACTAATTTATATTGTAAAACTCATTACAATCTTCGGCTTTAAAAATTCTTTTTATGAACTCCATATTGTTATTTAAATAATAACAATATAATATAACAAAAGATAATAACCTGTTTCTTTTTTTTATTTTAGGTCACTCGTTGAAGCATGTACAGATGGTGATGTGGGCACAGTAAAAAAGTTACTGACCGAAGGTAGGAGTGTGCATGAAACTACTGAAGAAGGGGAAAGTCTTCTATCCTTGGCCTGTTCTGCAGGATATTACGAATTAGCTCAGGTCTGATATTGTTAAATTTTATTTGCTTTAGAATTGTATTTTCCTTAAAAGCTTGTCTGTAAACATAGAAATAGATATGTTCATTTCAGGTGAAATTAACTTGCCCAACTTGATTAAACAGTCTAAAAAATAAACTAGGCATGGCATTAAAACCTATGACTAACAACTACATTAAGTGCCCAATTAACTAACAATATTAAGCTTCAATTGTATTTTGTAGAGGCATCATTTATAAGTAATGTTTTGTATCATGTCTTGAACTGTGTTTTAATCATTATAGTCATCATTAAATCATGCTGTTGAATTTATCAGTCGTCTTTTTTTCTGAACACAACAGCAAGCCCTACTTAAATCTATTATGTAATGGTTATTTTAGTTTCATCAAATTAAAAATATAAAATTAAAAACAATACAGTTACATTGAGATTGTGTTTTCCTTTTGTGTCCCTTCAGAAAACAGAAGAACAGTGATTTATTTGTTTTATTCATGTTAAACATATAATTTTAACTATACAATATTAAAACCATTTGAACTGCTGAATTTCTTCTTCTTGTTATCCTTTTTTTTCTTTTGATTTTAATTTATGAAAATCGTTGAATGGAAAAAAAAATGTTGAGATCTAGAGACACTAATCTTACACCTACTTAATTTACATACAAGGTTTTAAACTTTTTTACTCAATTTACTGGGGCTATTATGGTGTGTCAAATCTCACTATAAAACAATTGGACTTAGTGAAATTTTATAATATTATTCAATCATCTATACCAAATTTCACTTCATTTGAATCAAAGTGTTTCACTGGAAGTATTGTGTTTTTCTGTGAGTATATGCATATATATATACTGTTTTTAGTTTCTTCTTTAACCACAGGTATAATTAATTTTGCTATCTAAGTTTAATTTGAGTGTAGAGGAACGAAGCTTGCTCAGCTTTCCCTCACTCAAGTCCCACCTCCGTAAGATCTCTCTCCAGCTCCACTTCCTCTCTTCAACATAGCAACTAACTTTTACCGGGAAAGCATTATTCCATTTTCTTCAAATTTCGCCACACATGTTAATTAAAGGTAGGGATTTTAATTAAAAAATAAAACAATGAAAAGGATGGTTAAATAATCAAATTAAGAAAAAATATATATGAATTCAGGAGGTCTACTGTTCACAGAACTCGATGTTATTACGAGGATCTGTAGATCTAAATTTACTCAAAAATAGATCTTTAAAAAATCAAGAAATAGATGGATAATATAGAACAAAAAAGAATCTGATAGTAAATTATTGGATATTCAATAATGCGGTGGAGCCTTTTTCATTTACTTCTGAAAGTAAACAAAAAGAATTTTCCACATAATGTATTATGCATTATGTATGTGTATAGACTGTACTGTATTAGTGATGGAAGTTAGTCGACTGTTCTACATATCATGGGTGATAAATATTCAGAACGTAGTCTTTTTTTATTTTTGCCAACGTTTCAACCCAATTTTGGCCACGTGAGTACTTGAACAACCTCAGTGCTCAAACCACGCCCTGAAGATGACCCACATGTTTGGGTTGAAACTTTGGCAAAAATAAAAAATTTTAAAAAAAGACTGCGTGCTGAATATTTATCACCCATGTACTGTATTAGATCTAATCAAATGAATCACAGTAGTAGCAGTTAATCTTCCTGTGAATCAATGCAGGAAATAGGAAAAGAAATGGAGAACAAAAAAATTATAAAAACTTTCTACTTGTAAACAAAAATTTAGAAGTAGCTATAAGTGAATAGAAAAGACAAAAGAGTGGGGGAAGGCGGGAAAATGTTTTGTCACTGCTCATCTCTCTCCCCCCCTCTACTCACCCTTAAACTTATCTTAGATATAGTCTACCTATTTCTTTATGCCCCTCAGGCTTTACTCTTAAAAATCCTATTACCACATACTTTAACAACAATTTCTTTACATGGATTCTTGTTGCTAAAGGTCTAATCGACTAAACTAAGCTTCTTCCATCTGTGGTGATCATGGACCTTAATATTGTTTTTTCCATCTAAAGTATTTTTTAGGAGATAATGATCTTAATCCTTGTATTAAAGAAGGAATTAGAAGTCTTGATTAGAGGTTGTCAATCTGCCTGCTTTCTATTACCAAATTTAAAATGTATTTATTTATATTCTAAGGTTTCTCTAGAAGCTAGATTATCCAAGAGTTGCTTCTTAAAAGATCTGTCTTCAGTGTTTCTTGACCATCATTTGATCTAATGTCCATTACCCAATAAATCCATATGATTTATTCCTAATGTTTATGGTTAAAACATATCTTCAACCATGCTCAGTACAATTTTATTATAAAATGTGGTTTTGAGCTTTTCTTGCCAATCTTGGCCTTGTGGATATTCAACAAAATGTTGCTATCTCCTCTTGAAAATATTTACTTCTTTATTGAAATTCATTTTTAAGATCTTCATAAAACATTGTAACTCCACACATCCGGTGTAGAATTGTTTCATGGAAAATTTGAACAGTTGACTGCAGCTGACACTTGGCATATGAACTCTCTCCAGCTAGCTGTATTAACTGTTGTCTTCATGGCTGCAGGCTTATAAAAGTTATTGGGTAGCTAGAGGAATGATGGGGAAGGTGAGCTGTGCCACCTGTCCGCCAAGACTGTGTCACTGACCAAAATAGGACACCGCTAAACAAATGATATTATACCTGCTAGTAGAAAGATGCAGTCCTTTGTAATGGAATTGTAATGTACACGATTGAAATGTTCATGAAGTGCATACTATAGCAATTTGTAGAAGATTCTGAGTTCCCCCAACGGCTGCATAGGGAGGGCTCTAGTAGTCGATACCTATAGTTGTCTGAAAGGGTATTCATGCAATCAGTGCTATGTAAGGTATGTTAAATCTTTTAAGTGTGTTAAAAGGTTTACCACACAAGCTTATCGTAACTGTTAAGCACCATAACACATTAGCCATTTGTCAATTTTTTTTTTTTTTTCAGATTTTAAATAAAATGTTATTTTATAATTATACTTTACATTAAATTTGAGGACAAATCCCTTAGACTTAGTACATATTTATATACATAGCAGTGATCCCAACAATGTCTGTCATACTTGTTTCCAAGTGTACTAAGCATCATTTTAGTGTGGTTTTCTGTTTTAAGTTAGTCTTGCATTGCAGAGAAAAAGAAAAAAAAAATTTTTAACAAGTGAAATTGTAGGTCTTTAAATTTGTTTGAATAAGAATGGGATAATAAAAATTAGAAGCTAAAATCAATTATTCAATTTTTGTTGACAAATTTTAAATAATAAGTTATACTTACTCAACTTATGTATCTGTATGAAACAATAAATTAATTGAAGAAAATTAATAGTATTTGTTCATCTGTCAGATATTACATTGCTTTGTATGATTTTGTATTTATATGCTATTAATCACTGTTTAATTTGACCCGAATATCAAAATATTCACTTTATTTTTGTTCGGCAGGTCCTTCTTGCGATGCATGCTAACGTCGAAGACCGGGGGATCAAAGGTGACTGTACTCCTTTAATGGAAGCAGCATCATCTGGTTATGTTGACATTGTGAGGCTTTTGATACATCATGGTGCCGATGTCAATGCACAGTCATCATCAGGTAATAATGATTTTATTTCGCACATGATTTAAAAATCAGAACGTAATTGATAATTGTTATTATACCTTGTTCTCAAACAAATAAGATTTTTATATATATATATATATATATATATATATATAATGACCCCTCATAATTTCACTTTTATCAGTAAAAATCCTATTAGTGCATTAATTTCAATTCACCTAATCTTTATTTTTGTATAAAATAAAAGCTAATTTGATACTTGTCAAGTATGCGGATGGAATTAACTACTATCTGCCAATGTTTATAACCTGAACACTGATAATTCTGATAAGACATTTGAGGATTTGAGAGGATAATATTTGATAAGGAGAGGATAATCCCTATCTTCGTATTCATATTATCGTATTATATTCATATTATTGAAATTGTAAGCCAAAGCAAATGTTATAATAAATATAAAATAGACAAAAACAAATGTAATAATTCCCACAACAATAAGAAAACATTTTCATTTTACAACATGTATATAAAATAGACAAAAATAAATGAAATAATAATAAAACACTTGAACAACATATGTGCATATAAAAGAAACAATATATGTAAATATAAAACAATTTTATTTTCATTTAATTTATTTTGGCATGATGAAATTATTTTAATGCTATTTAAAATAGCCAGGAACGGGTCCTCTTTGAGCCCGCCACCATAAAAATTCGCATAAATATGAATCGAGGTGTTGTTTCTCAGTTCCTATATGTTTCTTATTTCTCCACTTAGCTGAGTCCCATAATCGTTCTATGAATGAACGAATAAATAAATTAAAAAAATAGTTTTATTCTGTGACTACAGTCTCCTAAGAATAATAACAGAGTTACAAATTTATGGTTATTATTATGCGTTGAGTATGGACCCCACTTGATGGATCAATAAAATTATACCGGTGATTCATCTGGAAATGATTATAGTTTGCTTCATTCTGTTATTGGGTGTTGTATCCTTTCCAACAGTCAGAATAAATTGTGCTTCCCTCTTGTATATTGTTTTTAATACATTATAATAAAGTTGTTGCCTTTCTTTCGTTTATTTTGATGTTTATTATGAATCACTCGTCTGTTTCTCTGCAAACTCCGCAAAACATCCATTATTCAGGTAGAACACATAAGAGGGAGGTTATGTGACATAACATTAGATAACTAAGGAGGTTTCGTCCCGACGAGATACTACACAAGTACTGCTAATTTATAATATCCATTTTTCTATTATATTCTTTCAGTGAATGGCTATTTTAAATTCCTTCTGTTCATGCTATTATTATATTTAATTATCCTTTTGTGAAGAGCTAACATTTTTTTCTATTAAATCAATAGGTTTTAAATTTTAAGGATAACTCAATTTCTTTTTATAATCATCAAGACATTTAAATATTTGATATACATATCATGATTAATATTTATTTAAATTTTAGGTAACACTCCCCTTATGTATGCTTGTGCCGGTGGTCATGTGGATGCCGTTCGTGTGCTTCTTGAAGCTGGAGCTAATGTTGAAGACCACAACGAAAATGGTCATACACCTCTTATGGAAGCAGCGTCAGCTGGTCATGTTTCTGTAGCCCAGGTAATTTGAGATTATCTTTATGTGTTAATTATCTTAACTTCTCAGTGTTAATCTTTAAAAAAGAATATATGTGATAGGCTAGTTTTCAAATTTTTTTTTTTTTTTTCATTTTCACCTGTGGTTTGGTTTCATTTAAAATTTCTATTACACATAACTTATTATTGTTGGTATGTTTGTGTATAAGTAAATTATTAACTACTTTGTTTATGATACTAAAAAAATTATACTAGCAATTTTCATAACTCATATTTTAATCTGAATAATTGTTAAGATATTGGGCTTACACTATGTTTTGTGATTTGTTAAGTTGACCATTTTTTTCTGACTGGCATACGTCTTATCTCTGAGAATCCCATTCTGTTATGCTATGATATTGTTTATAATTTTCTAGGTATTGTTTTAACAAGACAATTTCCTTATTAAGAAGTCTAATATGTTTTTTATAAATAAAGTCTAACCTTTTACAGTTTCATAATTTAAATCCAAAACATCACATTACATTTAAATTTATAACATATTATTGGACTTTTATTATATTGCTAACTTTCAAAAATGTTTTATCTACTTCAATAATCTAAATATAATGATATTTCTTTTAACTAGAGAGTGAATTTCTATATCATTGCACATTTTATTCACTTGTGTGTAAAAACTTCAAACCTGATTATATATCTGTTGCACAATGTGTAGAATAACATAAGGAAAATTTATATTACAAATTGCACGTTATTGGTTTTTGTTGCATGATATTCATATTTTGCAATAATTTGGGCTAAATTTCAATTTTTACTGTATAAAATTAAATACTTGAACCAAAGTTCTTTTATAATATATACATAAGTATGTATGTAATATTTTTATTTTATTATGTATTTCTGTATTAGATTTAGGTGTCCCATCCATGGTCCACTTTTCACTGAGTGGTACACAGAACGTTCGGAATTGGCATGTAGCAAGACATTGGCTTTGATTTTTTTTTCATAATTTTTGTATTCAAAATAACATTTTCAAGCTATCTTTCTGGGTTGACAGGATATTTTAGACTCCACATATTTGATGTAGTTAACAAAATTACTGTCCAAGTAAATAAATTTCATTGTATAAATAATAATCAAATGGGGTGTAAACATATGTCACAGATTTTAGTGAAATGACATTTAGGCAATAGATTTGCTTTTAAAATCATGATTTCCAAAGTTTTATAATAATCTGTTCATTATTTATTTTTTTATAAACTGTTAACAAAGCCTAACTAGGTATATATGGAGCCACCTGGTCTATTATTTATCGATTTATTACTTTTCTGCAGTGTGATCAAAAGAGTTCTGTATTGTTGATTTTTTCATCTAAAATCATGAACCAATTTAATGAGTTGAGGTTTTCTTCAGCTAGAGTATAGAATAAACTGTACTCTATTCTAATAAAAGCTTAAAGAGCTTTAACGTTTCTCAAAATGCAATTTTTAAAATTTCAATTCAGCTTCATCTTTAACTAAATATATGCTATTCTATTTTATTAGTGTATTGTTCCTTAATGGCCTTAGACAAATGAGAATTAACAAAGCTAAATTGACTTAAATCTTATTTTCATATCTGTACTTCCTCAATGTTGAAATTTTGTGTCCAGAAAAAATTGCAAGGTAGTTAGCCAAAGTAGTTTTTTATAGAGAAATGAATTGTCCTAGGAAAATCAGACATACTGAGAAATAACAGCGTAACTTCTCAACCTGGTAGTGAGATCTTATTGCTGAATGAACACTGGCTGAAGTGGTATGGCCATGTGTGTAGGATGTAAGATAACTGAAAGACCTAGGGGTGGGCAAAAGTAAGACTGATAATGAAGAGCCTTGTTGATAGGCCAAGGCTTACCAATAATAATTATACTAACTGGATTTGAAAATGAATCTAGCAGCTGGGTGGAAACTACAATTAGTAGTTCTATAAAGGAATATGCACGGAAAATAAACCAATCCTATTTAATTTCATTGAAATGAAATGTCATAAAAATGTGAAGAGCGTTGAAAAAATATTTTTTTTTTAAATTATTCAGCATCTGTTGCTTGCTCTGTTAAGATGATGATCTAGCTTTGAACCAGATCATGAGTGAATTGTCCATTTGTATTTTATTTATCATAGGGACAAGGTTAAGAGAATTATTGAAGAAATAAGGAATGTGCGATAGACCACAAAAAGAGTAAAATAAACTTATTTAGAAATATATTATACTGCCAACTACTGTTATTAATTGACTTGTTAAAGAGGTAATGAAATTGTTATAATAAAATTAATACTAAACTAACTGGAAGTAAGCTAATATATTTGTGTGAAATCAATGCAATGGGATGGAAACTGATTTTAGAGAATACTTTCTTAAGGTAAGGCCTGGAATAATTTCAATCCTTCATTTATAGTACTTGACCTGTGCCATCCATTTCACATCCATCATAAAACAGCGTTGCTTTTTTATAAACTTGAACTTGATAATTTAACATCATAATAAATTGGAAATTGATTTTATTTTAACATAACTTGAGCAAATAAAATAACTTTTGTTATACTTATTGCTGATTTTAAATTTTAACTCTTAAAATCAAATCTTATTCTCCAAATCAGCTTCAGCACTCTTTTTTGATAAACTAAAACTGTCATATACTTTAAGGATCTATGTTCATAACTTCCTTCTAAAACTAACAAAGCAGTATCAATTGTAGATTATTACTAAACTGTTGCTTCAGTGTTATTCTATCCCAGCAGTATAATTCACATTCTAGTTGTGTGTTGCTGGTGCTGGTGGAACTAGTCTGGCAAGTGTACCACATAGACCTGTTGTTAACCCTTGGCGACTACTTACGAGGTTGCCGCCACTTACTTACTTGACTAGTAATATAAATATCACTGGATCACCGAGAAATAAAAATTAACCGACCAAAGTGGGAATCAAACCCAAAAGGTTCTGAATTGAGTACTCTGGGACCCATACCCCAAAGTGCTTAGCCATCCTGTCCTCTAGTTGTATGCTGTTAGTTTTATATTAGTCTCTATTATTTAGGGATGAATTAGATTGGTATTAGTTGGCTCGTATTCTGAAATGGATATCCTCTCACTAATTCTGTGTTTTTTTTCCAGATTTACCTTGCTAATTACATTGGTGATCCTTTAATAAATGTGTGTGGCCGAAGGTAGATTCAACAGAATCAATTTTTCTGTAATTTCAACTGAATCGATTTTTCTATAGTTTCAACTGAAACGATTTTTTTATGCTTGAATTCTAATGCCTTCACTATATTGAACTTTCTTTTCTTTTTTTTATTAATTACCAATTAACTAAGGTGCCCCTTGTTTGAAGAGTTCCCCAGTTTGTTGAGTGATTAGGTTTTGATATAATTCCATTTTTTATACATGTCAAAAAGGAAATAGAATTTCAATTTTGAAATTTTTATGAATTTCCTCGATTATACTTAAGGATAAGGCACTAATCCTTATTGTTTTTCAGATACTCCTGGAGCATGGAGCTGGTATTAACACCCATTCAAATGAATTTAAGGAATCCGCATTGACCCTTGCATGCTATAAAGGTCACTTAGATATGGTTCGATTTCTTTTGGAAGCTGGGGCTGATCAAGTTAGTGATAAGATATGATATCAGTTATAATCTTAGTATTAGAGTAGACTTTTGATACTTTAAGGCTGATGTGGCAATGAATAATTGTTAATTATCTACATGGTGAAAATAAATCGAGAGAAAATAATATTATATAAATAACTGGATAAAGCTGCCGACCTACTACAGCAAAAGTGAAAAATAACGGGGAAATGTTTTAAAATATACTATAAATGTATAAAAATACTAATTGTTTGCTGTTTAAAATATTCATTTCTGCTGTATCTTGGTAAAGTATTTTCAACTTAATGTCAATTCAGTAGAGTTTATCTCATTAAAAAAAATTATTGATGATTCTGCTCAGTTATTTTTATTTTTTTTAATATAGGACAGTTTAGCACCTTCGTATTTATAGGTTAAGGCAGGAAGTTATGGTTATGTTGAGTTGAAGGTACCTCAAAGATTGTTTACTATGAATAAATTTTAACTGCTTTGCTATTGTAAAAAAAAAAAAAAGTTGATTTATAGCAATTCTTTTCTATATATATATATACTTTGTCAGTGCCAGCCTTTGGCTGGGCAATTGCCTGGGAGCACCTACCTGGAGGGGAGTGTCCACTACTTGTTAGGAATAAAAAAAATTACAAAGCATATCAGAATAATTAATTTTATCCGTTTAACAAGGCAAATTAATTAGATACATACTGACTGAAATGTAATTCAAATATCACTTCATATTAAACACCTTAAAAAATAAATTAATTTTTTTGGAGGCTGGTGACATCATTGCCTGGAGGTGCCAAATGTCTAAGGCCGGCACTGTACTGTTTTATGGTAGAAGAGGATATTAATAGTTTCAATAGGTAAAAGTTGTATCTATTTCTAGGAACACAAAACTGATGAAATGCATACAGCTCTGATGGAAGCGTCTATGGATGGTCACGTAGAAGTAGCACGGCTTTTGTTGGATTCAGGAGCTCAAGTAAATATGATTTAATTTTCTCACTTATCATGTTTCTTATATATATAGTTTTATTAATATACGATCAATAATCCATTATCTTAGGTGAACATGCCCACTGACAGTTTTGAATCTCCATTAACACTGGCAGCTTGTGGTGGGCATGTCGATCTTGCACTGCTGCTCATTGAAAGGGGGGCAAATATTGAGGAGGTGAACGACGAGGGCTACACACCCCTCATGGAGGCTGCAAGGGAGGGACACGAAGACATGGTTGCTGTCCTCCTCGTCAAGGGTTTGTACAATGATAATGTTTTATCCTTATCGGAGTTTCTTAGGCGTCTCTCTATGTTTAATTGTTTTTCCTCATTCAGGTGCAAACATCAATGCCCAAACTGAAGAAACTCAAGAAACAGCATTAACCCTTGCCTGTTGTGGAGGTTTCCTTGAAGTGGCCAATTTCCTTATTAGGAATGGTGCTGAAATAGAACTTGGAGCATCGACACCACTTATGGAAGCGGCTCAGGAAGGGCACTTAGAACTAGTCAGGTAGGCGATTAGGATCCTTCACGTTTTGGTTTATTCAGTTACTTTATTTGCATTGTATTATTGAAAGAATTTAGAAATTATTTTTAAATAAAATCGTTCAGTAGAATATTTTGCATGTATTTTTTGTTTTGTTTATCAGGTATCTCTTGGAAGCGAATGCTAATGTTAATGCGCAAACACAAACAGGCGATACAGCTTTGACCTACTCCTGTGAGAATGGTCATACTGATGTTGCTAGGCTGCTTCTTCAGTATGGTGCAGATTTAGTGAGTCTTTTTATCTAAGTATTTGTAATATGTTTATAAAATTAAATTTATTATATAATATAACTAAAACAGCATTTTTTACAAACAATTATTTTATTATTAATCTGCAACTTATTGATAAAATTACTCTTATTATAGTCATATTTTGTTAATAAATAATTATTTGTATTTAGGAGCACGAAAGTGAAGGAGGAAGGACCCCCTTGATGAAGGCTTGCAGAGCAGGTCACCTTTGTACGGTCAAGTTCCTTATCCAGCACAAAGCCAATGTCAATAAGCAAACAACTAACAACGATCATACTCCTCTCTCGTTGGCGGCAGCAGGTGGTCACATAGCTGTTGTTGAGCTCCTCCTTGCGAACAATGCCAACCCCTTTCATAAACTGAAGGTAATATTTTCATTTTGAGGGTTTTATACGTTTATTTTGCTAGAAGTAACGTTAAATTGATGTTACTAAATGATAGTTGTACTTTTAATGTTTTAATTGTTATTTTTTAATGTGGTTGAAATGATAACAGTATAATCCGTTGGCAAACTTAGCTGTCCTATTATACTTGACCGTAGTGCAGCAGTTAACTATGGCTCAGTCATTATTCTGTCCTTTTAAAGGACTTCACTTTTATTATACTGCTTTATCATTTACTCTGCCGCAATGCATTATGGTATTAATTTATGGTTTGGAAATCCTATCATGACATTATATATTTTATGTTTTTTATTTTCTGATTTTTACATCAGTAACATGTTTTCACCAAATGCAAGTCTTTGCAACCTTCTTCATGCATTCCTTCCTTACCACCCTTCCTCATACCAGTTTCTTCTTGGGCGATCATTCTTCCGTCTTCTTTCCGGTTTCCAATCCCAAATTCTTTTAGGCCATCACCCTTGTTCTATCCTCATCACATGCCCATACCACTTCAGCCTCATGGTTTGAAAGGTATTCTCAATTTGTTCTACTTGTTTCCCAATCTTGCTATTTAGAATATTTTAAAGGCGAAAGACACCACATGATTGCCTCCAATAGTCCATTTCTAGGGCTAGCAATCTTATTGATTGACTCTCTTTAATTGTCCATGATTCAGCTGAATAGAGAGTAACACTTTCCAGGAACGATTTATAAATCTTTGTTTTTTTGTTTTTAAGGACACTGATTTACTCCTCAGAACCGAATTTAAGGTTCTATTTGATGATTAACTTCCCATTATACTCTTCATTGTCCGTATTTGATGTTCCTGTTATATTACCCAGCTTCCTAGATGCTTAAATTGAGCTTCAGGTTCCAACATCCAATTGTAAATATTCGCCTCAGCTATTAAAGGCCGTATATACTGTTTATTAATGTCCAATGTTCAAAAGTAATGCTGTCAAGATTATTTCATTCTCTTTAGCAAATTTGATCATCAATATTTTATTTTTCACTTTCTTTAACATTAATTTATGAATGATCTTGGGGATGAATCCATTTTTCCCTTTACTTCATCAGTTCGTTTTTATTTTGTCTTTATTGGTAATAATGTATATTTATGATGTAGATAGGAAATTTAAGTACCAAGTACCATTCCCTCCAAGAAAATTCATGACAGAATAGAATCCTATCCTTTGATAATATGTAACTTGTCTTGTAATATGTACTTGTCTCTGTTAGATCTTCCCAACTCAGCAATGTTCTCAAGGGCTGAGGGCTTATAAATGATAATATTATTGAAGCTGAAATTTAACTTATTTCACTTCTAGGACAACTCAACAATGCTGATTGAGGCAGCTAAAGGAGGACATACTAACGTAGTGCAGCTATTACTGGACTACCCCCATTCGATAATGATGAGCAATGCACAACAAGGGCAGCAGGTGGCCAACGCGGCAGGGCCCGCTGGATTCCATGACGTCCCCGACACTGTCAGGGCTCTGCCTCCTCCGATAGCAGCCGATCAACAACCTGATACCGCCAACACAGCCAAGCAGCCTCCAACCATAACCAGTAAGCAAAGCTTACTAAATTTTATATAAAATAAATGTACCCTACCTTATATGTACAAATGGTTAATTTTGAATTAATGTTTTTATTTACAGCTACATCCAGGGTAGAAATTATTAATGGTAAACATATACCTATTCCTGGTCAAAAATCCCTGCTTCGAAAGAACAGAGCAGTTAACACAATGGAAGTAAGTTCTCTTACTTCGCCAGAAGTTCAACAGGTAATGTTGGTTTACTTACAATTCATGCAATTTATAAAAATAATCCATGAAAACGTACTTATTTTGGCAATATTATTTAATTTAATAACCTCATTTACATTTACATATTACCAATGACAGGTGAGAAATGAGCCTGGAGATGGTGGAATTAAAGAAGAACCAATAAAAAAGGAAAAAACTCAACTCCCTAAAGCTCCCCTTTCTCTCGAAACCTCACAGTTTATTCAGAGGCAGCAGATTGTAGAAGAGCTTCAAGTAAGTTGTTTTTATTAAATTTAATTTTCATGTAATTCCTTATATGTCTATATAATTTTTTTTTTGTGTGTGTAGTTATTAGCTTAAAACAATAAATAAAACAGAATTTTTGCTACTTTCATTTATAACTGAAATAAATCCAATTTTAAACACTTTCAAATTTACTCATGAGTTATGTTTTGACCAGAGGGTAGAGGAGGAACTGAAAGAGAAAGGTACTGTCCTCGACGGCGGTCCGATCTCCCCCACTTCTGCCATTACCAGCCTTCTCAGCCCGACAACTCCACCTGGCCCCCCACCTCCATCAATACCTCAGCATGGTAACTTTGATTTACAGCAATTTACTTAAATAATTTATAATTTGTTTTTTTATTATTGTAAATATCTTTAAAAACATTATTATTTTACAGGAATTGTTTGTCCTGGTGGAAACATGTATGGGGTTAGCCAACAACAGCCGAGTGCTTTATTGGTACCTCAACAACCTCCTCAGGCAACAATACACCAACCAATCACCACACCTGCAGATGTAGTCCAGGTAAATTTCTTTTAATATTTGACTATGCTGTTGCCGATATAGTGTATCGTATACTTTATTGATTCTCTAATTAAGTCATTATAAAAATAAAACTTATCAATAATTTTAGGCGACTGCCATAAGTGATAGACCCAAAGCCAAACCTACTTGGAAGAAAGAAGGGAGCAAAGGCGTTCGAAAGCAGGTTGTTTCATTCCAGCCTTCATTACCTCAGCAGGGACAGTATTTTGACCACTCGACCATTCAGCAATTAAAGCAACTTGCTTATAAGCCTGAGCCTGAAACTATCCTCGGATACCCTCCCCTCACTGGGGAGGCGTGGGCTAAGGCCGCCCCTGGTGCCCCACCTCACCTCCACGATCAGTCCGCTCTACATCTACACCCCGACCCACAGAGGCTGTCATCCGAGGTATTTATTTGTCGTACTTAATCGAATATTTGGAAATCGTAGCTTCTCTTGACTTATCAATGTTGTTTTCTTAGTTGAATGGACTTGAGATCCCGAGGCGTTGCCCAATATTAACCGATGAAGAACCAATGTTCGACCTATCTCGTAGTAAATTAGACCAGGAACCCCTAGACCCTCTCAATTTAGACGATGTTGTACCCGGTATGTATTATTAGTTTGCCATTGATAGCATATTAAATAAATATATATATTTGTAAATAGATAAGGTATATAATAAAAAAAAAATTGCTACCACATTAATTTCTGTATGTTCATTTAATTAAAAAGAAGTATTGATTTAAGTAATTTCTTATAGTAATCCAAATTTATGACATTTAAGGATATAATTCTCTGTTCAATCTTACAAAAATAATCTTTAAAAAAAAAAATGTAGACATGTTATATATCCTTATGAATTGGGTTTTCCTTTTAATATATTAACTTGTTTAGGATCATTAAATAATTCTAAATGTCTCAAGTACCTAATATTTATAAAAAAAAGATGTGTTGCATTGACAATTGTAATTTAAAATATGAAAATTGTAAAATTAATTTGACAATATTTTACATAGGAAATCTTGGGAGCAGTGAAAGAGATAGGATAAGGTACAATAATCCTTCTTTCATTGCGGGTGTTGAAGCAGCCTCCAAGCTCATGAGTGGTCCAGGCAGTGGAACTCCATTTCAGGTGGTTCCCACTGAACATGTCCCTCTGCAGATGATGCCTACAGAACAGGGGACTCTCCAGTATCTGTGTGCAGCCGCTGCGGCAACTGCACCGCCACCTGCTCCTCCCACACAACACCTTCAGGTAAACCTTCATGTTCGGTGAAAATTAAATAAACAATGTTTCCAATAATTGATCTAATGTTTAATTTATCCGAGGACTTGAGTTAAATTATAAAATAAAATAAAGTTGAAGAAATAATTTACTGTAGATTCTTATCAGAGAATTTGGTTTGGGATCGGAATCATAAGAAGTACGAAAAAATAATGTGTATTCTCTTTTACAAAAATTTTATTGTGTACTACTGACTGCGATCCCCAACTAACTTGTCTTGTATTAAATAATATGATTCAGAAACACATGTTTGAAAAATACGATTTTGCTAAAATGACTAATTTTTGCCCTCTAGTTGACAAACTATTGCTTGTGAACTTGGTGATCCATGCTAAGGAGTCAAAATTATTTATTTTTTAAAATGTTTGTTATAGATTGTAATATATTCCATATTTATAATTTTATCATTAATTATAGCAAAATGATATTTTAGAGTATGGCTTACAACTCAGCCCAATGCCCTGGAGCAGTGGAGCAGCCCCCTGAAAAACCGAGACCTGGGCAGTACCACCAGCCGCAGCTTCTCCTCAAGGCCCCTCCGCCTTGTAAGTTACAAAACAAAACCGACACCCTAACACCTTCCAGTGAGTCACTTGTTTTTTTTTTTGTTTTTTTTGTTTTTTTATTTTACATTCATGTACCCTTATTTTCCTCCTGAGCATAATTACTATCTGCTATTTGTAACCTTATAATATTTAATTAACTTTAAATGTATTATTTAAGCATTTTGAATCAGCTTACAATTGTAGATAATTATCTATGAAAATATTTAAAAAATTTAAAGTAGAACTTAAAAAATTATTTTAAGTAGATAAATAAATGCTTATTTACTGTTTTAGCAACCACATTATTATGAGAAATTCCAAATTTTATCATTCTCCATTTTCATTTTGTCATTCTGATTTACTCATTTTTTCACTTGATTTTGTAATATTTAAAATTTATAAAATACAATTTTTCTCCCCAAAGAAATACGTTGATTAAAAGTATTTTCCGCTCCCATTGACTTCATTGTTAGGCTTTTTGTTTTTAATGAAATGTTATTAAATTAAAACATATAGGTTCAATAGTATATAATCAATAGTATCAACTAATGCTGAGCAAAGATTTTTGGAAGTATCACTGTTTATATACAGCCTTAAGAAAATTAAAATTTCAGAAGTACAATTATGTTATTAATCTGATTTGTACCATACATTGCAGGTTTTCTCGTATTAAGTTTAATAAAGTTTGGTTTAAAAATTAAACATTACAAAAACAATTAGTTTTACTTACAGATTTTTAATATTTTTGATTCTCTGTAATATCCAGTCCGTGAAGAGGCTATCTTAATTAAAACAGAAACTTATTTTAAAAATACAATGTAGAACCAAAAGAATAACTAATTCTATTTTGGTGGGATAAAACTGAATCTGTCCCTGTTGTGGGATTTGTAGACAAGCTCAAGAACTTTCTAATTGTGATTTAATATTAGTATCTAGTAAACCCACTCAAAAACTCAAACAGATATCATATAGCCTACTTCTGATATATTCCATCAATATTAAAAAAATATATTTTGTATAAGAAATATATTTATATACATATTGTAAAAATAAATAAACCTGTACCACTATAACCCATAAAGGGTCTTGGGTCCGGTACTTTGTAAGGAAGTACTATATCTGTCAGTGGTTGTGCAAAGTGATTTGACCTAGATCATGCTTAACCACCTGTTTTTTCTCCTTTATTAATTAAAGGTGCTGATTTTATAAAAGATAGGTTTACTCCAGGAAGGTCTTATGACCAATAGGTTTATCCACGGTTGGTGTAACAGAATAAGTAATTACTTGCCACAGCTGGACTCAAACAAGAGCAGAAGTCTTGCTAACTGAGCTATTTCACTTCCATTAATTGGAATATATATTATATTATTATCAAGGAAGTCTATTCAATACTTTATAATCACTATTTTGAAATAAATGTTTACTTACTAAGTAATTTTCTGTAAACTGGAACTGTCCCTTTATTGTAATAGCTGTTAAGTTAATTAAATAGCTATTAAGTTAATGCAATAGAGTAGGATCCTTGATTTTTCCAGTTCTCTCACTTATTAAGAGTGGAAAATAAAAGCTAAAACTGGATAAGAACTTCGTCACCACTATGACGACAGCGAAGAAAATTAAAAAATGTTGACGAACATATTTATCTTCAGAAAAAAATCAAAAAGTTACTTCTATATTGTCCAAGGATCTCTTGACTATTATCCTTTGCTTAGATTTTTAGTTTACCATAGACCACAGGTGGGGAACCCTGGTGCCTCCATGAGCGAGCTACCTCTGGCGTCCGTTAGTTTTTGCCTGGTTTTCATTAACCTAGTGCTATAATTAATTAATATTTAATTCCTTAGGTTCCAAAAATTAAAAAATGAGTATAATTAAGTTAAGTATACATGGGTGTGTATGTGTATTCACTTATAAACAAAAGTAAACTATAAATAAAAAGTTATTCTATTATCGTGACCTATTCCGCAGACTATAACAAATAGTTTTATTTTAATTTTTAAAAACCTAAATGATATGTGATAAGTATATCATGGCTTTAGCATCTATCACAAAAATTATGGTGGGCCTTTGTGTTATCTCAAAAATGATAAATTTTAGGGCTTTGAAACTTAGGCCCTTTGACAGTCTGTAGACATGTTCTGATCTTGAAATCCTCTCATCAAAAGCTGTTTCATTTCAATCCGCCTTCTTACTACCGTCAGAGTTTAGCGGTAAGAAGTATCAAAATCGGGAAAATATTAAAACTGGTTGAAATATCTTCTCTTTTCTGGCTTCCTTTTATTTGAAGATGTACAGATGTGTTTCTTGCATATCTTCAGACTCCAAACAAAATTTAAACTATCCATGTCTCCGTTGGGCCTGTATCTTGATTGTTCTCTTAATTGGTTTTAACTGCCCTATGGTCGTATCTTAGGTAGCCTCCAATGACATCAGTTTGGCAACAACTAACTGTAAAGCTTTTGTCCCACATTGCCATTTAAATAATTATAGTGCCTCTTGTTTTTCTTTCATTATGCAGCGGATATTCATCTTAAACACACAGTCCCATGATGCATTCTTTATAATCAAATAACAATTATTCCAATGCAGAATACTAATTTCCACACTACACGCTTGATTTTAAATTTATCTAAGTATAATAATTAAAATGTATTCGAAATAATTATAAATGAAATTTTTAACCTATATATTACTACTGCATAAATAACATAATAATAACATGAACTCATCAATCCAGCCTCTTTACTTAGATCTAAAAAGTTATAAATAATATTATTATAAATTTACACTGAAATATCATGGTGTAAATAATAAGTCCAATAAACCTATTATTTTTTTCTGTATAGAATGATCTATAGTCTTTCTAAATCTATCTTTTATAACAAATTTCTGTTTTTTTTTATGAACAATACAACACACCAATTTGAATTTATTTCCCAAAATTAAAATCTTATACAACTATTGAATTTAAACTAAGTAAACAATGACGTACAGAAGTAATAAATAAAATACTTATTTATATCTTTAAATAGTTGAAATTCATTACAATGGACAATCCACACATTTACTAACATTTCACTGCTTTTTTTACGCACCTCATATTTTGTCTCAACTATTAATTTGTTTTATTAATATAATGCGATTGTTTTTATAATGCTAGAGATTTCAGCATGAATCCTACTCCCTCCCCCTCTTCTCCTTCTAATCCTATTTCCTTTGAATCCCGTTTAATGAATTGAAAAGTGTTTTGCTATTACTAATGAGCATGTGTGTGGCATCCGAAGGGGTGAAACCTCCAGAGAGCGGAGGACAGGTCGCTACGGCTACGCAAACATCCCCCGGCCCCGAGGCCCCCAAGAAGGCCCCTGCTCCTCCACCTAACAAAGGAAAGAAAGCTCGCTACCAACTGCAGCAGAAGGCCACGCAGGCTCCCCCGCTTGCCCCGGATTCCAGTCAAAGTAGGTTTCATTGTTTCTGTATCTCAAGGTCTGGTGGAGGATTGGATTTTCTTTATTTTTTATTTTTATTAGTTTATTTTTTAAAGCTGAAATATTAGTAATTAATTCAAAGAGAGAAAATTAATTATATTTCTTCATAGAAAATTCATTGATCTTTTCTTTAACTATCAATTATAAAAGAAGAAATAAAAAATATTAGTACTTCCCCCTTCAATGCTTACAAAAATGTTATTAATTATTAATAGAATGAAAAAAAAGCTTTATGTTTATAATGTTATTTTTAATGATTACAGGCACTAATATTGATTAAGGCACTGCATCTTTTTTATTTATTTTGTTTTAAGACAATTGTGTGGTTGTGGTAGAAAATAGCTGTCACTGTAGGAACCATATGTCATTTTTATTATTTAACAAATGTCATAGTTCCTAGGAGCTTACAAATTTTGTTTTTTAAGAGTGGGTAAGGCATTGGATTTCAAAAATCAAATCCTGACTGAGGACAGAAAAAATATTTTTTGTTATATTTGTGGGATGTCTTGTTAGTAGATAAATTTAGGAGAATGTTTGAATTTCAAAAATAATTAAGTCAGAAATCCAGTGTAAATTTTATGAAAGTTGGAAATATTGTCATTATTTCTAAACTATATTTGCCATTGGTGAAGGCATTTATATTTTAAAGTCTGTTATGTTAGCTCTGATATATTGCTTATTGATAATTTTTGAGTTTTAATCATAGTGAAATATTGTTTTAGTATGTTAAATAAATAAATCTCCATTACATTAGAAGAAAAATATTTTAGCTGATCTGTCTTTTTTTTTTTTTTTTGCTATATTATGTTTTTAAGCTCTCAAGAAATATTTCTTCACATGGATCTTTTCATAAATGTATTAAACACAAGTTTCTTTATATTTATTTGATTATTAAAGTTTTCTTTCTTACCCTTGATAAAACAAAAAATATATATGTTAAAATATATATCCCATGGATTCTAAATTCTTCAGCTGTAAGTATATGTGAAATAGAATAATTGTATGGGTTTTCTTTGTGCATTGTTTTATTAGATTGTTTATTATTACATTTGTGTAAAAATATTGCTTATATTTATTTTTCTGAAAAACTCTTGAAAAAAATTAAGAAATAATTGGTTATTTCAATTACCGAAATTAGTAGACTCAATTATTAGCCGTGGCTTGACTGGGGTCAGGAGACCTGCCCTCCTAGGGCAGATCCATCCTCTATTGAGTGACTAACCTTTGTATTGTAGGGGGGGGGGAGGTTATTTTAAAATTTGTTCTAAAATATTTAAACTATAGAAATTTATAGTTTTACATTATATGTAAGAGTCATCAAGTGCATTTGTCTTCAACTTCATCTGGTAAATTTCTCAGTATAAAATTTATGTTCGATTTTTTTTGTTTTTATTATAGGGTTTTTACAAAATTTATTACTTTCTACTCCTTCAGCACTAGTTTTTAAGCTTCTCTCCTGATTTTTTAAAAAATAATATTAGTGCTCGAGCTATTTTTTTCATAGATTATAACAACCTGCCTGAAGGAGCAAACTACTTGGAATGGTAATTCCAGAGCTGGCTAAATTTTATGGCCTATTCCAGAATATTAAAATTACCCAACACTTAGCCTTTATAAACACAAAACAATCAAATATGTTTATGCTATCTAATATAAACATGAAATCTTTAATGAATTGTACACTGAGAAGCAAACAAATGGACACCCTTCACTATTTGTTCTGGTTTTCTAATATAATATCTCTACAACTCCCTTGTAATTACTCTGTACAATATTTGTTTAATAACTTTTCATTCTTTAGTTTTAAATTTTAAATGGATTCCTGAGGATACTTTCATATTCTACCGTCAGGAAAATCCTTATTTTTTTCATTTTGGGGTTGATGAGTTATTTTGTTGATATTTAATGGAATTTTGCTGTTAAGTTTTAATAAACTTTCCTTTTAGTTATTATTTCACTTTTTCAAAAACTGATATTTGATAGAAAGATAAATAAAATTCTTATTGTATAATTCTGATTTGTAATGATTCATACAAATGCCAAGTTAAAAAAAAATAATTAGTTGAGTTTCAATTTTGGCAATAGTCAAGATAAAGATTTCTTTTTTGTTTTTTACTAAAAAAGTTTCTGTGCTTCCAGTGGGATACCCAGGATGTGAGGGCGAGTCTACACCAGGTCTTGCTCCGCCATTCTGTATGGATGTAGATTCAGCAACTGATAGTAACAATGATACTGCCCTTACGTTAGCATGTGCAGGAGGTCATGAAGAATTAGTTCAATTACTTCTCTCAAGGGGAGCAAATATAGGTATATAATCCTTAATATTAACAAACTTACCTAAACTTACTGCTTTATGTCCACTACTTTAATATATTTACTTTACATTTTGATTTAATAGATTAACATTATCTGATTGTTCTTTTTAAAATGTTCTATCAATATTGTAAGATCTTATTGAATATAAATATATGTTAAGATCTTATTGAATATAAAATATTAAGGTGAGATTATAGAATAATGATGGAAAATAAACATTGGACACCAGTTTATTAATCTGCTATTTATTTAAACTAAAATTATATTGATGAATTAAGTTAAAACTAGAAGTTTTTTTTTTCTTGATAAACAATTAAGGTTGACTGCTTGGTCAATCGAAAAAAGGAGATTGTCATGGTAGTGATCACTACTAGATGAAAACTAAAATTAAATGATAATATTTTGACCCACATTGGTAGGTAGTGATCTGGGCTGAATAGACAGGTGTTAGGGCAAAGACTAGAGATTAGTCTCATCCTTCACGTCTTTCTGTTCTCCTTCACCCTTGATGTGGGGATTTGTAGTCTGGTCAAAACTTAAATATTTAATAAATGGTTCCATAAATGTTATTCTTCACCACATCCCAGACCATATTTTTTATTCAAATTATACTTTTTGAAAAATATTACTTCTGGTGAAGGAACATGCTGTTCTGCATTACTAAACACTTGCGACTCTGTTTTTGTTTTATTTTATCAACCTAATTGTGGATTATTTTTCATCTGATTTTCTGCTCTCCTACAGAACATAGAGACAAAAAGGGATTTACTCCTTTAATCCTTGCTGCCACAGCGGGTCATGAAAAAGTGGTAGAAATCCTAATGAACCATTCTGCTGACATGGAAGCTCAGTCAGAAAGAACTAAAGATACTCCTCTATCTTTGGCCTGTTCAGGAGGTCGATATGAAGTATGTTAAATTAATGGTTACATTTTTATTCATTTATTTATTTTTAATATTAAAGATGTAATTTTATGATGTATTATTTAAGGTGGTTGAGCTTCTCCTGTCCAAGGGAGCAAACAAGGAACATCGTAACGTTTCTGATTATACTCCCCTGAGCTTAGCTGCTTCAGGAGGTTATGTTAATATTATCAAGCTTTTGCTGACACACGGTGCCGAAATCAACTCCAGGACTGGCAGCAAGTTGGGCATTTCTCCTCTAATGCTTGCTGCTATGAATGGACATACAGGTAATAGTTTAAAATTTATCTCTTAATTGTTAAATATTTGTAATTCTTTAAAATAGAACTTAATTTATTTGTTTTCTTGATCTTAACACATTTTTTGTTTTCTAGCGGCTGTAAAATTACTGTTAGATATGGGTTCGGATATAAATGCCCAAATCGAAACCAACCGAAATACTGCATTAACCTTAGCCTGCTTTCAAGGAAGGCATGAAGTTGTGAGTCTCCTTTTAGACCGAAGAGCCAATGTTGAACACAGAGCAAAGGTAAGGTGTTAACAGCTACCAATTTAATGTAATGTTTTATCTTCTATTAATTTATTATTTGTAATATTTCATTGTACTACTCTTAGATATTTCTTTCTTAGCTTGAAAAGGCACATATAGCATCCCCTGACTTTTTCAACTTCTGCCTTCCACTTTTCTCTATTCCTTATGTGGACTTTGTTTATCTTTAACTGCCATATGTCGAGTACACTATCTCTCCAGTGGCCCTTGAGTCTTTCTTTATTTCTTTTTTCTTCTGGTATACCCTTTTTCTTTTTGTCATCCTGCTGTCTTCATCCTTATTAAATGATCAGACAACTTCAGTATCTTCTGGATTCTAAGATATTCAGGTCTTCATAAAAACGGCTGCTGTATTTATTTTATAGTCCTCTACACCGTATTCCGTCTTTTACAAATGGGTCCCAGGATGTTCTTTAGTATCCTTCTATTAAACTGGTCCAGTAGGTCACTGTTATTTTTATTCATAATCCAAATTTCATTATCATTGGTTTATTACTGTTTTATAGATCCAGAACTTAATTGTACTATTGGTCAGCCTATTTCTATAATGTTTTTTTTTTACTTTTTCTTCATCCAGTTGTTCATTAATTATAGATCCAAGGTATTGGAAGCTGTTTACTGCTTTGAAACTGGGGTTTTCTATTATGTAATTTCTTTGAGGGTGGGCTCATTTCTTTCTTCTGAAAACCATTACCTTAGTTTTCTCTTCATTGATTTCCAAATCTATTCTGATTGCTTCAAAGCAAACTTTCCAATGGAATCCTTAATAGAGTTCAGAGACTTCACGACAATAGCCATTGCGCTTTGATATCATATCCAAAATCATTGTTTATTTTAAAATAAAATAAAGATTAATGTTTAGTTAATAGCTAATGTTTTCCTTATAATTCTTATATAATCCTTATAATTGCAGACTGGACTGACACCACTCATGGAGGCAGCCAGTGGTGGCTATGTCGAAGTAGGACGTGTTCTTCTTGATAAGGGCGCTGATGTAAATGCACCTCCTGTACCCTCGTCTCGAGACACAGCGCTCACCATAGCTGCTGACAAGGGCCACTGTCGATTTGTTGAGCTACTTCTTAACAGGTATAACATTGATTAACTTTAGAGAAATTAAAATAAATTGTTCTTCAGTGCACTATTTTACAGTCAAGGACAAAGAGATAACTCATTGTTATATTTCTAATAAATCACTATCTTTTCTTTTTAAAAAGTTCCTTGAATGCAATCTACTCGATTTCTACCACAGAAAAGCTGGGGGGAAAAACAAAGACATGTTTCTGTATGTGAATTTGATAGAGAAAAAAAATACCTGGCAGATTAGACTAGACTGGTAGGTTATTTTTTCTAAACCAGAATAAGAATAAAACATTTTTACATGTGGCATCCAACAGCACATTGGCGGGTTGGCAGATTACTTCAGAACAATAGGAAAATCAAGAGCATGCAAAAACTTTCAAAAAGCATGTTCATGAAAAATAGTTTTAAAATTTCCTCCACTCCAAAAGACTCACAAGAAGCAGCTGAAACAGCTCATGACTATGTTGAGTGGGCTGATCAGGGATAAAATGTTCTTTTTCTCAGATGGGGAGAAAATCAACATTGATGGCCCAGATAACTGGTCTTATTACTACCATAACCTCAGAAAAAAGTATTCTGTAAGTAATAAATGGTTTGAGATGGTACTGGCTACAAGTAGAATATGGCCATTGTTTTTCACCTCTGGTTATTTAAACATTGTGAAATACCTTAAAATAATCCAAGGACTGTTGAATTATCCATTTAGTAATAGTTTCAAAAAATTACTTATGTCTTTCTTTTCAACGAGACAATGCTTCTCTTCAGTATGAAATCTAAAAAGCCTACTTCCAACAGGAAAATATTTATCTTATAAAATGGTCAGAGAGTTCTTCTCACTTAAACATAATAGAAAATGTGTGATGCCATCTCGCCCAAGATTTCTACAGATGTTTTCATCAATTCTAGACTGCACACTAGCTGAAGGGATCATATTTGCGCTCCTTCGCAAAAATATGCATTGTGTATATATATATATATATATATATATATATATATATATATATATATATAAAATTTGTTTTCAAATCAAATTTGGTATCGGTGTCAGAGAAAGGATGAAGCCTTCAGGAGATATTAAGTAAATACATTTCTGTAAAAAATCTTTATTCTAATGAAACGTTTCTGTGTTATCATGCAGTTCTACTTAATCTAATTTTTCCATTTATAACATAATTACCTTATATCTCTTCTAGCTTTATGCTTTTTGTCTAATTTTTTATTTTAATGTTTGACTTATAAGTCAATATTTATTTTGTACATTCTAAAAGTTATCAAGTAAGAGAATAATTGAAGTAACTGGTTATGGTGTACTTCATGAAAAAATATATCTGGCACTTCACACAATTTTTGCTTTCCGCTCTACTCTAAACCAAAATTATTTTCTGCCAGCTGCTACAAAGTATTTTAATTGCATTTTTAACGGAGCTGAATGTTAAACCTTACAACTTACCTGTAAAGACTCTTTAAGACCATACCTGATTTATTCTGTCCACTTATACAATATAAACCTCACAACCCCATCTGCCTTTTTTAACCACATAACTCCAGTGTCTAAGCTCCCTTATACATTAATATAAATATAGATATTTAGGTACAAAGAGAGATTTTAAAGTACATCAATATTTTTAATTTATGAATGAGCAAAGATTGTTCTACATAGTAAAACTTTGCAAACTAGAACAAAATAACATTATACAAGGTTTTCATTGCCTGCCATTGATAGATCAAAAGTTTTTATACTAATTGTGAGTGGATAATGTTGCGATTTCACAGAATTCATCAAATCATTCAATAATTTAATTTTCTGCAATGTTACACAATGATTTTTCAGAATAAGCCGACAATGTATACCTAACTATTTTTAATATAATATCGGATCTAAAATTATTAAACTACTCTAAAAGTATTTAAGCTTATAGCCTTATGTTTTACTCATCCATGAAATGTTTTTATATTTCATTTCTTCGAACTAACAAGTACAATAAAATATTTTTTGTAACTATTAATTTTTAAAAAATAATTTTAAAAGCTACATTTAGGTGAGAAATTTCATTTAATTTCCACGAAACCATTTGGTTTCTGTAGAATAATATTAATTTATAGACATTATTTATAATTTTTTGTTGCTATCCATTAACTTCTCTATGACTTTATATGTTAATTTTTTTTTTTTTTTCTAACATCCTTTGCTTTCCAACGATATATTATACATATTATTCTGAGCACTATTTTCTGATAAAAAAAAATTTCTTTTTTCTCCTTTAATCAATTAACAAATTCTTCCATAGTTTATGTCTAAAGTAAACCAAATTAAAGGTACTTTATAGAAAGAAATTTTGAAGATTCGCCATTTAAGCCCTGTGAAGCTACATCAATGAGAATTAGACTTAAATGACATTAAGGACCATTTAATTATACATTTATATACCAAGTTTAATAAAAATCATTAGAGCCGTTTTCGATAAATTCATAAAATAATGTGTCATATCGATTATATGAAGTGCCACTTCCAGTTTGTTGATTTTGATAAAAATGTTGTTGGAACATGCAGTAACAGGCATACACAATACTTAAATATGGGATTTTACTTTTGTGCAACTTTTTGTTTTTTGAGCTATACTGTTCACATACATACAGACACACACACACACACACACACAGACCATTTTGTGAGACCTAGTTATTTGATCTCAGAGGACCTCAAAACGTGTATTTCTGTTATAAACTCGGATTCAAAATTTTCACATTACACTTTCCCTTACTGTATATTTCACATGTAGTTAAGTGAAAGTAAAAATATATAATTTACCTGAAACTAAAAGCAAGCCATTTATTTTTTTCTGTTTCTTTTTCTAGCTACTCATATCTTTGAAGTTTTTCTTTTTTCCTTGAAAACTTCGATTCAAAAATTTTCTCAATCTTAATACTTTCCCTTGCTATATATTACGTATATAGATAAGTGAAAGTAAAAAAAAAAAAAATTAAAATAGGATATTTATAATTTTATGTTACATTATTTCATTTAACAAGTATGTTTTTGTTTTCTTCATCCCTTAGATCGGCCCAAGTGGAAGTCAAAAATAAGAAGGGAAACTCTCCATTGTGGTTAGCTGCTAATGGTGGCCACCTTGCTGTAGTGGAACTTCTATATAATGCAGGCGCTGATATAGACTCCCAAGACAACCGAAAGGTGCTGTAATCATAGTCAGGATTGTATTTTATCTATTTTTATTTTATATGATTCATCATCTTTTTTTAATTATTTTTTTTAGGTATCTTGTCTCATGGCTGCATTTAGGAAAGGTCATGTTAAGGTTGTTAAGTGGATGGTCAATCATGTAACGCAATTTCCCAGTGATCAGGAAATGACTAGGTATATCTCAACAGTGAATGACAAAGTGAGTGTGAGTGGTATGCCATAGATTATTTTTGAAAAAATTAAACATCTGCGAAAAAGAAAAACTAATTATTTATATTTTCATTGTAACAGGAGCTTCTTGAAAAATGTCAAGAATGTACAAAAATTATAAGAGCAGCAAAAGATCAGCAAGCAGCCAAAGCAAACAAAAATGCTACCATCCTTTTAGAAGAATTGTACATGGAGAAAACAAGAGAAGAAAGTAAAAGGGCTGCAGCAGCAAGACGGAGGGAGAGAAAGAAGAAGAAAAAACTGGAGAAGAAAGAAGAAAAACGGAAACTACAAGAAGAAAACCAGAAAAATGAAAGGTATGCGAATACACCAGCTGTAGAAGAAGATGAAGAAGAACCAGAGATAGAGGATGAAGATAAACCTGATATTAAAGGTAATTGTATAAGTTTTGTTCAGTTATTAATATTTTTATTGGAATGTAGTTACGTAATGTTTAAAAATATATTTTTTGTTTAATGTGAAGCTGTGGAAAAATTGTAAAGAAATCTAATCTCTTATAATTTATAGAAAATTATAACATTTGAATCCCTAATATTTATATATTAAAGTGTCAAATGTAAAAACAAGAATTATTAAAATATTCGAGAAAAAAAATTTGCTGTACAGGTGAAAACCAAATTATGAACGGATGAGGGGAAAGATTTAGTGTGTGTGATTAACAAAAAAAATTGTTCAAGTAATCTGTGTAACACAGTAGATTATTAGTGGAGTCGTATGCATATAAATAGTAGGTTTAAATTCTATCAGTTTTAGTTTTCATCCAGGTATTAATTGTTATTGTTTTAAAATTTATAGTCAAAGTAAATGAAGTGATTGAATCTCCTGCTCGAGCTGGTGAAGGTGAGGAAGGTGATAGTGGAATAGATGCAAATTCTCAAGGCTCATGTTCCTCTAATGAAGTGAAGGCAGGAGCTGGCAGGCGGAAGGAAAAGAAGAAGAAGAAGCCGCCTCCTGGGCAGCAGCAAGTGATAACCAATCCAAACACAACTTCAGTTCCATCCACTTCTACCAAACCTTCAGAAAATGTTCGTATTCAGTTTTTTTTACTCACTTTCATTCATTTGTTTATTTAAATAAATTTTCTGTAGTCAAATTGATGTAACGGGTATATCACCTACTACCGTTTATCCGATTTTCATTAAATTCTAACGAGCACTTCCTTTTACGCACGCGCAAACGCATTTTGTAGATATGCCAATATTTCAGAAATGGCTCGTTCGATTTGGCTCAAAGTTGGATAAAAAAAAATAGGTATTTGTAAAAAAATATTGTAGGATCAATTTTATTGATTTCTGATTGCTTTCTCTTATATATGCGCAAACGTGTTTTCCTTGATATGTCTATATCTCTAAAACCGCAAGTTCAATTTGGCTCAAATTTGAAGGGAATTTAGGGATTGGTAAACGTTAAATGAAATAGGTACCAATTTTATCAAATTCTATCTAATTCTCAAAAAAAAAAATTCTTCCACTATCAGATCAGAAAATGTGTTATTTGATATGCCTTTAGTTTGCCAACGGCGCATTCGATTTGACACAAACTTGGAAGAAATTTGGAGAACAGTATAGAAATTGCTTAGTATTAATTTCATTGAATTCCATTTAATAATTAAAATTAATATAGATGATTGTTAACAATATAATGGATGTAAAATGTGGAATGCACTGATCATATGGAGAGGGAGTTAGGTTATTACAATATTGTTATGGGTTTATAAAATTTTAGGTTTTATTCAAAAAGTTAATTTATACTGTATTGTTTAGTCGATTTCAAACATTACTGGCATGACACATATTGCCGTTACATAGATTTCTCGCAATTTCAGTAAATTTCATACAGCATTTGCACTAACAGTAGCGCGAGATACATGTTCAATATGCACTGGAATTGTTTTTTTTTTATTTTTTATTATGAATTATCAAATATGCAATCTGCAAATGCTGAACCTGAAATGCGATGATCGGAGGAAGCCAGCCAGTAAAAATTAATACAATTTGTAATTGACCGCCTACTGACCCTGACTATCAGATTGTCGTGTTGCTTCTGTTATTCATGCATTAGTTGAACTTTTTTATCTATAAACACATTTTAATATTTAATCTAATACCGCACTGAACTCTCAGTGTCAAGGGAGAACACTTTTTGTTTATAAACAGTTCTACATATTGTTCATTCTCAACAGAAGTGTCTTAACTTAAAACAAGTGAATTTTTTAGGAGGGCGTGAAAAAACTTTTGAACCAGGCAACTTGGTAGTAAGAAAAGAGATTCATGGCACTCCGAAATGGATTTAGTGTAACACGATTTTTCCCAGTTTAAGTTAATATCTTGGACCACATTTTTCCGTAAAAAAAAAAAACTGTTTTTTTTAATGAAGTAATAAATACTTTTGTTCGGAATGGACGATAACAGCTCAATTAATTTCTGAACTCTTTGCTTCATTCAATCTGGTGAAGTGTTGACCATTAACTTTAATGTATTGAATAATAAACAAAATACTTCCGTAAATCCTGTCATTTAAAACTAGAATAACATGAAATACATTTTGTAGTACTCTTTTATTATAAATCTATTTTGAATAGAACTTCCATTATAGTTGTTTATGGGTCTTATTTTAATGTAAACATTTATGGAGGTATACCAATTTATTAATTTTAAGTTTTTTTTAATAGGAAAGGCGGAATGTAAATAATATCAATAGCAACAAAAGTTCTGTCACCCCTAGCAGTGGAATGTCCAAGAGCCATGAGCCTGCCCTTACCAAAACTGATAAAAGAGAAGAGAAAGGAGGAAGTGGTGGAGGCAGAGGAAAGAAAGGAGGTGGAGGTCTCGTTTTTGAACCAACGAGGCACCCTGCCGAAAGAGAGGACTTTGAAGCTACTGGTTCTGATTCTTACCTACCAGCCACTAAAGGGAAGAAGATCTCATACATGTAAGTTCTTTTCTTTATACTTAAGTTTGTTAATGATAAGTGTTTCAGCAAAACTAGCTAGAGTATTTCATATATAAAATACTTTCAGAAAATATATATGAACAATTATTTTATATTTATATTTTATTGTTGTTTCAGGTCCTATTGTGATGATATGATCACGCCTTCCAAAGGCAGTGCAGGAGGTGTGAGTGCTAGCTCTTCAAGTCCAAAGCAAGGTGGCAAGCGCGATGAAGGATGGAAGGAAGTTGTCAGAAAGTAAGTTATAAAAGTTGATCATTTTTTGTTCATTTATTTTATATTCACTGATTATTGTAATATATTAAATCTTGTCTTATTTATTCAGTACTGATTCATTTATTTTCTGTTGTTAGGTACCTCAATTCACCTTTCCGATCAAAAAAGGTTTCAGTTCCTCTTAATGCTATCAGTAGAGTAATAGGTAGAGGAGGTAGTAATATCAACGCGATTCGAACCGCGACAGGAGCCCATATCGAAGTTGAGAAGCAGAGTAAAGGCCAGGGCGAACGTATCATCACTTTGAAGTAAGTATAACATGAAACACTTCTTATCAAAAAATTTAATATCAATTTATTTTATTAACAAAATTATATTAAATTTTGCAAAAATTAGATGCATCTCTTTGAAGCTATTACAGTAAATGAGACTACTATAAATCTAAATAAATGTTTTCCTCTGTTAATTATTATCATCATAATAGAAAATTCATTTAAGGTTCTCCCTTTTTCTCATGCTTGTTAGTAATCTGTTATCTGGAGATAATGGAATTCTATAACGACATGAACCAATCTTTTATTGGCAAATAAAAGAGCAAGCCAGGCTTCAATCAATTAGATTGATAAACCTCAAAGGGGTCTGTACCACAGACTATAACCTTTCCCTCTCAATCACTTTGTCAAAATCTTGTTTTAATACTATTTAAAAATTGTCTTATCCCATGCCCATCTTCCAATTTATTATTTAGCTAAGTATTTCTTCATTAATTGATCCTCAATATTTTTGAATTCTTTGTCATAGATGGTATTAATTAAATAAAATAAGAAGAAAAACAAATTAATTTTAATTGTCTAGCATTCCTGTATTACAAAATGCTTATTTATTTAGGGGTTCGTCAGAAGCTACCAAGCAGGCTCATTCCTTAATAGCTGCTCTCATTAAAGATCCTGATGTTGATATCCTTCAAATCCTACCTAAGTCAGCAAAATCAGCTGCGGCTGTTTGGGAGAAGTCAGTTGTAAGTGATTTTCTAATGTCTTAAGTTTAAATTTTATAAATAATTTTAATCAATATTTTTATTTTATTATCTTTCATTAACTTAATATAAAAAAGAAAACCATTTCAATACTGAGGATTTTAATTTGGAAAAATTAAAAAATCTATCAATTAGAGCTCAACTCGAGCTTGAAGTTAAGAATTGGTTTGAGCTTTAGAACCCTCTGGCGAGGACAGCGATGATATAGATAAGTTATTGGTTGCGATCAGGGATAATATTAATGAAAAACTTTGACGTCAATTTAAATACGGGAAATAATGAATCTTCTTCTCAGTACCAGAGTGCCAAACTGTAAATAGAACATTTTCAACAAGATCTTCTTTTCCTTTACAACAGCTCTAAGTTCTTCACTCCACCAGTCCAAACGTTTCTTCTTGACTGACACTTTCTTCACATTGCATACTTAGGTCGCTGATTCCAATATGGCTGCTTTCAGCTTCAGCCATAGTTCATCTAAGCCTTCATCAAAGTTTAGTTCATGCAGCCGATTCCTTAGCTCGTTCTCATAATCCATTCGTTAACCAAATATCCTGCAGCTGTTTTATTTCAATCCTTTCATAAGCTTTTGGCTGAGCCTTGTTCGTGGAAGGAATTCTGCTATCTGCAATCAACAGCATGTGGTTACTCCCGATTTCCGCACCTCGGATGACTTTGATGTCTGTGAAGAATCATAAAAATGTTATCTTATGAACCACTTTATGCGGATAAATTGAATTGCCTACAACAAGATCATTTTCTATGCAAAATTCCATTGTTCATCTTTCTTTCGCCTCCATATGGGCCCATAGATCCATGGGCTCTTCTGTGGTCAGTCCTTCCATTGAGATCTCTCATAATAATAACATTCCTGGTTCGACTTTTTCAATTATGCGTGCTAGGTCACTGTAGAATTGTTCCATTTCCATCACACTAGAGTCCTCAGTTGGACTTGGACTAGTGTTACTTTTCCCAATGAGAGAAACATTGCCATATATTATTCTAGAGTTTACCATTTCCAAATCCCTGCTTTGCTCGGTTAACGGTGGTACTCCTGAGTATAGAAGGGTATATCCCTTGTCTAGCTGCATTTCTCCTTACCCTTTCTTTCTGATTTCATCTCCTCCACAATCTCAACCTCTTTGCTTTTGAGGGAATGTATATTCCATGTACCAAATCTGATTTCCTTTAACATACTAGATTATTTCCGTAAAGACTGTCCATAACCGAGGCTGGTCACAGAATTACTTTGAATTGCTATTACCCTTCTACGGATGATTGGTCCAGCAAAGGATGCTCCGTTACCTCGTGACAACTGGTTTTCACCTCTACTCCTGGCATTGAGTTTTCTCAGGCGAGTTAATCCTGAAATGTGTACTGTTAGTATATATGTATAGCATACTGTTCTGCTGTGTGAAAATGTGCTGTGTACTGAACTCAGGAGACCGGGGAATCGTTAATACCCACTAGTAGAGCACAACTACTAGCCCTTAAGGAGTCTGTCGGAAATAAGTTTTAAAAAAAAACATGGTTATAAGTTTTTTTTTTTTTATATTTAGTTAATTTACTCAATTTAGGTTCTTCTGGAAGTCCATAAAGTTATTTGTAGCAGTTTTCCTTTGTTAATGTCTCTTATTTTAAAGGACCTTTTTCCCTTTTCTTCTTAAGTACAGAACTTTTTTTTTCAAATCAAGGTTTTAGAATGAATTTTCCTGTAAACTTATTAATTTTATTAGGTTAACTGTCTTTGAGGTGGCATGTGCTGTAAGGGGCGCATGGTGAAATATGTTTAGTCTTTTCCATCATGAAAGATAAGCTGATGATTTGTCATTCTTTAGAAAGCTATAATAAATTAGGAATATAGACCACAGACATTGTTATCATTAACATGTTCTAGTTACTTGGATATGCTGTATCAGATCCATGACTCTTGAGCCTCTGTTAATCAACTGGGACTTATCGTAAAATAAGATGAAATCTGTAGTATATAAATTCACGATTATATATAAGACAGGTCTGTCTTTGACCTAGTACTCGTATCGGATTCACCTAATACTCATTTATGGATCAGAAACCTGAACTACTAAATCTGAGGAAAGGAGCCTCTAAATATTTAATAGAAAAGTTTTTAGAGGTATATATGGAAATGTTTATGCAGGCGGGGTTAGGAAGCTAATAAGTATCCCGGAAATATAAGTTTCTGAGAGGACCTGATATAGTTAAAGTCTTGAAATGGGCAAGAAAGATATAACATGGCAAGATTTTTTTTTTTATACTCCCTATTAAATATGAATGAAATAAAAATAAAATGGTTTGCTGCATCGGTCTCATTATTTAATAGTCACTCCTTGTATTTTTGGGATGCTATACATTATTAAAATATTGTGCGATATCTGTAGCTGATTTATAAATAAATAAATATTGAAAGATTCAGCCTTAATCTAAATTTTTATTTACTTGGGTGTTGGTAAGGAGTAAAAAATTATGAACTATTTATAATGTTGTTATTTTAATTGTCAAATTTAGTTAGTTATCTCATACTTGTTAAGTAGCATTTTTATTGAAGAAATGTTCTCATGAACTACAAATCAAAATTATCGTTGTGTATTTTTTTTTTTTTTTTTTTTCAGAATACTGCTAAATCTAAGCCTAGCAATAAGACATCCCAACCTAGTGCAATAGTTTCATTGAGTAATAAAACTACTACCTCTGGTAAGGTTTCATGTTAATTTACTTCTATTTATTATATCTTATTGAAAACAATTTTTTGTTTTCCTGTCTATAATTCTATAACAGTAGTCAACGTAATTTAATTTTCAAATCCTATGATTTTACAAGAAGATGCTTTGGGAGTCATTTAGAAAACAACATCAATTAATTTATGATTATTTATTTAATCTCAATTTTTTGAACTGTATTGTAGGTTATCATCATGGCTGAAAAGAATGATACAATAAAGTTAACTATTTTAGATGTAAATAAGAATTATTGACACAAATATATAGTTATAAAAGTTGGAAAATAAAAAAGTTTTCAGATGGAAAATATTTGTTGTTTTAAAATTTTTCTAGAATAATTACCTCAGTAATTTAAAAAAAATAATTATTTTTTTACTACTAAAATAGTACACCTTTTTTGTATATTATTTTTTAGTCCAGATGAAGACCTACAATTAGGGTCGAGACCTCAATACTGAATAAATAATTACCAATTATTTGATGTTTTTTCTGACTGACTACCGTTCCATCTATATGTTATGATTTTCCAATGGAATATTGTCTCCTGAATTCCTCTTACTGAATGCAGAAGGGAGATCTAGAAGAAGAGTACTTTTTAACTCATTCCATGCCACTAATACAACAGTTGCATCGTCCATGTGCTTTCTTTTAACTAGTTTTATAAAAGCTATAAATCCTCTACTCACGTTAAATATTCAATTCCACACATGGGCCTTTCTGAAATGGTTCAAATCAATAATTTGCTGCTTAAGGAAGGAAGAAAATTGTTACACCTTGGTACCCTTAGATAGTGATGATTCCATCTTGCTTTATTATAATAATTTTGTTTTCTGTTTTTTCTCACTACTGCAGGTTGAATATCTGAGGTGGAAGACCAGTGGTCCTTCATATTATCCTCCACCTTTATATTATGTTTTCAAGTATTTAAGAATTTGTCGACAATAGGTGCTGTGTCTTATAGAACTGACCGTTGAGCCTCTCTTAGCCCCCTATTTAGGAATGAATGCCATCAGCTTAATGGGGAGACATTCAAACCTTTTTTTTTAAAGAAGTGGACTATATGAAATATAATCAATCTGAATGTTAAACAGGAATTAAATTATATTTCTTTCAGGGTACATATAGGGGAGGGAGAACCAAAACTGATTATTTTTAGTGGGTGAGACTGAATTTTGATAGTTTAAAATTCAGTGCTTTAGAAAAAAAAAGAAACATGATGAAAGTTGGATGTGTTAGCTGTGGTACTTAATGTTTGTAGAAGAAAGAAAACTGAATGAAATAAATAAAAATATTTTTATTATCCTGGGACTGTTTTCCCCTTTAGAACAAAGTATAAATACAGTGAAAATTCCTGTAAGGCCATAAATTAAATTAAATATTTACAAAATAATATGTAATTAAAAATAAAAATATAGGAAGAAAAAAGATCAAATCAAAAACATACATATACATATAGCATAAACAAAGGAAAACAAAATAACATTTTGTGATCAGTCGGATTAGGAAAGGAGTTGGTGCTTATAAAGGAGAGATTTAAATGAGGAAACTGACTGTGCATGTCGGGTATCTGGAGGTATAGAATTCCAAAAGGAGACAGCTTGAATTACTAAGGATTTGTCAAATGGAACAGTTCGGTGAGGAGGAGGATAGAGGTCAGAAGCACGGGATTGAATGGAGGATTTGAATTGTAGGCCCTAAAGAATATAGGGGGATCACTGACTTCTAATGACCTGGTAGCAAGAAGTACTGATGGCAGTAGGATGGATAGAACACCTTCAACTCGGTGTAATACTGTGTGAAATGCTTATCTCTTGAGATCCCGAAGACAAAACGTATCAAACAATTCATTAGACATTTAAATTTGGCTTCGAGTTCTCCCGTAAGTCCACTGTACACCATACAGTCATAGTTGAAGTTAGGGAAAGCAAGAGAGGAAACCAGGAGTTGACTGGTTTTGTATACAAGAAGATAGTGTTGATGATTGAACTGTTTTATGGTAGAAATAGTACGGCAGGAAATATTGATTTTATCTGAATGTTCGCATTTCTTCAGGATTGTATTTCACATTTGGTACCAATGAAAATAAATTGCATTTTTGTCCACTTTCATCCTCCTCATCCTTGCCAAGGAGCGAGCCTTCTTCCCTTCTTTTATTACTCCATTCTTGAAGATGTAATTAGAATAAGAAACTTATGAAACAGCCGATCTCAACTTTGAAACTGTTTCTAGTTTCTCTTGTTCTTTGGCAGAGTCCCCTCATTTCAGTCGAGCATGAAAGGCCGCCAACTGCTCATTCATTTCAATATTTCAGGAACCCGAAACACCGTCAATAGGTAGTTTTAAACCATCCGTGCCTGCCACTGTTGATTTTGGTATGAGCCCATTGCTGGATATTATGATTGTAGTGGTAGTAACACTTTCCAAATGATATAATTCCTTCAATTTAATAACCAGTTACTGTTATTTCCTGAATTTTCTGCCACAGTGGAGCTTCTATAATTATAGTTGGGTATCCTGACATCAATAATAAATTCTGCTTTGTTTGCTCTTAAATCTATAAGGTGGATATATAATCTGTTATGACGCAGAGTGTGGTCCGTAATAATTGATTGATCCCAATAGAGCTTGAGGGGACCTTTTTAGAGGAGTATATTTGGATGGTACTTATAACAAATTATAAGTTTGTTGTTACACCAAAGGGTCTTATCATCTAATAAGTTGAGTATTATTTAAAAAAAAAAAAAAAAAAAAGAATAATTTGAAGCCATTCATATGATAAAAGAAATCTTAACTGATGATTATTCATTGCTTTAAAAGAATTACTAATGCCAGATGAAGAACTTTTACTATATATCTAAAGAAAAAAATTATTCAGAATAAGTGAGTACAACTGTTTTCCTCTGTCAAAGATTGAAGTTATATGCAAATGGATATGTTTCTACTGTGTTCTCTAATTTTATATTAATTTCTTGATTGTTCATTTTAAAATTAATTTATTTTTTAAATAATTTAAGAAGAAAATTGGGTAATAAAGCGAAAGAGAAACTAGTTACTGAAGTAGCTATGTTAAGTTACATTTAACTGATAACGAACACATTTAATAGTAGTAGTGTCCTTTGCTTGGCTTCATTTATTTATTTACAGAGGTTATGATTCATTCCGATTGATTTCTTAGTGATCTGGTGTTGTTGTTTTTTGCTAATTCAGTCTTACTTTCATTCATATATAGGTACTTACTTTCATTCATATATAGGTAGCAATTAACTTTATTTTATGTAAATAATTTCCCCAACATTACTTGGAGGTTAGGTTATTATGTTGGTTTGGGTCAATATCCAGTTTCCGTTTGTTGTAAGGCACAAACTGAATATAATTAAAACTACCAGTAATTGGTATCAATTAGTCAGTTTACGTTTTTGCTAGGGGAATGTAACGAGCACATGATTGTTTTACTCTTAAAAATCATATACTGGAGTTGTACTTGAAAGTATTGTGTTAAATGAAATATTAAAACAATTTTGGAAAAAAATAAATAAATAATCATGGTGAGAGTTCACAAGATAGATATATTGAAATAATTACTTTAAAGATTGAATTCACTATACATACAATTTTTAAAACATGCCAATTACTTTTGGTCCTGTTTACTTAATTCTGTATTAGTATTATTATTGTATTAATCGTGTTTAATACAAAACTGAAAAAAATTTCTAAGCAAAACACAAGTTGTTTACTGAAATGAATTTCTATTTTATAATAAATTTGTGTTTTTTTTTTTTTTTTCAGGAGTATTGACCAGTGTTGCTCCTTTAATAGCAGCTAGAAGTTCCGCTTCCTCTTCATCCAGTAGAGTGACAGCACCTCGTCTTGCTTCTCATGGTTAGATCATTAATTTATTTTCTGTACTCAGCCTTATAGATCTTAATTGTTCATTCCTTAAAATTTCCATCATGAAGCGTAAATATCAGTTTTTTTTTTCTGCACTCCTGTAAAAGCTCATGATTAATTTCATTAGACCCTATTCTATGACATTGCAACATAAATATTATTAAAAAATGTATTATTTAGGAAGAATAATTAGTAAAAGTTATATAAATTATATATGCTTAGATAGATTAAATGAAATTATGCTCATTAATTTATTTATTTTTTTAAATTGAGGATAACAATATTAACAATTATACATATGACAAGATAATTTGCTAAATATTTTATTTTTAATCATTTTTGACCAATCAGCCATTGTTTAAATAGGCGATTCCTTTCTTTTCTTAATGATTCTCCTTTTTTTTAGTTGAAAATGTCAGATAACCAATTTGATATTTAATTTAATGCTCTAATTTAGCTCTATTGTTTGGTGCAGTATCCATCACTGACAATGTTGTATAAATTTCACTGCCTTTTCGACTTTAGTTATTCTCTCCATAGATATGTTTTTGTGGTTATTAGTTGTTATTGGATATGTTACAATAATCCTTCAGTTTTCAGAAAAATAACTTAACAAAAAATAAATAAACCTTACTCCTATAACTATTAATCGTCCATGTAGTAGTTTATTGTTTAATTTTAGAGTTGCATAGTTGGGTTATTTGAATCTAATGATACTATAGTTGAGAGGATTTTAGAAATATGGTTCATGATATGAGCACAAACATTATCATCTAGAAATACTGATTATTTTGTATATCTTTTTCTTCTTAGTGCCATCTGGATTTTAAAGGAAGTGATCTTTCCTTCTTCCTTCTCAAGTATTCAATGTACTAAGTATATTACTTCAATTTAATCCCAATGTAATGTTATAATGTAATTCTGTTATAAAAATTATTCTGGAAGAATTTCTTTGAATTTGAGCAGTTGGTACAATGCTGACTATTTTTTAAGAATCAGGTCTTCTCAGCTGGTTAATTACATATTCCAAAAGCTCCATATTATTCCCACCAATAACTCTTCCTCTTTTCTCTTAAATTACCACACATTTATCTATTTCTTGATCCACTTTAATGTGACTTATAGCATCCCTTCTGTCTTCAGAAGAGTTTTAATTTTATCTTCATGTCTTGCATAAAGCTTTAGATCGGAGAGTTTTGTTTCAGAATTAAACCGGTTTGCTTTGCTTGTATTCACCAATAATTTTTCGATTGGTTTGTACTTTTAATAAATTTCTGTGGTCCTGTGATAATAAAATATGAATATGCGAAAAACATGAACTTTTTATCTAATTGCTTTTTAAACCGCAAATTTTAACTGTTATAAATCAGTAGCAATTATAACTGTTAATTAAAATTAACAAGAACTGCTTACTTATAGGTAGTCAGGATTGAAACACATTTTAGCATTCTTAATATTCATTAGCAATCCTATTATCAACATCCCTATTTTAAAATATATTTTTTTATAAATCTATCATTAGTGAGAACATGAAATAGTTTTGTACCTAATTATATTTGTAATTATATTTTTAGTTGGAAAGAGGCAAGCTTCGACGCCTTCCTCAACTAGCACCAAAACAACTATGTCATACACAGGCGCTATCATGACATCTGGACGAGGAGGTAGTGGTACATCTGTTCCTATGAACACTAATAGCAGTAGTGGAAAACAGCCCGCCAGTGCGGTAACACAAACTTTTGCTGCCAAGCTGACCGAGCCGTCTCCACCACAGCCTCAGCCGCAGCAGGCTGCAACGCAGCCTTCCACCGCTCCAGCTGCAACTAGTATTGTAACGGAGGCAGTGGTGAGGCCGCCGTCGCCACCAGCCGCGCTGCCCCCCACTCCATCCCCACCTGCAGCCTTACCACCTCCTCCTCCAACGCCACAAATTAGCCTTGCTCCTCCTTCCTCAGCTGCAGTAGCTCCATCCATCGCCTCTGCACCCTCCACCACAGCTACGCTGGAATATTCTCTCTTCAATGACACCTTTACAAAGGTAATCATGAATCATCAATCAGTTACCTATATATGATATGTATTGTAAGGGATCGATTTTCAAATCTGAGTTTTCAACAGAAATACATGTTTTGAGAGTCCAAATAACCAAGTCCCACAAAATGATTTGTGTATGTGAACATTCATTCTAGCTCAAAAATGAAATTTTATGAAACTGTTGTTATATATTTAAGGGTTGCAAATGCCTGAGATGTTACAGCATCTTTTTCATCAAAATCAGCTAATCAGAAGTGGCACTTTATATAATCAATGTAACGCATTTTTACGATTTATGGCTCTTAACGCAAAACGGCTCTTAATGATTTTAATTTAACTTGGTATATCAGTGGATTATTAAGTTTTTTTTTAATATCAGCTAAGTCTTATCAACATTGATATCACTTTACAGAGCTTAAATACCCAATTTTCATATACGTCTTTTTCTAAAGTACCTTTAATTTGGTTTATTTAAAAAAAAAATAAATAATTCTCTTATTGACATTAACTGTATAAAAAAAAAGGCTAAATATAAAGTATGAAAGCATTTGATAATTGGAAACTGGAGAAAAAAGGGAAAATGTTTATTTAGGTCAAAAATGAATCTCTGGAAATACTAGTCAGAAGGTATACGTATAATATATTGTTTGAAAGCGGAGAATTTTAGAAAAAGCATATCTAATATAGAAAGTAATGGACAGTGACAACAAAGTAAAATAGTAATTTGTGAAAACTAATATTATTTAACTGAGATCCGACATTATATTTAAATAATTAGGAATATATCATCGATTTATTCGAAAAATATTTCTCTTTGTGTAATCACATTATACACTTTCAATTATTGTGACGACTTCTAACCTATCGGTGCTATATTTAAAAGCAAGTAACTATATTCTGGTATGTTCTCCAAGGGTAAAAAATTAGAATTTAAATACATGAAAAAAGAGATTTAGTGCATACAGTTATTACTATGTATTACGTTCCTTATTTATTCATAATTAAATATGTGTACTTTCAAATCTATCTTAGAGTATAGAGCTCAGAGACTGAAGTTATTCAAATAGACTTATGCAGTTCCATCTAAGGTCTCCATATACCATAAATATTATAAATAGGGTTTATGTTATTGTGACAGTCTTGAGTTTTTGTATTGATGAAGTGATTTTAATTGATATGTTGAATTTTTTTTTTTTCTGTTAGCATTGCATACCATGTAGATCTTTTACCGCCTTAACAAGCGTGCTCCATCTCTGCCGGTTATGTTGAAATATAAATTAAAAATGATGGCTTAATGGAGATAAGTACTTGATAGATGTAAACAAGTTATGTTCTATCTGTAGTTAGAAAAAAATTTAAAGTTTATTCCAATTATTATTTGATAGCCCACTTTTTACAAACAGTATCATTTAATTTAAACAAGGTTATTTAACTACAGTTTGGTTTTATGTTTTGGTTAAATCCTTTTATGATTGAAGGTTTTTTTTTTTTTTAATATTATAATATCGTTTATTTGATGCTACATATTTTATTGAGATGTTATTTTTATCTATTATTTGTTCATAAAATTTAGGCTGAAGGGGAAATTTCCACATTACTGGATGTTTTAATAATTAATTATTAAATTTAATAATAGTAATTAATTAATAGAACTCGGTATCTAGGAATGAATGAAATTTTTTGCTATTTCTCTTAAATTATTTCAAATTGTCATAGACTTATGTATTACTAATTAATAATTTCAGGTGGCACAACAGTCAATGTGGGGTGGTAGGGAAAACGACTGTCAAAAAGGTATTAACTTTGCCAGTGTTGCTGCAACTGGAGCACCTAATTCCTCAGCATCCCAATTACCACCTCCTTCGAACAAGTACCTCGACCCATCACCACCTCAGGTAGGTTTTTATTTACCCCACATTATATTTTATTATTATAAATTTAACATAAAATGAAATGTTGTACTATCTGCAATGTTTCTAAGATATGAAATGAAAAATTACTTAATTCTGGAACAAAGTTCCTTAAGAATAAAATTAACATAGTGGCCAAAACAGTGTGGTCATACTTATTAATTTAACTATATAAAAAAAAATGAAAAGACAGCATAAAGGATATGAATATGCTGTTTTAATTGTTAATAATTTAATTTTGACACTACTCATTTCCTATTTAAGTGTACTGGTCAATGTATTATTTTTTTTAACATGATTGAAGACATGTTTTGCTATTTTGAACATGAATGTATTTATAATTGAAAAATATGTGCATTTTTAAATCATTTTATTTCAGTTAATGTATAATTACATATAGAATGAAATCTTTCTGTATCTACACATATTGAAGTTACATTTTAAAAATACTGACATAGTGTGAATGAAGAACTACTGGAAATGAATTATATATTTTTAACATTAAATTTGCCTATTGGGACATATTCAATCACCCGTGAAGAGACATCAGAGCTAGTCGTTGTTTTAAAGAAAAAACATCACTTTTAGCATGATTCTAATTGTATTTAAAGTAAATAAATCAAATTATTGAATTGGAATATATGATATGTTAGTGTTTAGGTAGTGCATAAAAAAAATCAAAGAAGAAAAAATGTAAACAATATTCTTTCGAATATATTAGAGTGTCCCATAAGTTTCTTCCTCCTTTTTTTTTTAATGCGAAATCAATAGATGATATTTTTTGTTTAAGATTGATTGACTGTGTTCTATATGAACTGTTCTGCTCTATTACCTTCTTCCATCTTCTTTTAATGTGAGAAATAAGTAATAATAGGATAGGGCAAGGTCTGGGGAGTATGGAGGATGAGGTAGAATATTTCAAACAAATTACTATGTTTTTCTCCCCTACTTTTTAGGCACTACAGGGGTTTTCCCGGAGCAGGGGTGAGAGCTGAGAATTAATGCAAGAGTTAAATTAAATGCCCCTCAGGGCACCTGGACGCGAACTCATAATTATTTTACTGTCCCCAACTTTGGTTATCAGATTGCCAGGCAACGCATGGTACTGTGCACAAGCGTTAGCCCGCTCGGCCACCTCCCCTCTGATCTCAAACAAACTGTAAGAGTTTCTTTCTCACGGACAACTGCAACATGCAGTCTGAGTACAGTTAGATTAGGACATTATATCTCATCCTCCGTACTCCCCAGATCTTGCCCCATCTGATTACTACTTGTTTCTCTCAGTAATAAATGTCAAAAATCCGAAAGCAAAATATGAACGCACCTTGATGAATATTTTGCAAGTAAGTCTCATCAACTTTAGAAAATGGTATAATTAGGCTTCCTGAGAGATGGAAGAATGTAATAGAGCAGAACGGTTCATATAATGTATAGGTGATTATTTAAACAGTAGTAAAGGTGAGAAAGCTACACTGACCCTATTTGGCAAACTTTTTTTTATTTTGATTTAGTTGTGATTTTCTGTTAAAAGAAACAAAATGTTTTCTAAGGTTTTAATATTATTTTTGTTTGTCAAATTTATCTATTTCTCGTTGAACATAATTAGTAAATCTGTCATTACTTCCCTCTGTTTTAAATTTACATAGTTATAATTAAATGTATGATTTCTAGGTGGATGCGTCTAAAGCTCCTGGCTACCGAGGAAATGTGGTCTGTTCACCCGTCTCTAAACCTGTCTCGGTAGCTGCTACTGCTCCTACTCCTTCGTACTTCCCCCCTCCCACGGACCTCCGACCACCTCCCCTCTACCAAGGTGGTGGCAATCAGGAGCTGGAGTTTCATCCGGCAGCATCTCGCCTCAACCCAAGGGCACCTGATTTTTCGACTCAGGCTATCAAGCCTGTCTACCCTTACCTTGGCCAGGTTTGTTTTTTATTTTATTATTTGGAATAATATCTTTTAAGTAGTAAAGTAGATTAAGAATAATGACAAGGTGTTAAAGTCAGTCGATTTCAAGCGAATTCTTTTATTATCATTATTTTAGAATTCACTTCCTGACTTTTGCTAGAAATATTCACCTACTCTAACTGAAATCAAGATTTAGGCTCAAATTTAAAACTATGTTTAAACACTTCCAGACAATTTTTGCCGTACAGAAATGCACTATTTTCTATCCTTCCTCCAAAACTTTTTCACGCATTATCAAATTTTCAACCGAGCTGATAGTATTATCTGGGATGAGGCCATTTCTGAAAATGGCTACCAGATTTATTTGTATTTGATCTATTCCATATAGTTACTGAAATTCCTAGCACATTCTTGATATTCTCTAATCTGTTTTGATACTGTTTAACAATATTATTATCTGTTAGAACAGTGATATTGACAAAGCAATTTTTTGTATTCCTCTGTATTAAGGCTTAGTTTGTTTTATCAATAACTATTTAGTTATCTGTAATCATTGAATGATCCAAATAAATTGTTCTGTTTTCACCAGACAGTATGGGCTTATAAGGATAATAAGGAACCTAGACTGCTATCATCTTATGTAATAAGGAAAATGATTAATGAGCATGAAGAACTAACCAAACACTAGCTGGTGAAAAAAAAAAATTAAAAATTGTGCCTCATAGAATATTTTTCACCTATTAAAGCTTGACATCCAAATGATATATGCTAGCTAAACCCAATAGCATTTTTATATAAACTACATTAGTCCCTTATATATTTCCTGTAACCAATGTGAAATCAATATTTGGCTAATTGACACGTCCAGTCATTAGAAAATGAGCCACATCACTGAATAACAGTAGTGGGTCTGAGGGACTTGAAACACATCAAGATCAGAAAGTATCAAGAACTGTGGTAGGAATTTCAGCTACTAGACTAGATCCCTTTACTAGAATAGATTTTAAAAAATTTATACCACTATAACCCATGACCCGTTGAGGGTCTTGGGTTCAATACTTTGTAATGAAGTGCTGTTTCATGGCCAACAGCAGTACAGGGAGGTGATCGAGCCGAGATCACACTCAACTATTTTCAATCTTAATCCACACCGTTTCAACCGTATAGATATCCGGTGGTAATTCCCTGCAATGACCTTATCGCTGAAAAACACAAGCTCATCTTAAGAGATGTGTTCAAGAAGTGCCTCACACCCATTTCTTCAAGAATTAAAATTTTATTCTGATGATTCCTGCACAATGGCCAACTTTTACATTTGAAAATGAAGTTCATCATGGAGAATTAGCCTCGGCAAACCAACGGAAATTTCAATGGCAGGCGCATGTTTTTAAACCAAATGTTGCCGAGATCACAAAAATAGTACCCTTACTGCTTTTATGTTCTTAGGTGAACTTATGAGACATGGATCTCTACTTCTTTTTTTTCTGCACAGGACCAGTTTTCCTGTACGTTGTGATCCACAAAAGAATAGATTTCCAGTCCGTGACAGAACCCAATAGCGCATTCATTATTAAAGCGATTTAGGAAGGTGCCCTGTTTTATAACCAGTTAACAAATTTTGAGAAAGTAGGACTCTACGGCAAACACATGTTGCTCATTATTCCAACAGACGATGGCGACTAATCCACAAGGTCACAAAACTTCAGGATTCTCTCTCTAAATCAAGACCAGCCCCTCTTGTGAGGGTTGTCTGGGGCTCCCTTAAGTTTTAGGTTACTCCTACATTTCAAAAAAATGAATTAAACTTGTTAAACCCTTCAAAAGTTAAAAGACCTGCGGATTTCAAAATTATGTGAATTTTGGTCAAAGAATATATGAAAATAACTTGCAGGAAACCTTAAACCTAATTTATTGGCAACTCATGCAAAGTAGATAAGAAATTTTCATTAATTGAAGAAGTCCAAGTTAAGAATCATAACAATGTACTTTATCATATTTGTCTAAACGAGTTATTTATTATACAAATATTAATCGAACCCAGACACTACTTGTTTCTTTATTTTTTATTTTTATTAGTTTATGGATTTTTTAAGGAGTTTTCAAACATTATCTTAATTTATGCTTTTGAATCTTCGGTAAGTTATATTGCTATTCTCTTTTCTAATTGTTGTTTTTAAATTTATAGGTGCTTCCTCCCGGCACGGGAAACATTTCTTTTGCCAGTGGCAAGTTCCCACCAAGAGGCGGTCAAGCAGGTGGTGTAGCGAGGTGGCCTTTTGCAGGACCGCCACCACCTGCACCACAGGCTCCGCAACAACCGCAGTATCAACCCGACCTCGATGCTGCATCCTCTCCTTCCTCACCTCAGCATGATGACAGGAAGATTCCGAGGCCCATAGGTACTTATTTTAGCTGGAAATCGTGAATTAGTAAAATTAACATCAGCCACTTTAAAAATATATCAACTATTCTCTTAAGTTAATCAGTAGTTAATTATCAACCAATAATCACTTTAATAATATAAATTATAAATAATTTGAAGTTTTTGAGAATTATTAGATATTTTGTTGCTGTTTTAGGTACCGAAAGGGCATCTTGGAAGAACTTTGCATCAAGCCAAGAGGTAGAGATGACACCGTCCTGGATGTTAGAGGCTGCCGCCGGTAAGATTCCAGGCTGGAACGGAATGGTGGCCCCAGCGCCCGGCCAGGGTGGAGGCTTGGAACGTGCGGCTCATCACATGTTCAGGCCTAACCCTCCCGCTGGAGTCCCGTTCTCCAGGATACCATTACCCGATGACATCTCCCATATTATAGACAATCCACCGTACCAAGTCAGTATTAACGATTTTATACATTTTTAAAATTTTCTATGGTCTTGTGCTTCTATGTCAGTTATACATAAAATAGATATGTATGACAAACTTAGTTTGGATAGATTGTTATTTTGTTCAACCTACAATTTTCCTCAGACAAACTCTTTAACACATGGTGAATGTCACTGTATTAAGCAGTGAATATATTTTCTAGATTAAGTGGAAAGTTGGTTTAGTCTTTTTCATCATCTCACATGAAATCGATATCGATCCTTTCTAAAATAAATAGCTTCAAAGGCAATATCTGTTAGTTTCTCTTTTCCTATGTGGTTTTTAGAGTAATCTAATGATTTTTTTTTTTTTATTCAAACCTTTATGCTTCTCCTTATTTCAGTTAACATATTTATGAGGTATATTTTTAAAAAAAATGCTTCCACAGACTGCATAATTTTGAGAATACTTATATTGAATTTAGATAGTGGATCTCTCAAATAATGCCAACAGTAGTGTTATTCAACAGTTAAACTTATTAAAATAATTTTGACAGTATAATGTGAAAGGTTGATTAAGCTATTGTGTTGTGTTAATCAAGGTAGATAACTTAGTTTGTTTATTGATTCAATTTTTTTAGGTTATTTGAGAATTGAGGATCATCTTTTGACTGAGAAAACATATCTTATTACCAGGTTGGCATATTTGTATTCATAAAAAGAAATATGAATACAGATAATCTGTATTCATGTTTATTAAAATGAATACGCTTAAATTTACTGAAGTGAATGGAAATATTTTCACGCAACCTTATGAATGAATACTGTTATTTATTAAATAAATTCTAATTTATTGTTATTTTAGGTATTTTCCAAAATAAAACTAAAATAGTATGCAAAAATTAAAATAAAGTTTCAGACAAGGGTTTATTAAGTAAATCTTCTAAGAAATGTTAGAATAATATTAAAAAATTGATATTTGCTAACTCGAATCATCTATACATAAACGATTAATTTTATTAAACATAAAATTGAAATTATGTTAAGGTCTTAAGAGGGCCCTAATTATGTAAACTAAAGTCAATTAAGAAAATTGGAAAAGACTAGATGACTAAGCTAATGTCTAGAAGTTCATACATAAGTATTTTACCACTCTATGTTCCATTATAGAAATTTTAGTTAATATTCTAAGATAATTATATGTTGCAACATATCCTAAGATTTTATGTAAATTCATGAACACTTTTAATTTTTACGTGTAGATTTGAATACATTTCTGGCAGCAAATATAAAGGAATGAGTTCATCTATCCGGCTCAAACCTTTAATTACAAATAAAACTATGTAACTTATTCAGTTGGTTTGTTAACATATTTTCAAATGCAACCATACACACACAAAAAAGATATTTACCATATATATCATTTTACTTTTATATGTAGTATTACATTTTTCGTTTCACTATATTTTATTTTAATTATGTTACAATATATTTTGTAATATTAATTATCATTTGTAAGTAATATAAATTCCCAAAACTTATATATTTTTTTGTGTATCCATTGCTCCTCCCTCTCCTCTACCAGAATGAAAATTTTGTGTCGATGATTTTTTCTGTGCACTGTTTATTTATGGGTTTCTCGTGGCAATAAAGATAAGTTTAATGGAAGGTCAGGGTAGGTACAACAAGTCAGAAGTCTGAACGATACCCTGGAATTACGGGCAAGCTGGAAGCTAGGGAAGAAAGGGCAAGGGCAATCAAATTTGGATAGTGACCTTTCCGGACCTGCCGTTCGGTAAATTAATTAAGTAAAAGTGTGAAAATATGTGTTAGAAATTGTAGAAAGTAATTAAAAGACAATTTATAATACTTTTATTTTGTTTTTAAAATAATCTATACTTTATTAGCATCTTATTTTATTTATTATTATTATTATTTTTTTTTTAATTTACGAATGTGTATATACATACATATATATATCAAATCTGTTCTGATTAGATTAATTCAAATAATCTTAACATATTCATAATTATAATTTTGTGTTTAAGAAAATTAAATGTTTATGTATACATCGTTTGGGGTTAGCAAATACCAACTTTTAAACGTTACTTCAACTTTTTTTAAGAGATTTATTTAATAAACCCCTTACTGCCCAGAACTTTTGGAAAATACCTAAAGTAATAAATAAATTAATATTTATTTAATAAATAAGAGTATTCATTCATAATGTTGTGTGAAAATATTTCCATTCACTTCTGTAAATTTAAGCTTTTAATTTGGTGAATACGGCCGTATTTATATTTACACTTATGAATATGTTTCATCTGTTTTCATATTTCTTTTTATGAATTTTTTTTTTTTTTTTATTTATGACATTTACAACTGTATTACATAAATACATCAAGTAAATTTGGACATAATTGATATAATGACATGAATACACTTGCTGAGTAACTACCCAATGGTAGCACTCTAATGATATGACTACATTAGGAGATCACAGGGTTTATGAAATTAAATATATTCGTATTTATATTTTTGAATATAAATATGTCCACCTCTCCTTATTGCTAACTTTATTTTATTTTAGCTGTCAATCAATGAATTTATTCTTGATTATTAATAAAAAAATTTGTTTTTGTTTCAGAGTGGCCTAGACGGGAGCCAATACAACGGTGCACTCCTCCACAGCCTGCCCGTACTGGCGCACTATGGTTCTGCTGTCCCCGACCTCCATGAACCACAATGGGAGCCAACAAGGCTTCCTCCTATTCAGATCCAAGACCTCCATCCAGATAAAACCCACGTTAGTTTCTTGATTTTATTTTTAAACGGAATGACTACATTTTGTTCTAAATCACAAGTACAATTTTCTTTATAATCTTATATTTTATTTTGCTTTAGGGTTGGACGGCGAAATGGAGCCATTAAGTGCACACTTTCACAGATTACTAGTATATGCGGACAGGGTGGGGGACTGCTCCAGTGCGGTTGGTGAATACTTCACAGTGCTTCTTATTTTGTGTTGCTTTTTGCCCACACGCTAAGGGCAAATCCCCTTATAAACCGCTGTTCCCACTATTATTTAAGAGGATTCATTTATTTTGTAAATATATTATCTATATATATATATATATAACTATCTTTCTCTTTTCTCTCTTCTCGAATACGACTTATATAAAAGAAAAGTCACAATGTAAGTTTGTTAATTAAAAAGATTGATATAAAAGAGCTGCCACTTATAGTTATGTGACTATATACATATAATATATATATAGATTACAATTTTGAAAAGAATATTGGTATTTGATTATATTTCCCATTTTCAGGTAGTGAGTGTAAATGCTTCTTGTACTATTTTATTTTTTCTTTTCCTTTTTTTTTCTTTTTTTTTTTTTTTTAGTATATGGGATCTTATGGTCTTGTGTTTTTCTATTGTTTTAAAGATATAAAGGAATTAAAATTAAAAAAGAAAGAAGCAAATATTTCAATATTGTGAACTGCTATACTATGTCTAGCTTGTCAAAGATGAAAAGAATGATATAATTCTACTATTATACCACAGTAGTACGGCTGCGAATTTAGGGGTAATGGAGGGGCCTGGTCTGTCCCAGAATTAGTCAGGTTAGGAATTTAAATGTGCCAGAGCTAGTGAGAACTGGTTTTTACCAGGGCTAGCTCTTTTGGACAATTATGTATCTATATTGCTTGTACATGAAGACTAAAAATATATCTTTATGCACTGACTCCTTGTTTTAATAATGCTACCCTTTTTTTTTTTTTTTTTTTTTTTTTTTTTTTTTCTATTTACATTATTAGGGATTTAGAACTGCATTATTAGAACATGAAATTCAATCTCAATTAATTATTTATGATAGATATCCAGTACTCTGCTGGTATTTATAACATGTACTTAAGCTATCTTGGAAGATGCTGATTTAAAACTTAACGAAATTTTACTAAACTAATTGAAATTTTGCTTTGAATTTTTTCACATTAACGGTTTATAGGAGCCAGAAATTTACTGCTAGAAGTCAAGTCTTCATAAATTTTTTTAATCAACTTCATGATTTAAAACAAATACTTTTATAAAAATCTATACCTATTATTGTTTGTTAATATAAACAACAGCTCATAGTAACAGTAGTAATATGTTATTAAAAGAGAAAAAGGAATGAATTTGACAGATGCAATAAACAGTAAAAAAACAGCCGATCAAATAAACAAAGGATGTGGAAGCTGACCTCAGGGAACTCTGCATTTTAGAAGAGTTTAAGTTTAACTAAATTAGCAAAGCACAAATTTGTATGCTGTAAAAACTCAATATGCAGTATTCAATGTTTTTTTTTCTGTGAAGAAAAGAATAATATACAGCTTAAGTATTCAAATTAGAACATAATGAGAAAACCAAAATTTTATATTTATTAATGTTTATAAACCTAAATATATAACACTTTTCAAAGACTAAAATATCTAAGTTATACTTAGTTGGAATTAGCAACCAAAGAAATATAGATGTTGATAATTTTACATAAAAAGGATTAATAATTGACATACACAAATAAATAAAAAGTAAATGGTTAAAACACAAATTAACACATTAGAAACAGTAAGTATATTGAAAATAGTGTGATAAACTTTTTAAAAACTAAAATAATTAGAAACGTACAATTATTAATAAAAAACAAGTAGTAATGATTGTAAGTGATGTACATTACAATTAATTAATTAACATATACATTTATTTCTGTAAAACACGATCTTTCTTGATCATGAGATGTGATAAAAGTAAATTAATATCCACTTAAAATTATTGACTCGGTTTTACTATAAACTTGTTTTGGACAATAGTTACAAAATAACTACTTATCCTTAAGTTTTGAAAACTGTTACATCTTTGAATTTGTGTGAGTTGGGCCAATCTTTCAATATTAAAGAAAACTATAGACTTATTACAGTAAGAATTTATTTTAGAAATTATTGTTTATTTACAATGCACTATGTCATAATGTTTATGTGCAATGACATTTAAACAGTAAATACTACCTCTTGTAACGAAACTAAGAATGCAAATTAAACTGATACAGTGTGGTATTTAAAAGAGATAATGAGAAATTTAAAAAAAAAGCCAGGAAACTAAAAATCCATATTCTAAAAAGTCAATTTTATAATATTTTTAGTTAATTAAAATAATCAAAATATACATTTTTCATATTTTATAAGCAGTTTAAAACTGCATGCAAACAAAATATGCAATTATATTAAAATTGAGACTCTGTACATCTGGCAAGCAGTGTGAAGATCGAAGTCCTCAATAGACCAGTGAAGAAGAGGATGTTTATTTACTTGAAACGCCTATAGGCAAGAAATAGATTAACTTTTTGAGGTAAAGTGCCCATAACCATATCACCTTCCAACTTGAATTATGAAATAGGTATTTTTTGTGATCACCTCAACTTTGAATTGCTGGTAAATTAAAAAGGAACATAAGTAAGGAATTATTGTCCTCCAAGTATACTTATACCAAAAATCTATATCTTGATGTGTAAACTAGTTTTCAGTAGGTCTCTTGTATCTATGAAATAACCAGTTAATTAAAACTAAACCCTTTTATTTTGCATAACGATGTAGTAAAATTAAAATGCTCGTTGAGGTGGTTATGACTCTCAAAAAGTTAATAAATTTATTTTTTTAAATAAAGTTCCAGAGTATTCATTATGTACAATCATTACACCTTATTAATTTTAGAAAGATTTAACAAAAGAAGTTCTGTTGGTGAAATGCACACCCAAAATAAGAAATCTATTCAGGTTGACTTACTTAAAATCATTTAAACTAACTCACATATCATAACATAACCCTATGCTGTATTCAAAAAATGTTATCATAAAACTCCTGGAAGAAATTCCATTTTCTAATTAAGTTGCACAGCAATAGAAAGAAGTAAAAGGTATGTGTGATGAGATGAAAATCAATTACATCAGAAATTGTATTATTAAATGATCATTTGAAAATTTAGTTTACGTTTTGAAATCCTGAAATATTGAACACAAAAATAATGGAAAGGAGTTAGCTTTAACTTTACATAATTTCCATTAGAAAAGTTATAAATTATTGGGATGGGTTAAGTTAACTTCTGTGATAAGTTATGTTCATAAGTTTCATCCCCACATATTTTTCGTTTTATCTTTAAGGGAAAGAAATCATTAACCTTAAGACTTATAAATTCATTACTCACTTACATTGCAGTCAAATGATGGAAAAATGTTTTAACTTTGCATGTGTAAAAGAAATCCAGTCAATGAGGGCAAATTGGTCGGGAGACTATTTTAATATTTTGGAACTAACGAGAAAAAAAGAGCCAGTACTTAATACTTTCATTCTGGGATTCTAACTTCTAACCTGGGCTCCACACCTGTAGTAAATCATTTGTCCCCCAATAATGGACCACAGGTGTGGACTGAATGTTTGGGAATGTTGCCATATTGGTGAAAGTGTTGTTGGTATTAGCAGTTCCTGAGCACTTAAGTAAGGGATTTGCTACTTTCATTTGTCCCATATTTGTATGCTATCCATTCATGTATCGAATCATTTAGTTTTACCTAAATAATTTGTTTAAAACTTTGTTACTTTTTTATTAACCCATGACAAGTTTCACCAAAATGTTTAATTTCCTTTTATTGAAAAAGTCTCATGTTATTCAATACAATAAACAAAAAGATCTATGTACTCTAGAAGAGGAAATAGTTATGAAATTCAAAAATAAAAATCTTAACCATAAGTTCCTAAATTAATATTCCTGGAAGAGAAGAAAGTAGTCCCTTTTTGTTAATTTTTTTCTCAATTGAAGAACTATTTAAGTTTGGCCAACAATGTTGATTGAACACCTTGCCATATGTGTGGATGTCTTACTGGCTCATTGATATCATAAATTATACTTGACCAACATTTGAGTCATATATATATATATATATATATATATTGTTGGACTATTTCGTACCAGTGACAATTATATTAGCTAGGTGTTAAATATATTTCTGATTGAACTACTCTTGTTCATTGTTCTACTTAATTACAGGTTCTAAGAAATATTCTCTCGCTTTATTGTATATTTTAATATTCATAGTGCAATAAAAGATTTTCTACTAAGTCACTAATCTAGTTTCCATCAGATACTTATCATTTCCTTAATTCTCTCTCCTTTGTAATAATTTTGAAATAAACTAATTCTGATGAAGTGAAAACCTCTAAAAATAAAAATATCTCCCAATTGAGACATATTTTAAGATGGCTAGGCCCTTGATAAACTATAATACCTAATTCAAAGATATAAAAACATTTACTTCCTTACCCACAGAGTAATAGAACATACCTTCCCTCCACTATCTGTATAGTAAGGAAATAATTTTAATTTTTAAAAAATACTACTGTACTTAATAGCAAAACTATCTTATAACCTTATCCATCCTAATGGATGAAACATACTTGCGTATCTGCTTAAGCACATTTAGGTTGGGAATTATCTTGACATCCTTAATATCGGAACTTCCAGTAGTGGTCGGAAGTCTTCAGCCCCAAACAAAACTTCAGAAAATACATTAATATACTTTCTGAATGTTTTATACACCGATGCATGCAAGTTTTCTGAATCTTGACATGTATTAGATGCTTATGACAAAGTGTGCTTGCAAGGAAGCGTAATGTGTTGTGGAAGGCATCCGACTACTCTAAGCATCAATATTGATAGATGTCAATTTCACAACAATCTTAACCAATGTTTTAGATAGATATATAGGTACATTCCATCTATAAGGATGGGCACGGGTATTTTCATAGTAGCTGTTATATATAAATCAATAGAATGTTTTTAGCTTCAAAGTATTAGTAATTTATATTGACAACATATGATTATGAAGTTGCTAAACAAAAAAAAGAATATAAAAAAATATTTTTTAGTATTTTGAGCTCAAATTGTTTAGAACGCTTACAGGAATTGTTCTTAAATTTGTAAATTACTCTTATTGAGTAATTTTGAGGCATCAAACTTAAAAATCAGTCAAGGCATTTGTTCGAAAAATCATTATATACCCTCCATAAAATATATTTAATACCACAATTTTTCGGCTTATAATGTATTCAAACACTCACAAATTATTTGTGCTATTAACCTTGAAAATTGGTAGAGTTGTTAGCTCAAAAAATCATTACCTACCTACAAATAGTCAACCTAAACAGATTATTCTCTTTTACTTTGCTACATCAGATAATAAATATAACTAAGTCCGTGTTTTTATGTATAAATTTAACGTTTTATCTAATGTTATTTATAATATAGAGGTTGAGTTATGAGTTAAGTTTAACTTTAACAATTATTTTTTTCTAATTTGATAGGAATATATATTTCTGGAAATATTTCTTTAAGAAGTATAACTATAAGCCAAAAGACTAAAGAGGTATGCAAAAACAAGAAAAGAAAAAAGCATTAAGAATCTAAAATAATTTATTGTGAAAATAGTAATAATGGTAACAAATTCATGTTCATTATATTTATAACTAAATAAGGAAGTACATCTTACATGAGGAATTCAAAGAAATTTAGCTGCAAGTACAGTGCTGGCTTACTTATCCTTAGAAATTGAAAAATAATTAGCAATGAAATAAATAAATTAAAAACAAATGAGGGACTGTTCTATTTTAACTTAAGCTTTTTCATTTAGCTTCAGTTTCACTGACTTGAATTTTGATTTTGTCGACAAATCGCCACACATTTTCATAAGTAACAAATGTTATCATTGTAGCAGGTACTACTCTACAAAGATTAGGTGTCAAACCTTTGTAAAAGCCCAGAAATCCCTCGTACCTGCAAAAAGTTCAAAAGGAAAGTACTTTAATGTTAACCTCAAAAGGAATGCTTTTACTTTTGGTATTTTTTGATTTATTAATGCTAAATATTCATAATTTAAGCTAAACATTGCCGGTTTCTAGTAATTTATTTTAAATGATGCAAAGCCAATGATTAACTACTTTGAATTTTACATTTATTAGAATGAAATCATGCATTTCTATAGAATTGTAGAGTAATAAATTAATGAGAAATTTTATTAAAAACCGAATCTCTTCCATATTTTTTTAAAATAAATAAATAAATGGGCGTATCACAATTTTTTATAAATATAAACAAACCCTTACAATTCGAACTTAAAACCAAAATAACAATCAAGTAGAAAAAAAAGCAAATTAAAATGGAGTAATAAAATATCACAAGTAGAATGATTTATTTTAAGGTACAAACACCAATTCGGCTCATACAGGAAGTAAGCACACAAGGATTTATAAGCAGTCCCCGCCTGCAGGCTTGCTTACAATAAATAAATAAATGTCACAGTTTCCACAAATTCACAAGGAAAGAATGGTTCATACGCACAATATACAAATATAGTAACTGGTGATACAGATATCATCAGGTTTTATATTATTTTATTTATTTTTCCTTCCATTTATAAATTAAATTTTTATACCTTTCTTTCCAAGTTGAACAGACACAAATATTCCATAACATATAAGCTAAATTACATTCAGAAATTAACTATTTAATTTTAACTATTCATTATAGAGAATGGATAAACTGAAAATATTTTCAATCATCACAAAATTTTCAGTACTCCTACTGAAAATTATTCAATTCATAAAATTAACATACATAGGAACTAGTATTCAATAACAATGAGTGTTAATTATTTTTTAATCTGTAAATCCTAATAATATAAACTATTCACTGATACACTTAACCAGTCAGTAATTAACAAAGTTTGATCATTTAAATTTTGAAACATTTAATCCTACATACGATGAGATTACAAGCATCTACAGAATTAACAAAATAAGTAATAAAGCTTCATCGATTTAACCAACAGTTTAATTTAACATATTTAAAGGATTGTGAAGGAAAGAAGGGAGAAAAAATAAAATAAGCTGCTGAAATTAGGACATACGGAGCGATTGGAATTTTAAGTAATCAGATTTATCATAAACTTCAAGCAGGGAACTAAATCCTAACCCAATGAATCAGCAATAAAAATTTTATTTTTTTTATCGTTAAAATTTTTGTGAAAATTGATATGCAGTCATTCAAGCAGTCGATATTATTTTGTTTGATTGGTTGAACATTTCATCTATTTTCATAAATGAACACCAATTTGCATAAACCATTATATATTGTTATTTTTGAAATAATAAAGTGTATTTAAAATTTTGAATCTCCATGAAAACAGATGTAAAATGTTAATGATGAAATAAATAGAAAAAACTATGGATGAATCTCTTACCTTTAATAATGCATTTAAAAAAATAATAATATTATTATATACGGACTACAAAACAAAAAGAATAACTATTATTGACTAATTAAATATTTGTTCCAATTCACCTCTTCTTTATTATATAAATTTTAAAAAAATTTAAAGTGGCCTGAGAGGAAAAATCATGTTATTACTCGTAAAAACATGTCATTATTCATTGTTTCAATGAATAATTTTACAATATACAGAAAATTTTATGAAAAATGAACAGATATGTTTAAGAGTTTAAACACCAAATATACTGCAGAAAATAATATGATCAATAATTTATAGAAGTTAAAATTACAATTTAACGATAGTTGTCTTTTTTCCTTCACTATATCAAAATGCTTGTTTATAAATTCCCAATAAATTAAGTAGTAATAATTATTTACAACAGGTAACAAATGACATAAGGTTTAAGGCCAAACAAATGAAAATACCTCTAGATGTCTTTTTAAAAGGGAGAATAAAAAAAAAACAGATATGTCTGATTTTGGGAAAAGGAAACCTAGCTTGTGTCAGTGAACTTCTCATAAATGATGAAAACGAGGCAGATATTGGGACAGACGTGGAGAAGATAAGGTAAAAGCCCTTTGTAGAAACCCCTGAGACCTTCGTACCTCCAGGTCTGACGAATGCAGTCCATTGAACCTGCATAGGAGTGGTATTGATCCTGCAGGCGAGCCCTTATGACCTGATAAGGGTAGGTTACGGAAGCAGCTATCAGCTTACTTGTAGCAGCGAAACCGAGATACTCCATAGTCCCCTAAAAGTTAAAAAAGTATTAAAGATTCTGTATAGAAGGAAACACTCATCATTTTATAGGACAAAACATACTTTAATCCTATATTTGGAATAATTTATCTGAGAGAACAATGATTAAATGAAATAAACTATAATAAAAAAAAAATTATCTTTCAACGAGTTTAACTCTTATAACGCATATTTATTTAGACATCTCAATAACTTTAAATTCACCTAAACTAGATTATAAATAAACAATTATCAACCAACGTCCTTTAATGTAGTTTAGAACCAGGTGTTTTGTTGTCTTCACATTTAAATTACACTGATAATATTAATTACCAAAAATTATATAATATAAATGAGGGTCCTAGTTATAATGAGATACAAGGGCATTTTGTGGGAAAAAAAAATTAGTTGGTTGCATGGCTGTTCTATCCACTCAGTACTGTATTGTGGCCAATTACTAATCTCTATACAAATATTAACTGGGTTTTGGAGATAGAATTTTCATAGAAAAAGTCTTCCATAACCAAATAATGAACCTCAACATTGAAGAAATCTGATATAGTATTTATACAAATATTTTTCAACATTATGAATATATGAATTGGTTGCAAAGTGATATCAAAATAATCATTTTAATTGTACTACAAGTAATTTAAAACATTTTTAGGTATAGTAAAAATCTGTTTCAAATATAACAGTGGCTTTAGAAATAATGAAAGACTTCTAAAAAAGAAAGTTCACCAGTGTAAAAAAATTACTACAATTACAGAACAGGTTTAACTTAACCATCGTTTCCTTAAAACTTAGCTTTTACCATTTATAATACCTCTTAGCTTCTATAGGCCCCAAATATAAATCTAATGTTGATTCAATTGAAACAAAAAAAAAAAAAGCTGTAAAGAGCTATGCTTTCATTTAAGCATTAAAGATAAAAAATACACTTATAAGAGTATTAACAGAAAATCTATTCAGTGATAAAATATTTTTAAAGATCCATAGATTAATTAATATTCATTTTATATTAACATTCATGTAGCAGGTCCTCAGATCTCTGAATATTGCGACTGTAGAGACCTAATAAGATATTTGCCAACTGATATTATGTTTATAATTGTGGGTTGGGTTTTGCCATTTTTATTTCTGACTGATCACCCCAACCATCCTTCTCTTCTTCATTGGATATTATGTCTACTGTAATAATTAATAATAAATCAAGTCACAATTAAGTTATTCCATCAACGAGTTGTCTAATATAAGTTCTACCATTAATTCTAATGCTTGGCTTCAACAATTTAGCAATGAGGATAGGATTGTAAATGAGGAAAAAACCTATAATTCAAGTGTGAGATAACTAATTCTCCCACCCTAAGTCCAATAGCTTTGCCCACCTGTTTTACATTTATCTGAGACAGCTATATGCACTGTTCCATAACTTTTTCATCTTCATTCTTCCAGAGCAGTTTCATTATTTTGTGTTATAATTAAATCTTCCAATAAAAAAAACTTGTAGGTCTTGAACATTCTAATTTTTACAAACAGACTGTTCTTCAAAGTCACCGGGATTTTTCACTAACTCAATGTATAAGGTATCCTTCAACCAACGGATTAGTGAAACGCAATGTTGGAACAGATTTGTAGCAATGAAGGTAAAATTTCTTACAACCCATCAGGAAGTAAGAAAGGAAGGGCTATCCCAAGCTGTGCAGTTCTTCAATATGCAATCAATTGGATGCTCTGAAGCCTATAACAATTCTAAAACAACCAAATCAGCACAGCTGCAAATGGGAGCGAATAAAGAATATGAAGAAAATAGGCCAAATGCCATTATTTTATATTTATAGTAAAATTGAACGAATGGATTTATATTCAAATGTCAAGTCAATTAATAAATCCAGTTTCAAATAAAGAAAAAGAGAGTGACATTTGCAGACAAAGATTATCCACATCCTGAAGAAATTCATCAACTGCTAAGTTTTAGTCTGCAGGAATCCATGGAAATCCACCCTTTCCAGTATTCAAGAAGGTAATGAAGAACTGTCGTTCCTCCAGACCTCATCAACTTTCTAGATATCTAAATGAATACAAAGTTTCTGAACATTTCAAAAAAGTATGAAGGAATCATAGTGACCTAGTATTTGTTTTTAAACAAAAATGTTTTCCTGATATTGTTCATACTTCAAATATATTAAAAGAAAAGAAGGATATATATAGAAAGCAAGAGTTGTCACACAGGTATACTACATATAACATGAAGTTATAAAAATTGTGAGTAGAAATGCAATTTGTGTCCAATAGACTCTAAATACAGATATTTTTCAACTAAAAGTACCAAGTCGTAGAATTTAAAACATCTGTCACAGTTGGGTAAGTATTAATACTCAACAAAAAATTGGATAAGAAATGAAAATAAAGCCACATAAAAACTTGACAACAAAGTAGCCAGGTGTGTCCGAAAATGTACACAGGCATTCTATCTCAAATGAAAAGGGCCCATTTGCAATTTACCTGTGAACAAGTAACTTAATTGAGTAAACATAATTGTCAACATTCTATTACTTCCAGGATTTCATCTACAATCTACTGAAGTCCAAATGATTTTGAAAACAACTATCTTGGAGTAACGATTATGAATAAGTACCTAGAATGTATCTAAGTTTCTAGGATAAAAAATATTACTAAGAACAATCAATACATTCTTACCAGTTTAGCATCTATAGGAGCATTCTTATATTGATTGTAGAAAGTTTTCATTTCTTCATATGCCATAAATTGAATAGCTCCATGAGATACACCAAACATTCCTGGCACAAAACCCTGTAATGTTAATAATTATAAAAGTGTGAACAAAATTTGTCACTCGAAATGTCAATTAAAATTATATAAATTATGTTAATGTTGTATTTTTCTTTACCCTGTACAATCCTCGAACACCTTCAAGTCTATAAATTGTCATAAGCGCATCTACCATACCAGCATAGCCACTCCCTGCTTGGGGTTTTGCATTGGAATATTGCAAACATAACCTGTTCAAAAAATATTAAATACCCTTTTAGGGGTATAAAGACAAGAAACATCAACTCTGCTCAAAAAGAAAGCCCATAAGACTTCCACTTTATGGTTATCCTTTCAAAAAATTTAAATTAACACTAAACATACAACTACAAACAATAAAAACGTTAGCATGAAACTTATAAATTACCTGGTCTTTACAACCCAAACAGGGTTTGTCATAATTAAAGTCAATACACCAGCCTGTGCTGCCAAAAGCATATGCATCGAAGGGCCAAGAGGAGTTTTCGAGTTACCACCTTGAACCCATGTCTTTATTGAATTGTAACTGAAATAATGAGTATGTTAAACTTGTATAGTTAATCAACTATAACTAATAGACAATGCTGAACATGAATGCTTACAACAGAAAATAAAAACCCCATGCACTTCCAGATCCCCAAACATTGGGAGTAACTCCTTTATAAAGCCCTCGTAATCCCTCTTGGCGGAAAATTGTAGTGACAGCATTCCGAAGACCATCATACTGAGGAGTGGGTGATCGACCATCACACACTGTTTAAAATATCAAGTAACTAAAACTTTATTACATAAAAAAGAAGGCAAAGAATAATAGTGAATAATGACATACCTGCAAAACGGATTTTGATCAAGTCCAAAGGATGAAGTATGAGGGTTGAAGCTACACCACCTGTTATTCCAGCAATCATGTGCTCATATTTCACATGCTGAAGAACACTTTTAGCAGTGCTAGTTGGAGAAGTGTATGTTTTTACAGATGTCATTTCGAATTTTGTTTCAGCACTGACAGTGACATTATGATCAGCAATGGTTAAAATTTATGACACAAAGGTATCAATGGTGATCAGAAGGCTTGTGATAACTAACAGAACTGAAGGCTAAATTATTCTTTTCCATTATTCTAACAACCACACCTAAAGGAATAAAACAAATATAATCACACAAAAATTCGAGGCATCCTAAAGAAACACAACACCTTAGTAATGATAATCCGACAACAGCACTAAGTTCGAACTAAATAGATGTCACAAAGAAATCGAACGTGACCTAGGCTGAAATTAAGTTTTTGCACTGCCTACCAATAGTGAAGTTGCTATTATTTGCTACAGCTGATCGTCACATGATGCAACTTTCTGTCTGATTGCAAAATAAGTAGGATCTTGCTTCAAAAACTGAAAAATATTATTTTTGTGTTATATTAAGATTCTTAAATTTATACACATTATGCTCCTTACATGTTTTTAAAAGGCTTTTCTCATTTTGTATATAAGTATAGGCTTAATTTTTATCTTGATGAGATTGAAATAAATATTTGTTTTAATTATTCAATTAGCTAATTAAAATTTGTAGTAAATGTGGCATAAAAAATTAACCCATTAACGATATCTTGTTAAATATAATATACTTGTGATAAGAAAATAATAACCTGATAACAAACAACCTTCCGATTGTCTTACGAAAGTTGAGTTGTAGTTATTTTTATCTTCTCTGAGAAAATAATGTCTTGCAAAACATTATTCAGTAACAAACTTTACTCCAGACTGATAAGTCTTCCTGGTATAAATATGAGGCGAGTGATTTACTTTAATAGCCTAGAGAGTCAGTTATCTATTTTTGACATTATTAGTGCACAACACATATTTACTATGAATTTTGAATAGATTTTTATTGATAATATTAATTTTACAGTCAATCTTCTTATTCCACTGGTTTGGGAGATCTGGGTAGTGGTGCAGGACAGGGGGGTGGAGATGGAGGATCAGTAAGACAGGCTGGAGGTAGCTTTGGAAAAAGAGAAGCTGGATTAGAAGGAGAATATTTTAACAGATTAGTAAGTTCCTTTTTTATTCATTGGTAATGATGCTTCTGATTAATCAAATAATAATAATATAACAATGTAGAAGTAAAATGTTTGATAATGAAAAATTGTTATATTAATTAAAGGGATAGGAATATGTACACGTATTTTGAAACTTTACCTATTAATATATTTAGAATTGAAACAAAAATATAACAATGAGAAGCCTTCAAGGTGAAAAAGAATACAATCTAAAACTGTTTTCATCGTAATATTTTTACACTTCAGTTGCGGTGATGGAAAATGAAAAGTTATCTTTACCTCTCCTTTTTCTTTCTTTTTTTTTTTCATAAAATAAAATTATAAATTCTACGACGCCATTACAGTTGTATTATATTTCAAACTAATAATATCAAATCAAATAATATCAATCTTTAAAATTAAAAGACGTTAACATTTCTCTCCTCCTTTTTTTACCAAATAGTTCAACCAATACCATACATCATCATATGTCTTTTTGTTTGAATTTGACATTCATGGAATTGAACATAATTTATTTTCTATATTGATTTGTTTTGCCATCAATAAAATTTTTAATTGTAATTTATTAATTTTTATTAGTGCCTAATGCAACAAAAATCTTAAAAGATGTTGAACATAAATTTTAATTATTGTTATGAAGGTTATGCAGCATTTCAAAGTAAGTAACTAAAGATTACAGCAAACATAAATCCTCCTTAAGTCTGTGGTGAGAAGTTACTTAACTATCAATAGTGAAAAACTATCGAATATCGCTCATCCCTAGTTCAGGGTGTTCCTATTATTATTATTATTATTATTAAGATGGAAATATTGAATTGTATATCATAATTTAGTAAATGGTTTGGTAATTATTCCAAAGAGCACTAGAACCTACTTTACAAGCATTGTTCCACTTAGATGGCTGATTAAGAAGATCTTATGATCACATTATCAATGCAATTTCAAAAATGGCTGAGGGTCTCTAAAAGTTGATGGAAATTACAAAATGGCATGATAAGGCACTCAACCTAACTGAAAAAGCTTCCATTAGGGGTTTGTTCACAGGCGGATTTACGGGGGGGCTTTCGGGCTGAAGCCCCCCCCAAAATGGTAAAATGTAACCATGTTTTATGGTAAAAAATATAAAAAAATTATGTCTTAAAGCATTATTGCTCGTTTAATTACATTTAGTAGGGCTTCAAGAATCACTTAAACACCATTTCATATGGGTAGTTAGTATCTTTCTGTTTTTCCAACGTAATTATCGTTATATATATGAAAAAAAAAAGCTTCCGGGCTGAAGCCCCCCCCCAAAATTAAATCCTGGATCCGCTAGTGGGTTTGTTTATCGCTTTTGAACAAGTGTAATGAGCAGAAATCAAAGCTAATTCAGGTTCCAGCACATTGAACACATTGTCAATACTCAGCCATTCTCGGAATTCCATTTATTGTGTGATCATGAGATGTTATGACCACCCATCAAAGTGGAGCAACACTTCTGAAGTGCTACTTCGCAATTGTCACACCAACATGGTTGGTGGGTCAACACTGTATTAAACATAACAAGAGTGTCCAGAACCTATTGATCACACTGTGCGTGGAATTACAGAAGTAGATACAGGTGACCAATCCCCATGGCAATGCCCCATCCTCAATTGAAAAGGACATATTGGGGGTTTATATCTCTTGTGAGGAAGCAGGAGATTGTAAATAAAAATATTGCAGTTCTATAAATCATGTATTAAATTAATTTTATATGTTGGTTGCGCTTAGTTAAATAAATAAGAAGGTTATTTAGCAATTAAGTGTTGTTTCTTTGTTCCAAATATCTTATATCTGTATTTATTTGAGCTAAAGTGTTTAACTATGGACAATCTCTAAGTGTGTTGACTTCTGTAACTTGTGTAGAAAGTTAGATTAAATTAATTTTATTGATAGGTTTAGGGCCAATTGCTGTATTAATTAGGTTTAGTTCCTGTCTAATCCTTACTTACCTAATCAGGGTATATTACTTCCAGAATTAAATGAAGCCAAAACTAACTCATTCTGAGTCCTGACAGGAATCTTGAACCTGAAAGGTAAACTTTTTCAACCGTAAGGTATGATAGTTCATTAATAAAGTAGATTAGGTTGAATTCAGGGTCACATTAGCTCTTGACTCAGGAATAGATATGTAGAGTTTTTATCGCATCCAACATGCTATTCATAGAAAGAATTTCTCATTTAGAAAAGTGATCCATGACCTAGGAAAGATAAGAAATCCGCCTACAGAGGATCCTTAACCACCATCAACAGATTGTTAATATTGTCAAACCAGTATCAATTGATTGAGTTCATGGCTTGAAGCAATACTATTCTAGAGGTAAATGGTGCAACAGTTCCACAGAAATGTAACAACTTGATTGGAGTATATCTGGTTCTGGCTTTTATCACCTCTAACAGAGACAAAAAAATTCTAATCAGACCTATTTAAGAAGTTAAAGGAACTTAAGCAATTTTCATTTTTACACCAATAATGATCCATTTTCTAATACCTGTTTTTATGTACAAAAGTGATATTTTTGAAAATGAAGTCACTTATATGTTTGGGTGTCAACAATCTTATGACGATCTGCATCAGAAATCAAATTTTATCCATATGATCTTGTTTATTTTGTAAGTTTTAAGTTTTAATAATATATAATATTATTACAGGTTGTAATCTCATACATGTTAAGAGTGATGTTCGTGTCCACAAATTAAAAGATCTAGGTGTTCATTTGCTTTGATTGCCATATCTCATTGGCCTTTTAGTTGGTGCTTATTATGTTATAATATCAATGCCGTTACAATTTTCACATCCAACATCCTTTTGTTTTTTCTGTTAATATATTGGTAACATATGTGTGAGAAGTTCTCAATTTTTTTTTTTTTTGCTTTGCCACTCTTGGTGGCCTAAAATACTTTTGCTGCCTCCTTCTCAGACTAAAAAAAATCATATGTCCCTTGTCGTGCTATAGATATTTTGTGTTAAGGTTGTCCTTAATTATTGAATTTTTGCCATCTTTAGTATAATATATATAAGGCAAATACAATTTGCCCAGACATAATCTTAAATTAGGTTGAATTTAATTATAATATTTGTAATAAAAAAATAAATAGTAATTAATGAATTTTTAGAATATCTGTTCACCAAATTGACGATTTCGACCTTAATTAAATGTTGTTACTATAGCACGAAACCCTGGTCTAACTAATTTGGGTTAACTGAAATTTTATTCATGTTTTTCTAGATGTAACCAAATTTGTTGGTATGTATCATGATGTGAAAAGTGATGTATTTATTGAACTGAATGAACTATTTTGTTTACTTTTTAATCAATTAAATGAAGCTTCTTGTGAAAGGATGCTTTATACTTTAGCTGTTTTAATACCAAAGAGTCGTCATTTCAGTTCATTAGGATTTTATTTTTTTTACACTTCATGCCACTGCATAAAGAATATTAGAGGTTAACACTCCCTAATTTTTTTTCTTTTTTTTTTTGTTCTTCCCTACCTCGCCTTTTATGCTATACGTCTTCAGTGACTCTGCATCCAAGTCCTGTTTTATTTTGAATGAATGAATGAAAAATAATTTTATTCTGGGACTGAAGTCCCCTATCCTATTTAAGCAGCAATTGTCAATAAGTTGATTTATCACAATGTTATTTCATACATGTCCAATGTGTTTTATACACTTGATGTTTTTTATCTATTGGGTTGCCTAAATATGATGTAATACCAGTTCATGTAGAATATTATCGGTATTTAATTGTTAAAAGATGAACTTAGAGTGTTTCGGAAACTTAGACTTAGGTGTGAACAAATGACTTATTGCTAGAACCCTGAGTACAATTACTAACGTTGTTTATGAGATTAATAAGACAGATAATTTTTAATGAGCAACAAGGCTCATAAAGTATATTTTTAGTTACAATACAATACATCGTTTTCAACATTTGTTTTATTTTTTATTCTAAATCGATCCATAAAAATATAAATAACAAGGTATAATAAAAATATTCATATTTACATTAAATACTCTTAACTTTGATTATTTTGACCATAGTGACTCTTCAGTTACTAAACCTTTTTTTGTGACGATAAATCATTATTCCTTTCTTGCCCACTCCTTTTCTGTATTACAGCTGTATACTAAACACTCAAATGAATGAAGAACAAATCATTAAGACTTATTAAACACCTCCCACATTCAAGAAGTTAATGATTATTTGTATTATTGTATATTTATAAGAATATTATGTTTTAGAAACAACAACAGCTTGAACAATTGAAGAGCAGCATGCACGATGACGTAAAGTTTCATGAAGAACAAATCAAGAGACATCAAGGTGCTATTGAAAAAATAAAAAGCCGTATCAACAGTGCAGAATAAATTTAGTATTTATTTTACACCAATAAAGTTAGCAATGTTAGATTTAAAAGATATTGCTGGCCTATTGATATTGAAGTTTTGGGATTTATCAATATATTATATCCTCATTTATTATATGTGGAAAATTTATATATTGGAGAAAAAAATACGTAGTATATAATTTTACAGAGCTTTTAAATGATATTATGAAACATTTGCATTTCATTAAGTATTGGACTAAATGTTGTTGTTTTTTCTGATTATTTGTGATGTCTAGATTATAATTAAAATGGATTGGTTATATGGTTTGTTAAAATGTTATGTTGTATCTAGTTTGTATTGCAAATTATTTTTATTCAAATCTTTCAATTCAATTAAAGTAGTAATGTTTAGTTTATCAACTTTGATATGGAATTAGTAACTATATCATTCATCCCCTTTAATCAGCTATATGTTTCTTATTTTATGTTGAACTATTCTGCTGAAAGTAAATTAATTTTGTAACACACACACAATTGTAATGCCTCTATTTTTTCCTCCTGAAATTTCATGTTTTTTTGTTTTCTCCAGAATCTTTCATTATGTTACTTTCTTTTCACCATCAAATCACCCCTCTAAACCACATGTACATTAATTAACATTATTCGCATGAGCATTCTAAGGTACTTGAAAAATGGCTATCAACTTACTAGGGTTGCCATCCTAGCTGTTAACAATCATAGCCTTCATCAGTGTATTTTGATTGGCAACTACAGCTGTTGTGCTTTGTGTAAGCTTTTGATACATGATGTTCCTTAGCTCAAGGGTCCTATGACGGAAAACAGTTTACTCCATAGTTTATTATCTGACACAATAGAACAGGACAATCATCAGATTGGAAGGCTAATTATTAACTACTGAGGAGCCTGCATACCAGAGCTTGGTAGCCAATGAAGTGGTGGGACAAAGCCTTTGCTCTTTAAGTACTCTGGTAGCCAGTTTTGTGTAGAATATTATCTGAGAATCTTCTCCACTTCCTGAGCCAATATCTGGAAGAGGTTGGTGAAGGGTAAGACAAATCAATAAGGCTATAATTAAATCCTACATTCCTCAAGTATTTGGGATTATTGGTGACTCAATATAATTAACCTGAGTTTGAGGTGAGGAGTATTGATGCCCAACAAATGTTAGGTTGGCTTCTACAAGGAATTCAACCCCCACCTTTTTTCCAGTCCCACCAAGCCTCATCTGTACAAGTCATTAATCAGTCCCATTCTGTTGTATGAATCGGAAACGTGTGCAACAAGTAAAAGAATTGGGTAAGACCCCAATTTTTTTTTGGAGGAGTTCATCTTTATGGAAACTGGAGAAGGCAGACAGTCTATATTCTATTTCAATTCAATTCCATTATTTCGCTTAAAAATATCTGAAAACTACATTCAAGGTTTAGTTAAGGTTCATCCTTCTTCAAATCATGATAATGGTAATTGGATTCTATTTTGCCAGTAGAGCTGCTTTGAGATCTTCAATTCGATCACCATGATTTTTCACTCGCCATCCTATTGGGTTCTTGTCTGGTGATTGGGGAGTAGTGTGAAACTGTTTTGGAACACTGTGAATTAACCATAGTTTTACTTTCCTAGCAGTGTGAGCATCATTGTCCTTTTGAAAAATAAACCCCAGCATAAGTCCAAGTTTTTCAGCAAAACTTTTTAAATTGTTCCTTGGAATGTTTAGAAATACATGCTTGTCCATAATTCTATCAATAAAAAAACAGGTTGCCAACTCCTGAAACACATATAGGCCTCAACCATACCCTAACACTTTCACTCCCATGCCTGAAGGTCCTTTGCATATTCTTTGAAATAAGTTTTTTTTTTTTTTTAGCTTTTTCTTGCAATTCGTCTAAGAAAACCATCTTTCTCTGAACATTTCTGACAGTTTCTGGATTTTCGCATACCTCATAAGTTCTTTCAAGACCAATGGCTAAGGATGTTGCACTTTTATACCGATTAGACGCACCAGATTTAGAATAGTCGTACCGATTATATTGAATTTTCTCGTGCGGTTTGAACCAGGCCTATCCTCCAACGTTTTTAATCCAATGTGTCTGTTCATCACGTACTGCACAATTGCTTGCGATTTATCTAGTAAAGTTCCAATTTTTCGGAGAGAAAATTCTAGACTTCTTGACCGCACGATTTGGTCACGAATGCACTACTGAACACGCATAATGATGATTTGAAGTAGGCTAAATCTTGAATGTAGTGTTCAGACAATATTTTAAAGTAAAATAATGGCATTGAATATAAATAGAATTAAGATATAGATGTAAGGAACCTTTTTTTACATTCAGATTAGAGTTGTATCTCTACCTGCTATGGGGTTAGTGATCCAACATGAACTTGATACATCTTCATCTCTAGTACCCTTTCTGATTAATAGATTATGAGAAATGTTAACGATCAACTTGTATGACATTCAACATTAAATATCGACTTACCGGAAGTGGCACTTTGTAATAAAACTTTACACATTTTAAAGATTGTGATTAAATTCGTTATAATATTCTAAATTAAATCTTCTTCATTTTTCATAAGAATATTTGAGATGTCATCTGAAGGTATGTGTCACATCTATCACCTGTACCAGCACAACCCGTGAAGGATCTTATTGGATTCAGTACTTTAAAGGAATGTGCAGCTTTTAAGCCAACGGTTATATAAGAAGGTTGCTCGCTTTATAAAGTGTGCATGTGACACAACAGAGTCTTTTTTATCTTATTAGATAACCCCCTACCCAATATTTCTAAAATAAGGGGGGAGGGGGCGGGATGTTCTAGAGGTACAACCAAACCTATTCTAACCAGAGTGGAAGGTTCGAGTTTCATTCCAGGGATCCACCACGAAATAAAAGTCAACCACCCCGAAACCGGATTCGAACTGTGCACTAGGCATAGTGTCACTAGGCACGAGGATGCTGAAAGGGGAAGCGCTCCAAAACACTTAGCCATCACGACCTCCGGGTCTGGATGGTTGATATAAAAGAATAGATTTAAAGCTTTATCGCGATCGAGGAAGACGTGCCAAAAAGAGACTCAGTACGGTTGGATGTTCCCACAAACGTCGATTTCTTTAGTTAACAATACCTACTGCCGTTAATTCTTTTTTGATGAAATCACATTTTGATTCAGATCACAAATCAACAATAAGCCAGATCGCACATAGGTCACTACAGTGCGTTTTAACTTCGTGAAAGGAGCGATAAAAAATATTAGGGTTTCATCATTTTACTTCAGCTCAAGTTTCACCAACTTGGATTTTGAGTTTTATTAGGGGTTCATTTTGATTCTGAACGAAATAATTGTAATGTGTCACGAAACTGGACTAGCACTTTTTTATTTACTCTATAATTTATGGGCTAACAACAATTAGACCATAACTAAATTTCACATTTTATTTGGCGAACGACATTGCCAGAAAATATCAGTTTCGATGCCAAATAATCGATAAATAATTAATCAAACACTGATAATTAATTATAAAACGGTAATTTAACGCCAATAATGAAAGATTCTAAAATTGGGTTGATTCAACTTTAAAATATTCGGTACCACCAAGGATCATTACTAATCACATACTTAGAAAAGCAATCTTCATTTAAATTAATTTAAGCATATTTAGTTTTCTATGGGGAAACTGTTTTGTTGAAAGATAGTTCCCAAATGTATAACCTTACTAAAATGTAGCCTTCTCGGCAATTTTATTTTTTGTAAGAAAATTTAAAAAAACAAGATTGTACTAATAATGAATGATTATAAAAAATAAATTAATATAAAACAGAATCAAGTAGGTCTCAAGAGTGAATATTTCAGTCCATGGTAATTATTTTTCATTTTAAAAATTACATATATGGCTTGAATAGTTTTACCAAAGGTGATAACTTTGATTTAATTTCGGCTATATAGGTTGTGATATGGCTGCAAAAGTACCTGAATTAAGTTACTCTTGTGAAATATGTGGTGCAGATGGATTATCAGACGAAGAAATGAGGATTCATGTTATGATATGTCATCTCAAAAATGCTGTTGTTTGCCCTTTTTGTAATTCTGATAACATGACTGAAGATGAAATGCTAACCCATGTTAATACTGCTCATTTAGATTACCTAACTCCTGAACAAGAGCTGCTTACATTCATCGATGATGGAGATGAATTACTAAGCCCTCTATCAGAAAGTAGGTGGGAAACTAAAGATGGAAGAAATGGTTTGATTAACAATAATAATAACAATAATGAATTCTATAATGCACAAGGGAAAAAGCTTAAAAATGGAGAAATGCCCTCATGGGGTTCACCACAAAGATCACAGCTCGCTCTTAATTTAAGGACTAACACAGCTCCAGTAGTCCCCAAAACCAATCTACAGTATATGTTTGAATGCCCTTTGTGCACCTATCGAGGAGATACTGTTTCTAATTTAGAAGAACATATCAATAGGCAACATTTTGATTTAACTAGTCCATCTGTAAATACTGATCTAGCTTCTAAGCATCATAGTTTATATAGTTGTCCTCTTTGTGTCAATACGTTTGAGAATACCCCTGATTTGGAATTACATGTTAATATTGAGCACAAGGATGTCTTAAGTCCTGCGAAGGTTTGTTTTTAAATAATTTCTTTTGAATGGTGTTTCGTAAAATATTTTTTTGATTTATTTATATTTTCTTTTAGCCTGTTCATGATTTAACCCAAGATAAAATTTCTACGGAATGCCCTATTTGTTGTATGTCTAATTTCAAATCAACAGATGAATTGGCATATCATATAGATCAACACTTCAATCCAAAAGGTAGTATGTGAATACTTTCCAAATTATTTTTGTGGATCATATTAAGTTTTTGGCATATATCTGTGTATTTTTTTTTTCACTGAGTGATGAAATCTCTGAGATGTGAAATAAACGATTGATATTTTATTAAAGGTGTATCTCCACTAACTCCAGATGTCTCATGTGACCGTCTCCTTGCAAAAGAAATGGAAAAAAGAGATAAAGAAGTGCAGAGGCTGAGAGAACAACATGAGTTCGAACTATTGAGGGTAAATGTTATATTTGCTTTTATATTTAAATAATTAGCATAATAATTTCCACCAAAGGCTGTTTAGGTATGACTCACACACAAATGTGGCTGTCAATAAATTTTGATCCTGTTAATTCAATTCTCACCAAATTATTAATTGTGGTGTAGTTATTTTTTATGATTTTAAACCTAAGAAATATGGAATCTGGGGGCCATGGTAATTTGTTTTTATGTCTGGAACAGACTGCTGCTCGATCGATTCTTTATGAAAGAAGTCTAGGTATAGGTTTTGATTATAAAATATGGTAGTATTTATATACCCCAAACATACCAAAGTATAATAGTATAAATATACCCCCGCAAGAACTTATGCTTTAGTTATATTCTCTCTAATATATTTGAATTAAAAGTGATTAAAATACCTGTTTATTCATATAAACATGTTATTATCTATTAAACACACAAAAATTGTGAAGTTCTATACTTTACAAAGACTATGTTGATTAACAAATATGTAAATAAAATAAACAAATATTGTTTTGCCTTTTTTTTATTATCGAAAAAGAAAGAAATGGTTATTTATTGTCTAAATAATACTTTTCTTGGCTTAATTGTAAATAGAAATGTAATTACTTTTTTTTAAAGATTTTGAAGTATTTTAATTTTGTATAAGATAATATTTCTTTTTGAGATATTAAAAAAAAAAAGTCTGTTTTTTCTTCTTCCCATTCCCCATAACCCAATGAGAGAAATGTCGACTTTTTACCAGTTGTTTTTGATTTTTTTTAACTTTTTCATTTGAATATTCTTATATAACGTTTCTTGTTTATTCTCTACCTTTAAATTATGTAATGATAAGAATTTTTCTTTTTATTTAAATGTGTATATCTTTTTTTTTAATTGAGTAAAAAAAAAAAATCAACATATGTTTTAAGAAACATAGCAATTCAAGTTCCCTTTAATTATATTTATTTTATTTATCTTTGTTTGCTAATTAAATAGGCTCAATATGGTATGGACAATGAAGGAAACTTTAAGGAACAAAGCCTCACAAACATGCAGAGAGCTGTATACTCAGGTGAACTTTCTGTAGCAGACTATTATGAAAGACAAATAGAGTTGAAAATGGCAGAAAGTAATGGAGTCGATGATGGCAGTTCATGTACTAAAGGTAATTATCCATCATATTTCTCTTGTGGGTTGCTATTTAATAATTTAAATTTCTTTTCAGCCATTCGATGCCATAGTTACAAGTGTTGCTTTGGTCTTGCTATTGGTGCAACTGTAGCCTTGAATAGGTTAATGAAGTGGCCCGTATATAGGTAGTGTTGATACTTGACTTGGAACAGTTTTAGTTATATGAAACAGAAGCCATAAAAATTAATTGTAAATTTTATCTTTCTCTGTCTGTTATTTGTAAAAACTAGGTACAACTGCTGTGCCTTTTGCTTTAGTTGTAAACTAACATGGGGAGGTTACGGACGTGGAGTCACTGATTTCAATGAAACATTTTTTTTTATGATACTAGAACGAAAAATATTGGACCTCTGAGGGTTCTTGCCAATGCCTTAGAAGCCGATAAAAAAATATTTTCAAAATTTTATAATTTTTTTATATTACTATTTTCTGGCTTTGCTCTGCATCAATTTCTAAGCTATTATATATCAACGTTTTTTTTTTTTTTTTTTTTTGTACAATAAGAAAATAATATTGCCAATTGTATTAAACAAATTCTAATGTATAATAAATTACAGAAACAGAAAGACTAGTAAAGTAAGCCATGTAAGTTTTTGTCATGGAAAAAATATTGGATTCCTTCTTGCTATAATAAACATATTTCTGACATCCGTTGGTGTCATAATGCACTGAGATCCACCAACAGGTTTCTTATTGGTACTGCCCGTTTCTCTGAATCTGGCTAAAGCCCGGGAGACCACAATCTGAGAGATGCCAATTGCATCGGGGATATTCACTTGCCGGTGCCCTTGACCGCTCATTCTCACGATAATATTGCGAACTTCTGGTTCAATATGTCTTTCTATTGTTAAACAGAATATTACTGGATGAAACAGTAATATTCATTCACATAAACCAAATATTGGTTTATGTAATGAGTTTGCTTCATGTCAACTATACTTTAGTTAATGATTTATTAAAAATAAACAATACTTAATGTTTACCAACAAATAGGATAAACCATAACAAAAAAAAAGTATATTTTAATTAAATAAGAATCAAATAGAATTATCCCATTCATGTTTGAGTAGTATAGTTATAGTAACGTACAAAGTTCCATTATGCACAAATAACTCATTTTCTTCAAAATTGGGATGTCACATTCTTGCCCCAAGCTCTTCAATTATAAATTACTATAAAAACATGTTAATTGTTAATTTTATATAGTTTTAGTTCTTAGTTTTATCCAGATTAATAGTTTCTATACTTATACACACCTGTCACCTATTCCAGATATTGTTGAGTTGATAGCTGCTGTAAGCACCAGTTCAAGCCATGTTGCTAGAACTCTACTCTGCTCTAAAGTTGATCATTATGCTTCAACGTATGGTGACCGAGGTTGGGGATGTGGCTACAGGTAAAAATAGAACTAAATTGAGTTGATGGCTGGAGCAATGTTGGATGTGATTTTTTTCATAATTATGTTTTTGGTGAAATATCATTTGTTGTTACTCTTTGTGTGGTAACATTAAGGGTTAAGTTCACAAAATAAATGCTTAATCAGTTAGTTTAAAAGCAACCATTGAATTACCTGGTTTTTTTTTTTTTGTCCTTCCTTTACTTTAACTTAAAGTGGCTTTCCTGTTGTCAATATTTATTGGGCACATACCTAAACCATACCATCATCTCCCAGCACTCTCCCTACATCTACAGCTTCTTACAATTCAAATCCTTAATCCTCTCATATGACACAAGATTCTGACTTTCATACCTCTTCCAACAAAACTTAAACATTTCAATGTTCCTTATTAGCACATTCCACTACTCTCTAGAATTTCCTTCCTTCTAATATTTGCCATGCTTCTTGCTTATTCTTGTTAATCTTTTTTCTTCAGCTTCTCCCTATTTAATTTAAGAATATTCTTATTATTATAATTTATATTTTTTTTTTATCCGAAGAAATTTTTTTGTTATAGATTTTTATTGATGATAAATTTATTTATTAATATTAATTAATGTAGACTTATGGCCATGGTAAATTCATGGTAAATATTGTTATCATGAATAATAGGACGTAGTCAATTTGTAAGTATTTTATAAAAATATTGTGTTTATTTAGCGATTGTTCCCACTATAGACTTATTTGCCTGTTTACTATGCTTGGTTAACTACTGTCCAACTTTGAAATACTCTATTGTTAATTAAAAAGTTATTAACATTTATGTATCAGGGTAAACAGCAATTTTCTGTTTAATAGTAATAATGATAACTTCTTGTTCCCAATAGTTATAAAAATAAAGGAGAAATGTCAAATCAATTTTCATTTTAAAAAATTATTTTTTGTTAATTTTGCCAACCAGTGTATTTTAAATATAATTTTTCTTGCATTAGGAACACTCAGATGATGTTATCATCTCTAGTGCACCATACTGGGTATAATGAACAGCTTTATAAACAATGGCTCCTTGGTCGTAATCCTGAACTCCCATCTCGCTCTGCTATGCCTTCGATTTCAAGACTTCAGGAGCATATCGAATGGGCTTGGAGGGAAGGCTTTGATGTGCAAGGTGCTGATCAATTGGGTGGGAAGCTTGTTAATACAAGGAAGTGGATTGGTGCCACCGAAGTTGTTACTGTTTTGTCATCTCTTAGGATAAGGTAGTTCATTATTAACTATACATATATATTTTATTAGATTCCTGAAAAATAAATCTAGATATGAGATATTATGATTTCGTTATGTATATATTTTTTATATGTAATGTACTTTTTTTTTACTTATGAATGTCAGCATTAATTAATGTTCTCAAAAATGATAATTTATTTTTAAAAGTTAGCTTGTTTGTTCCTGCCACTAATGCATGGTTTATTAGGATGTCAAATTATTATTTTTCACCAGTTCATACTCGGAACAGCCTCAAACATTAGTGACATTAATGATGTCTGAGATGTCATTAGTGAGAGACGTCTGTCTCTCGGAATCTTTCATGAGAACAGTTCTGACGAACTGAAACTTAGGCCAAAACGCCAGTATAAAGGAAATAAAAATAAATATGATTTATTTATTTTTACATTCTTCTTTCTTTGACTGAATACCACAACCAACTTCTCTTCAATATATCTATGACAATCAACTATCATGATTTAAATAATTTAATATTAACTACACAGTAATACAAAAAAAAATAGAACACACAAAAGACGTAAAAAATTGGCAGCTGGGAACCTATCTAAAAACATACACAATGGAGTTAGATGTGATTTTGAATGATACAATTATTTTTGATTTTCAACAAAAAAAAAAAAACCTCAATCAGTCTATTGATGAGGTACAAGGTTTTCATTGCCTATAGTCAATATATTTATTTTAAGTGCCATTTAACTTTGACTTGAAGTTACTTAAAACATGTGTGCCCTGGATTGCTTTTCTTCTTGTAAAAGCTATACAAGTTTGAGAAAATTTTTAATTATTTAATTAAAGTGGGAAATGAAAGGGCTCTTTTCTACTTTAAACACACTAGTGAATTTTTTTATCACTTTAGTGATTTCACAGTTATGAACAGTTTCTTAAACTTGTGACTAGAAAGTAAACTTAACCTACAAAAGAATGAAATGTAACATTATAAATATGAATTTATTAAATGTGATCTAAGATAAATACAATGTTTATTCACTTTTCTAAAGGCATGAAATTTTTATAAAACACAAAATTGTTTCAAAACATTTTCCTCCAAATGAATTTGCATATGTAACAGATAGATGAATTATGAATCCTATAACATGTTACCAAAAAAATTAAAATGTTGACAAAAAATTAACTGGTGTGTTTAAAGTAGAAAAGACCCAATGAATGTTGTTTGATGCACACTGCACCATTTTTTTAAAAATAAAGGAATACATCAAGTTTATTCTTAATCTATAAAAAAACAGTAGACTGTATTTAATTGACTTTTTTTATTTAACAGGTGTCAACTGGTAGATTTTCATCGACCGACCAGTGCTAATGGCTCTCACCCCGAAATGTTTAAGTGGGTCCTAGACTACTTCCAAGCTTACGATGACTTCAAGCCTCCATTATATCTCCAACATCAAGGTAAGTTGTATAACACGTTTTAAATCCTCAATCCTTATACTCTTTTAACAATCGATAATAATTTTTTTCCTTTCATATTTTGTTCTTATTAGAAGTTACATTATATTAAATTTTCCTCTATCAATGGTTTTTCCTGAGTTGGTTCAAATCATTCCTCTCTAATCCATCCCAGTATGTAATCATCCCATGTCAACCTCTATCTAATTCTGCTCCCACTAAGATATAAATTCCCAAGTTAATGGCATTTAATTCACCCTATACTGTTTCAATACCATTCATAGGTCTTCTACTACCAGGAAAGTCACTTATGGATAACTCTCAACATAATAACGACTGTCTCAGAATTTTTATTGGAAGCATATATATTTGTTTATTTATTTTATTTTACTTGTAGCTTTGGCAGTCTAAGAATAAAAGTTAATAAATGCAAATATATTCATTAACAGGACATAGTCGAACAATTATTGGTGTCGAAGAACTTCGTGGTGGTGGAGAGAATCTAATTATATTGGATCCAAGTCATTCACCAGCTCAGATGACTGGTCTACGCCTCACATCTACAGCTCAGGGTGTGTTGGGTCTTTTGAGGAAACCTCTATCTGCAATGAAGGCAAAGCAGTACCAAGTGGTCGCAGTGGCAGGAATAATGGATTCAGAGGTGGAATATCAGGTATCTTTTTATTTTGTATTATTCAGATAATTTTCTTAATTAATTAGGAAGTTATATCCCCCATATGACTTCCTTGTTAACTCCTATATGATTCCCCCGCATGGCATCTTTATCTCGAAATGAGGGAAAGAGAAACTCGAATAGTGCATACATGAGTGCATAAGTGAGAACATGAAAAATTCAGTGTGACCCTTCAAACAAGTGAATAATTAAAACTATTCATATTATTGATGTATAATTTGTTTCCTATTTAAATGATGTAAACATTCTCTATTAAAAATATATTTTATAATATTCGTTAGTATTTTACAAATTAAATTACTTCACATTTAAAATATTTTTCATAGTTCTATTCCAAATTCTCTGAGTGCTTTTTATCCATGAGTAACAATAAATAAAACATAAGTTCTTCATCACTTGAACTGATCATTGAAGAAGAATTTTTTATGCGTTCTTGTTTGGAAACTGTGAACTGACTGCAAGAAAAATCACCTCAAGAGTAGAGAACATATCACATAAGATGCTCATACAGAGTTTCTCTTGCCTCATGAGTGGAGGGCCTTCATGTTTTATTTTTAATGTCTCATTTAACTCCCAGGTTTTCCCCATTAATCAATTAATTAATGTTATTACTTTATTGAAGCTGGACAGACCTCAGGAGGACCTCCATACCATAAAATCAATTCTTAGTTGAATAATAGTTACTTCCCACTAGATAAATAATTACCTGCCGATGTGAGATTAGAACCCAGGAATAAGACAATTGTAATAAATTGCCTTACTTAACAGAGCAACCAGAATGGCGACCGACGTGGAGAAATGGGAAAAGTCAGGAAATTTTCAAAACAGGAAAAAGTCAGGGGAAAATTATTAAAGTCAGAGATTTTTTTTTAATACACAAATATTTTTTCAAATTGGAAATCAATTTACAATGGATATTGTTTATAATGAACCTTGAAGGGGTAAACTTTGTAGTTATAAAATGGCCACAGCCACTATATCCATCCACCTTTGACTTTCAATAACGACACTGGTTGTTGTATTGAAATTGAACAAGAGTAATGAATAAAATTTAAGCAAAATGGACTTAAAAACAGTACTTTTTGAAAAGAAGAACATACCAATACTATTTACTATTTGCAATATATATATATATATATTGATGGACATATTTATTTATTTTCATAAAGTGATGAACTTCTTAGCAATAATCCTGTCTATTGATGAACCATTAGGACATTTTTCAATCGTAAAAAGATAGGTAGAGTCCAGTCGAGCATTAGCTTCTTAAAAAATTATGATTCACCACCTTGAATATCTCAGCGTCATGATAATTCTTATGAACTATTGGCTGAACGTTTGAATTCCATTCGTTGGTTAACTGAAAGAGAATGCTGGCAGCTTCACAGCTAATTTTTTCATGAACATTAATGTGTGAGGAGCAGAATCTTTGTATCCATCCTCACAAACTATTAGTTTGAGGTTCATCAAATTAATCGCGAATTGATTTTAAGTATTCATTAGTCTTTTCGATTCAAATCTGCCTCAACTCTGATAGCGGAATATTCAGAAGAACAGATGTAGTCGTGGATAGATCGTCATTTTTCGGATTTAAAAGATTCAGCATCCTGTCTGGAGTAGATTAGCAATTTTTTCAAATTGTTGAAAAACTTAGATTTAATTCATGAGCAAGGCTTCTATTGGACTCTTCCCTCTCCAGTCGGCAGCGTATATGGAATTTTCCTTCTAAGGAAAAACTTTTTGCTTTTCCATATTCTTATTAGAGTGCTAAAAAGGAATATAAATTTAACGCTAAGATTGAGGAGTGACAGTTTATATTGTGAAATGATAGATACCTAAATATTATTTTGCATTATATTTTTAGTTAATTCATGTGGCTATAGTCGGTGCAATGAATTGGCTGGCAAGCACTCATTCGTTCGACCCATGGCTCTCTTTAAAAGAGCATTTATTAATGTCACAGTTGATGTCATAGGGACAATTATCATACTTTTTACAGTAATAAATAAACTAAATTACTTATGAGAAATTACATTAATATTATAATCTGTAGCTCACTTTATTTTATAATAGAGAAAAATTAGAGCTTTATATGTCAAGTATCAACTTTTACCTCCTCTCAGTTTATGATAATAAAATAAAGGTGATAAAATTAAAATAAAAACAAAATTCTAAACAAACTTAAAAAATGCTTCTCTTAAGATATTATATTTGTTATTTAAAAGACTTTAAAATTTTTTTTTACTCAAATCATTTTGTATTCAATTTTCTTTCATATATAATAAATAAATTCATAATAGTGGTTAAATAGTTGACTGTCGTGAATAATGAAGAGAAGAATAGTTGGGGATGATCAGTCAAATAAGAAGTCAAAAATAAATGATAATATTTATTTTGTCAAAATAAATATTATCATTTATGCAATGACAAAATAAATATTATCATTTATTTTTGCCTTCTTATTTGACTGATAATCCCAATTATTCTTCTCTTCATAAATAAATTCAGTTATAAATTATACATTTTTAATATTCGTGTCCCCAGACATATTGATAATTGACATTAAATAGAAAAAAGTCATGGAATTTTACATATTTAACTGTCTGGTAGCCATCCTGGCAACCCCATTCCCTAAAAAAATAAATAAAAAAGTAATGGTAATAAGATAAAACACAAATAAAAAACATGAAATTTTTTTTCAAGTCTAATGTGCCAAACTTTTGAATGATGCCATTGGGTAGATGAAACTCAAACTGTCATCTGGAAAATATATATATATATATATATATATATATATATATATATATATATATATATATATATATATATATATATATATATATATTAGTTCTACATACATCTTTCTGTCAATGCACACTGCCACCATCAAAACTGACACATTTAAGATTTCCTTATATATATATATCATATATATCAGAAGAGAGGGGCAAGAAATCTTAAATGTGTCAGGTTTGATGGATATATGTATATATATAAATATGTTATGTCTACGTACATCTTTCTGTCAATGCACTCTGCCACCATCAAACCTGACACATTTAAGATTTCCTGCCCCTCTCTTCTGATAATCTGGCCAGTATAGGTGCCTGTTCACTGGATTTATCTCTCCTCTACCCACCAATATTCTGCTCGAAGTTCCTTTTGACTTCTCTATTCAACCTTGATCAATATTTTAGTTGATTCAAAACTCAACTTTTATTTATAGAGCTAATTGAAGTGACCATCTTGGTGATTTACTGCTGTCAATATTTTGAAGGTTTTGATTGCTTTGATATTGTTCAGATTTTTCACAGCCTGGATTAATTTTGTTGGCCTGATTACATCTCGAGCATGTCCATGTTTTTTTTTTTTTTACAAATTTGGGCCTTGATCTTCTTATTGCTAACACTATAACACCTGCTGTGATATACTACTTTATATTCAAAACAACTTAAATTGTTTTTTCATCATGAGCAATAGTTTCGTTACAGATAAAGCACTTAAACATATTGTTTGATTTAAATAAATAGTATTTAGAATAATAGCTATGGTTATTATGATGGTCAAGGTCAGCAAACAAAGATTTAATGTTATAGAGACTAAGTGCTTAACAATAGCCCAGTTATCTACAACATATGAATTTCTATATTATAGTTTAATAAGTTGCTGGCTTAAAAAATAAACTGTTTGATGGAACTTGAATAAAATAAAAAGTATTACAAGCTAGAAGATGTTCACTGTTGGATGTAGACTAGACTAGAGGAAATTAAATTAATTAATCAGTTATTAAGTTCTATCTTGAATGAAGTTCAACAAGAATTGAATGAAATGCTAATTTTTATTGTTTCTAAATAAATACATATTTATTGCTTAATTAGTGTGATTTACATTCTAATATATTATGGGATTGATTTTACTTTTCATTTACTAGTGAAAAAATAATCTATATATTATATATATATATATATATATATATATATATAATTATATATATATATATATATATATATATATATATATATATATATATATATATACCCTTAATTTGAATAGTAATTTATAATTTTTTTTTTTTTTTATAGAACAGTAAAGTGTTGCGGTCAGTAAGGGTGCCTCCCGACAGACCTTAAAACTATGAAGAAATCCTATTGAGGAATATGCTTATACTGCCACTAGTTTATAGCCTTGGGAAGTTGCACTTGATCTACTGACATACCAATCTAGTCATCAATGGGTCATGTTCGTCCTAATTTATATTTAGCTTAGCCTTAGTCAGTACCAGTACCACTGTATTACGGTTTTATTTAATGTTACAGCTTTTATTTGATGAATGTAGGTAGAAGGATAGGAAGTGGTAATGTGATCGTGAGGGAGAAAGAAAGTGATAGTCCAAAATATTTTAACTGATTAATATTATTATGGGTGGGACCCAGTGCCCTAAGTTTTGGCCATTATTTTATAAGTTAAGAACTTAATGCAGTTTCTTCATTACCTGATATTTGATATAACAATCAATTCATTATTTTAATTTGGAAATAATAACACCAATTTTATTATTTTCTAATACACATTGAAAATTATATGATAAGTATTATTGATACGGTTGCCTTCATTAGTCATGTTTAGTTTGAAGTTTTTAAAAATGGAAATGACAATTCTATAAATTTCTCAGGATGACAAACAGATTTTGTTTGTATATTTTTTATACTTTTTTTCGATTCTTATTGCTTGAAATAATATTTTGATTTAAATGAGGAAAAATTACTTCTGTGTTTCTTTTGTATTTATTTATCTATTTATTGTAATATTTCAGTCATTTATTTCTAGATGTTTACGTTTTTGATATTATTTACCTTTAAGAATTACCTGACTGGTAATATTTTTGAACTAGTTAGTTTTATTAGGTATAGGATCTTGGAAAGGCCGACAGTCCATTAGATTTAAATCAATCATCCAAATTTTTTCCAGCAACAGAATATTTCATTCCATCTTCAGATTTAGCTAATTCATTTTAATAATATTGCTATAAATGTGGTAAGAAGCTGGAACAAAAAGTACTAAGGCCCAGAACTTAGGCGAAAGGTACTCTTTTAATTGAAGTATTTAAAATTCTATTTTTTCTGTTAGCTTTACCTAATTTTTATATCTTTTGTTGCATTAATTAACCAATCTCACCCACATCTTAATTTTGAAAAACATATTAAAATAAATGAAATAATTTATTTAACTATTTTCCACGTCTACATGCTAAAATATATTTATTTACACATTTTGTTTAATTTTAATATGTCATCATAATTAAATTATTTTTTTGGTTGAAATTATATATTAAAAAATATATTAGTTGACTTGAGCAATAATAGGTTTTTATACAGTTGTTAATAGCAATACTAGACCTAGTCATCGGTTTTGCAACTTCTCTTGTATCATAGGTTTATGTAAGCGTGTATATAAGCATCCAAAACTCACCTAGTAGCTTGATTGGCTTTTAATGGCACGTCTGTGCTTTTTTAAAGCATTGACCTATTATTATTTTCAAGCTACTTATAGCTTTTATACATTTGCAACTATGTTTGTGGTCCTATTTCACCTGATCACCAAACTCTTTACACATTACCATCTCATATGATTTTGTTTTTTGAGAAATTGTTGAACAGTGGTTTAATCTTTTAGCAATGATGAGAGGGAAGGGAGTTGCGGCCTTGAGGGCGGTGCTAGCCAACACTTCTCCATACTCCTGTGACGGAATACTATTCGTCACGTCTACTCAACACTTAAGCCTTTTTATTTAGGGCATCGTTCTACACTTTTTACTTTATTTTTTTATCTAACTTTTATTCAATTAATAGAAAGGCCACAAGATGGTTTAAAAATACAATTCATTACTGAAAATTCCGTCATTTAAAGAGGAAGAGCCCGATAGTCTCTTGATTCATATATGAGTCCACCCTCGCATGGTTCCGATTCCCTCTTGACTCATATGAGTCCTCCATTGTTAAAGAGTTGATGAGTATTTTTATTTACCATTTTTGTCTCATGATCAACCAAACTTTAGTTTAAATTTTCTTTAATATTTACTTTTCTTGTTTGAACTTCCTATATCAGAATATTAATTAAAGTTTTTTAAATAGATATATGAAAAAATAAAATTGTATTATTAGGATTCTTGTTGGTTTTGTACTTTACTTTTTAATTTAAGTATTATAGACTTCCTCTTATAAAATATATATATATATATAGTGAAATTAAAGTAAAATATTGTTAATTAGTTAGTTTTTTACTTTTATTTTATTTTGGATTCATATAAATGTATTCTATGCACATTTTTCTAGTATTGATTGCTTTAAAAGTATTCAGACTTTTTTTTTTATAGTTTCCCTGTTGTTTTAAAACCATCCTTAGAGCTGCTATATTATTCAAGTTTAAACAAAAATAAATCCTTAAATTTTGAACAAAACATTATTAAATTTTGGAAAAGAGGTAGTCTATTATACAATCACTTTACATTTCTACTGTATCTTAGCAAATTATGAAAGATTTTTTCTAATCTGTATGTCCTTTTTCTAGTTTTGTAATTTTTTATTCAGTTTTCAATAATCTGGATTAGTATTTAATATTTAATCCCCAATTAATTTATCAGGAAGCATATTTTCACCGACTTAATTAGTTAACCAGAAAATTACTTATCAAGTGTGTCTTTTTAAAAATGTTCTTAAATTATTAGCAACATAATAATATAATTATTAGGTATGTGGAAAAGTCACTGCACATTGAAAATTTAATTTCATCGTGAAAGCGATTCGTCATTTTTTCCACCAGAATTAATTAATCTATGGCAATAATTAAGCTGATAAAGTTTTACTGAAGGGCATACAAATACTTTTAAAAAGTATAGATCTATTATTGAACGAAATCATAAAATATTAAATAATTTTAATCTTTAAAAGTTTTGTTATAAATAAAAATTATTGCTTTCTTTATAATTGAATTGGACTATTTAAAAATGATAACCTTTTTCTATCTCTTTATATAGGTTTAATAAATTATTGCTTTTTAAATTATTCATTAAACAGGTTTCTCTTTTATAGATGAAAATATATCTAATGCATATGTTCCTTTAACACAAGATTCTTAAAGAACCTTAACCTTATGCATTAATTTAATTTTTAATATATATTTAAAATTTCATTAAAATAAAAATTCATCTCACTGACTCATAGCTTATTGTGTCTCCAATATAAAAAGCATTCCTGTCTTTGTGGCCTTTATTAGCATTTGTGGAAATGTTGATTGTATTTGTAAATAGCATTGTTTAAAAAAAATAAAAATATTAACAAATGTAAACAGTAGCTAGAAACGAGAAGTTTAGTTGTTTCTATGATCTCTCGATGGGTGACAAGTCTTAATTAATTGTCCATTCCATTATGGATGTTCCTCGATAATCTCTTATATTTTCATTTTATATGTATTTTCTACCGGTAGAGCTATTAAAATATTTTATTATTATTCACACATTTGTTTATATCTAGTTTTAGTATAAATTTTGTTCCAAGTTTTCTAGTCTCCTTTCACTTATTTTTCATTCCTTCTTTGTTTTTTGTTTTTAATATGTACATTTACTGCCTAAATTGTCTCTTCAAATAAAAGTACATTTATTTTATTATTATTTAATTAAACTTATTAATTCGGTTTTTATTGTTTCTAATGAATGGAATTTATTAAATGTATAGTACCTATAACATTTTTTCTTATAGTGGAATTATACTATTATTGTTTCATTATTTATATTTCCCATCATTATAAAAATCAGTCGTGCCATGCAGTTTTATAAATTTTATTTTTAAAATTGATTATATTCTATAATTGCATTGGGATTTTTATTTTCAATACTTTAATAGCACAATAGCATACAAAAAGTAAATTTAAGAAGGTTTAATAATTTACCAAACATTTTATAGGATCATAAATTAATGCACTTTGTGGATGTTATAACTAGAAGCAAGAGTTCTAATATTTGCTTAGCATATTTGATTTTTAGATCCACTTTAAATAAAGATATTTATAACTACTGAAATTTAAAATTTGAATATTTACAGAAGTTATACATATTTGTTTAAATTTTAGATAAATGAATTATATTCCTACGGTTAATTATTTATTTTCTTTTTGCATCTTCTCTAAATAAATCTCTAAAAATAATGATGTCTAATAATTTTAACTTTGTGGGTAAGAATTTTTAACTTAGCTGAATATCCTTCAATATTTTTTTTCTCTAATTTTATTCGTCTGTTAAATGTACAATAAAACCTCTTTGCAGCAAATTGGTATGGGAACTGTTTCATGTCCTTCACAATGCACATTCAAGAGGAATACTTTTACTACACAAATAAATAAATATAAAGAAGAAATCATTAGTAATAAACTTAATTCCAACAACAATACGTATCTCATTGTAATTTTATTTATTTTATAATCCATAAAGACATGACAATTTTTCAATTTGTGTTGCCTGGTGTAATATTCAAAACTGGTGTTTAAAGTCACAGTATTTTTAGTTTTATAGACAAAAAATTCTTGATTTCTGCCAAAATTGCATTTTTATAAATGCAATTACTGTGCCTAACCTGGATTGGAATTAGTTGCTACTTTTAAGAATTTTCTGTATAGGATCAAAATAGATTAAATTTCATCATATTATCAGAAGAAAACTATATATTTAAATTTTGGTTTTTTTCTCACTTGCCAACACAACTGAAACACTCAAAAATAGATATTTCATTTTCCTACATTTCTTTAATTTATGCATTCATTGATCTTATGGCATGGCTGAGCAACGGCATCTTCATTTTATTTTACTTTTATTTTATTATACAATGTGTATAAGTAGAAATAAAATAATTAGATTGAAATAAAGTTTTATTCCCATTAATAACATATTACATTGATTGCCTAGCAGAATTAATCATGCATTATCAGTATGTATATATTCATACATACTTTGGAGGCTTATGACACTTTTGTCAACATTCCCCTAACTTTACAGGAAAACAATTTGAAGAGATGTTTTCCTTTGAAGAAAAGTGTACATAATGTTCTTTTAAAAACATATAATTCCCTCCACTATTTTTCTAATAATAATCTATACCTCTGGGTAAAGCAAACAATATTTTGAACCAATGTTTTTCTCCGTATAAAAGTGTGATTAGTTTGGTTTCAAAAGCCAATAACTCCCATCACAATTGGTCTTGGGATTAGTTATCTATACTATCTGATGAAGTAAAAACACTTAGTTACAAATATTTAGTAATGCTAATTTGGTAAAAATAGAAATATTGTTATAGTTCTATAACTTTTAGATATTGATATAAAGAATTGGAATAATTAGCTTCCTATTTTGTTTCAGTTAGTTTTACTGGTGTTGAATATATTAGATACATCTTATTTCTGAGATTAATCTGTTATAAAATGGTCCTTTATTAGAAGGTGTCTGCTGTTAAGGAAGAGTTTTTGTCAAAATGAACAATATTTCAAAAAGCAGTAAATAGTGGATATTCAGCTAATAAATTTTGATTCTATCAACAATACAACTCCAAATATTAAAAATCAAAGAATTAATTTTATTTTCGAAGTACTTCTTTCTTATTATAAAAAATTTGAATTAATTTTACATTACATTTCATATTATCTGTTTTTAAATTCAATATAAACTAGAAATAGACATTATATAATTATAGTTTTCATGAAGCATCATTCATCATTCTTCCATTGGGACAGGATAGCTAACCTATAGTTTTAATTTTAGCTTAAACTTAATATACGATTTTCTAGTTCCTAATTTTAATTATAGCCAATCAAATCTGTCTATATTTTATGAACTTTTTGATTATTTTTAGTTATTCATAATCTTTAGTTTTATTGAGGATCTCTTAAGAAGATTGTTTATAAATTAAATATTTTTACTATCCTTGATTGATCCTTACGAAAAGGATTCCAAAAAATATTTTTCTTTAAGAACCAGTAATAGTTTATCAAATTAATAAATATTTTATTCAATATTACAATTAAATCCTCATTAATTAATTACTAGATGAAGAAAAACGATTGCATGCTTGGAAAATGTGGTGTTTTCTTTAGTGATTTCATTTGTTCGTTGTTTTTTTGAAATTAGAATTAAAACAGTTTAAAAAAAAACAATCAATTTGAGGATATGAATAAATTGAAATAAAATATTTTTTTTAGATGAAATTTAAAAAATAGTTCATAGTTAAATAAATGTTAATACTTATATATCTGTGCTGGGTATAAATATTGATACATGATTAGCAAAATATGTACAAAATTTTATTGATTGTTGAATTTACTTGTTTGATTATTGTTAAAGGATAATGTTTCATTTATTTTTTCTGTTCATTTAAATAATGTTGAATATTTAAAAAAAAAATATCTTGTATAAGGAATTAATCCTTGTTAATTAAATCTTTAAGAAGAGTTATAGCTTTTGTATTGATTGACTTGAATTTCATGGCACTTTGCACTTAGTTAATATGTTTGGCTCAATTACACTTTTGAAATACCATTAGATTACTAAATTGTAATATAACTCTTCCCTGTAAAACAACTGATTGTTATCGATAATTCCTGTATTAGTTATTACTAGAGACCAGATTTTCATACAGTAAAATCTTACAGCAGCTGTAACTACAAATCATAATTATAAAATAAAACAAATAACTAATTCTAATCTAGCAATAAATTATGAATGACCTAATTTATATGAAAAATTGTATTCAAATGTTAAATTTTGTCCTATCAAATTCAAATTCGCTTAATTAAGTCCAACATTTCATAGATTGTGAATCAGATAGATAGTCACTTTTAAAGGTGTTATATGCAAGCAATAACATGAAATGCGGTTTCCATTTACTGAATTTCTTGATGTACTCCTATTTCACTGTTTTAAAATAAACTAAAACTATTCCTCTGAATCATAATTGAAATATTGGAAAAAAAATTATCTGTTTTTCTTTTAATCCACTAATAATTAACTTAGTGTACAGTATATAACAGAGGTCATGTGAAAAAACAAAAACATATAATTACAATTTGAAAGAAGGGGTGATCACTTTTATCCCCTTGAAGTAATAATTTTATTTATTTATTTCATTCATTTGTTCTAATTCAATGGTGTAAAACAATTATCAGTCATCAATGTTGTTTATTTATTCTCTCTTTTTTTTAGATCTCATGAATTTAAAAGATGGTGTTTTCTCTACTTTAATTTATACATGATGACTTATTTTCCTACCTCATTTTGTTTGAAATAAAAAATGTGATTGAAATTTTATAATTTGTCTGAAAATAATTCTATATATTTACCTTAGTTATTAAAAGAAAAATTAATTATTTTATTAATCTATTTTTGTTTTTATTCACATATTCTTTATTTCTTATTTTACTGTATGAATATCCTCTTTTGTATATGCTGATGGTATTGCATTTATGTTTTATTGATACTTTTTTTTTATCCATATTTTAATGTTGTTAAATTTAATTCTTTCATATTTTTCTATTATATTTCTAGTCAGCCCAAACCGTATTAGAATTAATTCTCATTTATTATTATTGTTTTAAGAAAGTGGAGGTCAGTTCCTAAAGGTACTCTTGAAAATATGGTGATAACTCTTTATTCTAGTCAGCCTAAGCTGTATTGAAATTAATTCTCACTTATTGCTATTATTATTTTTTTAAGAACGTGGAGGTCAGTTCCTTAAGGTACTGTTACAATATAGTGATTGTAAGAAAGCAGTGCCCAATGTTTGTCAGCTAGTACTTATTCTAAAAAAGATTGACATTTTTTCATTGAGTTTGACATGGTTGTTGAAATCAAATAATACTTTAAATAACTTTAAAGGAAAAACAAAATTTCTAAACTCTTTAGAAACTTAAATCTCAATTTAAAATAGTAGTAACTACATTTATTACCTTATGATATCCTCCTATATGATTTTTGTTTATGTAAAATTTGAATGAAGATAGATATTTTTATTTCTTAATTATCAAGGAAAATAAATGCATGATTAAGAATGAAATAAAATAATTATGTCCAAAGTGCCCTTAGATTCTTTAACTGTCATGCATTCATTGTTTTATTCACTGCATTGAGGAAATGTGATTTTATGTTTTTTATTGATGAAAATCTTTTGGTTAACAGGGAAAACTATTGTTATAACACTAGTTTTTATATATTTTCTGCTTTTGCATACACCATGTCAGAGTTGTCTCAATCTGTGATATATTACTTGAAGTTCTTATAAAACAAAACCTTAATACTTATATTTATATATTGTTTAAATAAAAAAAACATATAATGCTGTGATGATTGTAGGCTATGGCTTCAGATTAATTCATATTGCCAAATCCACTCATGTATTAACTTCACGTAATAAATGTTTTAAAAAAATACTGTTTAATTTTTTTTTTTAAATTACTATCTCAATATTATGCATCCCATCTTTAGTTTATAAGTAAATGTAATTTTTTTCCTTTTTATAGTGATCTTATAGCATTTTATATTCATAGCTTAGTGTTTCGTATAATCAACATTTTAATCAACTTTTACTATTTTATTGTTTCACTTTTTTGGTTCATTTGAGATGACCCTCAACAAGCACTTTTTATTTACAGTCACAGTCATAGACATTGCATCATCACCTATTTCTTTTGTTTCAATGTTGATTCCATAAAATGTTTTCTTTATTTCTTTAGGATACAAGAAAACTTTAACAATGTTTCTCAGTTCAGTTTAGCTAATGCCAAGATAAAAGCTTTAATTATGACCAGTTTTAAATATTAAAATTGTGAGGTTACATGAAGTGAAGGAATTTTCTCATAAATAGTAACGAGTATAGAGTACCACCAATCTACGGTAGTCATAGTTTAGAGAACGAAAAATTTAATATGATAAAATTTAGTGAACTTTTTAATGGGTGATGCAATATTTTGATTTTAAAAATCCTCTTCATCAGTTTTAAGATTTTGATGTTTTATTTTCATTAGTGGAAAAAAGTCTATTTTCTGAACAACCTATGTATATCAATTCATCTTCAACCATCCCACGATTATTTTTAATATCTAACAATAAACAATACTGGTAATTATATTTGACATAAATCATTTAATTCTGTAAAATTAATTTAATCGTTACTTAGTATTGATTGTTCTCTCTCATTATGTTTTAAATAAGTTCTGAACTTTTTTTAAAATTTATTAATGAGCCATGCAATAATTTTGCCAAATTGAGTCAGCACTTAATATCGTTCAGGATGCGTCAGAAAAGTTATATACCAACCGAAATACGAGCAACCAGTACTGTCAAAAGAACCTTAGTGCCCTGGGCAATACAGCGTGTTAATCAAGTAATTCAGGCCTTCACTAAACATAAATTAAAAAAATTTACTCACCAATGTAATTGTACCAATTTCAACTGGGGTAAAAGAGATGTAGATAGAGATCTTCGTACATATGCAATTTGTTTTCTTGAAATAACATTAATTTCAAATAATAATATCTATTAAGCTATAAAACTATTTTTTTAATTAGAGGATTATGTATGATCAACCAATTTCTATTGAATATTCTGTTAAATTTAACTTAAAGGTTATAGTAAATATTGTGTGAATAACAACTATCGAGATTGAAGAACAAAAATTTAAATCAGGGACAGATTTATTAATAGCAAACTAACCTTGTAATTTTGATTCCATAAAACAGTATTCAAGGACATGATTTAAAATGGTGTTAATCAATTATTATTAAAATTAGTTAATCAATGTTGGCAATCAATAAGGAATGTTGTTAATCAATTGGAAAGGAAATTTAAGTTAACTTCAAATCTTTGAAGATTATTTAACATGACTTAACAATGCTCTACATAACAACATGAACTAAAAAAATATTTCAAGTTAATTAAATAAACTTGGCAAACAAGGTATAACTAAGAGATGGGGTGTGGTGATATCAAAGTCACAATCAAAATTGATTTGATTCCTTTAATTCATAAATACATCACATTCATTGTTTACAGTCATTGGAAAATTTATAACTTAATTAATACTAATTACATATTTTACACTGTACATCATATATTAAATATTAAATCCCAATTTTCTCATACATTGCTTGTGAGCTTCAATAAGATTTTGACAGTTTGCTTCACCATTTTCAATGATGCTGAAATAATAATAGAGATTAATGGATAAAAATGAATTGAAATAAGAAAATAATGGACCTATGACTTACTAAGAATTTTAATTTATTGGCAGTATATACATACCAAGCATCTCTAGCTTTTTTCGTTTCCGGACATGCACAGCAGGGTTTCAACTTCTTTTCTCCAGCTTTTTCTGCTGATTTAACATCAGCTGCTGCAACTGACATCATGTTGCGTTATACACAACCACTCTATGTAAAAATAGCAACAAAGTTAACCAATATTACCGACAGTAACCTGAACTTACGATAAGGTTATTTATGTGCTGCAAAGAGATAATATCTGTGCCAAAGTATACTTGATCAATCTTATTCGACCAACTAAAATTTTTGTTAACAATGATTGAATAATAAATAAAGATTTATCTTTAGTGTAAAATGTTTTCTCATTTCTTTTAACCCGCCTTTACGAATGTTAGCAGTTGTGCGATGATATTCATGTCTGTATATTGTCAATATTTTAACCACAGCGTCAATATTTTAATCCTTTGTTTGAAGGCGGTTTAAAATTTCTTCCTCACTTCATCTTACTGGTAGCTTTCCATGAACATGTTTGAGTTGAAGTGGAATGGGTCCACTGCAGATTTCCAACCATAAATTAATTCTTTATTGTTTTCATTAACCAAATGGGGGAAATCGTTTCTATGAGGACATAATATCGGTTTCCTTCAGCAATTCTCTCCAATGTTTTGAGTGTTCATGATATGCTCAGCTGCCTTCAAAACGGCACAAGGGCAAAAGTAGTCTGATGTTCCTTCCAAGGCCATAAAGCTTTGTTTAGAAGTCCCCATGTGTATAAAATTTAGGTACTCAGTAATCCAGGACCCGATTGTCTTCCTAATTGAACTGAACAGTAGGTTTGAACTTTCTCAAAATGTTCCCTTTCCTGCTTTACACTCACCGCCAGTTCTACTCTCGTTGTGTGTTTGTACTCACGCATAGTAGTTTTTCATATTCGGCTAAAGGGGTTTTCCTGGGCTTAGGAGAGAGTAATGCCAGGGTTAAAAAATCCCGAAACCAGATTTCCTACTTTAATCTTTGGTTTTTCAGGTTGCCGGTCAAGGCGTATTTTAAATACTTGTTAACCCGCTCCTAGATCATATAATTAAAAATTGTATAATATTACAGGTAGTAAACTAACGGCTAGACTACTTTAAGTATGTCTAGCAACGTAATTTCCACTTGAAAGGAGAAATTAAAAAAATCCTACTTCAGCCCACTGAAATACTAGCATAATGAAAGTTTTATGTTTTAAACGCATATTTACATGACACAATTAATTGATAATAACCAGAACGAATTTATATAGTATAACAGAGAAAGTTTTCTGCCATCATGAAAAGTACAATAAAAAGAGCTTTTTCAGTTTATCCTTAGTATAGTGCATTTTAAACAAAAATGTATCTTTCACTGTATATGAACATGATTGTAAACACTCTCTTATGTATTGCATTCCATCTACTGTGTGCTGGATTTGATCTTGAAAGTAACCTGCATCTTGGAAAAGCAATTCAGAGCTAGTAGTTTTCTAATATGTCATATACATTTATGCATTAGGTACCAATGAGTCACATCTTTGCATTGACATTTTTATGCCTCTATTTTGGTCAATACTTTAATTTAAGTTAAACTACTATGGATTTAAAATTATTTTTAAATAGATTTTGCACACAATATAATAATAAAATACAATATTGAATTATATTATATATATAGTAAGTGATTGGAGTAGCTAAGTGAGTTAGGCAATGGACCGCTAAGCTAAAGGTCCTGGAATCAAGTCTGGCTGATAAGTAATTTTTCATCAGCCATGAAATGACCCTGGGATCAGGAGACCCTCCTAGGGTATTCTCAGCCTATATAAAATGGGTAATCTTAATTAAATAATTAATAAAGGGGACAACCTGGTGGTTAAGCATAATCCTGGCCTGATCACCTCCCAGTACAACCATTAGCCATGAAACAGTCCTTTCTAACAAAGTACTGAACCCTAAATCCTTCATAGGTTGTAGTATTACAGATTTTTCTTATATGTAGTAAGACAATTGATAATTAACATTGCAAATTACAACACAAGTTGTATCTTCAAATTTTAATAAAGATAATTAGAAGTCCTCAAAACCGGGTTCCCACAGACCTCCTATATATGTTTGTATAGGTATTGATACTCTTTTAGAGTGATAAGCTCAGGAGGCCTCAAAACATAAACAGGTATGTTACTGTAAGATGTAGTAAGATAAAGACATTTAAATATATTTTTGCATTTAATTTAGAGGTTTATTATTTATTCACTGATATTGGCTAACGTAAAGACATTCATAAACTATCAATAAGTAAAAGTAAAAGAACAAAATTTTTAAAACTGAAATAACATATGATAAAAAATATTATTTTATTTTAAAAAACAAAACAAAAAGTATAACAAATATATTCATTATAAAAATTACATCAATGTCTGAAATTTGTTGGCTTAAGATTACAATAAAAAAATAAAAAACGTTAAGATTCAACTCTTTTCAACTAATACGATAAATATTAGTAAAGACATCATGAACAATATTTGTATTGGACTTTTCATCCAAATAGGTAAGGCGATGGTTGTGATGTCACTGTTGGTAAATTAGTTTCCAGCATAAAGACTATATGACACCATAAAACTCCACCAAGTGGACAGATCTTCCATTGCTGTAGTAATTTTTTGATTCTCTTCGTTTGATGCTTCTTGTTTTTATTATTTATCCAGTTTGCCATTGTTTTTCAAATAAAACTAATTTAAAAAAGAGGAGAAAAGTTATGAGATCATAAGTTTAGAAGAGGTCATGAAATAGTACACCTTTAAATATCTTCAACTTGTCTAATTAAATGCAGCTATCAACATTTATACACAACCTAAATGTCATTTAATATTGAAATTTTACTTTAAACAAAATTTAAAAAAAAAATCAAATTCATAAATTAATATATGAATTCATCCAGAATAAGAATTATAAATATACAGATAAAAGTCACTAGAGATAAATTAGTGTTGAATTTAAAATTCCCATAAATATGAAGCCATGACAAGATAAAAATACATTTAAAATTATCTGAAAACATTAAAAACAGTTTGTCTATATTTGATTTGTCATTATCTAATATCTTCTGTATTAAAGTTTTAATCAGTATGACAGTATTAACTGTCTTTTTCACATCCTTTCACTTTTCGAAGTTGCTCTACATATTTGTAGTAACGTTCTCTAAACGTTTCTTCACTATATAGGATACCATTTGAGGATGAATTGGGCTAAAAACAAAAAAAAAATCATGAATTAATATGAATATAAATAGCAGTATTAGATAATGTTTTTTTAGTGTTGAAGAATCCTGAAGCTGGTTGTGGTGAGCCATTTATCAAATAATTTGACATTTAATAAATTATAAGAGCACCAATCTAAACACAGGCCAGTACTTTTACCAGTACACAAACATTTGCAAATACTCCAAACCATACCACTGGCACACAGTTTGCCATTTGTGTGGATCCTAAGTAAGAATTAAGGGAAAGAAAATTCTAAAGATGATTATAAGATAGATTAAAGTGTATACCTTGAAGTTTTTATTTTTTTCATAAGTAAGCAATCTTCTGGAAGAAGTAGTAGATAATATCTGTTCAGAATTTCCAACCAATTGTAAGCAGTCATGATGCGGTAATTTCTTTTCATCATATTCACATCTGTAATTTTAATCCTTTATTTATCATCGATACATATTTTGATTCTTATTGTTTACCATGATTAATAAAAATTACTTGACAGTTAAATATATCATAAAACTTAAAAGGTATAATACTAATTATTAAAAAATAAGAAGTTTATTTATCCAATAAAGATACTGTGGCAAAAATCCAGAATAATAGTTCCAGATCTTTTCATTTTCCATATTTTCTGATGAAAAATTCTAAATTTCTACCTGATAATAGGAAGCCATGTCACTAATCGGGCACCAACTGTCAAGTGTAATGCAGCGAAATCCAAGAGATCAGACATGAGGCGACATAGAGGGTAAACAACTTTACTAGGGATATGTGTAGGCAGGTGTTGTTCGCTGATTCTTTTTTCTTCTTTACGACAACCAACCTTTTCTATGGCCTCCCTCATACCATATGGAGCTGAAAATTTATTATAAGAATATTTAAATAAAAACAAAAGTTCAATAAAATTTAGCTTTGAAATACACCTAAATATGTCCCACTTAAATTTTATGCTTTTAATAAATGTAGACTCAAGGAAGTTAGATGGTTTCCATCATAAATTATTATATGATAGCTTGATTTGTTTAAATCAGTAATTAAGAACTAGACTGTTCAGAGATTGATTAGAGCCTACTTTGTAGAAATAAAACTCTATTAAAAAAGTATTTTTATGAATTATAAATTAACTTATTACAAAGGTAAGTCAATAAATCTTGAGTCTGGGCTATCCTGAATTTTTTTGCTGTGAATTCAGTGTGTTGCAGGTTGATATATATTTTCTGAATCTTTTGGGTCCTGAACAATATGAAATTCACAGAATCATGATGTTCAATATATTACAACAACGGAAGTGAAATCAAACAAGTAAGTGTGAAGTAGTCTTTCCTCTCTTCCTCCTCCCACCACATATTATGTAGAGTAAAAGTGTTTATTTTTTTCCCAACATGGTATGGAATAATCAAGTTGCTTAACAACTAGATGATTCGATGGTCAAGCATGATGTAGCATGGGACCCAGAGTGCCTGGTTCTAAACATTCTTGGTACGATTCCCACCTGGAATGATCCCACAACTGACGTTAATATTTGTTTTACAGTAGCCACGGGAAATGAATCTTAACATTCCCATTCTGGTGAGTTTGAATCTCAAGATAGCCGTCAGAAGTTGGCAAAAAGGACCATAAGACCCACTTGCCAGACTAGTTCTCACTACCAGTACCAGTACTTTACAACTGATAGAAATTAGGAATTCTTCAATTGAATACTCATACAATAGTTACATTTACTAAACAATCTTTCTTTATTCAGTAGGTAATAACAACTATTGGAAGAAGATCAGCTGACAATGGTAGAGCTAATTTGTCCTTCATTTTACAATTGTAACTGAATAACAACAACAATCATGGTGTGAACATAATTTTTGTTGCAGAACAGCCAACACAAAGAACCACAGAGTGTACTCGCCTTAAGAGTGAAAACAGTAGATAGCAGCAGGGATAGAGGTATTATCATTATCATCATCATCACAGGCGCCAATATCAATACTTCGCCTCCATTCCTCTTTGTTTTGTGTAAACATCTGCCAAGCTCCAGTGTCCAGAAGCATTGTCTTCGACCTCATCCCGGCCGTCTTTTCTTTCTTCTGCCATCCACATACCTGAACAGTAGCAGCTTGATTGGTGAGTCCCCATCCATCCTTGCGCATGCCCAGTCCATCTTAGCCTAGAAAGCCGTATAAATTGCACCACACAGTAAATTTGGTACAACTGTACATTAGGCCTTAGCTTATACTGATTGTCAACTTTTAGAGGGCCAAACATCCTTTTCAAGATTTTTCTCTTAAAAACCTGTAACCTGACGGCATCTATTCGTGATAATGGCCATGTCTCTGAGCCATATGTCAGTACAGGTCTAATAAGAGATTTGTACAGAACGATCTTTGTGGATCTAGACAGCAAATGACTTTTTAATAATTTAGCAAGGCCAAAATAATACTTATTAGCTGATGTAATTCTTCTCTGTACTTCTTGGCTAAGCATATTTTTTGCACAAACTAAGGATCAAAATCATTTATGCTTTCAAATATGTATCCTCCAAATGTAACTGTAGGTGGTGGTGGCCTTGATATTTATTTTGGTAATTGGACTAAAAATTATTTGTCTTAGCTTGGTTAATACTTAGACCCAAACCATTACCTGTCCTGCTGCCTCTATAACTAAGAAGGTTCTTTTTAAGTCACTCTGAAATTTAGCTATAATATTTATGTCATATGTCATTCGTACTGATTCAGTGAGAATCATTCCAATTCTTTGCACTTTGGAGTCCTTCATCACCTTTTCTAGTGGAAGATTAAAGAGCAGGCATGATAAGCCATCTACTTGTCTTGGGCCCCTTGTAGTCGAGAATGCCTCTGACAGGTCTCCCTGTATTCTGACTTGACACCTTGGTCCTATCATCAGCAGCTCTGTAAGGTATATCAATTCAAGGGGAATATTCATTGTTTCCATTGCCTGGTACAACCTTTCTCTGATGACGTTGTCATATGCACTGCTAAAATCTATGAAAAAATGGTTTGTGGTATTGATAGAGATATTATAGGCCTTTAAAATTGAAATTAAATATGTATTTAGTAGAGAGTGCACAAAACCGAGAGGTGAGGATTTCTGAAATACTAAAGGAGACCACAGAGATTTTTCATGAAACATATGACTATAAATGTCTCTCTCACACATAGAAATGTTCTACCCATAGATATTTTTATTTTCAGTCATTTGATATTATGTTTCCATAACAATAAAGTATAGCCATTAAATGAAACTTGTACAATTGATATTTTTAGGTTTACCTATATATGTGGTATATAGTAACGGAAAGTATTGCGATCATGAAAAATTTCAAACTTGGGTTTTCAACAGAAATACATATTTCAGGTGACCTGAGCCTCAATAACCAACTTTCGCAAAATGGTCAGTGTGTGTTCATATTTGAAGTATATATGCTGCAATATCTATAATTTTCACTTACTAATATACCAAAATACATATTTCTACTCAATGCAATGTGGTTAAAGCAGCGTAATGCATGAAATGCACCAAATGTTTTATTTTTTGCTTGTTCGCAATCAAAGATAGAGAAGCTCTGTATTCATATAGAAGTTAAAAAGGTACTCAGAATAAAAATGTATACTAGTATTTTATATTTTGGATATCAAGGAACAAATTTGGTTCTGTTTCTTGTTAGTCGCTAGTCAAATCCATATAACATGCATATCACCATTTACTGGGTTAATCCAATTTTCAGAGATGATACAGATCTATACCTAGATGGTCCCTTATAAATGTCATCAAATTCAATCAATATCTTTTGTATATGTTCACATAAATATATTTTGTTAGACGCCTATATTTCAAAAATAGCTAGTTTAATTCAACTCAAAATTGGAGGATAGTAAGGGATTCATAATATACATTTGGCAATTTAAATGACCTTCATCTAAAGTTATGTTGGATAATTAACAGGATATCAAATCAAAATGCTATATTTATTAAACCCTTATATGAATCATCTACTTTAGACAGTTTTATAAGTATATAACAGTAATAAAAAAAAATCACAGAATTCCACAACTAATACCAAAATAGGAAATATATTCCTTAAAAAATAATCTTGAGTCGATACAGTAATACTAATAAATACTTTGATAGTGAACTTACGATCTGTAATGATAGCATCAAAAAGGATATCAGGTCGCCATAGAGGCAGAGATGAATCGGCAACAATTATATCAATGTAATGATCTTCCAACTGATACTGCTTCATGTTACAAAAAACACTTTCGTTATTTCTTGGTTTATCCTGAAAATTACAAGGACGTCAAGGATTTATTTCCCTGTAAATGATTTGTTTAAGGCAAGCATAGATAAATATTTAAGAGTTCATAATAAATCATTTGGGTAAATTCTTGTTAAATTGAAAAATCATCCTGCCGATAGGCTGATATTACATTTTTTAATTTATTATTTTTGGCCATTAAACTGCTCAATAATTCAAATAATATCATTTATTTATATAACTTTAATTATATATAAGCATTTTAAAGATTTTAATTTTTAATAAATGATTCTTTTATATTAATTAATTTTTATTTTTAACTAGCTGTTCCCTGCAGTTTCACCCATGTTAAATATGGATTTCATACACATGATTACAATAAGACTAAGTGCATTTGATTAACTCAATATTATCCAAAATTGATAAGGAAAAAAAGGACTGATCACTTTTTAAATCATACTATAATTTTCTGAAAATAGTTTGTTCAAACAAACAAACTCTTAGGCCCGCCGCAAATGGAGCGCAGGGCAGGCACAGCACAGGGGGCAGCAGTATGTGCCTATTCCCGATTAACACTAACAAGTTATTTATAATATAGGTCTAAATAAATAAATACTTAATTAAATAACTTGTTAGTTTTCATCAGGAATAGGCACATACTGCTGCCCCCTGTGCTGCGCCTGCCCTGCGCTCAATTTGCGGCAGGCCTTAAGCTTTACGTATTAGTATACATTTTTAAAACTCAATTATTGAATAAACAAATTATTTAAATTAATGAAAAGTTGGTAGATTTTATTATTGCTAAAACTGAACGGGACCATGAATATGATAGAGTTAAAATTTAGTAAAGATCAGATTAATATTTTTCGCCATTACGAAATACAAACAAAAAATAGGCTGTTTTTAATAGGAATTGAGAGATAAAATAACGGCATATTGTATATCAGCTTTTGGCTTATTGCCGGTATCAGCTGATACCAGAAGCCAATATAATGATATGTTTATTTTTCTTAATGAAAAAAAAATAAATATCTTTATTGGCAAGCAACTTTATACTTCCTATAACAATGGGTTCCGTTGATTCTGAGAGTAGTAAGTCTCCATTTGAGTGAGTTAATTGAGATGAACAGTTCATTTATTATAGTTTTACAGAATTAATATAACAATATGTTAAATAATAAAATATAATATAATACAGATATTATCAATCTCTAGGGGATCTATTGATACATTTAGTAAGGAATAAGTATTATTTGACCTATCAATAAAGTTTCATGGTAATTGATGATCCCAAGCCCTCGTCCTCTCACCTTGTTAGATGAATTATAGTTACTAATAATGTAGTAAAAAAATAGTCATAATAACTGAAAGAAGTTTTCTTCAATAGAACATTAATTTTATATTAATATTTTATCCTATCAATCAATATCTTTGTGCCATGTGGAAATTTCAAGTATTTATAAATTCTTCTTGATCTCCAAAGAAATCATCTACATTTTTCTATGAGTATAATAGTTAGAGGTTATCATTAAAAACAAGCTATTTTATTTGTCATGGTATAAAAAGTTTCTCAGAAAAAAAAAAATGAATTAAATCGTCTAATATAAACATCTGGAAAAGAAAAATTTCTATACCTAACCTTGTAATAAAAAATTATTATAAAATTCAGAACAGAAATAATGATTCAGTGAGTAGTTACCCTATCTTGTTTCCTTGTGGGTCTACTTTTTCCATGAAGCATTAAATAGTCTATATCAGTACCTAGTACATAACCACCAAATTCAGCAGCTGCTATAAGAAGCGATCCTAAAATTGAAGTAAACTATTGATTTATCACATTTCATAAATAAAAAACAATGAAACCATACAATAAATAATTACTAACTAATCATGTTTCACCTGTTTATTGACTAATATTTTTTTTAGATTCCTATCTCTTACAAAGGTCTTGGGTTTATTATTTTATAAGAACTGTTTCATGACCAACAGTTGTGCAAGGAGGTAATTTCACCGATTACGGCTCAACCACCATGTTTTCCCTCCAATTATGGAAACCCACTTTATAAAGGCTGGTTGTGCCGTCGAAGAGTCTCCCGATAATAGGGTTGATCCAAGGCTGATAAAACAAATTAATCTGCCACAGCCAGATTTGAACTTGGACCAGAGAGTTAATAGGACAATACCTCACCCACTAGGCGAGAAAATTTTGCCAAACATACCATATCGGAACCTATCTCTAAATAAAGAAGTGAAAAGAAATAAAAAGCTTTAGTCAAAATATTTATTAACAATTACTACAAAGATTGAATAATAAAAAATACAATTCAAACCAAACTTGAACACCAATGTCAAACAACAAGGACTAATACCTTCCAATGTTTAAAATCATCAATATCTTGCACTGTTCTAACTCATAGGGAGAAAATGGAAGGCAAAAGAATATTATATTTATTAAAGCATATTTATATATATATGGAATAATATGCATTTGCATCGTGTATGCACATTTCTAAAAAATATATGCCTCTTCTGCAAGGTTACTACAGCAGAGAAAAAAAATTATATATATATATGGTAAGTAGGGATATATGGAACTAGCTTTGTATTATTGAACATGTTTAAGGAATAACAAGTAACATGATATACTTTTCATAAGTTTTCATTTTATAAATAAAATAAATGGAATATTTAAAAAATATTTTTTCTTAATGCCTCTTGATTCTATTGATTTTTGCCATTAGTCTTCTCGCAGCATCAAGACTGTTCTAGGCGATAAGCTGTAATCGATTGGTTCTCTTCGTATATAGATGATATCCAGGGAGCATGGTTTATAATAAACGGACGAGATCACAATCATTCCCTCTTCATCAGGATGGTTGGCAACCTTTTGCAGACATCTCTATCCTTTTTTTTTTTTTTTTTTTTTATAGGACAGGGTTATTAGCCCAGTGCCCAACATCCAAATCTAGAGGACCTAAGGAGCTATATTATTAGACATAGGGGTCGCTCTCATTTTCCTATGAATCTCAGGCTGGGGACGTTAACATACCAATACGGCGATCGAACCTGCGCCGTAATGGTCTTAGCAATCGAGTAGTGACTGCACTTATTTATTTATATCTTTTTTTTTTTGTTATTTAATCCTGCGAATGGGATTTAGAGTCGTTACATAAAATTTTTGCAGGCGCCTTAACTCACTTGACCACCGCAGCCCCATTTAAAAAATATCATATGTATATCCTGATGTCAGCAATAGTATAAAAAAAAAAGTATTTTCTGTTTGATGTCAGAATGTCAGCAGTAAATAATAAAGCAAATGGTGAAATATCAGTACTATTAAAATAACATGATAAATTATTAATTAACTTATTTTCTAAATAACTTAATAGGAATATAATAGAAAATAAAGTTTCAACAAAATTTTATTCAATACCTGAGCCTACAAATGGGTCAAAGACGAGATCTCCCTTACTAATCTTGGCTTGATTTGCCATAATTAGAGACAATTGGGGATCCATACTTGTATTGCCAATAAATTTTCTTTTTTTAAGTGAATGTTTAGAAATTAAATCACGCTGGCATTGAGCAACCTATACAACACAGAAAAATAAATAAAAATTACATTATAATACTTCCTTTCCTGATGTTCTCAAAAACAATACCTGTCATATGAATTAATCAACAAGTCAATTCAATTGTTAACATTTCCATTTAGAATACAATTTTTTAAATTTGATTATATTTATTTATGGAAATATGAAACAAAAATTGATGTGATTGAAAACCATGGTAAGGTTTTCGAACTGCTTGCCAACTGTGATAAATAAATCATAACTTTTTTTTTTCTTGAACAAATACAAATTCATAAGAAATAAATATTTTCATCTTCAGTCATTGACAAACAAAAAAAAAACAAAAAAAAACCAGAATTTATATGTGATAGAAAGTTTACTTTTCTTTCCTTAAACACGGATTCATACTTGTATTGCCAATAAATTTTCTTCTTTTGAGTGAATGTTTAAAAATTAAATCACACTGACATTGAGTAACCTACATAATACAGAAAAATAAATAAATAATAATGACATTCCTTTTCAGATGTTCTCTAAAACAAGACGAATCATACAAATTAATCAAGTCACTTCAATTGTTAACATTCCATTTAGAATACAATTTTTAAATTTTATTTATTGAAATATTAAAACAAAAAGTGATGTGATTGAAACCCATTGTGAGGCCTCAACTGTGATAAATAAATCATAATTTTTTTTTCTTCTTGAAATGTATAAATTTTTAAGAAATAAATATTGCCATCTTCAATCATTGACAAAAATATGTAATCAACACTTCAATCCAATTCAATTTTATTATTAAAAAAAACAAAAACAGAATTTATATGTGACAGAAAAGTAAACTTTTTATCATTTCTCTACTTACACATGGATTTTTTTTTTATATCTAAAGAGATAGGTTTTTGAGATTATGTTTTTGAAAACTGAAATTGCAATGATATTAGATCTTATATCTATGTAATACTACTTCAAATAATTAGTTCGACATTTATTTTTGTTATTTGATAAGAACTATAGCCCAAGACAGGCAGAGATAGAGCAGGCTTGTTAAGGCGGCAAAAGATATACATGGTCTGTAATGCCAACAGACAATTTGATAGGGAGTAGGCAATGAGAATTGTTAAAAATACTATAACATCTATAGAAAATGCCCTTGTGATGTTTCTACACAGAGAGAAATGGAGTAATTAATTAAATAAAATTATTATATCAACCTTGAATTAATAGATTGTGTAAGGATAACATAAAAACATTGTCCTGAAGAAAATAAGAAATTCCTACAATAAGGATCCTCTCTCAAAATTTCAGTGATAAAAAGTAATTTATGAGATTACACATACACATTATAGTTTTCATAATTACAGATTTATTAATATCTCTTACATCAATGAAAATGCTAAAAGGACTAAATAATCCCATGACGTGTCTTGGGTTCAGCACTTTATTTTTTATTTATCATCATTATACTTTAAACTTTGTCCAATAAATGGGATTTTCACAGCACAAAAATATATTTTAATAATACAAATATTCTATGAAATGAATTTTTTTTTAAATATATAGCAAAATAAAGGGCTACATTTTAGAAAATAAAACATTACCACACGGCCAAAATACAATTCCCTTGGGTGCAGTGGAGCAATACTGTGATCCACACCATAATACTCAATATACTGTAGAGCCAGTTCTGGATTTTTTAATTGAACTCTGCCATTTAATGGTAGATAATTGAAACTCTGAAACAATAAAAAAAAATAATAATAAAATTGAACATGTTATACTTTCAATTAATACCATACACTCTAGAAATTATTCACATCAAGTCTTTTACACGTTAATATATATTAAAAAAAAAAAAAAAAATTATAACAGAAATAAAACCAATAGTTTTTCTATAGTAAAATATAAACTATTCCTTGACAAAGATAACTATGTAAACATACCTCTATTTTATCAAGTTTTTCTTTTTGTGTCTGAGACTTCCCAAATATTTCTACTTTAATTTTGAAAGATGCATCACTGTAAGGAGCCAACAAAGAGTGAGATAATCCATGCAGTTCATTATGAAGTTCAGAAACTGAAGGAGCTGTGCTCCATAAATCAATTATATAACGCACGGTAATGGAACGACTAGCAATTTTTGTAGCAGATTCATCTGAATCAAGCTCTCCAATCCAAAAAGGCTGAAAACAATTAAATTGAATGTTCATAATAATATTATACTAAAACAACACTTCTAAATAAAATAACCAAATACACTACATTAAAATAATGATAAGTCATAATAAACCAGGAGTTCAAAGTCAATACTATCAAAATCAGTCTTTGGTTCACCAGGGTGGCTACCAGACAGTTAAAGTTAAATTCCCTGACTTTTCCATATTAAATGATAGTTTATATTTTTCCACCTTTTTCACTGAAGTAAGTAAAATTTCAACTGTATAAGATCAAACTTAAAGAAATTCTCTGAAATAACCAGGTAGTGAGGAAAGTGTTTTTATGACTACCAGTGAAATATTTTTATGGTGATTAATTATCTTTCTATGATTCATTAATCAATCAATCCGACAACTTTTAAAATCTATTTCAACAAAAAGTTATTAATTCACTAATCAACTAAAGGCAAGTGTTGGATATAGAGGAACGGATGGTTATATAAGCAGAACACAGGAACTGAAGAACATAAAGCAGAAAAAAGATCCATAAGAGCATTACCTTGCCACAAAAAATGTAGTGAACTATGATGCTTATAAAAATAAAAGAAAGATAGTGAAGGCAGCTGTAATCCTGGCATAGAGGAAGGCATAGGAGGAATTTGGAGAGAAACCAGAGGTTAATTTCAAAGAAAACCAAAAACTCTTCTACTAAGTGCTAAAATTCATAGGTAAGGAAAGGGAGCCAGTCCTAAAATTCATCAAGGACAGAAGTGAAAAACTTTTGAATAAAAGCAATAATGTAATAGACACCGGGAAAGAATACTTCCAAGAAATACTTGGTGGAATTGACGTTAGGAATAGGACCAATGGTGACAACCAAGAACAGCAGAGAATCTGGGAGGAGGAAGATTTTATAGATGAAGAGGAGTTGGATGAAGCACTACAAAATATGAAGTTGGGAAAAGCAGCAGGTAGAGATGGTATATCACCTAAAATTCTCTGATACAAGGGAGAACATGGAAGGAAAGTTCTTCTCTATCTTATCAAGCTAATTTGGAGGGAGAAAAGAATACCAAAAGATTGAGAGGTTTCCACCATGGTCTCAATATACAAGAAAGGAGAACAGGATAAACAGAAAGTGTGAAAATCATAGAGGAATTTCTCTAAGTGACCTATGCAAGATATATGGACAGATCCTGGAAAGAACACTGAGAATAAGGGTCGACAGTAGCTTAGACGATGAGCAATATGGATTCCGCAATCACAGAAGTACACAAGATCTTATCTTAACTATGAGGCAAATATCTGAAGAACTGACCGAAAAGGAGAAGTAAGTCGTTGTTTTAAATTGTAACTCTGTCATAAATCACCCACACTCATCCCTTGGCCTGTGGAAAAAGCGAGGAAGGGAAGGACAAAAAAAAAGATAAGTAATAAGTTTATTACTAACATAATATAACATTATTTCTTAAAGGTGTCTTTTTTTTTTTTTTTTTTTTTTTTTTTTTGTGGCAAGTAACATCTTTGTTAATTCAATGAGTGAGTCATCATTTTGAATATTAACTTTTCCTTCAGATGGTAAAAATAAGCATATCTCTTGGAAAAATCAAGCCAACAGTTATAATGAAAAGGAAATGTTGAAGAGAGGATTGATTGTGGAGATCAGTCAACCAAAAAGATGTTTATTTATTTTAAATTTATTTATTCATATTAAATAAGTATATTTATTTTTATTTTTGCAGACGTTTCTGCCTAAAGTTCAGGCCTTCATCAGGGCTTAGAAAATAACAAAAAACAATAGGTATGAGAAACTATTAACATTAAAAAAAATAAAAATAATACGTGGGTGTAGTCTAAAAAATGTAGGTAGAATAAACTTAAAGTAAAATAAAGTAGGTAGAATAAATTTAAAGGAAATATAATAGAATGATAACAAAGTTAGGGATAGAAAATAGCAGAAGCAAAGTCAGGATATATAACATAACGGTAACAGAGTTAGGAAATTATGAATAAAATAGTAACAGTAACAGAGAACTACGAAATAAACATAATCAAAATAAAGTAACATAAGAAATGAAAAATGAATTAACAACAAAATGTAATGGAATGTATGAGATTTTTTTTGTTTTAAATTAAGAAGTTTGAGATGTGTGCATTAAAGCAGTCTATTTATTTTATATTATATGAGTGGAACATGCTGGATTAATTTTTATTTTAATTTCCTTTATACATAAAGAAAACATTTCTTAATCATTTTTCTGACTTAGAAAGAGTAACATTTCATTCCATAAACACATAACTTTAGTAACTCAGTGTTTATCACTTTAAAAGATATTTTTCATTTTTTTTTTTTTTTTTAATTTTAGAAAAAATAAAATACTGGAATTGGCAGCACGAAACAGGGATGTCAGGGAGAGGGGAGGTCAAAACTGCAAGAGGCCGTTCCATATGAAATGTAGCATCATTTCAGAAAATAATTAAATAAGAATTTGTACTACTTTACAAGTGTCCCTTCAATATAATGTCCTTGTAGACCAAGATCAAACTGTTGACGGCATTAGGAAGTTATCAGAATTCTGGCAACCATGTTAACATTATGCCCACAGTAATACATACTATAAAATAATATGGATTATTAGTGGTAGCTAGAGTTATTATTTGCTTAAATTAGATCATAACTGTCAATTTAAAGATAAGCGAATCCCTCACAGATTCTTTCCAGCTGAGGTTGGGATCTTATCAATGAGGAGACCTTGAACGTTGAGTTGGATGCTTTTCACTTCATCAAAGAATATTTACAACACCAGATACCTTCCATGATTTATTTTTTAAGAGAGGTCTAAAGATTGGTTGCCTCTCAAATTTAAAACACATCTGACTCTTTTCTTTATTATGTCTACATTATGATCTTGGTCCAGCATCATCTTTATCTCGGTCCTCCATAAGACTAGAGAACTAATGCCAAAAATCAATGTTAAATAAAATAAAAATTTATGACACGAATCTGTAAAAGAATCAAGTATATTACAAGGTTTTGACTATTTGAACATACAAAATACTTACATCTTCATAAGGCGTTTTAAGCCATTTCAAGTCAACATTCAATAAACTAACAATAGATTTGATTTCCTGGAAAGTAACAACAAATAACCAGAGTTAAAAAAAATGTGGATGTTGACAAAACAGAATTGTATACCAAAAATACTTACATTAATTCTAAAATCTAAATGTTCATTAGCAAACCAAAATAAATACTTTTTCATGCCTGAACTCATAATACATTCAATAATTCATAAAAATTACATAAAGGAAATAAAAAATCTGACTTCAGTCATAAAGTAAAAAAAAATTAACAAAACAATTAATGAATTAAAAGTTTACATTTATATTAAGGATTAAAATATCTTTAAAACTACATATTTGTAGACATTTTATTGTGAACAAAACTCAACTCTGCCTAAACATCCCTATACTAAAGTAACTATGTGTGCCTACTTTTCAAATCGAATACCTCCAAGAAACCTCCCGCTTCAGCCAAAGAGTACTCAACTTGTAGGTAAGCGATTTTGGTCGGCAACGACTTCTTTGGTATTGCTGTTCAATAAGTAAAGTGGATGTAAAAATGTTTTTTTTGTATTCTATATTTTTTTTTTTTTTTTGGACTTACATATATCTATCCGCATCTGTCAATTATGATTGACAATCAGCAGATGTGCTGGCGTAGTAATGGGAGAAAAAATAATAATAATAATAAAAAATAAATAAAAAGGCTTGATAGGCATGAGGAATAGCAATACCCAGCGGTATCCCTTCCATGGCTTTTATTTATTAAAACATTATTTCAGCAGATCCCTCATCCAGACCGTTTTCAGTCGTCTTCTGGAGTTCTCGGGCATACTAATTGTGGCCATTTCTTTTACCAGCTGGTTGGAGTGCCCGTTTAACATGTTATGAAATCGTTTGTAGTACGTTCGTATGTGTTCGTTGACTGTCGGAACGTGTAAGTCGGTGTGTAAAGTGTGATTGTTAACGTACCATGGTGCTTGAGTGATTAGTCGTAGTATCTTCGACTGAAAAGTTTGAAGTTTTTTTATGTGAGTTGGTTTTGCAATTCCGTATATTTGTTGTCCGTAAGTCCAAAGAGGTTTTAAAAGATATATGTAAATACTTAGTTTCTGTCTTGCTTTTAATTTGGAATGTCGTCTTAACAGTGAATGTAACAATTTTAGTCTTAGATTTAATGTGATTCGTTTTTTCTTCATATGTGGACCCCATGTTATTCTCCTATCGAACGTAAGGCCTAAGTATTGTACTCTGTCTGTTTGTGGAATCGGTACATTATCTAAGTATACATGAGGGCATGTTTCTGGTCTTAGAGTAAATGTGATGTGCTGTGACTTTTGATAATTTATTTGAGTTTTCCAAAGTTTACACCAATCGAGTATAATCTGTAAGTGATGTTGTAAGTTAAGTGATGCTTCTGTAGGATTGTCATGCCTGGTAATGATAGCAGTGTCGTCTGCGTAGGTTGCTGTAAGAGTGTGGATACTTTGAGGAATGTCGTGTGTGTATATGATGTACAGTAGTGGGGCTAGGATTGATCCCTGAGGTACGCCAGCTAAAACTGATCGAATTGAGGATAGACCTTGACCATGTCGAACGGAGAAAAATCTATCTGAGAGAAAAGAATGGAGAATTAAGTAGTAAGTATGTGGAAGTATGGTCTTAAGCTTGAAGAGAAGCCCCTGATGCCATACTTTGTCAAACGCTTGGGCGACATCCAGAAATACTCCGGTTGCATATAGTTTTCGCTCTAGTGCTGTCGATATGTAGTCAGTTACCCTGTGTAATTGCTGTGTTGTTGAATGTAATTTTCGAAACCCGAATTGATGGTCAGGAATAATCTGTCTGTCTGTTAGTATATGTAATAGTCGTGGGTACAATAGTTTTTCGAATAACTTAGAACATATTGGAAGTAAACTAATCGGTCGATATGAAGAAGGATTGTTAGTGTCTTTGTCTGGCTTTTTAATCTTGGTTATGTGTGAGTATTTCCATTTTATAGGAAATTTGGTGGTCCTGAGAATGCAATTGAAGATTGTGGTAAGAAACACTAGAGCTTTCCTTGGCATTTGCTGGAGCGCCTCAGCAGTTATCAAGTCATGACCAGGGGTTTTTCTTTTGGGCAATTGTCTAATTTCTTGTGCAACTTGTGATGGTGTGAAAGGAGGTGGTGGTAGTGTGAGCTGTAACGGTATGTCTAAGTTAATTTGTACAAAAATATCGTGTTCTGTATTAATTAAGTCAGTATGTGGTTTGAAAACAGTGGAAAGGTGGTTAGCAAAGAGTTCAGAACTTTCCTCGTCCGAAACAGCCCAAGAACCATCCTCTCTTCGTAGGGGTGCTGACACCTCACGATGCTTTAGAAGATTCCTTGTATGTCTCCATAAACTTCCATCGTCCGTCGAAAGGTTGTTAATAAAATTGTCGTAGTTTGTGCTTTTGAATTTTTGAATATGTCTTTTGAGTTCGTTGTTCAATCTGTTAAAAGTTTTTCTATCTGATGGAAGTCTATTAGTCTACCATACTTTACGTGCTTTTCTCTTTGCTCTGATCAAGTCCCTTATGTACATAGGATAATGGGGCAAGTTCGCTGCTTTTTGTGGCCTGGATGTTGATGAGGCCCATGCTGCATCTTGTATGCTGTTTGTGAATTTTTCAACAGCTTCTTCTAATTCCTCATGATTTTTAATTGAACCTGGAACAGAAAGATTGGTGTTCAAATGGTCTCTATATGCGTCCCAGTCCATGCAGCCTTTTATGAGCCTAGGTCTTTTTTGTGCTTCGGAAGGCGCGTCGAAGAGAACCATGTGCACTGAGGAGTGATCAGAACAAAGATCAGAGCTTGTATTGACGGCAAATGGTACTCAGAAAACATCGTGGGTGTAAGCTTGTACCTAGGGGAACAGTAAACTGAGGCAAATGTTATAGTGTAGTGTTTAGTGTATAATAATAATAATACTTTATTTATTCTGGGACGAGTCCCTTTAGAATAATACAGGAAGACAGAAATGAGAGCTAAGGAACCTCAGAGATATATAAATAAAAATACAGAGTAATTGAACAGTCTTGGTTAAAATAAATATATATATATATATATATATATATATACACATATACATATAAGTTGCTTTCCAATTTTGATCAGTTGATAATAAAAGAGAAAAAAAAAATAGATAAACAAAAATTGGAGTACAAATAATGAAGAACGAACTAATAATTTATGTACATATTTTCAGTAGTATCTATTTACGATTTTATGGGGACTGGATGGATAAGAAATGATTGAACAGGCGGGATTTAAAGGGAGGAAGGGTTTTAGATTGACGGATATGGGAAGGGATGGAGTTCCATAGAGATGAGGATCGGATAATGAACGATTTGTCGAAAGCAGCGGTTCGGTGGGCCCTTATGTATAAATCAGAAGACCGGGAACGAGTATTGCGGGAACGAACAGAGGATTTGAATTGAAGGAGCTCGGAGATGTATGAGGGACGGTGGGATTGGATGACTTGAAAGAGGAAGGATGCCAGGAAATACTTACGACGGTAGGAAGGATAAAGCCACTTTAACTCCGCGTAAAAATGGGAAACAGAGGCGTCCCTTGGGATCCCGAAGATGAATCGTACAAAGCAATTTATCAAACGTTTTAGTTTCGCCTCGAGATCCCCAGAGAGGCCCCCATATACCGTACAGCAATAGTCAAAGTGGGGAAAAATTAAGGAAGTGACTAGGAGCCTACGGGTTTCAAAAGGAAATAGGTGACGGGAGTAGTTAAGACGTTTTAGGATGGAAATGGTACGGCGGGAAATATTGGATATATGATTTTTCCAAGAAAGCGTTTGATCAATGGTTATTCCAAGATTTTTGATGGTGGGGTGAAATTTGATGGGTTATTATGTAGGAACAGAGTTGGAATAGTAGGGACAGTTTTAAGGAGGTGATTGGAGCCTATTAAGATTGCCTTTGTCTTATCCGCATTCAACTTCAGCTTGTTTGTTCTTGCCCAGTCACAAATTCCATCTAAGTCTTCTTGAAGTTTTTCTGTGGCAGATAATAGGTCGGAGGGCGGAAAGGAAAGGTATATTTGGAAATCATCTGCATAGATGTGGTATCGGGAGTGACGGATCTGGAGGGGAAGATCATTGATGTAAATAGCAAACAGAGTAGGAGAGAGAGAGGAACCCTGAGGGACACCACAGGAGAAGGGAAGTGTGTTTGAAGGAGGTTGATGAGGGACTACTACATACTGGGATCGATTGGAAAGGAAGGATTTGAACCAATGCAGGACACTGTTGGATAGAGGAAGGTTTTGCAATTTGGTAAGAAGGATGTTATGGTCAACTGTATCAAACGCTTTGGAAAAATCTAGAAGGATGAGGATAGTAAGGTTTTGGTGTTCAATGGAGTTTTGTAGGTCATGGGTTATTTTAAGGAGAGCAGATTGCGTTGAATAGCCGGGTCGGAAGCCAGATTGGCATGGGTTGATAAAGGAACGTTCCTCTAGGAGCTGATTTTGGACAAGGTGTTCTAGCGGCTTTGAGAGGTTGGATAGGAGAGAAATAGGACGGAAGTCGTGCAGTGAGGTAGGATTGGCAATTTTATTCAAAGGTCGGACTAGGGCGGTTTTCCAGGAGGATTGGAATATGGAGTTCTGCAGTGAAAAATTGTAGATATGATAAAGAACAGAAATAAGGTCAGGAAGGGTGGATTATATTAGTTTTACAGGAATATTGTCGGAACCATAATCATTGGTGTGGGATTTTAGGATGGTGGAAAGTAATTCATCATAGGACACGTGGGAGAAAAAGAAGTCTTCAGGATTGAATTTGTGATGTTTAATGTCGAAAGTATGAGGGGAAGAGTGAGTAAAGGATAAGAAATGGTTATTGAGATCATCTGGAGAAAGATCGAAGGAACTACGATTAATGGACTCTGGTATGGATAGGTTGCGGAGTATTTTCCATTTAGATTTGGGTTCGGGAGCATTGGACAGGGCATTATGGAAGTAGGTGGTTTTAGTAAGACGGACTGCGGATTGGGTTCCATTGCGAAGCGCCTTGAAAGACACATAATCCACAGCTAGACGGGTTCGACGGTATTTGCGCCTTGCTGCATCTCTTCCCCTCATCATTTCCTTTATCTCACGGGTCAGCCAAGGTGCAGTGGGGCGGCGTAAGGTTTTGGTTTTCAGAGGAGCGTGGATTTCTAATATAGATTGTAGGTTTGAGGTCAGGGTGGATACCATAGGATCAATGGAGTTGTAGGAATATATGGTGTCCCATTGCTGAGAATTAAGGTCTGGTTGAAGGGGTTCATAGGAAAGAAGGTTTAAATGGCGGTATGAAACTATTTTGGGAGTGAAGGATTTTACGGGTAGGTCGTATGTAATTTGGATCAGGTCATGTGATGAAAGAAATGGAACTGGGTGTTGAGAAGAAGAAAGGATTTTGATGGGGGAGTCAGAGATATAAAGATCTAACCAAGTATCGGAAAATTGCGTGTGGTGGGTAGGAGAATAAGAAACAAGATGAAGATTAAGGGAAAACAACAGGTCGGTAAGGAAATATTTTTCGGGAGAATGTGAAAGCATGTTCACGTTAAAATCACCGGTAATAATAATATTGGTGTAGTTGGAGACCAGGTTAATGAGGGAAGATTCAAAGAGGTTGTCAAATGGAACACGAGGAGGGTGATAAATTACGGCATACAACAGAGGAGAGGAAAGAGAGGAGATTTCAACGAACATGTATTCTATGTGAGGAAAATCATGATAAGGAGACTGTAGAAGGATTTTTATAGTGTTATTCCTGTCGATTGTATGTCGGGTGTAATGGGTAAGTCTACGGGATTGTGTTTCAGTGAATTTTTAACGAGTATAGCTGTTCCTCCATGTGCGGTTTTATCTGGGTGATCAGTTCTATAAATTGTGTAATCCTGAATGTAAATTTTTGATCGAGATTTCAGGTGTGTTTCTGTAATGAGTGCTACGTCGATCCGTTTTTCGTGCAAGTATAAGTCGAGTTCAGTACTGTGCTGTTTCAGTCCGTTGGCATTCCATAGAAGAACTGACAAGGAGCCTACAGTTAAATTATTGTGGGCCATAATTTGGGCACCAGACCTGTGTAACCTGTGACAGTTGTTGAAGAAGAATGAAAAGGGGCTGGATTAGGTTATTTAATCCATTAATTATATTAAATAATTGGGAAGAGCCATTATCTACCGGAGGTATCGGTTGGGTAATGCCTCTCCTCGTACCTGTACATGTTTTCTGGTTCGGGGGTGCTGAACTAGATGATGTTTGATTTTGTTGTTGCGGAGATTCTGCGATGATTTGTGGTTCCCCTTGGTTGTGACGTTGCCGCATTGGGGGGAATTCATGCATGCCTGGAGGTCCCTGCGCTGGCTCTGCTACTGTGGAACGCTGAAGACGATTTCTTGCATTGCGCTGAACCCTGAGGTCTCTCAGCGTCTGGCAGCCTCTGTAATTAGCGGGGTGCTGACCGGCACAGTTGGCGCATTTCGCGGGAGTATCTCTGGTTTTCAAACATGAGCTGGTTTCATGATATTCACCGCACTTTACGCATCGTGGTCGATGGTTGCAATAAGTTTTAGTGTGCCCATACTGCTGGCACCGAACACACTGAGGAATATTTCTCTTTTGACGCGGTTCCTCAATTTTAATATGTGAGTAATATAGAAATTCAACATTAAAAATTTCTTCTCTAAATGTCTCTTTTGTAATGTCCACAAAGAACATAGGAAGGGGTTTTTTAAATCGAGATATGACGTTAACTACATTGGTGGCTTCGTAACCCAATTTTTTAAATTCTTCTTTAATGATATCGACTGGTGTTCCATGGTGAAGATGTGTAACAACAATCCTTGGACATTTGTCCTGTGGAAGTTGGTAAGTATGGAAGTCGGCACCTTTATTTCGCAGGCTAGAATTTAATTTTCGATAAACGTCAGGATTTTCTGGGTACACAGTGACACCTTTCAATGTAGACTTCGTTTTAAACATATTAGTACCCGTTTCGTTTTCCAGAAATGAGACTAATGCATGGTAATTCTCAACACCGTTTATAAAAATTGGTGGAGTTTTATCGTTTTGAGGCGTTCTTCTAACTTTTTCTGTTTGTAAATTAGTTATGTTGGTTAGAACCTGAAAACTGTTCGAGGTTGGGATAGATTCTGTCGGTCGTTTTTGAGCTCTTGGCTCGCTCGAATCTATCATAGGTCTTTTACGACCAATAACCAGTTCCCAGGAGCCGTCTTCATTGTTTATATCACTGTTTTTAAAGTTTATGTTACTTACCTCAGTTTGAGATGATTCCACCATTGTATTCTATATTTAATAAACTTTTTCAGGCAGGTGGTCCTTAGTTTCATTCTGTACATTACCCAAAGACAATGTGTTTATTCTTTTCTGACTTCTTCAGGTCAGCAATTGCTAATTCTGGATAATAACGAAGAAAATACAATAAGCAAAAGTCTTATTGTATCATTGTTAAAGTTACAAATTTGTTCCCATTTGCGGAGGGTGATATAAAGACTTTCATAATGGTAAAGGCCTCCAGCAGGATGAATAGCAGGTCTGTAATGAGGTTTCTGGAACGATAATCCATATTCAATAAAAAGGACCAAAAATCACTAGGGATTAATGTATGGGAGCTCACTTTAGAGAGGAACTAAAATTGTAAATCTTTTACCAATGCCAGCCTTAGGGCCGCACATCGGGTAGCGCTTACCATTTGTTGAAAATTTTTCAAAAATGAAAAAGTTAACAAGATGAATTAATTGTAACGTATTAATAAATTAACTAATTGAAATACAATTCAAATATAAAGTAATACTCGCCAATCTTCAGCTATCTCATATTCCTCTCGATTGTTCAGGGATAGGGGTCTTCAATCTTTTTAAGACCAATCTCGCGGGCCGCATTGAGACCTCCACCAAGCCCCGCGAGTCATAGCTTGTGAACTAAATTTCGTATTTTTAAAATTTTACCATGTAATCAAAGAAATCTTCGCGAGCCGTATTTTGGGGACCCCTCTTCTAGGAGAGTAGGTTTTTATGGCGAAAGGTTAAGGTGCTTTTAACGAAAATGGGGCGACTAATGCCTAAAGCTGTCAGTGTCTTTTGCCTCTCGGATGACTTCTGCTAAACGTTTGCGGATGCGACAGTGATGGCCGAGAGTGGTAAGGCCGAGTATACATTTGAGCATTCGTGCCTCGAATGAGCACGAGTTTGTCCTGGTTTGCTCAAATGAGTACAGAGGGTATGGAATGAATAAACATGCCTTAGTTCGATTCGAGAGTTGTCGGTACTTCAAAATGAGCATGTGTTCGGTCCGTGGTCAGCTTTGACGGGGGGATGGTGGTAATCCCCTTATACAATACTTGCACACCATACTTCCCCTCTTGGCAGTTAATCCTTTCCAACAGGCGCTTCCTTACACTGGCGTATCTTCTAAGGTAGAGAAGGAGGTTTTCGAGCTGAAGCTTCCAACAAAATGGGAAAAACATTTTTTTTCTAATCGTTTAATATTTGTACATGTCAGTGAAATTTCGTTCCAGAGAAATTAGAGAGTTTAATCAAAATCGTTAGAGCCATATTCGAGAAAATAATTAAAACTGTTCTATCGATTATATAAAGTGCCATTTCCGGTTTGCCGATTTTGACGAAAAAGATGCTGTAACATTCAAGGCATCTACAAACATTAAATATGTAATATCAGTTTGGTATGACTTTTCGTTTTTGAGCTATGCTGTTAACACACAAACCCATGCTCTCAGGCACATACCATGTACCTTTATACTTGATGAAAAGCTAAAATAGCATTAAATAAATAAAATGCAAGAATAGAACAATGAACATAACAGGAATTAGAAATCAGAAGAATTGAAAATTTTTTTTATTAATTATAAGAAGAAATGTTATTATGTTATACGAAATGTTATTATTTTTAAATTAAAGTACAGGTGAGTACATTTAGTTTTTTCAAGAACTAGTAACACTCTCTTCATGGGTATCAACTTCTGAGGACTGAATTTCTGAACAGGAGATGGGTGGTCTTGCACTAAATTTTTCAATTTTCTTTTCTTCCTCTGTTTGCACACTCTTGCTTTCCTTTTGATCAAACAAACTCTTTTTCAATTCTTCTTCCAATCTTCTATAGACAAAAAAATAATAAAAATATGTTTAAAGTATAATACAAGTATTAATGCCAAAGTAAACAATAAAATATTTTATATCATAAAAAAAAATTGTATGTAGGTATGACTATATAGCGTGTTCCATAAGTAGAGGGAAATATTTAAAATATTGATAGTAGACATCAAGATCTACAAAAAAGTTCATATCAACAATTTCCAGCAGAAAAGTAGAAAATTTAAGATTTGTGTTTTTAAGCAAATAACAGTTTTTGTTGAATAAGAAGCAATAGCTAAAAAAGATACTTGATTTGGGTAATTAAACATTGCTTCATAGTAAACTAGACAAAATTTACTTTAAACGAAAGTAGAGTTTGTCCTTGTTAAAACTAACTAGAGTTTGTCCTTGTTAAAGAAGACTTTTGGAAGACAAACACAGCTAAGTTTCGTTTTAAAAAAAGTAATAAATTATTTATGATTTTTTTTCATCACTTTTTAACTGTACTACATTTACCCCACTTCTACAAAAACTTTCTCATTTAATAAGCTTTAAGTCCATATATTAATTAAGTTGAAGTTTATTTGGAAAAAATTTTAGATTCACCTCAAGTCGTATAAAGAAATGATGTGATTTCCTACCCAGTAACCTTAAAGTACCCAGGTTTTCTGCCAAAAATGACTACAATTAACCGTTGAAAAGCTTTTATTTATTGTTTTTCCATGATATGGGATGTATTTCAATAAACATAATTGCCTAAAAACAAATGTTTTTTATATAAATAAAAAAAAAAAAATTCATGTGAGGTGGTTGTGAAATTGTGTTTTTTTCCCATATTTCAGTCATAGGAATTGATGTGTATTTATAAGTGACAAATTTAATGTTTCGAGCAGTAATATTTACGTTTTCATGAAAATAACAGTAGCAATCAGTAGGATTCTTTATTTTAAACATAAATTTTAGTAAGAAACATTACGTTTGTCACTGATTAATACATATCAATTCCTATGGCAGAGATCTGGGAGGAAAACACAATTTCACAACCACCTTATTTGAAAACTATTTCAAAAAATATTTATTTATGAAAAAAAATATGTGTTTTTAGGCAATTATGTTTATTAAAATACATCCCATATCACAGGAAAACTAGAAATAAAAGCTTTGGAACAGTTAATTGTAGTAATTTTTGTAGTAAACACGGGTACTTTAAGGTCACTAGCTAGGAAATCACATTGTTTCTTTACATAAATTGAGGCAAATCTTAAAATTTTTCCAAATAAACCTCAACTTAATTAATATGGGCTCAAAACTTATTAAACGAGACATTTTTTGTAAAAGTGGAGTAAATGTATTGGATCGGAAAATAAGTCCTTTCGGTTTTTCAGAGTGAAATAAAACTCCATGTATTATAGACATAAAATTTATTTTACTCTATAAAATATTGACCATTATTTAATATGACTTTTTCCCATCTTTTCACTAACTGCATGATGCCATGTTCATAGAATTTCTGGAGTTTACTATTAACTACTATCTTATTTCAATTAAAGAACAAAATAGTAAATTAAACTTAGTTTACTAAAAAATTAGTAAATGAAAAAATTACCTTATAATTTTAGAATTTTCAACATCAACAGCTTGGTATTTAGCCACAGTAGCTAAAGCTGAGTCTAAAGAAGACTGAAGGCAGCTTATTTCTTTGTTATTATCTTCGATTCTATTCTGCATTTCTTGTTGTGCCACTTCCCACTTAAAATATAAAAAATCAGTAAGACAAAAAAAAATTATGTTTATACCTAATGATTGCTAAAATGGCATTAAATATGTATTGCTTTATCCATATAAAACACATTTGTCTGCAATGATTTAATTATAAACAGAAACATGGAGAACTAGGACTGCCATCAGATTAAAGAAGCTGGACATTCTTCTCTTCCACACATTTCAAACATCAACCACAACCAATAATTTTACAACAAAAATTAAATATTTTAATAAAAATTAGAAAACCTTTTTGTTTTATCCACTTTTTTAATTAATTTGTTTGTTTGTTTTTTTTTTTTTTTTGGGGGGGGGGGGAGGAGCGAGAGAAGGGGTTCAAGAAGGAAATGTTTAATCATTATTTTATTATATTACTGTTACTGTTACTTGAAGTAAATAATATTTTTCTAACATTACCTCTAGGATTTGATCACTGTGGATAGGCTCCTTTTCTAAACATTTTGAATTATCGTCAATGAAACTTCTCATCTTAACTAAAATAAATTAGAAAAAACATTAAAATTCATGTACTCACAATAAGTGTATTTAGAGCTTAAAACGATTGTTTCTAATTATGAACAGATATTCGAATCAGAATATATTTTCCATTTGTATCAAGACAAACCACAATCAGTTAAAGCTTATTAAAATCTAAATCGAGAAAAATAACATACTTTAAAGGATTAAAAACCATTTTTTTAAAATAATATTTATAAATGACTTTAATAGAAAATCAGCTAATAAGATACTTATTTTACTAATTGTAAGTTTCATATTCTTAATTTAATTCAATATTTGTGATTAAAATATATTTAAAACTGGAAGTGAGAGAGTAAAATTTACCTTTTAATGATATCACACTGTTTTCAAGTTCTGATTTTTCAGTCCTTAAGCATAACAGTTCAGTATTTCTTTGATTCCAAATGGTTAGAACTGCTTTGCTTATATTTGTAATTTTAGAACATATTTCTTTTAATTTAACTTGGCTGTTCTCTAATTTTAATACTTCACTATTAACAAAGAACATTAAAAATAACTGTACGTCAAACAATAAATGTAACTTGACAATATACAACGTTTTGAGAGATAAAAAAAAAAATCAAGAAAATAAAAATAAAATTTTCCAATGTAAAGTATATTAATAAATTAAATTAAAGAAACAAACACATTTTTATTTTTTGTATATATAACTATTATGTAGATATCAATTAAAATTGTCACCATTCAAAGAAAAATGAAGATACTTATACATATTACCTAAATAAGCTTTATATATAATTTTTACTTTATTTATTATTATGATTATTAATATTTTGCCTCTAACATGCAGTGTCAATTGCAGCACTTTCAAATTAAACTTCACAATTTTTAAGATGTGAATGTATTTTTTACTGCTCTTTCACTGCTAAATTTTCTTTTACATTTGGTGCCATGTCCAATTTTTCCCTTATAGTTTTCAATATAGAGCAGTCTTGTAAAACGTGTTTAACTATTCTTTGGAAATTACAATTTAATTGTGTTTTCATTTTATAAGGCCTACAGTATATGTATGGACCCCCCAAAATAATAAATAATCTATAGATCATTATATAAAATAAACATTTCACAAATTGATACTGATAGTTATTGTAATTTAAATAGAATTAGTAATAATACCATTTGAGAGTTTCAAGTGTTGTACGTATTTGAGCATCCTTCTTTTGAATAGCATCCATTATATAAGATTGGGATTTCATTTTGGCCTTGGATTCTTCGAGTTCTCTTTGGAGATTTGTTATTTCTAACTGAAAAGCAAAAACTTAAAATATTTATAATGATAAAGTTTATTATTATTATTGATAATATAAAAGTTGCTAGAGAAATTTTGATTGTCGCAAGGATTTGAAAGAAGTCATACTTAAGGTGACATCAGTTGGTAACATAGTGATAACATACAATAAAAATATGCATTGTAATAATTATTATCGTGAAACAAATTTATTGCTAAAAAAGTAATTACCTCTGTTCTGACATATTTATCCAACAATAATTTCATATGTTAATCGACATTCATTAGTTAAAGCAAATGCTCAATCCGGTTATTGTCATGAATTTGAGCTATTGCTGAAGCTAATTTTTGTAATTTTAACTTTGGTAAACAAATTTATTAGATATTGTAAAACAGGAAATTTCATGTTCAAACTCTTTTATTATAAATAGATGTATAAATTCAATACTAAAAAAAATATTTTTTTATAATTTTGATAACAGCCAGAATTTAACTTTAATTTCCTTCACCTGTTGATTTCTGTTAAGCTGCTGAAGAAGATCTCTTTCTTTAGAAGCAGCTTCAAGTTGAGCTCCTTGCCTTGCAAGCCTTTCTTTGGCAGAAGAACGTTCAGCTTCTGCTTCCCTTGCAGCCTTAATTGCAACTTCTAAATGAATTTTTACTTCAGAGAGCTCTCTTTCTGCTTTTTCTGCACGCTGTGCTTGATCATGCTTGTCTGCATCAAGTTTAGTTATAGTAGCTCTACATTCATCCACAAGTTTCTTAAACATTAAGCACTATAATTAATTGATATTAACATTTCCAAAACCTTTTTTCAAACAGTCTGAAATTATGATAACAGTTTTCTCTAAATGTCACAATGGAGGTATTAATGGAGTTGAATGAAATGTCAGAAGGAAAAATATTAATTCATTTTAATTAAATTTTATAAAGAAAAAACTTATTTAGAATGTAGAAATATTATAAATAACATATTCATACATTCTAAATAAGTTTATTTCTTTATAACATTTAATTATAATGAATTCATCTTTTCCCTTTTGACATTTCATTCAAATCAATGATTTTCATTGTGACATTAGGAGAAAACTATTATCAGAATTTAGTAAATTGCTACTTTTATGAATAGTAAAATATTCGGTTAATCAAATATTAGACTTCATTTACTTTTTGAGAAAAATGATACTATTCTATTACAATATATTTACTTATAGCAATGAATCATAATTATTCACAGTTTGATATGACTTACCCTTTTTCTTTCTAGTTCATATATTTTTTCACGCATTTTATTTTCAAGAAAAGATAAATCTGGAATATCATATATCTTTTTAAATTCCAATGCGTGGTCTGCCATTTCATTATGTTTATTAAAAAAATAAAATAAATAAATGAAAAATAAAAGGTCCAAGAATCTTCAAAACAAAAACTAGCAAGTTTTCTAGATATTAGAAGAGTTGGTAAATAAAAAACACAAGTAAAAAATTGTTTTAGTTAGTGCTGCTATCTGTTGTACAACAGATGAAACTTTATTTTTCTCTCTCTTTTCCTTTAGGTTCCGATAAGAAAAAATATTTTATTGGTTTTAAGTTGAGCATTCGTTTACTTTAGTAATCATCACAAATTACGAAGCTAATATTGCAGGAGGAAGCAGCAAACATGAAATTTTTCCCGGACGCCGATAGACCTAACTATGTTACTGGAGATGGTCCTCAGAAAGAACGTGGAATATTATGAAGTATCTAATATATATATATGTGTGTGTGTATTCTTTGCCACCATAATTTTTCTCTAGTTTATACTGATGAGAATATCTTTGGAATTCGGGATGATTTGAAGAGGAAGTTACGAAATAAATAACAGCATGGCACCAGGGGTGTCTTTCCTCCCCAAGGTCGATAACATAAAAATCTCTCTGAGATATTTGTTTGTTCTATTTTTCTCAAAAAAACCGCAAGCGAAAGTATAATTTAAAAAATCTTAGATTATATAAAATCACACTAGCAAGTCTGTTCCGTGATTTGCCGCATTTGGGGTGAGGAAAGTCTTCATTTGATACAGGAGATACCATTGCATGCTCAAAAAGTTAGTGCGTTGTGAGCATTGTGGTCAGGAAGCGTAATTTGGATTTACTTTTTTTTTTTTTGAGTGCTATAAGCGCACGAGAACCGATTATTTTTGGCACAAAATTGAGGGTATTGATGTGGAAGACATGTGATTTCAGCAAGACAGCATAATATACCACACATCGTGGACATCAGTTGTTTTTACTTTAAAGTTCAGAGGTCGCATTATTTCAAATCACGGTAACGTCAACTGGCCGCCAATATCATTATTTAACGTCACTGAATTTCTTTTTGTGGCTTTTTTAAGAGTCGTGTCAATATCAACAAACCTAAAAACTAACATCCATCAAGTTATTGTCGAGATAAACCCAAAACTTGCAAAAAAAGTCATCTAAATCACCTTCAACGAACCAACTGCTGCAAATTATCCAGAGGCAGCCATTTGATTGATATGAAAGAATTTTCATCAATTAACACCGAATCACAATTTAATCTATTTTTTTTATAAGTAAAACAAATATCAAACTAGTAGTTACATATAGTATTACGTATTTTTTTGTATATATTTGGGTGGATTTTTTAGTTTAAAAAAAACGAAAAAAATCTGAACGACCAGAAGGGAAATTAAAAAAAAAAATGGAACTATATAGTGTGACTAGGAAGGGGCAAAAATGTTGACTAAATTTATTGTATGAGATTTTTCGTTTTGTTTTGTTCTTTTAGAATATAAAAAAAAAAAAAAATTCGGAGGATGGGAAGTTGGTTTCTTGTAAAATCTCACTCTTGGCACCCACACTCCACGCGACGATCCTGGTAACGAAATCAAGTGGCTCTGCTAACAAATTTGAGAAATGGTAACGAAAATTCATTCGCTAAGGGACCAGTACCATTCATTCTATAGTAAATCGAACATAAGTTGAAAACGAAACAAGTTTGACCGTAGGCGTCGTTAATAGACCTATCGAAACAAAGAAAATTACTAAACCGCCAAATTGTTAAATAAAATCATATAACAAATTAAACTTCATGAAAATTTGAATAACTAGTTAAAATTAAACCTCGTTCTACATAAAACTTTAATGCAAATGTTTTACTCTCGTTGATCCTCAATAATAGATTTTCTGGTCAAGTTCACGTTTCTAGTATGAATTTGAGTATGATTTTCTAGGCGCATATCAGTTAACTATATAGGTAATGTTATATCTAGAACGAATTAATTTATCATCTATATGACTTGCATTAGTAAATTTCTGAGGAATTAATTTTAAACATCCCTTAAGGGAAAACTCAAGTTAAAACAAAAAGTTGAGAAAATGTTATAACAACTAGAAAACAAATATCGTATGAATATTTCGCATCCAAGGGCTTTTTATGAAATATTGGAACAACATTCCGATAATGTTATGGTTTTTCGTTGTTACTTAATCTCATCCAGCGTATTGATAGGCGTATATTTCATGTTGCCGTATTAATTGTTGTTATGCACAAGGAACTTTGAACAGAATCGGATTTAATTTCCATTAGCATGTGTTAAAATCAATATTACTGCCGGTCATGAACCTATTATCATCAGAATAGCATCCTCAACAATGGATGAGAAAATACAGACGTGTATGACAGAAGAAAACATCATTAAAAAATTATTAAAAGCTATTTCACTCACAGGTTACAAATGATTACATTTATATCATTCACCATTGATTATATATAATTAAAAACAAAGAATATATGCATTTTTTCAGAATTCAATATAAACACTACTGATGAGGAAGATAGAACTTTAATGCATTTGGCTTGTCAAATGGGAATGGAAAAACTAGTAGAAACTCTACTACTACATGATGCACAAATAAATCTTAAGGACTGTTTTGGCAGAACACCAATTATGTTAGCTTCTTATGCTGGTTATAAAAACATAGTTGATATGTTAATAAAATATAATGCTGATGTTAACTGCCATGATGTTTATGGTAAATAAATACTTTTCAATAAATCTACATAGAGTAAATTGTTTAAAACTATTTATTTCTTTATCATTTGCTTGTTTTTTAAATATGATATCAACAAGTGCAATGAGTTTCATTTTAAGTTTTATTGTTTAATGAATAGATGATGATGTAATACGATAGAATATCACTTTTAATTAATTTTTGAAAATAAAATAAAAAATATTTCTATGAATGATGAAAATTCAAATAATAAATTTAATTCATTAACAACACAATTATTATTTATTACATAAAATTCTAATTTTAAGCGACAAGTGTTTCCTGATAAATTTACAAAAATTGCGTAGTCAAAATTAAGTATTTGAAAAATTATATAGATATAATGATAGCTGTAATTTATGTAAGTGAATTGATTATTTTTGAACTATCCAACGTTAATTGTTCATTTTATATATTAAAAATTAAAAGATGATGGTTGGGGATGTGATAACAAAAATATATATTTCTTCTATATTAAATCATAAAGTTTAGAAACATTTTCTTAATATTTTTTATTTTATTTTTCAGAACTGTCAGCCATTTTAATCTAGCTTCAATAATATCAATAAAATTAAATAAACAGAGGAAATAAATTTAATAATTCATATTTTGTGATATCATATATAAATTGCAATCGTATATCAGCAGAGACTTTTCAGTTATCTTAATAAAAATAATAAGGTAATCTATAATTTTTTTGTTACAAAGGTTTTAACATACTTACATTGGCTATTTATGGTGGATATAGCATGATGGAATATTTGCTCAGTAAAAATTTTAATTATGAGTCTAGCAATAACTATCTTGGTCACATGCCTTTACTTGCCATTATTGCTTCAATTGGAAATGAAGAGTTAATGAAATTAATTATTTCACATAATCCTGAACAATTAAACGCTGCTATAGAGAAATCAGGTAATTATTATTATTTGTTTTTAAACAAAATACTTCAGTGATTTTTCAAACATTATAAATGAGTTATTATTCACAAATAACTTTAATTACAGGCATGACACCCTTGATGCTTGCTATATGTGGTGGTTACATCACAACAGCGAAAAAACTTATTTCCCATGGTGCCAATTGTAAATTGACTAGCAAGGCTTCATTCTCTTCAATATGTTATGCTCTAAAGCTTTCATTCCCACTCTTAGAACTTAAAATACCTGAATTAACACTTGAAAATGAAGCAAATCAATTGAGTTTGCCTCCGTTGCCATCACACCCCCTTACACCTACTTTATGTTTTTCTCCTATAAAAAAAGTTTCATCTCCTAAAAAATATATTCATCTAATAAAAAAAACAATGAGAGCTAAGTAATGTTTCTTAATGTATAAAACTTTTGACTTATAATCATGTTTTAAAATTTTAAACATTTTTTTTTATAATTACTTTTTTGTTTTAAGGAGGTCAAGATCCTTAGATAATAAAAAGAAACAAAATGTTACTAATAAGAATAATGATGATGCTAGTGTATTAAAGTCAATTTTTGAAATAGCAAAATTACAACAGTATTGGCCGATTTTTAAAGAGCAACAGGTATAAATAAAACATCTGTTGAATACTCATCTGAAATAAAAATATATGTCTCTCTATTTCAAATAAATATGTGTTTGAATTATTTGCAGATAAGTTTTAGAACATTTTTAACAATGGATGAAGAAGATCTTCGTTGTATTGGAATAAACAAATCATCAATCCGAAACAAATTTTTATCTATCATTGAACATTATAACCACATATTCTATTTGTAAAAAAAAAAAAAAAAAAACGTATATAAAAGTCATTTAATCTTTAAAGAATGACAATAAATAGGATCACTATAAATAAGTGAAAGAAAGATATGTGGGATAGAGGACGATATTAACAATTACTGATTTACGCCCAACTGATCAGTTGTCGCTACTTTTGAAAATGCTATACTTGTTTCTTCTTTAACCTTTTTTGAGTGATTAAAATTTTGACCGAAAATTTCCCAGTTTTAGAAGAAATATATTTCTATTTTAAAAGTAAATTTTAATTCCTTTTAACACTAAAATAATACATTTTAGTAAAAATAACTTATAATCATATGTATTTAACTAATATATATTTTAATGATGACTTTAACTAATGGACTTTACACGTAATTTTGTTCGAAAAAATATTTATCTTTGGTATGATGTAATGAGACAATAATATTTTATTTTGGTATGTAAAACATGCTATAAAAATGTAGTTCTTTGAGAAAAAACATTTAAACCGGTTGAAAATCTCTCATTTGATGTTAAAAGAACTGTAAAAACACATATTTCTATTATTGAAAGATACAACAATAAAAAAAAAAGAATGTATAGTGAAACTGATTATAAAATAATGATTGGAATCTAAGAGTGACAAATATTAAGAATTAACTATTGAAGTAATTCAGGAGAAACAAAACAAAGCCACTACAGAAAGTCTGTAAATTTATTACAAACAAAGGTAAATGCTTCTTAATTATTCTATCTAAGATGCATTTTCTGTAATAATCCTGAATCATGATTCGTACGAATTATTTTACTGAGGCTATAATATGTATCAATTAGAAAACAAAAAGTTAAACTTAATATCAATGTAAAGAATATTACTGTTTCAGATATTAAGTTGCATTGTTATCAAACCAAAAAGTAATTTTTATCATGACAGGGTAACAATTATTTCCCAATGGAAAATAAAATAAGGAGATTTTATTATATCATTGCTTTTATCATGAATGTATGACTTATAAACCATTTAAATTCTAAAATAATTATGAAGTTCAATATTAAAAGCTAGTTTTAAAATTTGTTAAGTAAATAAAATTAAAAATATAAATAGTATAATTCTTTGGACCCATTCCCAAATTTATATAAAATTTTATATTCTTGACTGGTCAATGTATGTTCCAATCATGTTTCAGTTAAAAAGGTATGAAAATTTATGTGTAAATCTAATATAGTATTGATTATATATTTTTTTACTTTATAAGCTACCTAAAATAATAAAAATAGTGGCTAATTTCAATTAAGCAAGCTAAGGGAAAGAAAAGGTATCTCTGCCAATGAGACGTAAACGTAGTCAGCATAAAGTATCAATTATGGTCATTGATATATAAACTAAGCAGCAGCAAAAAGTATGAACTTTGGAAGCAACCTACCTCAAGAGTAAGAAACATTATAATAGAACTTAGAGTTTCTAGGATAATAAAACAGTGAATTAATTAGAATACATTCTGAAATGTGTCAAGCATAAGTTAAATTTAGTTAATACAGAAGTTTTTAGGAGTGCTAGTATTGACTCAGACAACTATCTAATTGTTTCAAGAATTAAAGCAAAAGTCTTGAGGGAGATAAAGAATAGAACTTAAGTTACACAAAGAATTAATATTGCTGAGCTAAAAGAGCCAAAAGAAAGGTATAATTACCAATGTACTTACTACATAATGAACAATGGGTTACTACATGGGGGAACAAGTAAGAGGATAATGAGCATTGGGAAGTTGGTATAAATTTCATCAAGAAAACTGCAAAAAAAATGTAATCAGTGTTAAAAAATGTAAGTTAATGTCACCGTGTTCTGCTATCATTCTATTATGCTAATGATTGTGATCAAGCAATGTGCATACATGAATAAGATCCCGTGTTCTCTAAAGATTTTTGCCAGTTTGTAGTCAGTACTGAGTAACCTTATATACATATATTACTTAGGTTATTAAGGAATTATGTTACTTCAATCTGGATGTGTGAGATGTTTGAATGATTCAGGTTTCTAAACAATAATAAAATAAAATTTCAAGTAAAAATTAACTCATTTTATTAATACACAACTTAGGAATGGATATAAAAATAGTAGTTAAAATCATTCAATACAATGATTGTTTTATTTGTTATTATTAAAATGTTTTTGTTTTAAACACAAAAAGAGAATCTAATAATTTAATAACTTACTGCAATGAGCATATCTCATTTCATATATTAAATAATAAAATCTATTTTTTTATAACACTATATGCAAGAATTATATAAAATTCTTATAAATCATATTCAATAATCAACATTTGTGGAATATACTTTCTATATTTAATGAAGTACAATACCTTTTACAATGGCTATTATGTTAACTGTTATATTGTTATGTAGCTTAATCTATTAAAATAAATGCTTTCATAGATAAACCAAAAACTTACAATGTAAGGTAAATCTCATTTTAGACTAAATATATTCTAACTTTTAGAAAATAAATAGCAAGTTCCGTAAAGTAATGAATTATTAAGTACTGGTAGTACTTATAAACAAATATAGGCTGTTTTTAAGTCCTACATAAATCTTCCAATATAAAAAAAGTGAACCAGTGAGAATGGCTCTTATAATTTAAAAAGGTGAACTGTTTCTTGTAATTAAAAAGAATTCAGGCAAATCGAGCATATTAAAATTATCACAGGAATATACTTCTTCAGTCTGTTAGCAATGATCACTTATACATTCTTTAATAGTCAGAAGTTCACAAGAAGGAACCATTCTAGACAAAACAAAAAATCAGTATTAATTTTAATAAATACACCAGTATTAAACATAATTATCAACTAATGCATTTAACAATTTTACTGTAGCAATTTAAAGTTTATTTCCGCTTTAAAACGCTGAGTTCATGGCAATAGATTTGCAATAACACCCTTGTTTGTAAGCACTTACTTTTGATGATATCCTTTCTTAGTTGTACATTTAAACATGTCATCAAATTCAATTCCCTATAGGTATAATGTGAGTACCCCTAGAGACAAAGGAGTAATAGCGTATTTAAAAAAAAATAATAGAGTTTAGTGCAAAGCAGATCTGGAAACTTGTCAATCTTCCTTATATTTAAATTCATATTCATATACCTGCTCCTTCCACCTAGAGTGTTCTATAATGACAAATCACTGAACCTCCAAACAAATGTTAATATTTTGAATGATTGATTAATTTATTGTTTATTATATCTTATATAATATATTTTATATTATATATATCAGATCTTTTTATCTATTTGTCTATATGTATAGACAAATAGATAACATATAAAATCAATAATTACACCTACTTATTTCAAAGTTTCAAAACAAATAGTTAAACGTAACATAAATAATTTTAAAAATAAGAAAGAAAAGATTACTATATCATACCATAAAATCCACGCAAGACATGTAATGATTTCATGTGGTGGCGAATAAATAGAATAAACCTTTTGCAAACTGCACTATTTCAGAGCCGCCCAGTTTACTTTCTCCATAAACTCGATCAACAAATGTAATTGGAACCTTAAATTCATTATTATAGAAATAATACAGGTGAGCAATTTAAAATATAGTATATAATTATTACAAATACATACTGAAAAAGAATTGACCTGATGGACATATCTACCTATACCTCTTTTATTTCATTGTTTTTTTCTCTTTATATTGGTTTTGTTATACTACATCCTTGAATAACTGTATCAACCATATCTTTTTATGTTATTTGTTAATGAATTATCAGTGTATATTTGCATAAATTATCAATTGAGCCTTTCAGTTGACAGAATGACTCCAGTTTTAACCTTTTTGAATAGTCTTTTTAGTGATATCCTAGTTGGAAAATTTTTATCTGTACAGACAGTGATTAAGTTGATTCCAGAGTAGGTGATTGCAGTGTTTAAATATAGAACTATCAATATAGGTATACATTTTTCCACTAGAAATATCACTAAAATTAACACGGCCCTGCAATTAACATGAGGTGCTCCTCACTCTCTCCAACTCTGTTCTCCATTTATATTAGTGACCTTCCTGACTCCATTCGTCATTCCCACTATCACTTATAAGGAGACGATCTTCAAATTTACTTATCGTTCCAAACAGCTGTGATACCTGAAAACTACAAGGGGATATTGACTGTATCCATAGGTGGCGGAAAAAAATAAACTAAGTTGAACGCAGACTAAGGCAATTCTCATTGGCTCCAAGCACCTCATTAGTTCCCTTTTTTTCTCTCTTTTACTTTATCTCAATAACCGTCCCATCCATTCCTTTCTGACAGTTAAAAACCTTGGAGTGATCTTTGATCAGAACCACTCTTGGAACAACCACTTTTCCCATATTACTCGTAAACCCATAACTATCCTTAAACAATTCTTTCGATTCCGTGATTCCATTCCAAAAAAAAAAAACCAGACAGCTCCCTGTAATATCGTTTTATCCCACTTCAACTATAGTTGCCTGATATAAGGAGGGATGTGTACAGGACTGGAGGCGAGACTGAAGAAACTTATGAATTTTTTTTTTGTGTCCTCCCCTTCCTTCCTTATCGTTAAGACTATACGGGGTTTTCCTGGACCAGGAGGTGTGGGCAGGGATTTAAGACTCCCTCGGCACCGGGACGTGAACTCGTGACTATTTTTATATCATTTGTCATATATCAGGTTGCCGGACAACGGCGGTGCTGTGCATACGCGTTAGCCCATTCGGCCACCCTGCCCACAGAAAATTATGAATGGCTTCATAACTTTCATCTTTGGGATTCCCAAGCGTTCTCATGTTTCTTGTTGGTAGACCGAGTTGAAGTGGCTTTATCCTACTTCCCGATAGCAATTCCTTCTTGGTGTTTTTCTTTTTCAAGTCCTCAGAACCAAAAACCCTCTCTACATCTTAGAACTCCTTACTTTATGCTCCTCTATCACTCTCTCAACCTATAGATTTATATATCCTCTCCCATAAAATCATTTACTACAGTAAATCCTTCGTCATTCGTGCTACCTCCTTCTGCAACTCCTTACCCATCTCCATAAATCAAACGACATCCATAAACTCCTTGAAACAACTCCTATTCCACCACCTACTACAAATTTAAACTTCTGCAAGTTTGTAAAAATTTCTGGGTTATATAATTCCATTGATCACCAGTAGTTAATTTATAGAAGGCATTTTATTATTATTTATTCACTTTTTTTTTATATATCAGTATTTATTGTATATATTTGTGTTTTTCCTTAGTATTTTTTGTAGATATTTATATTTTCCTTAGTATTTTTTTTTATATATATTTGTATTTTCCTTAGTATCTTTAAATATATAAATATATATATATATATATATATATATATATATATATATATATATATATATATATATGTATATGTATATGTATATGTATATATATTTACAATTTCCTAAGTATTTTTTGTATGATATCTATAAGCCAGATTAATGTACCTATTTTTTGAACTCTACTATTATTCTAAGGGGAATTCAGTTCCAGAATAAAATTATTTTCAATTTCATTAATATTAATAATAAAAATGTTGAAATTGGAGTCATTCGGTCACCGGGAAGGCTCAATTAGTTGACATTTTTTAACATCATTGCTTAATTTTTTATTTATTGAAAAATGAAACAACTTTTGAAAGTTTGATTACTTTCACTTATTAGTGAATGATAACTCACTAATAGTGAATGATTATTAGAAAAATTAATGCCAATACACAATTTAAATTTAAAAAATAGTCCTACATTAGTTATTGTAATATTCAGATAATAAAACTCTTAAATAAACAACTTTTAAAAACTAAATAATTGCTTTCAGAGAAACTTTAGTATTTTGGTAACTAATTAGAATGTTAAGAAAATTTAAGAAATACTGTACCTCTCCAATTGTATAATTAAACTGCCTTGCACGTATTATCATTTCCATTTGAAATACGTAGCCTTTTGAAATACATGAGCTAATCAACTTTTCCAAAACATCCTTTTTATATAATCTAAAATGAAATAAAATAGATATATCATATTACAGATCATTTAAGACTTATTAATGCAGATACCGGAAATAGCAAGGTAACAAATAGAAATCTATCCTTACAAATAACAAATAAATTATCTTCTAATCGCCAAAATAATAGAAAAAATATCGAAAATATAAATACAAAAAAAAAAAAAAACGAAAAAACAAAACAAAAAAAAATAGACTTTATTGTGTGCACTCAACTACACAAATATTTTGTTTGATATTTATTGCCTTTCCTCTTCACTCGAATTTCAACTGTGAAATCATTCAAATTTGAAATATAATATCAAACAAAATAAATTTACAACTACCATACTTTTTATATACAAGATATAATGCATCTAAGAGATTATATTTGAAAATAAAATTTCATGTATGTTAATCTTTCGACCTGTTTTGCTGATATTCTTTAAATAAACAAACAAGAATTTTTCACTTATAATGAAATTATATTTTTATAATGAAATCACTTAATAATGAATTATATTTTTCTCTAAAGATTCCGACAGGCACATAATTAGAATTATTTGATGTTTTTTCTGATCGACTCCCGGCCCATGTGTTTCTTATCAAATGGTGGAACATCTGCACATTTAAAAAAATAAATAAAAAAAACTGTAACAATACAACTCAGGAAGGGTCTTGGGTTTCGTAACTATATAGGAAAGGTACTGTTCTTTGGTTGTACAGGGAGGTGATTTGACTGAGATCCCGCTCAACCTTGCTGTTGATGACGATTGAGCTTCTACACATATAAGTTATACTATATTACTAAAGATGGAATTAATAGCAATGTAAATCATTTTTCACTTTCACTTACCTATATATGTAAATAGTAAGGGAAAATATAGTGATCTTAAACATTTTCGAATCTAAGTTTTCATCGGAAATACATGTTTTCAGGTCTCCTAAATCAAAATAGCAAGTCCCAAAAAATGGTGTGTGTGTGTGAGAGAGAGAGAACTACCTAGCTCAAAAATTCATACAAAACTGAAAGTGCATATTTAAGGTTTGTATATGGCTCGGATGTGACAGCAAATTTTTTGTTAATATTAGCTAACCGGAAGTGTCACTTTATATCCTCGATTTTATACATTTTTACAATTTTTTCAAAAACGGCTCTAACGAGTTTGATTAAACTCGGTATATTGATGTATAATTGAGTAATCTTTGATATCATTTAGGTCTTATCCCTATTGATGTCGCTTAACAGGGCTTAAATCCCCAATGTTCAAAATGTCTTCCTCTAAAGTACCTTTAATTTGGTTTATTTTAAATAATAACTACCTCTCATTGTTAGAAAAAAAAGGCTAAATATAACTTTTGAAAAAATTTGATGATTGAATAAAGGAGAAACAAAGAAAAATGCTTATCCAGGTCGAAAATGAATCTTCGGAAATAATAGTCAGAAGGTATATGTATAATATACAGCAGAGAATTTTAGAAAAAATAAAATGTATTGTAATTAATAAAGGGTACTTTTTGTCTAGCAGGCCGGACTGAAACCTCACCTCTTATCTGTCTTATCTAACGTCACGTCACATAACCTCCCTCTTCTTATCCCGCCAAACCTTTCAGTTATTGCATTGTTTAGTTTTCAGTTATTCCCTTATTACGTTCACTTATTAAATTGTTTACTTTTGCTCCATTTGGGTTTATTTTTCATTATTTTTAGTTTTTGACCCGTTTGTGTTTATTTCACTTTTTTTTTAGTTTGTGGCCCCTTTGTGGTTCTTTTCGTCATATTATGGATCTTTTTAGAATATGGAATTTGACGCCTTCAGAAGAACAGGTACTTCAATATTTTTAAAATGTTGGGGTACTTGCCGACGTGAATCGACGTGTGATCGAGGTCATCGAATGAAGTCAACCAGGAAGGCCAAATGGAGATGCTTTCGTAGGACTTATGACACAAAATTTTCAATAAGGAAAGGAACATTGTTGGAGGGCTCGAGGATTTCGTTTTTAACAGCTTTAAAATTGATTTATGGATGGTCCCATAGCTTGACAACGATGAAGTGGGACAAGGAGCAGCTGAAACTATTCAACAGAGCTATGGTAACGTGGAACAAATGTCTAAGAGAGGTTTGTGCCCATGACATGTTATACAGGCCAAGAAAAAAAATTGGAGGACCTGGCAAAGTGGTTGAAGTAAAAGAAAGTCTTTTTTCTAAACGAAAAAATCATGTGGGGAGAGTTTTATCTCAGCAGTGGATGTTTGGTGGAGTTTTCCGAGAAACAGATGAATGTTTTATCTTTTTATAAAACCGATTTCGTTTTATATTTTTTCTTTTCTATGTAAATATGTTCTTTTAAATGTGTTTTTTATTATTTCATTTTGATGTTTTATATGTACATATCTTCTTTAAGTGTTTTTTTTATTATTTCATTAATACAAGTGTCGTCAAATAAAAGTATTTTTTTGTTATTAAATTTGTTTTTGTATCTGTTTACACTTTCAATAATACGAATTTAATACAATAATACGAAGATATGAAGTAAAAGAAGGCTTATCAGTGCTTTATGGGAGTTATCAGTGTTCAGGTTATAAACATTGGCAGATAGCAGTCAGTAGCGGCCCCCTAGACGAAAAGTACCTAATAAAGTTATAGAAGGTAATGGAGAGTAATGAAATAAATATAAATAATAATTTCTGAAAACTATCATTATTTAACGTAAATCACTTGTTTTCAAAGAAAGTAAATGAAATTTTCTTACTAAATGTAAACTTTTAAAATTTTTTCTAGTTTGAAAAAGTAGTTAAAATCCACCGAATTAAGGCATTGGCATTGTTTAAAATACTATTTCATTGTACAAGAGTGAAAAAAGAAGTGAAATATAAAATATTTCATGGATATGTTTATAATCTTAAATTCATTTAATGTAGTTTAATAACTCTATATCTGTTATTATATTTAAATAATTAGGTATCTATTGTCTGTTTATTCTGAAAAATCATCAAGTTAACTATTAGAAAATTAAATTAATGAATAATTTGGTTAATTTTCCCTTTTTGTTATTGCAACAGTACCCACTTCTAACTAGTGTGACAACTTTTGACCCATTTATGATAGGCAATGCAAATTTCGTATTCCATTTTGGTAAACTTTGCAAAGAAAAATAACAGTTTAATAACTAAGAGTCGTACAATCCATAATCAACCGTTAATGTAACAAATAAGATTTCTGGTATTTTAATGTTATTAATGATTTGTTAGCTGTAAGCTTTAAGCTTTAGCTCAGTTAAAAATGCACTTCAAAATTTTTATAATAGCCCAATATTGCCAGAAAATAATTTCTATTCAAAGTAGAAAAATTGACTGTAAAATATGCAAATTATAAATGTTAAATAAATACTTGAATATTAAACTGAATAAATGCTTTTATTATTCTCTATAACAGAATTAGTCTATTTTATCAAATCTCCAATTCGTTTTTAATTTTATGCTACTAGAAAACTAAATTCTAGGTCAAATGAAACTTTCTTATTGAAATGAATAAAAAAAAAATATACATACATACATATATATATATATATATATATATATATATATATATATATATATATATATATATTAATTTTTTTGGCTATAAGTTTACCTGAAACTTCCAGTTAAATCTGATGCACCAGGTCTCAAGAGCAGTTGGGTTAAGAAATTAGCACCTCTACTAACAAGTTTCCGTTTGAAATCCCAACCAGATACACCACCTCCATTGATATATCTTGAACCAGAAATAACATCGAAATTGCCTTCTTTTTGCTTTTCAATAAACTTGGGGATGAATTTGGGCTAGAAAACAAAAATTATATTGAAAATGTTTCAGAGATAAATCAGCAAAACAAATGTAATAATACATTACGTACATGGTGGGATAAGTCAGAATCCATAATAATGATAAAATTTCCAGAGGCATGTTTAATCCCATGCACATAAGCTGTTCCAAGACCTAGTTTCTTTTCTCTTGGTCTAAGCAACTGAAATCACAATTCTACAAGAAGTAAACTGAAAATTTAACCTAGTTTATAAAATCTGGAAAAATATATCGAAATAAGTATATGAAATTAACTTACTATTACATCCTCGCCATATATTTTTTGAAGTTCCTTTGCAACTTCTAGAGTTCCATCTGGACTGCCATCATCGATGATAATAATTTCAAAATTATAATCTCTAGAACAATTAGGGGATATGTTTAAATAATCTACTAGTTAGAATATTAATTCAAACTTAAGTGAAAGATTATATTACTTCTTCCTTAAGTACTGATCAATTAGCCAGATGATTATAGGAAGATTTTCCCTTTCATTATAAGTTGGCAATAAAATAGAATACTTATCACCTTCTGAACTCATTGCTTTGATTTCAGTTAAGAATTAGAATGTAACTAAAAACTAAAACTGTACCATTAATATTGGTTAAGTAAAAGTTTAAATAATTGTTTTTTCATAACACATATACAACACGCTACTTTTGTTAGCCCTACCAAACAGTCCGGCGATTAGATACGAATGATAACTTGGTCACTGATAAGGTACATATAGGTTCAAAGGAGATGGTCCATTCATTTTGTATGATTGAAGAACGAGCCGTTACAAGTAACGTTACAGTAAACGTTACTTAGTTACGAGTGAACAAGTACAGATGATAACAGAAGTTCATTTTTAGGCGGGTTAATGCTCCAGGAAATATCTAATAATGTATTGGGTTCCACAAATTATATAAGGTAAAAATAAATGGTCAATTAATTATTACTGGTTACATTTATTTGCTAGTAATTGTTTTTAAAATGTAAGAAAAACAAAGCATCTAATATTTTTTAAGAAAAAAAGAAAGGAGCTAGCATTCTTGTTCAATCAATCAAATGAACCTCTGTTATCCAAGATCGGTGGTAGCCTTTTCTTAAAAGATTAGTTAAGATATTGAATATTGTCGATTTATTGCAAAAAATCATTTCATAAAATTAAATCACCATCTACTTAGATGCATCCAGCCCAACTAGATTTGATACATACGAGTTTTTTTTTCATTTTCATTCACTTATTGTTTGTTGTATCGAAAAATGAGGTGAAATTCACAAAAACTAATTTAAAAGATGGGACTAATAAAACATATAGTGAATTTTAACAATAAATCGATGATATGCACTTTTCCAGTTACTATTAAATTAAACTTAATTATATTTGTATTGGCGGAGTTGAAGAGAGTATGGTCTATTCTTATAACTCAAACTACAAACAATCCTTGTATTTCTCCAATAGGACTGAGTTGATGGTTACTACTACAGAATAACCAAGGATTACACAAGTTTGGCTGTTGATGGAATTGTTTTCTGGCAACAAAGAAACGGTGACAATTGTTAATATGTTATTTCTGTTTGACGTATATGGATTTTTAATGCGATTACTTAATATTAACATTTTCTTAATATGTATATGATATTGCCAGTATAACTTATTAATCGTTATCCAATCACAGCTTCAATTGTTTACTGACGTAAACCATACCCTCTTCCGTGCAATCATGGTTAAATTAATCATTAATCAGGTAGTCAATAGGCGTATTAACTTGTTTTAGCAATCTTGTTGAATATCCTAAACATTTGGTGCTCAATTCGATTCCTGTGCCTGTTGGATGATGGATATTCAGAACTTTGTCCGACGGTAATTAACACGCACACAAAAAAAAAAATTGAACTTATTTTTTTAAAGTTAATATAGTCGAGTTGTGTATTTTAATTTATACATCCGGATCTTACTTATATTTCTGAGTCAGTTTTATGGTCGTGTCGCAGTTGAGTGACTCACAAATATACCCAACTAGACCGTACAGATTGCCAATTTATCGTTTATTTTTACATAAATCATATTACATACATTGTAACATTTCCATTTCTGGATGCTTGATTGCTTAATGCTGACTAAGCTGGTTAATCTGTTTATTTTGGTTGTCCGATTAAATAAAAGATTAGAGGGCAACTGAAATGCTTGTTATGCATAAAAAAAATAACGCCGACAATGCATATTTTAATGAATACATTTCTTGAATATTTCTCAATATTCAAGTATATGAAAATTTGATGACATTGTAAATATATATATTTAATTAAAGATATTCTGTAATGATTAATTTAACCATGATTGCACGGAAGAGGGTATGGTTTACGTCAGTAAACAATTGAAGCTGTGATTGGATAACGATTAATAAGTTATACCTTGTGAGGAAGGACGGAGGTTGGAGGGAACCAATAATGTTCTAGCAAGACCGCGGTTGTTCATTGGCTCAGCCTATCAGGAGCCAGATCAGTGCCCACTTGATGATCTTGCAAACCTACAGCCAATAGCTCAGTGACCAAATAGGTAAACATATGTTCATTACATGACCTTTGACTGATATTGGGGTAGAAGAGGTTGGGGTACGAGATAACATTTATTTTTTTGCATTTGAACTTAGTCCCTGAGAATTTAACATCATACTTAATCTTTCATGCCCCAAATCGACCACTATCATTTATTTTTATCTAGGCAGGCTCAGAATTTTTATGGATTTGTCAGATGTATGAAGTATAGTGGGTGTGATATGTGTGAGTTAGTGAAGAATGATTTTTTAAAGAAATATTCCCTTGCACATTAGTGTTTCAATTTTATATTGATAATTTTAAGTTCATTCATTTACATCAATGTTATTTAAAGTGTTAATTGAGTTTTGGATAATTATCCTTGTCTGAACACTTGTTCAAAGGTGAATAAAAGGATTTTTTTTTGTTTTGTTTTTTTGTATTAGAGCTTTCTCATTGAAAAGTGTTATGGATATTTGCCAATCTAGTTAAAAACAAGTAGTCGAAGATAACTGTATATCCAACTGTAAACTGAAAGTTAACTAATGGGGCACAAGGAAATGGAAGAACCTCCTAAAAAACACCTTAAAAAACCATCAGAAGGACCTTTAAGAAGATCTTCTCGGATCAATAGTCAGGTAAGAAATAGGAACACCAGTTGTCAGAATTGAATGATGATTACTCCTTTTTTAGAAATATGATTTTAATTAGTTTGAATTTATCTCAGGCCAAACCAAACCCTGTGTTGGTTGCAGCAAAGAAAAATGCACAACTTAAAATGGGAAATAAGAAGCCAGTCTTCTCATTTGTGCAAGACGTCTATCAAGTTGTAAGTATAAATAATTCTTTTTCAGAAATAATTGATTGTGTACTAAACATTGATTTATTTACCATGTCTACCCTTCAGAATGTTTAGTTTTAATTACCAATTGGTTTTTATGCATATTAAGTGATTTAATTCCTCAAGTAAATTACAAATCTCATGTTTGTACAACAATAGTTCATTGTGTTAAACAATAAATGCAGTTCTTTAATTACAATTTATTTTATTGCTCATTAAAGCCTCCAGTGGGGCTTACAATTTGTTATCTTGTCCTGCTTATCAAAGTTTTGGAGGGAATGCAGATCTGCTGTATGACCTTGGCTGTTCTTAACACCTCCCCCTCTCCCCCCAGAGGGTATCTTGTTTGTTTTAATTATCAAATTCCCAAATCATATGTATATCTTATTTATTTATGATATACATTATGATCTTTTTTCTTTTCTATTCTATATCATTTGTCAGTATTTGCTTATTAAGCTTATCATAAAAAACCTTGTAAGAGTTAATTTAAATATAATGGTATGTAGTGAATAATTCCAATTTTTGTTTATTAAAAAGACATGCCGCACTGATTTAAAATTTATGCATTTAATTATTTTTTTAGAATTGAAAGGAATTAGGATGTATATTTTGTTTTAGTCGCTAACATCAAAGTATGACATTTGAGGTTTATGTAGTTTTTTGGACTGTTTCCAGGCATACACAGTATAGTTCATCATAAAATATTAGTGATTTAAGTTGATCAATATCTTATCCTCAGTGGTTCATCTTTCTAATTAATACTTGATTGGGGTTTCCCAATTCCTCATTAGATGAAATATTAAAGATCTTTCTATTCCACCTTTTTTCTCCTTGTTTTATTTTGGAGTAGATGAATTAAAAATAATTTTGTATTTAAAGTTATGAATTGATGTAACTATTTGTATAAATTCTATTAATTGACTTAATTAGGTTTAATTGTATGTTTGGGGGAAATGATGTGTTATTAATGATTAAATGACATACTATGTGATAATAAAATATATAAAGTAGGTTTTAACACTGAAAAGTATGTCTATTCAGTCTTATAAAGTGTGTCTAATAATAAATATTTTATTATTCAAAATTATTAGAACAGTCCTGTGCCAAAAATGGCCCTATAAATAAAAGTAATTCTTATAAATTTTATGGTATAGTATGGCAAGACAATAATAACAAATCTCAGAAAAAAGGGCATTTTACGGTATTAGAATTTTTTAAAGTTAATATACACTGAAGAGGAGGGATATATATATATATATATATATATATATATATATATATATATATATATATATATATTTATTAGACCAGTCCTGTGCGAAAAATGGCGCTATAAATAAAAGTAATTCGTATAAATTTTATGTTATAGTATTGACATGGCTATAATAAACAATCAGAAAAAAATATTTACAGGATTAAATTTTTTAAAATTTAATATGCATTGAAGAGGGGTGTTGTTGTTTCACGTGGAATAAATAGAAAATTAGAGGGAATATTATAAACCTGCAGAAGTCTAAGAATTTTTTTTAACCAGGGAAAATTAATGATTTTTTTTTTTTAAATAAAAACGCTAACAAAGGGAAGTCACAGTCAGTGGATTCTGGTTTTAACATTTTTTTTTTTTTTGGTGATTCTACATTGAAAAATATTAGACATTCGTTTTAATAGGTCTTAGGAACCAAAAACAATTTTTATAATTAAAAAATGAAGTATGTTATTTATTTTTGCCTCTTTCCTTGGCTGAATTTTTCTAAAAAAAAAAACATTACTTCCATATTGCTGTATCGGTTGGTCCAATTTGTTTTAATATTGTATTTTTGTAATGCATTACTTGCCAAGTATTATATTTTTTTCTAAATCAGTAATTGGAGTCTAGGTTTCTTAGGAAGAAACTAAGTTGATATTTTTTTCTACCTCAAAAATCCTTTAAACACAAATTTTTATAGCAATCGAAAAATTAAAATAGTTACAAAGCCTGGACCCTTCAAAATTTATTATCAGTATTACAGTAGTATTGTTTTAGTGTTAGTAATGATACTATTTTGATATTTTAATTGGTTCGGCTTAGCGGCAGGGTTGTTTAATGTTTTTAGTTATCATAAATATTTATCTGGGGCCCTCACTATTCTGGATAACAATATTTAAAATATAAAATAATGTAACAATTGTATAGTGTTATTATTAATAATTATCAGTATATAAAAATTTACTCAGGAGCCAACAATTTTTTATTTTACCGTATTTTTTGAAGAGAATAAATTTTATCCAGTGATAATAAATTGTAAAATAGCATATAAAGTAATTTTCTTTGTCGTTTTTTGCTTCATAATATTTAAGTAACTAGGAGAATAATCAAATAATCTATACAAAGTCCTATTATGAATATTTAATTTTTCTAAAAATGACCTGGAAAAGTTTGTAAATTCCATAAAAAGGTTTTGGTGGACACTATATTTAAATGAAAATAACTAATTATTAATTGGAGCCCTTGACTTCTGAATCTTTGATAATTATAATTCTCATTATAGTTATAATTTTCATTAGTGACAGGTAAAATTTATTATAATCATTTTTTCAATACTATTAATTTTTGTTTAAAGGCTAGAGATGCAAAAGAGGCTACCCACATCCCAACTGGTCTGGTATATGATAATAAAATGGCTGAGCATAAATGTTTATGGGATGATAATTATCCTGAATGTCCTAAAAGGCTCACAAGCATCATACAAAGGTTATTGCTAATGACAAATGTTTATTATCAATCAAGTTTCAGTACATTTATTTAATATACAGTTATTTGATATTTTTTTTCCAGATGTGAAGACCTTGGTCTTGTAAAACGCTGCCAACTAATTGAATCTCGCCTAGCTACAGAAGAAGAACTCCTTAGCTTACATGCTCCTGGTTCTGTATCATTATTAAAATCCACCAGAAATTGCATTGATGAAAATCATCTTGAAAATATTTCTTCTCGTTATGATGCTATTTACATACATCCAGTAAGTTTATTGTAGCGTTCATGCTTTTAAATTAATTTCAATATGACTTTAAAATATAAATAATTTTTTCTTTCTTTTATGCTTATCAAAATTTATTAGTTATAGCTTAAGGTTGAGATAAATCTCAGGGGCAATCAAAAATTTTTTTTTTGTAACTAACAAGATTTTTTATGAGAAAAGAAACGGTCTGGGGGCTTTCGTAAAAAAACTTAAAATAATGAAAAACTATTTTATATAAGCAAACTTTTTGACTCAACCATGTTTTCACTATTTTAAGTTTTCTTTATGACAATACCCCAGACCACCTCTTTCTTCAATACTGTACCTATGATGAACTATTGAATATTTTAGATTTTTGTTGTGTTAATATTATTTTTATAGTAGAAAATATAAAGCTAAATTTATAAACATTTAGAAAACATTTTTTATCTATTATTTAAAATTTATTTTTTTGAATATCTAAGGTATTTTTTTTATTTTTAGATCTTAGAGATAAATCAATTTCCTTCTGCCGGTTCCTTTGAACACTAAAAATGTTGAAAATCTTAACTTACCCTATCATCCTCTTGCCAACAAGAATTCATTTACGGTCTACTTTTTAAGAATCCTTATTCCAATGATAAATATTTCATTTTACTTTTTTATCTGTGGTAGATACCGAAAGTATTGTAATTTTAAAAAAATTTTGATGTGTAGTTTTCAATGAATCTATGCCATCTGGGCCTAAAAAATACATTTTTAGCTATTGGTCTGTATTGTGTGCTGCTTTGTACTACGATTATCTCTTGAATGGGGTTTCAACAGGTTTTCAGCCATATCTTTCATTAAAAATAAGTTACCTATCTTTACCATAACTGTTTTTTGTTGAACTTAATTTTTGTAAGGTTGAAAAAAAAGACAGTTATCTTTATGATTGGTCATGAAGCCATAACATAAAATATGGTAATGACATTGAAAAGCTAAAGCTTTTAGAATGTAAATTGTAGATTCATATTTTTATTCATGTGTTTTGTTTAACACTAGATTCACAAAGAACATTATATTGTCTTCTATCGTAGCATGCTATTGTTTTTAACTCCCTCCTCCCTGCTACCTATAGACAGATTACCAAACATGTTGCACGTTACAATCATTTAGAACTTATCTTAAATACTAATAACTAAATGCAAATAGAAGCATTTATTTTTAATTTCTAATTAATCTATTTCTAGATTGATGTCAGATTATTGAAACCAATATTCTATAAATTATTATTGGTATAGTTTTAAGAAAGTTGCTAAAATGGTCTTGGCATGAAATAATTCATTTAGGGTTAATCATCCTATCATATCTTGAGTTGGTTATAATGTAAGATCTTTTTGATTTTCTAGGCTACCTATGAGTGTAGTTTATTGGCCGCTGGGAGTGCTATAAAACTTGTTGATGAAATATGTAATAAAAAAATCCAAAATGGAATGGCCCTAATAAGGTGAATTATATTTTAATGATTTTTGTTTTAATGGTAATTACAAACTTTGTATTGACTTACTTATTTGTTTAATTTTTAATTTAAAAAGAATATTCATCCGCTTTGTTTTTGAATAGTATATATTTATAAATGATTTCATAAGCATATTATTTACGTTTGGTGCCATATTATTATTTAAATATTTTTTTGGGCAAAGATCACCTTTTAAAGACATTTCAAGTACTAACTTTGTCTGAACTCCTCCACCTATCGCCCCACTCCTGTATAAATTAAGTCAGTCACACATAAATAAATAACAAATTAAATCAGGTATCAAGATTGTACGAATCTGTAATTATTGTCAAAATATCTGTAACAATTTTTCATAGATATGGTTAATTATATGTTAGTGACATAAATAAAACATTGCCCCCCCCCAAAAAAAAACAAAAAAAAAACTGATCTTGCTGGGAATAGAAATTTTTGTTTTTTAATGAAACAAATGTTATGATTAGATAATTTTTAATAAAAAATAATCTAAATCAATATTAAACACTCATATATTTATACTGAGATATGTTCTGGAAAGTCATCAAATATGTTAAAGGCGATAATTTTAAATATAAATTTATTTTAAAATTTTAGTTAGGAGTGATATAAGAAAGTTAAACAAAATGAATTGTTGATGACAATTGGCCAAACATTTATTTAAATAATAAATAAAAAAAGCTGTACTGTATAAATGTTTTGAGAATAATATTTGTCTTGAACCTAAGACATCCTATTATCTAGTTTGTTTTAATTATATTCCACTTATCCCAGTTGAATTTTTTTTCAACTACAGACTAGACGAGAGGCTAACTTGAAAATATAAGATTCAGTTGATGAGGAACAAACTGTTCATTATTTCTGCTTCAACATTTATTACCCTACTTCTCTAAGCTTCCAATTTATTATTGAAGGTTATTTAATTGATTATTATCCTGTCTATTTGTACATACAGAGTCGAGCTGTAAGCCTGTAAATTTATTGCCCAAAAATCCCTACTCTACCCTAAAGGCCTCTAATAGATCAAGCAATCCTTACAGACCAAAATCTTTTATAATGTATATACTCTTCATTATGCCGTCAAAAATATGATCCATAATGACGTATGTTGCAAATTTAGCATAATACACATATTTTTCTTTTTATTTGAGACTCTATAACCATTAAACACTCTCACACATCTAACTTTACTTTTCAATTAATTTCCGACAATCCTCTGAGACATCTGAAATGATGGCGTCGGAACTTTACAGAGCTGTCATTGGAGCTCTACCAGTGGGTGGTTAGTTCCATTAAAATTCATTATCACATGTCAATGAGCAGGCTCACATGCACATAGTTGTGATTTACAATAAATAAATTTGTTAAAAGTATTTATAAATATAGTCTAGCTATAGTCTAAGTTCACTATTATTATTGAAAAAAAAATCCTAATCATATTCGAGATATTTTTGTTAGGAATTAATATTAATTGCTTGAATGTAATATTGGAAATGCACACTGTTGGTTCTAGTGCTTGTTTCATATTTTTCATGTAAAAGTATTTCTATTAATGACTATATTATCTTATATTTAAGGCCTCCTGGACATCATGCTATGAGAAGTGAATTTAATGGCTATTGTTTTTTCAACAACGCTGCATTAGCTACTAGGCATGCTCTGAAACTTGGTTATAAAAGAGTTCTCATTGTTGATTGGGATGTACACCATGGACAAGGGACACAGCAGATGTTTTATAATGATCCTAGGTTAATAATCTGTTCCTAGTACTTTTTAGTTGCAGTTTGATGATGCTATAGATTCATTTAATGTTTTTTTTTTCTTCAGAGTAATTTATTTTTCCATACACCGTTATGAACATGGTTCATTTTGGCCTAATTTAAGAGAATCTGATTTCGACTTTGTCGGTGAGGGCACAGGCAGAGGTTTTAATTTTAACGTACCCATTAATTCAATTGGAATGGGTAATGCTGATTATTTAGCTGTCTTCCATCAAGTTCTTCTTCCGGTTGCCTATGAGGTGTGTACATATTTTATTTTATGTCCTTAATAAGTAAACTTCACACAATAGTTCTTAATAAAAAACTAAATGTTTTGCTAAAACTGGGAACAATAGGTACTTATTTAATATTTTTTCCGAATTCATTTCATTATTTTTTTTTAAAAATTCAGATTTTAGTTATCTTTTAGAATATAAATTAGATTTTAAAATAATAAAAGTAAAATTAATCATTTATTTCTGACATTGAGGTATTAAAAAGTGCATATGTAACTTAAATCTTCTTTTGTATTTTTTTTTTTAGTTTATTTTAAATTTTATTATTATTTAAAATATCTGTTTCTGACTTGCTATCAATGTAATTGTGTTTTCCCAATGATATCTATTCGAGATAATTGTTTTTATCTGCCAAAGGATGAATAATAATGTACATAGAAAATGTAACTATGACATTATTTGTAAAGTAAATGTTGGAAGTGCATATGAAATCTCATATAAATATTTTTTATGCTTGTTATTGTGGCTTTTGCTAATCTATCTGTAATTCAATCATTTTTGAGTCGTGAATAATGACCAAATCTTCGTGCAGTAAAAATCTGAAAAACGTGCTGTAAATTTCTCAACATCGTGCAGTAAAAACCAAATATATTTTATAAGACCTTTATAAAACTGGCTTCTTATAATCCTAATATTTATGGAATGTATTAACTTATTTCAATATCTTTCTTAATAACATTACAATATCAATTCTTAAGTAAGTTTATTTATTAATACAGTAATTAAAGTTGTAATTATTTTGTTAAGGACAAGAGAAAAAAAAGATTTAAGAAACATTATATTTTTTATAAACTTCGCATAAATATTAGAAATTGGTTATCTAGTACTGGTTTGTTATGGTTACTATTCCTTTACCTGAAAATTTATGGACAATGTTCCATCAATTTTGAAAATGAGTCTTTGGAAACTGGAATAATTTAATCTAGATAGATTTTACTTATTAGAATTTTATTATATTGTTTATGCATCAAAATTATTTTTCTTCCTTCTAATAATATTAGAAAGATATATCACCTCATTATCGATGGCATTAATCACTATTATAGAGATTTAGTGCACTGTGGGTCTAAAGCAGATTTTCTAAATAATAAAGCTAAATCGGTATAATTATGATTACTTCTTCCTGCTTTTAATATGTTTTACTATTCATACTAAGATCATGCCAGAGAATCAAAATATTATTTTTTATTTTTCCTTTTGTCGGCCCAAGACTTCCATTGAAGTCCTATACTGCAAAATATTATAATATCTCTATTACTTAGATTTATTTTAATTTGTTACTTTAATTATATTGTTGTTTCTAATAAATACAGATATTAAATAAACATATGTTTTTAACTAAGAGCAATTGTTAGCCACTGAAAAACAAGTGTTTTTGAATGTTCAATAATTAATACAGTGAGAGTTATTACTGCAGTGTTTCATTAGTGAGCTTTTGTGTGAAATGCGACTAAAAGTTAGGCTTTTTTATTTGTTATGCAAATTATAGATGCTCAATCTGTTTATTGTGTTATTTTTGGAATATTTGTTTTCATGAAATGAGAATAGAGTATTTTCCATAATAACAATGCAAAAAACATCTATTGACTATTAGGTGTTATGGACTATTAATTGACTAAATAAATAAAACAATTCAAATTAAAATGAAGAAATATTAAAAATATGAATTGATAAATTTTACTGATTGCCATAGAGTCAGAGCTGTAAACCTCAAGTTTCTGTGCAATATTGAAAAATCAAGATAATTCAATGATTTATGCTGCAGTGATTGAATTCATAATAGTTTGAGTATTGATTTCTTTTTTGATGGGGTCCAACTTACTATTTTATTTTTACTGACTGCCTATATTTTCCCATGACCATGTTTAACTATCATCTTTAGGACGTGATGTGCTTTGTCAACCAGTTGCTATAACCAAAAAGATTGCTCCGATGATCAAACAATAACAAAAGCAAAACATGTTTTTATTTATTTTTACTATTGTATGGAATGCAGCAATATATAATCTTTATATAACTAAGCTGATTACATATAAAGAATAGCCATTCATACGTGCGTGGTTGTTTTAAATATATTGATAACATTTTGTCCAATTATATAATAATACAAAAATTAAATAAATAACAGCATGATTTTCTACAGCATTGAATTCCTGAAAGATTGGGAATCCTGCTTGAATTTTTCATTTATGGACAAAAAATTATGCTTCAAATACTGTCAGTCATAGGAAATTTTGATTTTTTAATCTAATGATTCTGCTGAAGTTTTTAATTTTTGAAAATGTTATGAGCCTTCTTTAATGCACCAAGTTAATAAACAAGAATATAATATAATTATCAAGATTCATTCTCTGGTTTCTATTTTATTTTAAATTTAATCCAATAAAGTTATGAGAAGATGTTTGAATTTCACAGTTGGTCTTGAGATACTTGTATCATGGTTTAGTGGTTTCATGCTATATCACAGGACTCTATGAATAATATAAAAGTGATCAATGTTGTGAATCTTAACACTTCAATTCAGTGCCTTAGACATTCTTCTGAACTACAGAAATAAAGTTGATACATTAAAAATTCTTAGATCAAGGATTTTTAATATATCAATTTTAATATATTTTTTTAACAAAGATAGTTTGAATTTATCAAAAGTATATTTAGTCCTGAATACTATTAATATTTATGAATTTATTTATATAGTTTAGCCAATTATGGTTGTAAAGCATGCAATGACCAGGAAAGGTTTTCAATTTTCTATTACTTATTTGGTTCATAAATTATTTTCAAAAATTTGTGAACACTTGGGTTTCAGTTCCAGCCTGAACTGGTTGTTGTATCCGCAGGGTATGATGCTGCTCTAGGATGTCCTGAGGTAGTCATAATATTTATTTTCCAATGAAACAATCCTTGTTGCTAGCTTAACTGGAACATTTTGTACATTTATTTTTTGTATTATTGTTTATATTAATAGTATTTATTTTACAATCGGCCAAAGTGAAACAGCTATTAATGTTTGTCTTTTAATAATGGTTGCCTTTTATTGTTAATAAATGATTGAATAAGAGAAGCCAGCGAAAAGGAATGTTTCATTATATAATTTACTTTGTTTTGTAATCATTAATGATATGTTTAACAGTTTGAACCTGAACTAATTGTTGTATCAGCTGGTTATGATTCAGCTATCGGTGATGAAAAGGTAATAACTGTATTTTATACATATGTTTGTCTCTATATTTACGGCAGGTAGTCTATCAGACTTGGAATTACTGATAAAGTATTGGGAATTTTTAATCTTGGAAAGTCTGAAATAACTATTTGCCATAAAATGTTTACTTGATTATGATTAATACACAAGTGTTATTACACATTAACAAGTCAAATATATTATTTTGTGATTAATAGTTATTTTATTTGTCATTTTGGTTTATTATTTTCAATAATGAAACATTGTGATCGACCAAAAAATTCAAAAACATAACCCCCTCTCAAAATTTGAGGTTTCACTTTTCAAGACGCGTAGAATTTGAAAAACGAATAAAAATTTTTTGTCCATCCGCCGTCCGCGCATTTTCTCCGAAACTACTGGGCCGATTTTTTTCAAATTTTGATATAAAATCAGAAGTCACCCGAGGATGATCCTCCTTCATCGACATTACTCTCCGCCTTTAACTTTCAAAATGGCAGCCGAAAAACCTGCGTTGCTATAGACTGTAGCTCCTAAACGAATATACAGATTCAATGAAACTTCGCTAAAGCCATTTTCTCGACGCCCTTTAAATTTATCTATATAACATATTTCAACGAAAAGAAGCTGGAAAAAAGTTACGAGGGATGGTAAAATTAAATTCCGAATAAATCGAAAATTTTTTTCTTTTTTGTTGATATTGTATATAGTTTTTTAAAAGTTTACGAAATTTCCTAAAAAAAAAAAAAAAATTTGTTAAAATCGGACAATTAGGAGCAAAGATATGGTCTGTGTTCTTTTTATGTGTTCTACTCCAAATGTTATATCCTTGGTTTGGTTTTTAAATTTTAAATGTGTTACTGAACTAACTATTTTTTTTTAGTATATAACTAATGATTAATGAAAAATAGTTTAGTCCAATAATTGGACTCACCTTTTGTTTTTTTTTTCTTTGTAACTCGGAAGGTAATGTTACTTTAGATGTATAGTGGTTTGGAGATAATAAACCATTGTGAAATAATTTGCAGCATTTTTTTTATTCTTATTATATTCTAAAAAACTATTTATATTTTTTGAAAATATGTTCATGCTAACAAAACTTGTTTTGGTATTTTTATATGAAAGAGAAAATGTTTAATTTTTAGTTAGATTTCATATTATTATTTATATCATAAAAATGTATAACTTTGAGCGTGTAGGGTACTCCCTATCCTCCAAGTCCCAGGTTTGAGTCCAGCTGTGGTTGACAATGGTTGTCAGGAAAATATTCTCTCCCCAGATAAAACCTGTCAGCCTACTAATATTTTCCCTAAGTCTAAGTAATGGTTGTATTATAATCTATTTGGGTGACCTTTCAGAGGCTCAGTTCTAGCTTCCTTACAGATTTTTTTCTTTTTTGTTCTTCCCTACCTTATACCTTTTAGGCTATACGGGATTTTTCCAGACTGGAGGGCGAGAGCGGGGAATTTAAAATCCCCTCCGTTACCGGGATGCAAACTCGTACTTTTTTTTAATCTCATAACTTCGGTTATCTGGTTGCCGGGCAACTCGCGGTGCTGTGCACACGCATTCGGCCACCCCGCCCTCACTTTCTTACAGATTAACTGTATAACTTAAAAAATATATAACTTGATGTCTTTGACAGTAAACATAATGAAATTTTTAGAAATGTGAGGCTGTTAAATGCCATATATCTTTTCCCTGTTTGTCCCGATGAAAATATGATATTACATGGCCAGTGTTCTTCAAACTAGCTCATCGTTCATTATTAATAGATGAAACTGATTTATTTAATTTTAGTCAATTGCCCATATACCATATATAATTTTACAACTCCATTCTGAATTTCTCATCTTCATTGTAATCATTTATGGTTACATTTTTTTAAAAATTCAATCTATTTTTTTTATGTTCCTTTCTGTTTTATTAACTAACTCTGATTCTCCTCTTTATCTATATTTATCTGCTTTCAGCCAGATGCTATTAGTATATTATAGATTTATTGCAAAAAGTAGGTAAGTAAATTTTTGATAGAGCTGAACTTTAAACTATGTATTTTTGGATTTCGGTCGATCATATTTATTGATACCAATTAAGGGCAAAACATTACATAAATTCTATTATATGACAAATATATTAAGTGCACAATGTTCTGATTTCACTGAAGGAAAATTCATCAAATTACTTAGTTATCTAATTTTATAAAATTTTATTTAACGACTTTTTGCAATAAAGCGGTGATTTATATATTATTAATTTTTATATTATGTTATTTCTGATTTTCTGATGAATTATGACCATGTGTTTAGGGTGAAATGGAACTTACTCCAGCTGTTTATGCTCATTTGATTTCTTACCTAATGCCTTTGGCCAGTGGAAGAGTCGCTGTTATACTGGAGGTATGGTATATTTTATATTCATATTTGTTCGGTTCAATGGTGTTGTACATTCCAGTGTTGCCAACTTGCCACAGATAATCTTAGAGATCGCCAATCCTTTATAGTGAAAAAGTGTAGGAATCATTCTGCAAAGGCCAATAAGTGCATAATATTTTGATTTTACAGAGAGAAAATTAATTAAAGTACCTTGTGATTTAATTTAAAAAAATGTTATTTAATGACTTTTAGCAATAAAATAACTATGTTTACTTTTTATTCTTTAAAAATATTATCAAAAAACTTATTATTTTAGGGAGGTTATTGCATTAAGTCACTTTCTGAATGTGCTGCTTTGACGTTAAGAGCTCTTATAGGAGATCCTGTACCATCTTTAGGATCATTAAATCCTCCTTCTAAAAGGTATTGGAAGTTACAATTTTATCATTGATTAATGATATTTCAATGAATTGTAATTTTTAATTTTTTGTTTATAATAATTTTTACAGTATGGTTGAAACCATTTCAAATGTCATATATAGTCACAAAGATGTTTGGAAGTGTTTCCGTGATTACCCGACTTACAGTATTTATGAAGCTGCTAGTGAAGATGAGAAAAGACATCTTCCTCGTATTTTATATAAACATAATGTAGTGCAAACTGATAAATACCCAACGAGAGACTGTTATCCAATCCAAAGCGCTGAGCTAGTCTCTAGATTAAATTCAAGGCTGGACTTATTAATAAATAGTAAGTATCTATGTCTTTATATATTTATTTGAATCAATATTTATTAATCCCAACCACTAGCTCATTATTTATTATTAAAAATGAGTTTTGTCATTGATTTAATTTATTTTTACTGTCCAGAAATATAAACATAATTATTATATTCTGTACTGTTCTATATGGATCCTGACAATGCCCACTTCTATTCAGCATTAACACTTTTTGTTTCTTTTGTTTATTTGAGGTTTAATTCTTTTTACCACCTTCGCCTTTTATGGATTTTTTTCATGGAAAAAGGCGGAGGATTAATGCCAAAGTTAAACTGGGACTGGAACTCGTAATCTTAAGTTTATCAGGTTGCTGGGCAAGTCGTGTTTTATACATATATTAGTCCATTTGGCCACTCCGTTCCCGAGGTTCAACTTCCTTATCTACTCTATCTATAGCAGGTTGTGTCATTCTTACAAACCTTTTATAGTGAGACTGAGGTTGAGATTTATTCTGTTGATCTCCCAACAAATAAATTTCAATCTTTCCTGCCTGAATTAGATTCTATATTGGTTTGTACCCTATAATTGTAAAGTGATGCCTCAACACGCTTGTCCGCCACATCCTCCACAAAACATTTTGAAAATAAAGTATAGTAGAATATTTAGCCCAAAGAAGGACTCAACTGGAGAATTTAGACACTGAAGTATTTTGGCTACATTATTGTACCATATCAAGTTATTGTCCAATTAAGGTTTCATGACGGTTGATGATGTATTTAATTCATTTATGAACCTTCAAGCAGATGTATAATTTATTTGAAAGGAGGATTAAAGAAAGGTTGCCGCCTATATGGATTTGCTGTAGAAACTTAATTTTGGATCGTATATGGAAAAACCATCTAATATTTTTCATGATCAGATTAGATATTATCTAGTATCTTAAAATAAGAGAATCATCACAACATTGTTGAAGTAACAAATGTAAAGTTAGCTACTTCTTAGGAGATTGAAGAATCATATTTTATTTTTGACTTTCCCATTGTGAATAATTTTTTTATCTCTGGGTTTTTTAACCTCTTGTTTTGAGTCCTAGTTTTGCGTTCATAATTTTATTTTGGAAAAATAATTGCGTTAAATCAATAAAATTATTTAATTCCAAAAATGTGATTTTTATATTAGCTATTTAATATTTTTTGTCAAGTTGTATTGATTATAAATGGAAATGATATTAGGTTGGATGAAGAAGTGAGTTTTAACTTAATAAAAATATATTAAATAATATATATATATATATATATATATATATATATATATATATATATATATGTGTGTGTGTGTGTGTGTATATATATATATGTGTGTGTGTGTATATATATATATATATATATATATATATATATATATATATATGTATGTATATGTATTTAAAGAAAACTAGAATAATAGTGACTTATTGATTGCTTTCCTTTTAGGTACAAAATTATTTTCTCCAAGGCATAAAGTTTGTTTTGTCTATGATACAAAAATGATGGATCATAAAAATTATGAGGACAGGTTTGGAAATTATTTCTATACATCTGTTTATTTGACTTTCCTTTATTGTTCTTGGTTTTTATTTGTACATTTAATATTATTTTTAGGGATCATATAGAAAAACCTGCAAGGATATCAGCCATTTACAAATTCCATGATGAATATGGACTTCTTTCCAGATTGCATGTATTAAAGGTATATCGTTTCAATACATTGTTAGACATAATTTCCATTTCATTTTTTTTTTCTTTTATCAATAACTTGGTTCTATCATTAAATTGTTAATCCTTTGTGGTCCAAAATGTTTTAATGGGTTCTATTATAATCAGAATAGAAACACAAGTTATTACACAGATTAGCACAAGTTAAAGGTAAGTAATGTTTCTGACATATTGACATTAAGCACTCGTAAATAAATAGTGTTGATTTAGGTGATTAATAGATGTCTCGATAATAATACTGTACCTAAAAGCTGGTCACATGTAGGTCTTTGATCTCATAAATTAAAATATACACTTATAATTGCTAAGAGGTCTTTAAATATAATCTCAGAAAAGCCTTAAAAAATCGTCACATCTTGGTCTGCACATAACACAACACAACACTATCTTGCATGGTAAAATTACCTCCATTGGGCAAAAAAAAAAAAAAAAAAAAAGAAGTTTTTAATCATGATTGGTTGTTATATTTGTTAAGTAAAAATGGGGAACAAAATTCTATTGTTTCTCCGAAAAACATTAATGTAATTACAGAACTACATAAGCCATTTTAATGAGTTCCAAAAACTATTATAGAATAAACTAAATCAGAAAATGATCAAAGTATCACAATATCAGTAGTAAGTTCTAAGAAAAAGCCGAGTCCTCAGTTCTCTGCCCAAATTTTCTTATTATCTGATAAATTTCTCTGATGTTTCTGTTAGGGTACTGCTCTGTCCTTGGTGTTTTGCCTTTACCAATTTTATTTGTATTTTACAGAGTCGACCTGTGACAGAGGAAGAAATTAGATATGTCCATAGTAAATCACATGTTAACGATATGATGAACATTTCCAGTATGAGCACGTTTCAGTTAAACGAGAAGCAACAAGTATACCATTCTGTATACCTGCATCAGGACACTTACAAAGCTGCCTGTCTTGCTGCAGGATCTCTCTTGCAGGTAAATTTATATTTTTTTTAACATGTTAATACGTCATTACACAAGATTTGTTTGTGATAGCTTCAATGAAAGTAGTAGATATGAATGGGAAGATTCATTTCAAATATTTTAATTTAACCTTTAGGTAGTGGATTCAGTTCTTCAGGGTGAAAGTGGTACCGGCGTAGCTGTTGTAAGGCCTCCTGGCCATCATGCGGACACTGACGAGCCTTGTGGATTCTGCATTTTTAATAATGTAGCTATAGCTGCTCACTATGCCTTAAAAAAATATGGCCTTAAAAGGTATTTTCTTTATTGGATGAATTACATGATTAATAATTTTATGTTATTGATGAAATTCTATTTTGTCATTTGAATCAGACTGCTATTTAGTGTCTTCTTTTTCTTATGGAAATGATGTAAGTCCTTTTGATTTTGATAAGGAAAAAAAAGGTAAATTATTTTCCCCCTCAAGTGGAAAGTTAAATATTTTTGAATAGTGTTCATTTAGTTGCAGCATTTTTTAACTGAAGGTTTTCTCTAATATTTATGTACCTTGCTGCAGTATACCTTCTTTTATTTTATTTACAGGATACATTCATCTTGTCAAGTCAGTAAAATAAATTTCATGCCTCCTAGACAAAAGGAATGAACTCTTAGGCTGACCTGGCCACCGAAAAGGCAGCTGAGGGTGAGCGTAGCAAGAGGGGGTCGGCAAACGATAGCGTAGTTGACCCCAGATCAGTCACTAACTTGCCTTGCATTCGTATCCTTCTCATATTCCGCATAACATTTAAAATATATATATAGCATAAATAACATTTAAAAAAATAGCAAAGTTGATTCATGTCGGAGTTGAAAAGAAAAATTGAATATTTGTGAATAAAATCGAATATTTTCCCTTACAAATCGATTAAGAATTCTTCCACATTCATTGTATATTTTACACTGAACTAAAATTAAATAATTTGAGAGGTTCAGTGAAAATAAGTGGAAAGAAAGGATGACATCGAAGGCCAGTTGTATGTACGATTGGAGTTCAAAATGAGGTTCAACTGACCATGGATCAAATTTGAACTAAGTTCATACAAACAATCAGTTGTATGACTATAGTAACAATTAACAACTAAAGATCAGTTTATCTCTGTTCAAGGGTTAGTTGGCAGCATTGAAGTGAACCATTATTAACCTTCCATCTCTTGTTCTCTGTTTGTTTTGATTGTCATAATGTTTGTTATTATAGTTGTTTGACATGTAACATCTTAAAGAGCAAAACACTTTACTTATATAAGGGAATAGTACTTATTGACACTAGTAAAAATTCGGTGGCCGGTCAGCCATACTTCTGTTAACTAAAGCAGGCAGAATGCTGTTCCAAAAATAGGCTTGATACTGATGTAGTATTGGATTCAATTAACTTTTATATTATTTTAATTTTTTTTTATCTTTGTCCTTTTCATATGAAATATAAAAATTATCTCTAGTAATCAACAACTCACCTCTGCATTAAATATGTACTACAAATTTTCCCTTCTTGGTTGTTACTTTTCTAAAGAATAAGAATTTTTAAAAAGTTTTAAAATATCTGACTTTTCTGTCTAGGATTCTGATATTAGATTGGGATGTCCATCATGGAAACGGAACTCAGGAGATATTCTTTGAAGAATCAAGTGTTCTTTACATCTCTATACACAGATTTGACAATGGGTCTTTTTTCCCCAATACTGGAGATGGCGCAGCTACTCAAGTTGGAAGAGGGGATGGTGAAGGGTTCACGGTCAACATTCCTTGGAATAAGGTTTGCTAACTTTATACAACTAAAAGTATTATATTTAAATGAAGTTTTTTTTTTGTTTTCCATTCTACTCACAATTAAATATTGCAATGTATTTAGAATGGTCATTCAATTTAATCCATCACTAAGCAATAATTAAAACAGTACTCAACAACTAGGGAAAAACACTTATAACCGAGAAAAAGGATTTTGTGTTAGGTTGTGCGGATGATAACTTTCTTTTTGTTTTTCAGTTAATTCGCATTCATCATTGTGAAAACTTATCTGTGTTCAATTTTGATTAATTTATTTTATTTTTAATTCCAGGGAAATATGGGAAATGGAGACTATGTTGCAGCCTTTTTTCAAGTGGTATTACCTATAGCCTACCAGTTTGATCCTGAACTTGTTTTAGTTTCGGCTGGGTTCGATGCTGCCATTGGTGATCCTTTAGGAGGTGAATTCACATTTATTGTTTTTCAGCTCCAGAATATTTATGCTGCATTATTAATAGATGATGGGTGGAGTTAACCTTTTGTTAAGTCATTTGCTTATAGTTTTAACCAGATCAAGTTGTATATTGCCGACCCAGATGAAGGATTTTATAGTAATTATGATTACTGTACAGAACGACAAAGGGTGGTTTAGAAACTAAAAAAAGGGGGGTTATGTTGTAGTTTTGCAATTAACTGTACAATTGAGAGATATAAGTTGAAATAAAGAATGATTTTTGTGATAATAATCAGCTAAAATAAAAAAGTTGTTGTCCAAAATTAAATAAATAGGTTAAAGAAATCTAAGAACTTTAAAATTATATAAAAGAGGTTTAAAGTTTGAAAGCTGGGTCCATGAAACCAGAAAGATGGGAGCCTTCTACTCTTTCTATGTAAGTGCTCTGAAAGTGCCCAGGTCCTTTTCTTACTTATGAGGCACTGTGGCACTGCAATCTTGACTATTAGTAATCCCTGTTCTCTGCTCACATTTTTCTGTTCCCGATCCCAAGAATGAATCGAGCATTCTCAGCTACTCCATCCACCCGCAGCTACCTTGGTATGTCTCTCCATTCTTTGCCATTTGGATCTAGTTTTTGAATATTCTCTTTAGGATCTTATCTTGAATCATTCTTACGACAAGTAAACACAGTTCTTTATAGAGCTGTCCAAAGGAGAGACAATCCTGTCCTTAGTAGAGACAATCTTGCACTCAATTTCATCTGACATTCCATATTGATAAATTCCATCTCGAAGCCATACACTATATATGCTCTCATATACTTTATTTTAGCCTTATCAATAACAAAACCAATTCATTTAGCACTCCTTTAGAGCTTGAGGAATGCATCTTTCATGGCTCTCAAAGATTCTTTTGATTAAATCAATATCATCTACAAATCCAAGGATAGTAGGAGGCCTTGAGTAGGAGGCCTCAAATGAAAATTGAACTTCCAACTTGGATTTCTGAGCCCCTAATATTAATAGCAGTCAAGTTGAAAAGGAGACACATGAGTCTATCTCCTGTGCACAATATACAGTAAATAAAACCATTAGAAAAAATTGAGGAGTGTTCCTGAAAGAGAGATTTCAAAGATTATTCAGTTCATTAAAATAAGTAGATATTGACTATTGTTTAATGTTTACTTATTTTCATTGAATTGGTTGAAATTTCATTTTGTAAACTTAATTTGCTGTTCTTTAGAAATAAATTTATTTAGGTATCTATGAGTTGTAATATTTTTGTATTGTTAAATGTATGTTTTAACAGGTTGTAAAGTGACCCCTGAGTGCTTTGGCCACATGACCTCATGGCTGTTACCACTTGCCGGTGGAAAAGTGATTCTTTCATTAGAAGGAGGGTACAATATCCACTCAATTTCATATTCGATGACCATGTGTACCAAAGCATTACTTGGTGATCCCTTACCGTCCCTGAAAGAGGGCAGTGTTCCTTGTACATCCGCCTCTGAGTCTATCCGGGAAGTGATAAGTGCCCATTCTAGATACTGGTCATCTCTTTGCTTCGACGCAGCTCTTCCAGTAAGTAAAACTTATTTATAATGTATTATCCTTTTGTAGAATCAACTTCAACCTTATTGAGTATATCTGTATAAGTAGAATTTCTTTGTTGTATAAAACGTGTTTGTGAGGTTAAAATCATGTTGATCAGTTTTATTGTGTTTTGTAAAAATAATGCTTTATTGATTTTTCAATTTATTTCCATTATAATATTAAGCAGCAAAATCTGACTCTGCTGTGGGTTTGTGTTTTTCTTCCTTTTATCTGCTTCCTGTAAGAAAATATTATTTTTCACATAACTCAAAAACTTGAAACAGTTCTAATTATACAATTCATTCTTAATTTAATTTGATGGTGTACCAATATTCTGTTTCTGTTTTCCAATTTATTTTACTAGTATTTTTTTCCTTCAGATTGTATCCCTGTTTTGCCCTCTTAAACTAATTACTTTTCATTAAAAAATTTTATTATTTATTGTTACAGCTTTAATTTAAGATTAATTTTGTTTAGGATATGTGGAATTGATTAGCAGGAGTCATATTTAACTGAAAGTAAACTTCACAATAAATATATATTAAGTTTATTTTATAAGATTTTCAACCAAACATCTAACAAAGGACGTCTTGGGGTCAATTTACACTTTTGGTTGTACATATCTACTAACTTTACTTAAAAAAATATAACATAATTAAAACTGAGGAGCTTGTCGGATTGTCTGATTCAGAAATGTGGCATGTCAGAGATGTGGCACTATCTCACTGATGTAATTTCCGCTTGTTTACAAATTCCTAAATGTAAAAGTGTATGTCATTACTGATGAAAATAACTGTGATGCAAGTTTTCACACAGCTGTTCTTGATTATTCCAGTCCCTGCTGTCAATCATAGATAGTTGATGAGCATTGGTCATCTAGTACTGATACGAGCAAAGGCCCTCCTTCAAGAGTACAACGCAATATTGCAATAGTTGATTTAATTATTAAAAAAAAAAAAAACAGCATTCTCTCTTGTCTTTGGTGTGCGGTGGAAGGTATTTAATTAATACAAATAGATTAAATATACACATCTGATTAAATGTTGGAATTGATTCAATACATCCTACATTCTAAAGTAGATGACAGCATTGGGGTATTCAAGGGTGAGGAGGGGATTCGGGCTGAAGCCTCCCCAAAAATTCGAAAATAACATTTTTTTTTCATTGGTCCATATTTTTATCTATGAGTGATCTGAGCCAAATACATAACTAATCACAATATGTTCCCTTTTTAAATTAGAACACATTTATTTAAGCCCTCCCATGCCATTTAGACAATAACGGTTACACAGAAGGGGGTTGTTAGGCATTACTGCATACCGTTCTACTCGTGCAATGAAATCAATTTACGTATTATAATCAGCTGTGCAGCGTAAATGTTCAATTGTTCTTCCACTCCTCCTCGTTCCGGATGTCTTCCAGCAGCTTAACATATTACACATGTTCTTCAGCTACAAAATGTAAGCTTATGTCAAGAAAAATATATAAATGTTTTGTTCGCAAAAGCAATATTATTCCTGCAATTACTGCTATTAAAGAAAAAAAAAAACATCCTCAAATTGAATTATGAATTCGCTACTGGATTATTATGGAACCAAATGCTGTAGATTCTGATGTAATGTATTTAGGTCTGTGCGAGTTCTCTGATTATTCTATGATGTACAGGATTTAAATTATAAAATACAACATTAGTTGAGTGGATGGCACAGGATAAAACATATTTAATTTCTTCATGTGTAATCAGACCAGTAAGTTAGTAAGTAGTTAACCTATTTATAGCATACTCTTTTATAAAGCATCTAAAGATGGAACTTAAGTTCTTAAATTTTAAAATTATTGTTTGAATTTGAAGCATAAAGCCATCCGGTTTTATGTTAATAGTTGTTGTTTCTATTCACTTAAACATCAAATAATCAAAGTATATAAATAAATAAATAATTTTTTAGTACATGAACATTTGAGTTGAATTTTCTTATAATGCTGGAGGTGTTTTATTTTTACTTGACCTACTTGCTTATTTATTAATAAATATATACTGTAACTGAAATTTGTTTTCTACAAAACTTCAAAAATATATCTAGCAAAAATATATCTAGGTCCAAATTGATAATACTTATTTACTTCTTTAAATTGATTGTCAACATCAGTGTTTTTTCTTCTTTTTTTTTTAATTACAGAACATTATAAATTCAGTATATTAATACTTATTATTATTATTTTTTTTAAAATTTTATCATAGAACATGGATTAGTTATAATTTACCTTCCTTGCAAGCTCGATATAGCAGATGTTTATTTTTAAACAAAAATTCTAAAAAAACAAAACAAAAGTCCTTTGATATGGAATATTATCTTAAAATAATTAATCTTTTAATTATAGATTTATCATTTGATGTTAAAAAGGCACAAATTACAAATTAAAGTTAAACCCAATCATGTCATTTTTTGCATGCAGTGTTGAAGGACGCAGTAAAAACCGTACGGAAGAAGAAGAATTAATTATTGATTGTTACATCATCGGTGATTTGTAGGTGAGCTTAAATTTTCCCAAATTGTGATTGTTTTGCAAAACACTTAATAGGAATAAACTTATGCAATTTTTTTTTCTACTATAGCTATGTTTCGTTATTCTCTGTTTTTATATATACATTTCTTTGAGTGTTTGGAATGGTACTGTTCGTCATGAATTTGTTTTACTATCATAACATTTCCGCTGAGAAAATGGAAAATCACTCCACACCTTACAGTGTTTCATTGTAGTGCATCATTTTGTAGATATATTCATGTGTCTCACCTTTTATAACCTGTGTTTGTTGATTTTGATTATTAATCATTAATATTACAATCATAAATATTATTTTTTAACAAGTAATAATTTTCATAATTACTATATAATAGCATTGATAAAAAAAAAAAAATTTATATTAAAATCTTGATCTCCATCTACGATGATCTGAGGCCAGATTTAAATGTGACTGCATGATTTATTCTATGCATTCATTTGAAAATTCTGCCATAAAACAAATTTTTGCTACAAAAAATTATTAAAGTACATTTTTATTAAGGAACTGATTCCTGAAGTGAAAGCAACAAAACGTAAAAGATAATAGCCCTATTATATATCATTTATTGTAACCTCTGTTTATGAATTCTTTGGAAAGGTTTCTTTAGGTTCATTTCCTGTTTTGTTTTTTATCATCTATAGGTTTAATTTGTGACTTCTAAAATTAAAATATCTCTTAATTTTAATATAAATTTTTTTTGTGGTAATGAAGAAAAAATTTTATTTTTATTTCCCATTTATGAAGATGTTATGGCTAAAAAAAAATTAATTTTCTAACAATTACACTAATCCTTGTTTCTTACACAAGTCAAACTTTTATATTTGTTGTTATGTAATCATAATAATTTTTTATTTGTTAAAACGAATAATTTTTAATAATGAAATATCTGGTTTCTTATTGGTGTAGTCATTCTATTGATGTTAAGTTTAACGATTATTTTGATTTCTGTTTAATTAAATTTTAATAGTAGTATAAGATATTATTCATCATTTTAATATTAAGTAGCATCACTAATTAATTTTGAAGTTATTTTTTAGTGCAATCTCTTCCAAATCCATCAATTCTGTTCATATTTTAACAAAGTTTCAAAGATATTTTTAATAGTTTCATTAATTGATCAACATGATTTTTGGTTTTATCTATGTTGCTGTTTAAATTCTTAATTAGTTTTTATTATATTATTAATTGTTGATAATTTTAAAGTAATATTATTAATTTGTTAAAGCCATTCATTGTTTAGGCTTGAATTGTCTGATTAACTGTTTGTTGAAATGTTATTTTGGGAACTTACTGATCAAATTTGTTACGACTTAAGCTTAGTATCTATTATTTGTATTTATTGTATTGTTATTTTGTCTTAGGTAGAAAATGTTCTTACTGAAAGAAAACAGAAAAAAGGCAATAATGCTACCAATGTGCAGAACCAAAAAAACGCCGATACGCTCGCTCGCGAAGTGCGAGACTTATCGCTAGGAGAAGAGGAGCTAGAGGAAGCAATTGATGGGAACGAAGAAGGCAATAATAAACGTGATAACAATGAAAGTGGCAGTAGTGGTGGAAGGCCCAACAAACCGGGCTCCAGCTCCACCTCTTCTGGGGCCACCTCACGGCCGACTCTTACTGAGTTTTTGAGTGAACATTTGCAGGTAAAATCAAATTTATAGGATGCCAGAGGATAGATTTAAATATTTCAAAGAAAAGCTTTTATCTATTTAAAATATTTTTATATGGTCGGTTTTTAGGCTCTTCAGAATGAAGAAATGTTTGCCGTGGTCCCTTTGAAAACTTGCCCTCACTTGCCTGAGGTCGCTCCTGTTCCTAATGGTGTTCTTGACGTCTCGACTCCTTGCTCAACCTGCGGTGACCCAACTGAGAATTGGGTCTGCCTTACATGCTACTCTGTGAGTTGTTAAATTGTACTTGAGCTCTACCTCTATTATTATATATTCTGTGAGAAAAGAATTGGTGGCTGTTCGTTACTTGTTTTGTTTTCTAGTCTAATAGTGATTAATTTGTCCACGGTATTTTACTTACAACTAGAAATTGGATTTTCATGTTAAATAAAAAGGTAAATATGTATATATATAAGGAGAAACTACTTACAGTAAAGTGAGTCAATTTGGCTTAGGTTAATATTTTGTAAATTTGCTTTAATGGTTTATGTATAATATGCATATATTATTTAAGCACATAGTGTATACTGCTATATACTGTATAATGCTATGCATACCATATTAAAGAGTAGGTTTAGGAGGCTTGGTTTTCATTTTCATTGCTTTTTACTTTCGCTTACCTATATATGGTAAGAGAAATTATTACGATCTTGAAAATTTTCGTATCGGAGTTTTCAATGGAAATACATGTTTTGAGGTTCCTTGAGTCAAAATAACCAAGTTCCGCAAAATGGTATGTGTGTGATCAGCCTAGCTCAAAAATGAAAAGTTGTACAAAACTGAAATTGCATATTTAATGTTTGTATATAGCTTGGATGTGACAGAAACGTTGAAATTAGCTAACCGGAAGTGCCACTTTATATAATCGATTTTACACGTTTTTAAGATTTTCCCAAAACGGCTAACAATTTTAATTAAACTCAGTGTTTCAATGTATAATTAAGTAATCTTTAATACCATTTAGGTTTTATTCCTGTGGTTGTCTCTTAATTTCCAAAATGTCTTTCTCTATAGTACCTTTAATTTGGTTTATTTTAAATAATTAGTTATCTCCTTTTGTTAGGAGTTATGAAAAACTAAGCTAAATATAACTTTAAACTAAAAAATAAGCTAAGTATAACTTTTGAAAGAATTTGATAATTGAATAAAAAAAAAGAAAAGAAAAATGCTTATCCAGGTCGTAAATGAATCTCTGGAAATTATAGTCAGAAGGTATACGTATAATTTATCATTGGAAAGCAGAGAATTTTAGAAAAAATAATATCTAGTAAATGAAGTTGTAGAAGGTAAGTGACGAAAAAAATATAAATAATAATTTCTGAAACTAAAATTATTTAACGTAAATTACATGTTTCCAAGGAAATTAAATGAAATTTTCTCACGAGATGTAAACTTTTTGAAGTTTGAAAAAAAGTATTTCAAATAGCAGTTTCCATTTACAATTAGTGTGACAACTTTTGACCTATCTATGACAAGCGATGCAAATCTCTTGATTCCATTATAGTAAACTTTGCAATGGAAAATAACAGTATAATAACTAATTGTCATACAATCCATAATCATCGGATCGTACAATCCATAATTAACCGTTGATATAATAAATAGGATTTTTGTTATTTCAATAGTATTAATAATTTGTTAGTTGTAAGCTTTAAGCTATGACTCAGTCAAAAATGCTCTTCAAAAATTTTATAATAGCCCAACTGTCAAAAATAATTTCTATTCAATGTAGAGCAGTAAGTGGAAGTTATATGTCGCGCACACCAGATTTTTAGTTTGAAATGCTGTGTTTTAAAGGATTATTTTATTTTTTGTTTTAAGTCGAATTACTCCACGTCTTGGTCGATTTTCTGTATTCCTTACCTAATTTGGAATTCATTGCACCTTAGATCCCATTCCATTCTCTGATTGAGACAAAGTAAATCTAGAATGATGAATATGACACTGAAGGAGGTGGCTTGGCGGATTTGCTTCACCATGGTTCTTTGAATCGGAGGAAATGTCTTTAATTTACACTTTCTCCCTCCCTCCCTTCAAAATATTAAATTGAATAAATTTTTATTTTACTGACTCACATCAGAGAGGTTATTGGAAATATAAATATATTTGTGTATGATATAACATGAAAATTACAGCTATAAGCTTAAAATTTACAAGTTTGGAAAATTTTTCCAAATTTTGAAAAACTGTAGTTCAAAACCTATGAGGTTTACTAAATCTATCCTGGTCTCAAACTGTGGTAGATTTAATTTTACTGACTCACATCAGAGAGGTTATTGGAAATATAAATATATTTGTGTATGATATAACATGAGAAATTACAGCTATAAGCTGTAAAATTTACAAGTTTGTGAAGATTTTTCCAAATTTGACCAAACTGTAGTTCGAAAACCTATGAGTTTCATCTAAATCATACCCTAGGTCTCAAACTGTGCTACGCATTTAATGCTAGTTAAAAAACTCCTTATAGCAACGTTTGTTGTCCATATTACCAATACGGCCAATAAAATTACATGTCCTCTCATCCTGTAGAGTGAGATGGTGGATGGCCTCCAGAGGAGGCCATATTTACAAATAATGACCACTGCTTTGTTTAGCTTGCACAAATTATCCAGAGACTGTAAGCAATATAAATTCCTTTTGCTCATTTGTTTTTCATTTTTAGGTGGAATGTGGTAGGTATGTGAATGGGCACATGATGGAGCACAATGGATCTACCAACCATCCTCTCACGCTTAGCTTTTCTGACCTCTCAGTATGGTGCTACCCCTGTCAGAACTACATCGATAATCAGGTTCTTAATAAATAATAATTATTTATCTTAGCTTATTAGTAATTTCTTAATTTTGTATATTAAGAAGCAATTCTTAATAATTAATTAAATTAGCCTGTACCACTACAAACCTGGGATGGCCTTGCTTTCAGTACCTTGTTAGGTTTGATTGATTCTCTGTTAACGGTATGACCAAAAAAAAAAAAGGATAAATATAGAAAGTATGAGGTACTAACCCATTATTTTAACTGGCCCCAATAAAACATTTATGCCACCATGCTAGCTCAGGTGAAGGGATTAGGTTGGATTTTATAAAGGAGCAAAAGAAAAGTATTTCAAGCTAGTGGTCTATTTACAGAATTAATAATATGTATAAAAGCAAAAGAAACAAATCCAAGGGGAAAAGAGAAAATTCAAACATAATAATTATAAACAATATAAAGATAAATAAAAAGATACTTAATATAATAATAATAACAAAAAGATACTTATTCTATTACTGTGTACAATAATTCGTCATGCCATATCTAAATCTAGCTAGAAAACGATAACCCTGAGCACATGCACATTCTAAATCTAGGAATTGAATCATCAATAGTGTTGCCATCCTCTGTGACAAATTCTCGTACGCTTGCTCATTGAAAATACCTACTGTTGTTGGCACAATGTTATTGTTTTTTTTATTAAGTAAAATTAGATCAGAGCTTTATTACCTCTATTCATATATTTTAAAGCTTTACTACATATATATTTTTTTAAGTGAATAGGTTGAGAAGTAAAATAAGTTTAATTTAAGGCACAAAATTAAATATATAAAAAAGTGCATAAATTTTTAGAAATTATTAGAAAACTTCCTATAAAAATTAAAACTTTTTTAAGGATAAAATATTCCTATTATTATTAAAAAGAAAAAGGAAAACACATTTTTATGGCTTCATCGATGTTCGAAACTAGGTAACATATAATTGAAATTAATAAATATTAATTTGTTATTATTAAATTTTTATTTTTATTTTGCTTACTTAGAAATATTTAAACAAGTTATGTAGCAATCATAGTTTTATGAAGAAAATAATAATTGCGGAGGAAATAATGGTTATACTTTCTTTTATTTTGTACTCGATAAAAATCGAAAATATTTTTTTAAAATGATGGTAACAATATTTTTTAAAATTTTGTTTTCTAGAAAATTAATAAAAACATATATTTACAATCACGGTTTTATGAAGGAAATAATAATTAAAGTATTAAAGTATACTCTAATTAAAGTAGTTCTAATTGCAATTTATTTCTCTTTAAAGCAACAGAGGTTAAGTGTTACATATTAATCTAAATAATAATACAGTATAAATAATTATAAAACAAATGTAATATTCATTCTTAAAAATGTCATTTTACTTACGTAAGCAAAAAATTATGTACGAGGCATGAGGCAGGTCAATCCTCGTACTTCATACAATATGTCATAACCTCGTACAAATACAAGGATCCTCGTACAAACGGCAACACTGATCATCAGTCCCAAGAAACAAAAGAAGAATGGGTTCTATTTTTGAAGGCTTCCTCAATTGTGGTTAAAACGGTTGTGGTGATTTTAACTGAAATGAGGCTCACCAACTAGATTTTTTATGTTTAATCATTTTTTTAAATTACTTAATTAAGATGATAACTCATAAAAAACCAGTACCCATGTCAGTTCTTAGCAATTGCTTTTCATAAATTGTTGCTGTTTATTTTTGTTGCCTAATTATATTTAGTTGTTTTACTGAATAGATATTTATCTCTTTTATAAGAATTACTGTGTACTCAATGAAAACAAATTGTTGTAGATACTATATGCAGCGAAAAATGCAGCTCATATAAGTAAGTTTGGAACAGATTTAGAATGGACCTACCATGACCAGCCTGTTTCAGTGTTTCATCTGAACCATTAAGTTGGGTTCGAGTATAGTATGACTTTGATTATATTTTACTTATTGTTGAGTTCCAGCATGAAATAGATCTGAGGAACTACTGTTTGCAATTTATTTTGAAAGTTTTAACCATTTTTGTTTTTATTGTTAAAAAAAAAAATACGAAAAAATACATTTTCATTCTAATTTTGAAGAGGTGTAGAAGTTATAGAAAACTAATTTCTAAAAATTTAAGTTAGAATTTTTATTCTTTTAACATTTATTATTCTAATTTATGTATAAGTTAACAAAAACTTAAATTCCCAAGTTACTTTGTTACTGTTGCAAAAATTTATTTTCAGTTTTATCCATAGCATGTATATTTTGTAAATAAATTATATTTATTAGTCATTACAAAGTTGGAGCCTATAAATATATGTATATTATTATATAATTTTATTGTATTTAAATGTTTCCTGCAAGTGTTATACTTAATAGTTTCGTTGTAGACTGATTATTCTTCCTCTGTTTTTTAATTTGTAGAAATTAAATAATTCATCGAGTTGTTCTCAGGGTTCAAATTATTGAATGAATGAATCATTCAAGAAAATTAGACAAACTCATTTTGTGACCATCATAATTTCTTCTTAAATGCTTAATTATTTCCCCTTAGTTTGTTGTCTAAACGCTCCTCTGATGTTGCAATTACAAAGCAAAAGAAATTTTTAATATTCTTTTTCGATAACCATGCTCTGATTTTAAACATTTCAGAATATTTTGATGATTAATCTGTGATGTTAAGTATATTTAATAATTTGTTCAATTTATTACCATCAATGAGCTCAGCTCTTAATAAATAACTCAAAATTATGATGTTTCATTGAAACAATAATGATAGTAAATAAAACCTCATTGAATCTTGTAACTTAAAAAAATGTTAAAAAAGTATCTTTTTTATTTTATTTTTTATTAACATAAGGAATCAAAATTCAATAAATATTTACCTATTCTCATTATAGCTCTTTTTACTTTTTAAGTTAAACTGAAGTTATTTTGTAAATCTTCCACCATAAAATGATGTAACAACTACCTCAAACTTTGCTATTAGGTTCTAAATATGAAAATACCTTTCATCACTTCTTTTTGTATATTGAATTTTAAATTCAATTGATCGGTCATGTTACTTACTTTGTGATATTCTTTGTAGTAGTTAGTGTTAAATATATTATGAGTTGTTAAATTCAATTATTTGTGTTTCTAAAATTTAATTAATTTTATTTTAGTGACTGTTAGTGAAAGATAAAGTATATATTGTATGTTACTGTTTTAATTTTGTTTTTTTCTTTCATCTGATTTTTTTCTTCCTTCTTTTTTTTAAGATCATAAGTTAGATATGTTATCCATTATTAAACAATCCAATGTGAATTATAATTTTGTTCTAAATCTATAAAATAAAAATTATTTACTCGTATCATTTCTTGATAAATCCAACTTGGAATTACTATTTTGTATAGTTATCAGTGTGACTCAAATGTTCAAATTTTTTATCGTTCTTTAATTTTGCTATTAAAAATAAATACTTTTTGTTTCTAAATAAATTTTATTCACTAAAATGACTGATACTTTTATTGAATGTGTAGATCCATTGTTGTGTTGATTTACCTGTTTTTGTTGTATTGAATGTTTACTGTTAGTAACTCTAATTTTAAATTTATCTCCAGTAATATGTTACTTTGTTTGAATGTTAAGTATTTTAATATTTTTATTTTATAATTGCTAATATTTCTTCTGTTACATGGCTTACAGTCTAAGACAATTTTAAATTACTCATGTTAATTAACATAGTTAATCATTGTTAAAATTAATATTCTTTTTAGAAGTTGTAAAATGATTTGGTTAGTAACATTTCGAAATTGTATACGATCATTAAGCATTTGTATGTATGTAAATATCATGTCTAAATGAAGCACTTATGTGTACCTGTCAGTTGTACATTTAAACTGTGTTAAAAGCAATATTTTTGTTTTGTGTTGGATTTGTAATGTGTAATTAACTTTTTAAAAAAATTAATTTCTCTGAATATGCTTATTTTTTAAAAACAATAGTATGTTGCATGTATCGAGGCATAAATTACCTTAGCAAACTAATTACTGTATATTTTTCTATGAATAATAAATCATACAATGAACATCTTTATTCTGCTTGAAAAACTAAGATTTTAATTTTTTTTAAAGCTTAAGTTTATTTATTTACATCAATTTTCATATGCTGGAGGTAAGAAATCGAGAGGGTTTTCGGTGTGTAGGGACATAATTTAGTCACTGTAATAAAAAGGTCAGTGAATTTGAAATAAGTTGACATTATTTCTAAACTTAGACATGAGTCTTCCTTCAATTTTCATAAACTGTCTTTTGACTTGTTTCATTTTTCAAAATAATTAACCTGGTAAATTTCTAAATATATTATCCTTTTTTTTTTTAGAGAACAACTTCATCTAAAACATTTTTTTTCAAGCAAACAAGCATTACTTGTCTTATTTATTAGTGTATCGTGCTCTTATTTATTATTATCTTCTATCGGCTCTATGAGCCACTAAATTGAGCCTTGGCATTCCCAGTTTTCTCTGTCGATTGCGGCTGCCTTCCAATTACAGACGTCAAAGTAAGTTAAGATTATATTGTTATTATTCAAATAAATCTATCATATCTCTTAGAAAAAAAAATCCAGGAAAGTAAATTTATTTTGCAATGTTACTTCATAGTGCTGCTTGTTGTTCGTGTTAAATTATTGAAGAATGAATTGGCACTACCACTAATGTAAACCCATGCATGAGATGTCCTATAAATAATGGTTATTTCTTGAATTGAGGTTCGATGTCACAGGAATAAAATCAGAATTCAATAAAAAGAGATATCCTCCTGTATATATATTTTGTATCCTGTATATATATATATATATATATATATATATATATATATATATATACAAGCAACACATTCTTCCCCGCACACTGGTTGGAATCTCCTCGTCTTTCATCCTCAGGATATTTTTTTTTTTGTTCTCCCCTTCCTCGCCTTTTAGGCTACATGGGGGCTTTCCCGGAACAGAGAGTGAGGGGGGGATTTATGCCAAGTTAAAAGACCCCCTTGATACCAGAACGCGAACTTGCAATTATTTTATCATTTATAATTTGGTGTGGACACACGCATTAGCCTGCTTACCTCCCCCCCCCCACCATTCTCAGAATATGTACAGCCCAGTCTAGCCTTGCTAGCTTAATGTTGGATTATATCAATGTCTTTGTACATTGCTTTTATTTCTACATTTCTTCTTCTCCATATACCGTCCAGATAAAATGGCCTGTATATTCTTCTCAGAACTTTTTTTTTCAAAACTTAGTAATGAAGCTTCTTGAACTTTAATGATGGTCCATATTGCCGATGCAGTAATAATACATCAGTTCAGGTTGGATAAGAGCTTAATAAATCCAAATTTTCGATGGCTACAATGTAAGGTTGCTTTGGAGATGTTTCTGTAATGAAAAATAGTACCACTTCACCAGTATCATTCATTTCGTCCGCCTGTGATCCAAGGCACATGAACTCTTCAATCTTTTCAATTACCTGCCCTTTTATAATTATATTTGTTACCTGATTAGATCCTGCGGGATTCGCAGTAAGGTATTTAGTTTTACTGAAGTTTACTACAAGCCCCATTTTAGAGGCAGCGTTTTTTTAGTTCTATAAATGCATCTTTAATAGCCTCTAATGACTATTAGCATGACTAGCAGCATCATCTGTTATGGACTTCTCATTCTTAGATTAAAAATCAGACAGGCCAGTCCATCTCCCTATTGTACTTCCAAGTCTGCGGAATTCAGCAGAGATCCTTCCAAATATCATTATAAACAAATTATTATCTTCCATTTTATCCTTATGAGGCACACTAGCTTTGGAGGAAAATTCCTTTCAATCATCGCTTTGTATATTTTTGATCGATTGACGGAATGATAGGCTTGTTTTAAATCAACAAATATGCGGTGTGTAGACAGTCAGAATTTCTTTATTTTTTCTAGAATGATCCAAAGGGTAAATATAATTATTCATTATTATGAAGAGAAGAATAGTTGGGGTGGTCAGTCAAAAAAGAAGGAAAAACTAAATGATATTTATTTTTGCATATGCCGACGTTTCGACCTGAAGTTCAGGCCGTCATCAAGGCTACGAAAAGAACCAGATAACAAGGTATGAGAAATATAAAAATTACAGTAAAATGAAGTTGTCAGAATAATGACAATAATAAGAACAAGAGACAAATAATAATAACACGTACAAAGTGTGGAATGATGAAGTAAACATAGTCAAAAAAGGTGACATAAGTGTTGTAAAGGGAATCTTAGAATAAAATGTAAAACAGAAAAATATGAAGTTATATAAGAAATGGAAATAAATAGTAAAATTAAGATATAGTGAATAGAATATTTAGATAGAAAATTGAGATGTTATCTGTTTCTTTTCTTATGTTATCTGGTTCTTTTCTTAGCCCTGATGATGGCCTGAACTTCAGGTCGAAACGTCGGCATATGTAAAAATAAATATTATTTAATTTTGCCTTCTTTTTTGACTGACCATCCCAACTATTCTTCTCTTCATTATCCACGACAGTCAACCATTTACCAATTATTCATTATTATATTATGTAATATCTGTGACCTGGTTTCTTTAATACTCATGATCTAAAACTACAACTTTTAATACAGTTATTTTAATTACCAAATTTAGTCAATTTTTGACACATGAAAATTTTCAATATAAGTCATGATTTCATTTACCAAAATTAGTAAAAACCATAAAAAATATACTTAATTTATGTGTATTGTGATAAAAAAAATTTACCTTTTTACCTTGAGTCATTTATAGTTATAAAATCTTTTCAGGAACATTCTTTTAATCATAAATCATGTACTAATAGGTACTGATTATCAGTTACAGAATATAAGTTATGCAAGATTCCAGGAAAACAAGCAACTTTTTTAACTGTACATTAAGGAACATTTGCAAGCCAATAAAGCAAAATATTCTATACTTAGTCAAACTATTTTTGACATAAAATAGAGCCAGTCTTACTTTGACCCATTTAATGAACTTTTTCTTCAATAAATATGATGGAAATTCACATATATATAGTTTAGCTCCATCCAAAAAATTATTTATGTACTGCTTAAAAATTCTCTGTAAAAAGTTAGTATTTTTTGAAGTTCGTAGGATCTCTGATGATTTTCAAGAAATAAATATATAGCAAACATTTAAATGAGTTGCTATTGCTGCTTTATAAATGCATAGGTCTTGTCAGAAATATTAAACCTGTAAAAAAAAATAATCTGGTGCGCGCATCACATGACTTTCACTTACCACCCTCTTCATAGCAAAAATAAGTATTTTCAGACAAGGGGTATCATTTATCAAAACTGCATATGTATATGTGTATATTGTTGAAGTCCGTATTATATTATGCTCATGTTATGTATGGAAGCCTGTTAATCATTCGGACGAGCTCGTATTCCTTTGATTCCTTCATTACAACTATTATCCATGACAATCTCTTAAACTATTTTTATATCAATGATTAATGTGAAATGGTTAATTATTTCAAATAAAGAAATTTAAAGGTACTTTAGAGGAAGTTAATATTGAAAATTAGTCATTTATGCTCTGTTAGAGAATAAAACCTACATCACATTAAAAACTGCTTAATAATAATACACTGATATACTGAGTTTAGTCAAAATCGTTATCCGTTTTTGAGAAAATTGTAAAAATGTATTAAATCGATGATATAAAGTACCACTTCCGGTTTTTGATTTTAATGAAAATGTTGCTGTAACATCACAAGCTTATAAAAATCTTAAATACGCAATTTCAGTTTCGTAGCACGACTTCGTTTTTGAGCTAGACTCTTCACATATATACACACACAGACCATTTTGTGGGACTAGGTTATTTGGACTCATGGGACCTCGTGTATTTCCGTTGAAAATTCAGATTCGAAAATTTTTAATGCCTATCCTTAATGTTTATTACATATAATAAATTAAATTTAATTTTACCATCCCTCGTAACTTTTTTTCAGCTTCTTTTCGCTGATGAATGTTATATAGATAAATTTGAAGGGTGTTGAGAAAATGACTTTTGCGAAGTTTCAATGAAATCGGTACATTCGTTTAGGCGCTACAGTCTATAGCTACGTTTTTCTGCATTTTTATTTTTTTTCTCCTTTATTAACTTATCAAATTCTTTCAAAAGTTATATTTAGCATTTTTTCGTAACTCTGAATAATGCGAAATAATTATCTTTTTAAAATAAACCATATTAAAGGTACTTTAGAGGAAGACGTATATGAACATTAGGCATTTAAGCCGTGTTAAGTGACATCAATGGGGATAAGACCTAATTTATGTTAAAGACCACTTAATTATACAATGATACACCGAGTTTAATCAAAATCGTTAGAGCCGTTTTTGAGAAAACTGTGAAAATGTGTTTCAGCGTTGATATAAAATGGCACTTCCGGTTAGCCGATTTTAAGGAAAAAGTTGCCGTCACAACTAAGGCATATACCTATCTTAAATACGTGATATCAGTTTCATAGGACTTTTCGTTTTTGAGCTAGACTGCTAACATACAAACACACAGACCATTTGTCGGGACTTGGTCATTTCGACTCAGGGTACTTCAAAACGTATAAATCCGTCGAAAACTCAGATTAAAAAATTTTCTCGATCGCAATACTTACACTTACTATATTTTACATATATGTAAAGTAAAAAAGCATGTGAAATAAGAATACTAAATCTAAATAATTTCCCTTTTATTAAAAGTTCCAGACATATACATATATTACAGTAATAAACAAAGTATTTAAATAACAAGCAATAGCGTTATAACAAGATATAAATATTAATAAATAAATTAATAAAAAATAAAGGAAGATTTTAACAGGTTCATAAAATAAAGAAACTACCAAGTCTAACAAAAATGACTAATTACAATAATATTACATAGAAATAAAATATTCATAATAAGTAAATAAAAGTGTCATTAAAGAGTGTCGAGGCCACTTAACCAATTTACACAACTACTATACATAGACGTCAACCTTCAAAAGGTTAAAAGTAGTTCAATTGAAACTAATCAGTCTTAATTAATCTGCTCAGTCTTTGTTCACACAAAAGTATTAACAAAATTTACAAATAAATCTCATAACAGTTAGTATCTTGCTTTGGCAGATTCTTCTTTGGCGACTTGAAGCATTCTCAGTACAAGCAAGGAGAGGACTTTATCAAGAGGGTCCATAAAGCCCCTCTGGAGCCACTTGGGTATCGTTGTCCTAGCGTGAGTGAAGCCCAATTTCTGTAGGATGTAATCCACTCCATATGGCTCGATACTTTTACCTCGCCATGACAGCAATCTGCCATGCAATAGGAAAACAATACAAATTTAATTTAAAATATTTTAAAAGTTGCATATTTCTGTAAAATTAAAAATCAAACATCACCATAGGTTATGAATAATACAATAAATCATTGATTAATGAGGCTCTGAACCTCAGAATAGTGTTATCAGTTGCAAAATTTTACAAACTAATTTGATATAAATATAAAATACAATTTTTTTGCAAAATATTATCAATAATAAAAATATGCAATTGGTTTGTGTAGGATAATAAGATAAAAATAACTGTAATTATGAATTAACCAAACTCATTATACAAAGTATGGAATTCCAAAACCAGCCTAATCCATGTTAATATTTTAATAAAGAGAAGAATAGTTGGGGTGATCAGTCAAATAAGAAGGCAAAAATAAATGATAATTTTTTACATATGAAATTTTATGGCATATGTAAAAATAAAAATAAATATTATCATTTATTTTTGCCTTGTTATTTGACTGATCACCCCAACTATTCTTCTCTTAATTATCCACGACAGTCAACCATTTACCAATTATAATATTTTAATATTATGAATGCACAACTCATGTTCCACAATTCCATGCACGATGCCGTATGTCTCCCTATCTTCTCTCCAAAAATTCATTGCTCTTCTCTTCTTAAAAAAGATGCAAATGAAAGAAAGAAAAATTAAAAAAATTGCAGTTTGTATACAGCTACACCCACTGTGGTGTGTTACACGTTTTCCCCTGGTTTGAAAGTTTCTCGAAATTGAAAACACAAAAATATGATTCACTCCAAAAAATCACAACCCCTCAAAAACGTATCCGCCTTCACAATGTTTGATTGTGCAACTTGAGCTAGGCAATGTACTTCTGGGCACCCCTGCTTTGTTTATATATTCTATGATTGACATCTTTATTGTATTTTGTTCTCTGTAGCCCTGAGGAGGTCAAGAATATGGCTGAAATTTAGGCATTCATTAACTGATTTTGTTTTTTACTATTTTTGTTTTAATCTTGACCGTCACATTTACCATCTCAATTAATAAGGTCAAATATTAAATATAACATTTATTAATATAGTATGGAACCATTACAAAGACAATACATAAATACCTGACAGTGGGTTCTAAATGCCAAGTTTTGCAAATAAAACTCCTCCAATCCATGTTGAACACATCCGTAGGATCAAAGGCCTTGTTTGGATCGTCAGTAGAAGTTTCTTGGCTACCCTCACTACCACGCATTGTTTCAGGGCTCTGAGCTCGCCCTAATCCAAATGTTGTTCCCATCTAGATAGGTACAGAATAGAATAATTATAAAGAGAAATGTTAAGATGTAATAAATACTGATGATTGTATGTTGTAAACATAGTCATGTCCCTCATATAGTTGCTAGAAAAATAAAACCATTTTTAATAGGATTTGTAATCCTTCTAAACATTCAATATTCTTCATAAGCAAGTATTTATATTTTCTATAAACAATTTAGTCAAGGAAACAAACAACCCATTCGACTTACAGTAAGTTTTCTACACAAAGCAGTCTATCAAGCAGCAGGAAAGATCTGACTAAATTAAAACATCATCACTACTAAAGGAAGTAGTATTTTTCAAGTCAACAGTCAGGAATAAAAGAGATATTTTCAGTCCCACATTACCAACCTATTACCTGAGCACGCGCTTGAATCTTTTCAGCAATCGCCCATTATTACTATCCCATATTTCTCTCCTAGTTAATAACCAATTTTTTTCACTGTTTATATTTAACCATCTTTTATCATTATTTAAAATGTGAAACGGTTAATTGAAGTAACCAAATTTAAACTTCATGGGAAGACATTTCAGCAGTTAAGCCCTGTGAGGCTACAGTGAAGAGGATAAACCTATTTTTAAATTTAAAAAAATGCAGAATTATACGTTAACTTAAAGAGTTTATTCAAAATCTTTTAGAGCTGTTTTCCAAAAAAATGTGTAAAATTCGTATAAAATGGCACAACTGGTAAGGCGATTTTTTTATAATATGTAACATCCCAGGCATACACCTATCTTAAATTTCCAATTTAAGTTTTGTACGACTTTTCATTTTTGAGCAAGACTATTCACATACACACAGATCATTTAGTGAGACTTGGTTATTTGGATTCTCTAACTATTTTGTTTCAAATACTTTTCATTTTAAACACTACATACATGGTCTAAGAAAACATTTAATAAAAAAAAAAGACCAGTATTGATAAAAAAATTCCAATTATCATAGAATATAATGCACAACTAAGCAGGTAATAGTTTTTAATTAATCTTTTGATTAGAAGACCTAATATTACTATAAGTCATATTAATTACTGAGCTAATACTGTTATTTGCGACAAAAAAGTAGCCAAAATTCATTTAATTTCTTTCATTTAAGATCCTAACTTATTAAATTGGTTAAAAGAGAGAAAATAAGCATGAGAGTGTGGGGTATCAAAGAGAATAAGTCACTCCAGTGCCTCAGATCAGAAAATGGCTACGGCAGATAATTATTTATTCTGGTACATCGACTGTGGATGACCCCAGGGCTGGGAGACACTTCGGCAATACATCCAGCCTCTATAATGTGATTTTATTTCTAATTTGAATATTAAAAACAGCAGTTCTTTGCAAAGTAATGAGAACCTAAGACTTTCTATTAGTTGTAATGGTATAGAAAGACAAAGTATAAGCATGACGTGTTTTTCTCATAATATATTACGAGTTTTTCAGACAATTACTAGCATTTTCTTTGAATTTATTTTCATATCAACAATTAATATTGTATAAAACATAATTCAATTAATTCTCACCATTCTATCTTTCTCTCTGAGATATGAAGTTATAAGGTCATGTAAAAAGAAGAAAGCTTCAGCATCGACAGTAACAAATATGTGATCTTCGAATTCGGTAACAAAACTACATTCGACAACAGGTTTCTCTTCTGCAAAGAAAATTAAATAAATGTACAAAATATTAAATTAATCATCTTCATTTAAAAAAAAAAAAAAAATAATCTGTTCACTCCCAAAACTGGGCCTGTTTAATATTCAATATTAATGTTACCTGAAATACTAGGAGTGGAAGGTGATTGAAGGTGTTCAGTCTTAAGATGAGTTTGTAGCGATGGCAAGCCAAATATTACTTCGCTTGTGTGTTTGTTGTCTGGAGACTTGGGTGGTCTTGCTCGACCTGAAGTATTCTCATTCACTGAATCTCTTTCGACACAAGGGAAGCGATCCACAGCTGGAATAAGATTAGTTATAGTTAGTTTTTTACAACTGTTTGGGCTATTTAACCACAAAAAATGTACCCTGCTCTTTAAGTTAAAAATAAGATTTACTTATAAATAGACTTTATGAAGATTCCTGATTATATTATATTGAAATACCTATATAAATTATTATAGAATAATCTTCAATAAGAGTAATTATGGCATTCGAAAACTTACCATCGATGGCAGAACAGGAGAATGCATAGTGGAACCATTCGTGAAGAGTTCTGAACTGTGGTGGAAACAGAACGTTGCGGGATACTTTGCAGACCGTGGCCATGCTGTCGTGCTGAGCTGCTGGTGCCTGCCCGCTCATACCCATACTAAATGTAAGTGTCTGTACTATGTGGGAGTCAATCTGTCCACCTGATTTTTAAATTAAAAAAGAAAACAAACATTTATTACAATACTAAAATGAACTTCCAAATGAAGTTTAACAAACAATATATATATATATATATATATATATATATATAATATACACTAACTCAAATAGTTAAGTGTTCAGGAAAAATTCAACGACTGAAATTTTTCGGAACAATTTAATTTTCATCGCAGTCTAAGTTCTATTAATGATTGAAGCTCAATGAAAACATTGTTTTAAAGAAAATATATTCAAAATAATTATCACATAAAGAACAGTAATAATGTTATAGTTAGTAACAAAATTTTAAATTGCTCTCTAGAAAATTTGATAAATCAAGTTTTCTCTCAAAGTCCAACAAAATATTTTAAAAATATATCAAGTTACTATTCTTCAGTAAAGGACTTAAATGGAAGTATTGGGCATACCAATAAGAAAAAACATTATTATTCTGTAAAAGACATATTACTCTTATAATTTCAATTTTATGATGATAGCATCTCAATCAACTTACACAGGAGACACATTTCTGAGATTTAATATATATTTGTAATAATCATACAGCTCAAAATATTGATCATGTTCAAATAAAGAATGAAAAAGAGCTTCCTTTTGTTTTATTGTTTTTGCTTTAAAATTTTAGACAAAATCATATTTTGCAAGAACTTTTTTTAAAATTGATATAAAATATCGTCTAATTTCATGGTTCTTTTTTATACTGAATAAAAAAACTTTTTTTTTTAAACCTCTGCTAAATTATTTTCATATATACAAATTTTAAGCTATCTGTATGAAATACACCAGCAAACATATAACAAAACATTTTTATTATTTAATAAAAAAGAGTAAAGGAACACTAACTATCAGAATTAGGCACTCTCTGAGCCTCAGTGGCAAAGGAGATACTTGGCTCTTTGAGGGAGAAGAGAGCCCAGGATTTAGACTTGAAGTTGATGCCATGGAAGCAGGCCAGAGAAATGTTAACGCCGTGGAGGTCCAGGGTGCCGCCGAGCACCGCGCTGTTGTCGACCGTGCGAGAGAGGTTCAGTCCCATCGCCACCCCGAGGGCCCTCTGCCAGTGCCTGTGATGTCTAGCCTCCTGTGTCCAATCTAAAACAATATATATATAAATAAATAAATAAATTCTTAACACTATAACCCTTCAAGGGTCTTGGGTTCAGTTCTTGCTAAGGAGAATATATAAATAATAATAATAACTAGTTTTGAGCAGTGGTTTCAACGGTTTTAAATTTGGATTATTCATCCCTATTACATGTTGATTACATGATCAAGTACATCTGATTAACCTAATAAGAACCAAAATTTATGTGGAACGTTACGAGGACCGATCAATAAAAAAATGACTTGACAGAAAACATCTTCACTTTTGTAGTTTTATTTATTGACCGGTGTGAAATATTCACATATAATATTTCTCAGTGAAAATAATACAGGAAATGAGTAAAAGCAATATATTATGATAGAAAGAAATTAAGTTTTATTCAAAATAATAGAACACAGGTTTAAAAATAACAATTGGCTATATCTTTACTGAAAATATTGCAGTTGTTAATTATAAGGATACTTAAACTGTCAAACAGAGTTCTTCTAAAAAATATGAACCAAAATTATGATTAAAAAAAAAAAATAAACAATTATATTATCGAAGGTATCTTAGTAATCTCAGAGCTATTCTACTTAGTTTATCTTTTCAATAGAATTTTAGTTTGTTGTAGATAAGAATTTTTAAAAGCCTGAATAAAACATGATAAGTATCCCAGGGTACCTAGAAGGCTTGAGGTATGAATCTCGAAAATTGTACATGTTTGACTTTATTAAAGCAGATAGGTAGATCCTAAGTAGCCTAACCGAATCTTGATGCTAGTATCAAATCATTAAAATCCAATTAGTCCTATCTTGATCCATCGACTTATCAATGACAGCGATTTGAAGCCTCTCAGGGAGGGTTGGCCGAATGGGCTAGCGTTGCCTGGCAACCCAATAACCAGGGAAACCCCCGAACAGCATAAAAAGGCGAGGTAGGGGAGGAAAAAAAAAAAGATTTGTAACATTACTTAAGTCATAGTAGGAATTTAAAGATTGAAAATGGGATTATTAATATGAAATTGTCTTTCTTTTGATACCTCAACTATCAATATCCTTCACTCCTGAGAGCAAGAAAAGGAATATATATTAGATACTATAACAAGGGGGGTGGGTGGCTGAGTGGGCTAACGCGTGTACACAGTACCGCGCGTTGCTTAGCAAACTGATAATCGAAGTTAGACGGAAAAATATTATGAGTTCAAATCCTGGTATCCAGTGGGAATTTTAACTCTGCCCCTGGACTGAGAAAAACGCTGTGTAGCCTAAAAGGCAAGGAAGGAATAAAAAAAAAAATAAAATAAAAACGTCTACATACATATAATGTAGCGTTTTATATCTACTTGTGATATAAATATATAGCGGTTTCCTTCATAACCTGATCTAGATAAGGCAACATAAAATTGTTCCGAGAGAAAGTATTCTCTTAAATTGATTCCAATGTGCTTAAATATTAATTCCAATGCTTATAGAGGCTGCAAATGACAGGTAATTATCATGATGCTGTGTTAGGGCAATTGCAAACAGTTTTTCAGAATGATTCAGATTTATGGTTACAGCTCTGTTCCTATGGATCGTAACATGAGGCTAGAGCTTTCCTAGAGCCTTCCTCAATAAACGATCTATCTAAGACAAAAAGAATTTTTTGAATCCAACAGGTAGTTTCAGAAATTCTCAAACTCATCAGTTTTATTTATTAATATATCTGAAAAAATAATCACCTAATAAAATTGAAAAAACGAGTTGTAAGTTTGTGACCTAACAGGAGGACACTAATAGAGATTTATGATTATCAACTTTACAGTATGTTTATAATACATTGGATATAATGTCCAATGTAATGTCAGGTACATAATTTAAGATTTAATGGAATTAGAAAGCAAATACCTAATTGAGCTCTACTAATTTTATAGCAAAAATCGTTAAAAAGGATTTGAACAAGGTTCGTTGAGTAGAGGAAGTCAGTATTACATCCATTATCCTGCCTCACTCCCTGGTGATACATTTTATCAAGATACATCTACGATACATTGTATCATAAATAAACTAGATAAATATATATTAATCTCAAAGCTCTAAAGAAGACTTATGGATGCAGGCCAAAATGTTGGTATCTAATAAAAAATAGGTTTAACAAATTTTGTGTTTTTTCTTGACCGGCATCTGAACTATCTTCTTTTTGACTCATCAAATGGTCAGTCAACTATTTATAATAATAATAATAAAGAAAATATATAACAATAAATAATAAATAGAGTATTGTTATTATTATTAAATATCATTACTTTCTGCATTAGAAACTTTTTTTCTGGGCTGTCTTTTCCTGAATGAATTTTCGGGTCCTGCTCTGCCCATAAAAACTCTTTTACTAGATTTAAATTGTTGTGTAAAGAATTCTTCTAGTTTATAATACATTTTGAGAAGGTCCACAGTGGTAGATCGTGATATCATTATCTGCAGCTGGTCCCAACTCAAATCTCCATGCATAAAAATCATTGCAGGTCTGTAAAACATAAAATATACAAATGAAAATTATTGTCAAATAAAAATGGCAAGCATTGTTTTTGTCCTCCTATATGATTATATATATATATATATATATTACAACACAATATTTCATTTTACTTTCAATTACCTACATATGAAATATATAGTGAGGGAAAGTATTGATGTTCTCTAACAGAGCTTTAACGGCTAATTTTCAAAATTTCTTCTTCTAAAGTACCTTTAATTTTTTTTTATTTGAAATAATTAACCATTTCACATTAAACCAATACAAAAAAATAGTTAAGTATAAAATATGAAAGAATTTGATAATGAAATAAAGGAGATAAAAGAGATCGAAACGGAGAATAGTTGTAATAAAGGGACCAAAGAAATATGAGCGCATCCGAGCTAATCCAAAAGATTAGAACAGGCTTCCATACGTAACTTGAACTTAATATAATACAGACTCTAACCATATTATATACATAAGCGTTTTTCATAACTGCTATCGTGTATTATTTAATATTTAATTGTATAGATTACAGCCATACAAAAATTAAAATTTGTATATATACCAGCATTTAAACAACTAAAAATATCCACATTGAAATATAAATAAATATAACGGCTTTCTTTATCAGTGGCAATCTTATCAGACTACAAATATTTTATGACAATTAATTATTAATTATAATCAAATAAATAATTGAAATATAGTCATAAAAGGAAATGGCTAATGTTAAACAAAATAAATATAAAACATTAGACGACCATGAAGAACATAAGGTAATTAATTGTTTTAAATAATTGTTTGTACTATAATTTTTACTTTCACTTCTCTTTGTCTGAAACTACTTATTTCTGCTAAGAAGAGGATGATAAGTGAAAATTGTATGATACACGCACAGAAGCAGATTTTTTTATAATACAGAAGTAATTAAATAAAATATTATTACCGCCGCGTAGGGGAGAAAGCATCTTTATTATGTGTGTTCCACTCATCCTTAAGAAGTACTTCCAAACTGCTAACACGGCACATAAGTACGGCAGTTCCCATGTAGTCGAGCCTGCACTCCAGAGCGGACAGCTTAAGACCCACATTGTGTTCTGGTTCTGTTCCGGGATCTTCACGAATGGTAACTGCAAAATGGATACATAGATTTAAACTTGATAATTAGTACTTTGATGAACCTTAATCTTATATTAAATCTTTAACACAATGATAAAGTAGGTTCAATTAATCGGAAAATGGTATTATAAAAATATATTAATATTTATACTTACTAAAAGTATCTATGTTACTGAGATCAATCGTGCCACCAACAATACCGCCCTTTGCGTCTAAACTAGCTCCTGCAAGCCCTAAACCTATGTACATATTTTTATGGCCAGTGCTGCCAATAGCTAGTCTCCCTTCAGCTCTAAAATCCTTAGTGAACCACCTAACAAAAAAAAAAAAAACTAATTAAACTATGATATTTTAAAACAATATAAAATTATTTACTATTATTGTGTAAAGGTGATTAAGGTATGGTGTTTTGGTATATTTAGGAGTTTATGCAAAATATAAAAAATTTAATTTGTACCCTTTAGAACAAAGAACCCCTGAAATGTACAAAAAAATAAAAAAGCTGTAACAAGTTTTATTCTTAAAATTTTACCTATCGGCAAAATTATGAAGAAGAAATAATTAAAAATTAAGTGAATTTTAAAAATGAGAGGTTCGTTATAACTTACATCACATTGCCCATTACATTTCCCATATTCATATGGACATTCAAGCGTTTGAAATTAACAGCAAAAAGGACAAGAGTTTCCCATCCTGAGTTAGAGATTTTTTCTCCTGTTCCGGGGCTCGATTCTGAGCTAGAAGTTCTTTCTGTGGGCATAAAAAAAAAGCAAACGAATTAAGGAAATCCATCACTATCTTTCATCTCTCAATAACTTCTCAGTAACTTCTTCTCATTATATAAGCTTCAAATGAAAACCTTTATGCTCTCTTAGAAGAACTTAAATCACAAATTTGGTAGTTTGAAGAATGAATAACCATTAATTTTGATAGTTTAACTAACGGACTAACTAAATAAATGGAAATATGACATCATTAAAAGCTTAACTAATAGTTGGAAAAAACAAGAAAGTAAAAATATCATAGTAAATATCCAAAATTCTATGCAGTTGTGTGCAAAATTAAAATTTATTTAACAAACAAACCAATGTATAATATTCAAATATGTTCCATTAGTAATTCTGTTGTTTCTAAAGCTTTAACTTTTTTTTTAAATCCAGAACATAAGAAAATTAATTTTGATAAATTCAATTGATAAAATTGGATTATTATTATTAGTGTTTTTCTAATGTATTCCAAAACAATTCATTCTTCATAATAATAATAATAATAAAAAAGAAATAGAAAATTTAAAGGGAAATAATTCTAATGATGTAGAGATGGTTGACCGTTGATATGATATGAGAAGGAATAGTCGAGGGTGCGGTCAAAAAAAAAAAAAAAAAATTAAAATATATAAATAATTTTAATTTTTGCCGACGTTTCGACCCACTTTGCAGGTCGTCTTCAGGGCTACAAAAGATACAAACATGTTGAAAATATAAAAATAAAATAAAAAATAAATATAAGTATATATAAATTACGAAGAAGTTGTCAGATACAGAAATAAAAGATAAAGAAAATAAATACATGATAAGAAAATAGATAAAAGAAAATAAATACATGAATGTTAACGAATAAATGAATGTTAACGAATAAATAGATTGAAAAATAATTCTAATTATTGCCCTTTAAATTTTCTCTAGAATACAAACTCATTGAAATGTTTATTATTATTTATTAAAAATTATTCAATTGTAAATTACCTGGCCTAAAACGCATTTTGCTCCTTTCACTGTCAAAATTTAGTCTAAGATTGTCTCTTGACAGTATTGGATTTCTGTCACTATAATAGCGGGGTTCCCTAAAAATATAGTAAAGAATAATATGAAACTAACTTAATAAAATCTATAAATAATTAATGTGGTACCTGAAACCTGACCGGTACAACCAATAAAACCAGTGAAGGGTCTTGGGTTCAGTATTTTGAAAGAAAGTACTATTTCTTGGGCAATGATTATGCAGGGAAGTGATATAACTGAGACTACGCTCAACAGCCAGGTTTTTGGTACCAAATGAATAAAATAAATGTTATGAAATTACTGAAAAGGAAGAAAAAAATTAATACCCAGTATCCGAATCATCTCCATCACTATAAGTTGCAGTTGTGCTAAGGTCACCAAGAAATAATCTCCTCATGATGCTTCGTCGATACCATGCTTTTGGAAATGCAAGGATCTCTGTCAATCTTCTCATGTCATACTTGAAAGAAGCTGATCCAATGTCTACAATTGCTAAATAAACAACAATATATTAATTAACTATTTATTTTTATTATACAAAAGGAGATATTGCAAATCAGTTATTTTAGGTTTTAAACAGAGAAGACAGGTAAAAGGTATGAATATGCAACCTACCCCCATGCCTACACTTCCTAAAAAGAATTTAAAAAATAATAATCAAAGAGAAGTATCTATTATAATAAAAAATATATTTTACATACAGGATGCCCTGGCTCCTATAATACCGGAAGGAAGGAATTGTGAAATATATATTATATTTAAATTAAACAAAAAAATAAAACTTTAGGATGATTGATAATCACATAAAAACAATTTGGTTCATGAAGCTATAATTGGATTAACATCAGCAGGTGTTATGCTCGTCACATGGATTTGATTGACTACAGATTGACACGAAACCAACTTTGTTTTTTTATGTCAAAGAGACAAAATGTAATGAATTTTTTTTATTCTGAGTACAATTTTCTCTTTTCAACCTCCTCCACATATACAAAGCTTTCCTTCATTAGAAACATATAGCAAAAAAAATGTATAAATACTTTTGGTGGAGGTTTCATTTTATAAAAATATATCATAGCCCATGTTACAGACCCTTTTTTTTATCAAATTACTAGCACCCACCTAAAACTTCATCTTATCGTATCCTACAAATTTTTTATCTACGAAAACTATCAGATATAGGGTGTTTAATCATTAAATTAACAAATTTAATGAGTTTCTAAAAACTCATAAATACCCATTTGCTTTCCACTCGAATCGTAACATAATTTGATAAAAAATAGAAAATAAAGTTGGTCTATAAAAATATTGGGCCTTTTGGCCTACATAACCTTGTTATTTTGACATTTTAGAGAAGGACGTTACGTCAAACAGCCCAATGTTTTTGAAGGCCACCTCTTTTCTCGATTTTGTGATCAAATTATCTAACGATTGAAGTGGAAAGAAATTGGTGGGGTGTTCATGCGTTTTTAGTACTTTATTAACTAGACAAAATTTGCCATTCTACAGATTGAAAATGTTCCAATTCCGAGAATTTCGTACATAAAAATATTTTAGTTTACGATAAGATAAAGCCATTCACGAAGTTTTAGGCGGATGATAATAATTTGATAAAAAGAGGTGTGTACCACAGACTATCATAAGTTGCATATTTCTTTTAAAATTTTATGTTGATTTTTTTAACCATTCACAAAACAACTTTTAGATGGCTGATTTGAAAATGCAACAGGCTCCATTAAAGTTAAAAAGATGCTGAAGAAAATTGTCACTGATGGGCATTGAAAAAGTCTATTCCCAACGCATACAAGCCTTTAGAATATTTTATACAGATACCACCAACAATCACCGCTTATATACCACCAACACTCAAATCTTCAAGGCAACCTTTAACACAATTGTTTCTTTGTTGTGTATGTCTTATTTTCTGACATTTACCCATTGGTTCAGAACTAATGAATTTTAAGATTTATTTATTATAAAGCCCATTTTAAATGTCCCATTTCTATTACTTCACTTCTCATATTTTCAAGGAGAGAACCCGAATTATATTGATCCCTGAATTCTCCAGTAATCTTTTTGCAGGTCGAATCCATAGAAATTCAATACACTTAAAATTTTGTATATATAATGATTATTCTAAGAATGAGATACCTACTTGAAAATCTAATTACAGCTTGACCATGTTCTGAGGCACTTTTGGATTCTACATTAACTTTACGTGATCGAGACAAATGTAACTTAACAAATTCCACATTGACACTGAGTGAATCCTTCCTTTCACTATCTTGTAGAGGACTCCACTGAGCTTCTTTTACACCTGTAACACAATATAATCAGCATTTCTTGGTCATACTGTCATAATACTACAGTACCATATCAGTAAGCTAAAGTAAAATTGAACATTGTACCTGATTTTTTGCCTCCATAAGGATGGAATATATAAAGAGAAAAGTCCGAGAGACAGCTGGTAACACTGATCCCACCCATTGTTCCGTGGGCACCAGGCCTACCAAACACATTTCATCAAATAATTTAAATTTATTTAATATAACTAAACTAATTTTACTAAAATTAAGAAATACAAACGTTGGGGTTTGAGAATCAGCTCTCTTTGATGAGAAAACAATATCAACAGATGGTAATTGCAGCATACATTCGACTCGGGACACTGGCAAACATGAAAACCTACAAAAAAATTAAATAAAATGAGTGCATAATGCTTAAGATATTTTCAAGTATTTGAGAATATAAATTTATAACTGATAGGCAGTCAGGAACAAAGGTTTTTTTACCTAAACGTCGATGGCTGCATATGAAAGTAAACAATCACATCTACGGGGAAAGAAGCGTAATATTGGGTGTTATTTTCAAACATTCCACCATGAGATTGAAGAGGACTCTTTTCGTGAGGAGGAATGGGTTCCAATGTCTGTTCCAAGAAGTCCAGGATGTGGGGTGAAATCACCTGAAAAAAAGAAATAACAAATTATTTACCAAAATTAATGAATTTCCTTTAGGAAAATATAATAATAGAGTATTATTAATATACTATTTTATTGAATAAAAAAAAAAAAAAAAAAAAAAAAAAAAAACCTGTACTACTACAACCCATGAAGGGTCTGGGGTTCAGTACTATTTAGGGAAAACACTGTTTCTAGGTATACGGTTGTGCAAGGAGGTGATTTGACCGAGATCACACTCAACCGCCAGGTTTTTCCCCTTAATTAAGGGTACCCAACTTTATGAGGCTGGGTGTGCTCCAGGAGAGTCTCCCGATCCAGGGTCGCCCCACGGCCAATGAAACGGATAAATAAATTTTCTGCCATCAGCCGGGGTTCCAACCTGGGACCTTTGCATTGGAAGCTCAGTGCCCTACCACTGAGCTACTCCACTCCCATTGAATTAACCAAAGATATAGAAATTATAAATAAATACGATATAATAATATCGTAATTTATTTTTGATGGGCTGAAGGCCTGTGCAAACCCAATGAGATCTCACCACCACCCAGACCTGGGAGTTGGCAAGGTAAACTCCCTTTGGTGGACATACTCGCCGAAGGATGTGGTCTGGTCTCTGCGGTCCAAACTCATTAATTTGTATATATTGCAAATAATAAAAAATTAGCAGAACGGTCCTTCCCCGTTCAATGAAATTCACAAGGCCTTCTGCCACATATGTAACCCTTAGCTATCCCCAATCCTTAAAATGCCCTCGGGCAGTGGAAGGAATTTGTTACATGTATATATTGTATTATTGTATACTATATATGTAAATTGTCTCAATAAACATTTTGGAGGGTAAGAAAAAATAAAATAAAAAAAATAAAATAATAATATTGTAATTTATAATAATGTATTAAGCTAGAGGAATTTCTAAATGATATTAAATTTAAGATTGGCAATTGATACCAATATAATTTGTATTTATCTATAATTATTACTATAATAGTTGAATCAATCTATGAATCTGGGTAAGGCAAAACATAAAAACCTGTACCACTACAACCCATGAATGTTTTTGGATTCAGTACGATTTAGGGAAAGCACTGTTTCTTGATCCACAGTTGTGCAAGGAGGTGATTTGACTGAGATCACACTCAACACCAGGTTTTTCCCCTTAATCAATTATTTTAATTAAGGGTACCCACTTTAAAGAGGCTGGGTGTGCCCCAGGAGGGTCTACCCACCCAGGGTCGCCCCACAGCAACGAAAGGTGAAACATAATCAATAAATAATGATTATGTATCAAGAAAAAATGAGATAAATAATATTAAACAATTTCACTTTTATAACTTCATTGTTTTTAAGAATTATAAAAATTTTATATAATAAATATTGTTACATACTGTTTCTTCTGGAATTGACTGGAGTGTAGCCCAAGCAAAGAGGGCAGCCTTCTTAACAACACTTCTTCTTGGAGATTCAAATTTACTTAAATCAGGAACAGTTTTAGATTCATAATGAACCTATAAGAAAAATAAAGAAATAATTATTGAAAAATATATCAAAAGTCAACCTAAATATAATTAATGTATGCATAGAGTTATCCATTAGAAACAGAATAGCAAAACATATTCCTAATTATTCAATCAAGTTTCTGTTGAATGGATTTGTATATACAGAAATTATACGAGGAATAAATTAATATCTCACAATACCTTAACATCGAGCCCAGGAATGTGGAAGATCGTGACATCCCCAAGCGGTACCTGAGACTGCAACTGCCTCAGCCTGTGAGCAGTCGTGTTACTATGACTTCTACTATGACTCCTTCGGCTGAGCCCTGGTGAGGTCGGTGGGAAGTCAAACATGCCTCCAGAACAGCTGCGCTCTTTTTTCATTCTTGTCAGCCTATCAAAAACATAATTTGTATATTCAGAACATTCAAATGATCTTTTATATAAACTGAATACTTGGAAGAATGAGTATAATACAATTATCTAAACAGCAATTTACATTTACTGTTAACATAAATTATAAATTTGCCTTCTTTGAAGGCAAACTATGAGTAGGAATCAGGAAAAGTAATAAAAATTAACAATAAAATAATAATATAACTTGATAATATAAATTAATGTTATAAAACTGACTAATATTTAACTTTTTTATCTAATAATCAACAAAGTTGTTGGTATTTTTTTATTTTTTTCGAAATCTATGATCTTTAGACTTTAATACACTTCAGAAAATGTTATACATGGACTTAATCTTAAATTTTATCAAACTTATTTATTAAATGATATTTGCTTTAAACAAATATTTTTATCACTATATATTTTCATAACAGTTATCTATAAGGTTTGTTTTTATTTCAATAAAAATCACTAGTGAGGTCAAACATTTATTATCAATAACATAAAAATGTTATTGAAATTAATATCAAATAAAAAATAAGTACAAAATATTTTAAAATTTAATCAAAATGTATTATAAATTTATAAAATTATTAAAACAGTAATACATACATTTTCAATTCATCTTCTTTATTCAAATCTTTGGTATGCAGGACACATTTCCCCTGTTAATGAGAACTTTAATATCTAATTCGAAATCTATGTTAGGCTCTGTAGGTTTTTGTTGCGCAGGTGCCGTACTTGGACTCGAGCCGGTTGTACTACTTTCACCTTCTCCGAGTAAAAGGGTGCTATGACAAACATTAAATAATAAAAATATTTTTATGATTCATAATATAGTTAAACTCATATTAAAGTGAATAATTCAGATAAACCATATAACACTTTCCATACTTTGTAGAAAATTAAGAGAGAAACAACTGAATTGAACAAATACTTTTCAAATACACTGGAAATGTAATAGACAATAAATTATTTTCTAATTTGATTGAATGATTCAGTGAATGGAAATTAATGTTATTATCATTTAACTCAGTATCTGAAATTTTTAGAAAATATTAAATAAAAATAAATGTGTTTCCAAAAGAAATGCATAACACTTTGAAACATGGAAACAAAGTCCATACTTTGCTATCTGTACCTTTTCTATTGGCCCGATTTTTTCTACTTTAAAATATTTTTTTAATTCAATCTATAAAAAATACACTTTTTGATTACAGCATAAAAAAAAAATCAATACCAATGGCCGAAAATACTTCTTTCAGACTCAAGGGGCTTTGAAATATAAAATTCTGTTAAAAACTGGGTACTGTTAATTTCTCCTAAAAAAAAAAAAAAATATGAGCATTTTTAGTTTAAATCAATTGTAAAAATATTTTTACAGAATCATCAGATTTTATTTAACAATAATAATTGTTTATTCTTCAATTATGGAAGAAATAACAATACTTTTTAAAAAATCAGTAAAAGCAAGTAATATAAACTGTGAAGGGTATCATTCAGTAAATGATGTTTCTAAACTGGAAGTTATGTGATGAGAAAAAATCGGGCCAATTATTATAGTTTCTGTCCAACCCATTGAAGTATCAGAATATTATCAATAATATGACTAAAATTAATTAATAAACATTAACCTGTGATCAGTATCACTTGGGGGTATGTTGTCAGTGGAATGTCGAACTCCTTGCCATTCAAGTAAATTTTCTTCAATGGGGAGGCTCAATTCCGAACTGGCACTTGGCAATGAAGATTGTCTATAATAAATCAAAAAACAATTAAGCTGTAATAACAACATAATAATTAACTTTGTTATATTTTTATAATTGTTCATGCAAATTTTTCTGCTAATTGGGTTATAATGCAACAGCGTCCTTATATAATCTGCTTGCTTAAATTATTTAATTTTAAATGTAAATTTATGTGTAAGTTTGTGATTTTTTCTTAAATATTAGTTATTTTTTAAATTTTCATTTACTTAAAGGTTTGGATTTGTCTCTTTAAATTTTTCATATTTTGTTACCTATTTATCAAAATATGATTACATATATATGTATCTATTTAGCTTTTTATTTTACATAAAAATCTGTTCCTACTTATGAATAATACTCCTATAACAAAATCCTCTGGGTACATGATGCGTCAATGCAATGGTCTAAAATTTTAAATGGTTTTCAATGTTTGAGAAGAAGTCTTAACTGACTGATGCCACATCCCATAGTAACTGTGGATAATAATGTAGGTAGTATTTAATATTAAAAAACATAATCTATAAAACAAATATTCAATATATATACCACCATTACATATATACACACATATACATTATATATACATATATAGCATTCAGTTACAAACATTTCATTAATCTTGAAAATATTTTTACAAATTCATCAGATGCTATTATACAATGATAATTATATTTCCAAAATTCATAAAATAAGCCTTGATTTTATTGAATAAATTCGTCAGAATTCTTGAAACTGAATGTTTTCTGCTGTTCCAATTTGATGGAGAAAAAATAGGTTAAATAAAAGTTGTGAGATGGAAATGAACTGAATGATAAATAATTAAAACATGTGTACCCAACCAAACGCACACCCAGCGCCCGGCCAGGAGGTTTTTAAATTTTTATTCTTAATTTTGTTTTAAAAAAAAAATTAAGTTCCTTTTCTGGGATAAAAATTTAATTTAGACTCGGCATTTCTGATATGGTTACTCCAGACGTTCATTTTGAATAAATAAATAGTAACTATTGAATGTTTTTATTATATAGGTATCCTTTTTCAAAATTTACAAAAGGAGAAAAAATGTTTTAAGATAAAACGTCTACACTGTATAGAATAAATAATATGTAATGGGCAGGGTATGTGATAAACGAAAATGAAGTAGTTTCAAATAAAATGTAGTTTTTATTCCGATTGATAGCTAATTTTTAATATTACCTTCCTCTGAAGTTCCTTTAATTTGAAAAAATTGACGATTTCAAAATTATCTCTAATATAAAATATAGTTAAATATAATATACGAAAGAATTTGATAATTAACTAAAAGAGAAATAAGAGATCATAACGGAGAATAGTGACATGAGCTTAATATAATAAGAACTCCAACAATATATTATATAAATATACATACGTGATTTTCATAAATACTCTTGTTGATATTATTTAATATTTAATTGTATAGGTTACAGTGATATAAATATTAAAATTTGTATATATAAGGGTACTTATACAAATAAAAATATCCACAATGGAATATATATGAATATAGCATCTATAATTTTTTACTTCCCCTTTGTCTGAAAATACCTATTTCCGCCAAGAAGAGAGTGGCAAGTAAAAGTTGTGTGATGTGCGCGCTGCACCAGATTTTTTATTTTATTTTAGTAAACTAAGATCTTATAAAAATTTCTTTAATGAATCTCAGATCAAATGGTCACTGAGTACAATTTAGGAGATAATAAAAGTAACTCACTGAGAAATTTCATAATAAGGAATTAGTAACCAGTTAAAAAAATAAACTAATTTGAAATTAACAATTAACTAGAAATACAGAAAGTTGATATAGTAGAAGAAGAAACAGCCAGGAGCTAACTAAAGTTTTAAAAGCAATTAAGCGAGTAGCACAGCTTATTATAATATAGTTTAAAGAATAAGTCCATTTCAGTAAAAATGGATAAGAATAGATATAGCACGTCTGAAGAAAAAATATGGTGCTTCAACATATGTTAACAAGACTTTAAAGTGAAATTTAACACACATATATGCTAAGCTTAACAACACGACATGCAGAATGCAAAAAATAAAAACTTGCAACAAAACAATAAATAAAGCACTATTAACAAATACTTGTGTGTCGCTATATGATAGGATATGTCATCCTCATTAATCATTGCCTCATTTTGAAATTGCTTCAATTAAACAAAGAATAATTGAATAATGTACATATTTTAATAATTTTTAAACTAATAGAAAGAAGTTGATGATACTGTAGTTGATAATAAACTGACTTATTAGAATATCCAACTTTAATATGAATCAATTTAAATGAATATATTCAATCAAAATATCATGATTTAACAACTGAAGTTAATGATTTATTGGACTTCATAAAAGTTATTAAGTTAATCATACTTAAAAGTTATTCGTTAAAGCTATATATCATATCTTCAAAAAAGTTAATGAAGTGTTATTATTATATATTGGTGAATAGTAATAAGTTCTTGCTGAATTAACTTAGAATCCTCAAGAAGAGAAAAAAATACTAAAAGATGTTACTGCTTAATCATTGGTTATTCCATAATTATTCTTATTTTACAAATTGCTCGCCCTCGTCATTTGAAACTAATAGATAATTTTCAATTAAATTTTAAATATTAACTAGTTATCATTCTAAAGTAATAAGAAATGCTAATGTTATTAGTAAATAAGTTGTGAAGAAGAGAATTAGACAGGATAAAAAATATATAAATAATAGAGATAAACTGGTGTCCAATTTATATTTGTATAAATTTGAAAAATAGCATGAGAATGCAATATAAAAATCAAAACATTTCTCTATGAATCAATTAAAAATGTACAGTTTTCATTGTGTAAAGGACCCAGAGCTTGCTTAATCGAGTATTTAATGAACAACCAGCCTCGCAGTTTACCCTTCACTTTGAGAAAATATGTACTAAAAAGTAATTTTATGTTTTTAAATAACAGTTTTTAGAGAAAATTGTAAGCCCAAGGTCTCGACTTTGACATCTTAAAAATGATTAATTTTTTCTAATGTTTTGGTATAAATAATTATTTTAAAAAAAAAATCACAAATACATATTCAACCTTATGTAGTTATGAAAATTAGTTTTATAGGTAACAAACACTTTTTGTGTTTCATTATGTTGATAATGTTGAAATAGTCAGAATGGAAATGTAGTTTCATGTTTTTTGTTTTTGTATTACAAGAATATTCCATATGAGTCGCTTCAAGGAATCCTAGATAGTGGAGTGGATAACTGCTACTCGGATATGCAAAATATTATTGAAGGAAATAGAAGGCCATGAAGTTATAGGTTTACAAGGATATTAAACATAAAATATAATACATTTATTAAAAACAACAGAGGCTATTTAAAAATCAATTGAGCCATTAACAGTAATTTTAATTTCCTTTCTTTACATTCTGATAATAAATAAATTAAAATGTATGCAATATTTGAGAATAGAGATATTACCTTGCAAAGTTATGAGAATCTGCACTAAATGTGACTCTTGTGTTTGGGGACAGATGACCCCTGGGAAAGATACTGCTTGACGGTGAGCTTCCAAAACTGCTCTTATCAATATCAGGGCTGATAGAAAATAAAGTCTAAATTTTAACTTCAAGTAAAGTTAAATTAACAAAACAATATCTAAACATAACTTCAGATATTTACTAATTTTTCTATATTACGAATAATAGAAACAAACTACCTAAATTTGCTTAATTTTCTAAAAGCAAGCTTTAAAAAAAAAACAAATAAACAAAAAAAAAAAAAAAAACACACACACACATATAAGTACAAGATAATTATAAATATCTCATTGACTAAAATTGATACAAGGACTACAAAAATAAAAAGAAAAGAAAAAAACCGACTTTATAAAAAGCTCTTGGTCTTCAGAAACCAGCTCAAGTGACTGAAAAGTAATTTAAAATACCTCTCGATTTCCAGTTGATGTTCTGGAGTAGGAGATGGAACAATAAAAGATCTGGATCTGAAAGTAGCTGATTTAGAGCTCATCAGTTTCTTTTTCATTGAAGAAGATTTCACACTTTGTCTTCTCAATTTCTGTATCATATCCCTAAAAAAAAAAGTTATGATAAAGAAGATTTCTATACCTTTAACAAAAACATGTCTTAATTAAAGATATAGTAAAATTTTTCATTAGTGGACACCAAAGGAGAATTAAATTCTGTCCGCTATAGGGAAATGTCCATTTTAAAGAAACTGGAAGAAAAAATTGATTAAAAAAAAAATAGAGAATTAAAATTGTATTTTATGAGACAAATAAATGAAAGATATCTTTATATAAGTTGACAATAAATTCTGTAAGAGAACTAGCATCAAAAGATTAAAACATTAATCCCTGTTTTGAAACCCAATACCCAACATACATAACTGAGCTGAGCTACTAAATTGGATGAAGGTTCTTGGAATATGAGCCTCAGTAGCTATCTGCTGTCCAGCGTGGAGAAACTTTTCAATCAAAATCCTTATATCAACCCTGTAGGCATCTGTCGTAGAGAACATCCGTTAGACAGAAGTCATTTACACAGAAAAATGGTTGAAATCAGATGAGGGATTATAAATTTGTTTGTTATAAAGATCAGTCAGCTATAAGGAAATGTCTACTAGGTGAAGCTTCATTGTATATATTTCTATCATTAATTCATTCATTACTGGGCTCTACTATAGTCCTTGAAGAACCAAACCTTTTCTGAAGTCTTCTTCCACATATCTCAGTCAGCAGCGAAGCGCCTCCACCGCTTTACGCCTATCTCCTTCAGGTTACCTTCCACTTGGTCCAACCATCTGAGCTGAGCTTTCCCTTCCTTCCTGTAGGGTCCATCATAAATATCTATCGGATGCATTCATTTTTTTTCAAGGAACCTTAAGTAGAATGGACTGGCGCCACTACTAACGGAGGAGAAAGAATACACATAGAATTTCCGGCTCGTAACACCTTAGACAAAGCCATCCGAACCGGTTCCATAAGTAAGAATTTCAAGGCTGAACAGGGGGATATCTTAGAGGGCAGCAGAATAATGACTAAAAAGGAACCCAAACTCAAAAATTGTAATTCTGTCAGGAGAAATTGAAATATTTCAATTACAGTATAAAAGAGTAGTACTCCAGGAGGTACTGCGGACTACATGGGAGTAAAATAGCCGACCAACTAGCAAAAGAAGGAGCTGCATACCCTCAAGCAAACTGTACTCAAACTCCTCAGAAGGCTATTTCTAAAATAACAAAGGTGGAATGATGCCTACCCACATTATCATCCTGAAGGTGAATATTATAAAATGAGCAGAAAAGGGCAAGTTTTGCTCTTAAGACTCAAAACAGGATGAGGGAACACTTTTAGGAGGAATCTAAAATTGGAGAAAGCTCTCTGTACCTGTAGAGCACGGGACCCAAATACAGAACATGCCCTCAGCTGGATATAAGAAGCAAATTTGGCCGAACCCCATTGACTTGGGGATGAAGCTCTACGGTGGTCTGGGGGATATGAGGGAAGTTTGAAGAAGAAGAAGGTTGGACTGAATCCATAAATAACATTTAAATAGTTAGAAGAGATCATTAAAAATATAATTAGGATTCAATCAATACCTTCTGAAATCCTTGAAAACCATTGCTTCCAACTCTCGTAATCTTTTCATTTCTTGTTCAATTGTTCCATGGGATGCACCAAGGCTACGAAGATCATTGATTATTTTGGCCTGCTCATTCATTTCTTTTTCAATAAGTTTAGAACGTTTCTTGGCATCAATGGATGGATCTAAAGCAAAAGCTGGAAACCCATCAACTGTTTGACGATTCCTTTTGATTAATGGTGTTTCCTTTAAATAAAAAAAAAAGTTATTTTCATGAAGCTCAAATCGATTATTCATTGAAAGAAAATTGCTCATTTTTAATAATAATTTAGTTGTTATCATGAAAACCTAATGTATTTACCTGAGAGTTTTCTGGATGGTCTGGATTATCTGCTTCGTCACTGTCGTAGGAAGGATTAGGGATGTCATCCTCTTGGTAACTAGTTAGAGTTGTTAACGTATGACCGAGAGCAGACAGCTGCTTACCAATATTCACATCCAAGTGAATGTCCACACCTTGCATTGCCCATTGAACATTGAGAAACCATTTTGCGTTATCTGTAAATTCATGTTTTAGACAACCTTGAATTAAATGGTACATTAACCTTTCAAATCAAGTCAAATTAAATTAAAATTATGAAAGTAATACAATAATTACAAAAAAAAAAAAAAAATGTAAACAATTTTAATCATAAGACAATGAAGCAAATTATTACTATTAGCATCAGATATAAATTTATATTATAAAAAATTAATATATATTGAAAAATAATGAAACAATTTAAAAACCTGAATCAATTTTCTGAGCGGCCACAGTGCGACTACAGACTTCATAGGTTCCTTCAGAAACCACACACAGGTTCATAGATGCCTCTGAGGGATCTGGCTTCCAATCATCGAGAGATGTTTCGAAATCATCAGCAAACCGAAGACAGAGACCAACGAATCTCCCCTTACTTACTAAAGATCCCCAACTACAAGCTGAGATACTTGTAGACTCTAGAGTAACAAGCACAGCTGAACAAGAATCTTCAGCAAATAGATGTCTACCCCAGGCAGGCTGTAAAGTATAAGGAAATAATTAGTCAATAATCAATAAAATAGAATTAAGTAGTTTATATTTTGTATTTTACAATGTGTGTAATGGTACTGGCTCAAGTTATTGCAAAGATAAATTAAAACTTATTCCTTAAACAACCATTTCATGAAAAATATATAATTTTTGAAATTGCTCCTTTGAAAAATTTGAATTTTTGAAAACCATTAACTAGGGCTCATATTCATTATTTACATATTTCAAACCTAGAAATAAAAATTATTAGGATAGTAAAATAAAAATTTATTAGAATAATAATATGTTGGCACAGAATTTAAAAAAAAAAACTAAGGAAACAAACAAAATTAAATTAAAATTATGAAAGTAATACAATAATTCATAAACCTTTTGTAATAGAAATATATTTATATATAAAAATTGTCAACTTACAGGAGGAGGAGGATTCAAAGGTATGCATATTCCCATATCTTCAACTGTCAGTTGCAAGAACAAAGTTCCAAGAATTGGAGGACCAGTAAGTTTTTCAAATGGCATTTTTTCAAATACCTATAAAAAATACAAGAATTTCTCATAATTGTGACAAAGTATTTGGCGAAGTAAACTGTTTTTGTTTTTGTTACAGAGCTTATTGCACAACTAATGAAGGATTTATCAAATGCAGTAGGACAGGTATATGTAGGTCAGAAAAGTGGGAGCACGTGTAGTTGAGGAGAAGTGAAGCATTAGCAGAACATAAGGGAGTTGATGGGAATAAATGGAATAAAAATTATAACATCAAGGAACTACAGACTTTACATATACATTCAAAATTCATTAAGATTTTTTAAGATTAATACAGGAAACCAAAGGCACAATAGATTATATTCAGATAATTGATCTAAATAATTTAAAATCTGATTCCTACTTGTTGAGTAGCCGTGAGCACTTCTTTATTAAGCGATGATCTTTGTTCGTTCCAATATTCATAGGCATTTTTATAGTTGAGCCAGACGAGTATTGCTTTATCTACGGCCATAGGCTGGATATAAATCAAAGGCCGCTGAAGGGTGATGAGTATTACCTCTTTACCTTCACTACCAGTTCCAATCATTTCTCCTTGAAAGGCATTTCTCAAACCTGAATGTTAAGAAATAATTTACCATTTCTGTCATTGTTCCCGAAAAAAAAAAAAATTTAATAATGTAAAAATAATGTTACCTATTCTTGTTTTGAAGAAAGCAAATTGTTGAAATTCAGGCTCAGCTTCCTCGAATAAGGCATGCTTAATTACCTGTCCCAGAGATAGGTTAACCTCAACTGTTGCCTTAATGAATAATTTCATGTTCGTGCTTGGTTGAGCTGGCCCGGAGACATTTTGTACCCGATTAGATAATTCCAAATCGACAAGACCAGTCTCCAAACGAACTGCACAGTTGGTGGGAGTTATGGCAGTGATTTGTATTCTCTGAAAAGATTAATGAAGAAATGGCAACGAAGCTGACAAAGTAAAAGAAATATGATATTATTTTTCAGATAGAATGATATTATAAAAATAAAATGGTACTGATCCAACACAGGAGCCATGACAACCTATACATAACCTTTACCTTATCTACCACCTATATCTTATCTGTGGTTGCTAGGGAGGTTAAATATATAGTATGATTTAACGGAATATTATTATTAACAAATAAATTTATGATTCAACTATAGTTGTCTTTGTTTAACGGATAACTTTGTTTAATTTGATAAGAATGATACCAGTCTAAATCCGGCCTGGGCGGATTGAAATTTGTTTCGTGGTGGATCCACGGAATGAATCTCAACCTTCCCACTCTGGTTAGAATAGGTTTGGTTGTGGCTTTAGAATAACTTCCTGTATGCCAAAAATGTTGAGGTAGTGCGAAATAAAGAAGTCATGTTAAAGTTCCATAATTAACATGATGGTTTTTAAAAACATTTTTCTTAAATAGCCTAATGAGCAAAAGACTTATTTATTTATTTTTTTGAAACGGGATTAAAATAAAAATCTAAATATTATTACATTGACAAAGATGTAGGTACTTAAACAAACAAAATAAAATACCTTCAATTTAATGGTAAGATAAAATAGTATCTGTTTGAAATTCTGATTTGGGTGCTCAGGGTCATCTTCCCAAAGAGGAACAGGCTTTTCACCACCATATACTTTTTGTACAACTTCATTGACTTCCTAGAAAGTTAAAAAAATAAAATAATAAAAAAAATTCTGATATAAAATGATTCGACAAGATATAATATTAAGAAAACTATAAAAAAAACTTCCTTGTTTTGAAAATAATATCGTCAGTTTATTGCAAAAAGTCATTAAGTGACATTTGATAACCTCAAATAATGAAGAACTTTGATGAATTCCTCCTTTGTAAAATCAGAAAAGTGTGCACTTATTGTAACTCTATACGATTAATAAAAGTATCTCTGCCATTTTCATGCAATTACAGTGTTTTTGTACAGATAAAGAAGGTCAAAATTCACAAAAACGTATTTGAAAGTTAACCTATATTAAAAATGCACTTAGTGACTTCTTCCAATAAACCGACAATATGCCAGTATATCTATCATTACTTAAAATTAAATGTTATTTTGTCTTCATTCTCCAATGGGAATAACATTTCATCCAAATTTATGTTTTAATAATGAAAACATTCATCTTTATCTCTGTCATGGGCATTTCTCCTCAAAACTTTGCTTCATTTGAGTCTTTGAACTTGAAACTTCGTCAAATAGCATCAATAGTTTGAGTGACCAGAAAAACAAAGAATGGTGACGATAGCAAATACATTAATTAAAAAAAACTATTTTGGACATGTTATAGATTCAAAAAACCCTAATAAAGTGGATCAACCAAACGAAATGTAAAATAAACACTTTTCCACAAATTTTCTTATTTCTTTAAATAAAATCTTTTAATAAAGTTTTTTTTTTTTTTTTTTTTTTTCCTATGCCATAGACATTGGTCATTCGACCATCCGACATCTTGCTGTCCAATATAAGTTTGATTTTTGTATGTAATCATTTACATATGTTTGATTCTTTATATCTGTCAAAGCAGGACATTCGTTTAGGTGGTCTGCATCCATTTCCGCTTGTTCACATAATTTACATCTATGTCGCCAAACGCCCAGTTTTAATAAAGTATAGAACTTAAGAATTAAAAATTTTAAAGATTACACTTACTTTCATGAAAACATTCTGTACAAACACTAAATGATTCAAAAGGTCTGTAGTTAATGAATGGTCAAAAACTCCTATTTCAGCAGAGGCACTTAAATAGTTTCCATGTCTTAGAACAACTCCATCTAGAAATAAATTTGTTTTACATAGCTAAAAAATCGACTACCAAGTTCCCACGGAACATGAATGATGAAAGTCAGCCATGCTTTTATGGAACTCATTTCTATTTGAGTTGCAGTCATTGCCTTCATAAGTAACCAAACATGACCTCACCAAGCTTGATAGAATCAAACATGTTTAATTTTGAATCTTGGAAAGTAGTCCATGAAGCTAAGATGTCATCACAAAAGCAGTGTGGACAATGGAACGAGTGGTTTTCGAAATTATTATTTTGAAAAGAGATTTGTAATACACTAAGAGGTATTTAAACTGAGGTTCTACCATTTTAAGAAGATTTTTAAATTTATTTAGGCAATGAATTGTTAATACTATACAAACTAAGTTTGTTGCTCCAAAATAGTAGAATCTATTCTTAAAACCAAATATATGTTTTTCTTGGCGTAGTTCCCCATTAGTTAACTTTTTTTTAATGCTGAAATGGGGCAAAAACAGAACTAACAATAGCACTAACATATTGTTCACGACTGATCATTTGATTAGAATATTTTAAAGTGAAAGCAAGCTGGCATGGTTCATTTTCATGATTCACATCCAGTGGGACCCTGGTATAAGTATGATATTTTACAATAAACATTTGAAAATTAAAAACCTCCAAATTGGCCTTCGAGAGATGTGTTAGTGTCTTGGACATATTCAGCTGAAACATGTACTTGAGGCAATTCTATACTCGCTTCAGAAGGAAGATTTGCCTCCATTACCTAAGAATATTATAGTAAACAAAGAATTATTAAGCAATTTTAAGTAAAATAAATTTATAATCCAATATATAACATTTAAAACATACCTTTGTAGAAAATGAAAGACAATGCCGAGGTAAATCTATAACAAACTTTACTTTACTGGCAGTTACTCCAGAACTGGTGACTTGTTCCATTTTATATTGGGCTTGCAGTGATGGAAGTAAGGCAGCTGTTATACTCAAGCTCTAAAACATAAAATAGCTCAATAAAAGTAACAATATAGGTCGAAACCAAACAATTAGCTGATTATAATTTTACCTGAAGAACTATTGTGAACTGTACAACTAAAGGATGTAGCAATGGTTCTGTGTTTTGCTGAGAACTTGTATAGTTAAGAACTTCACGAGCTTCAAATGGAGAATTCTGACCATTATGAGTATCACTTTCATCTACGGTTGTAGCACGTCCTATACGACTGGAGGTTCGTGTGACACGCAATTCCTGCAATAAAAAAAAAAATTATGAACAAAAACTTATTCTTAAACCCCTCAAGTTCAAAAGTATCGTTATAATGATTTTTATTATATTCCAACAACAAATCCTATATATAGTTGTATCAGTTAATGGATTGTAAATAATGTGCAATACAAGAAAAATGACCTGGAGAGTTGATGATAGATGTTTGCTTCCTCGTGCCATCATTCCATGAAGAGCTACTGGATGCTGTGGAATAGTAATAGCAACAGAACCAACGGTCAATAGAGCGGAATTCTTGTCTTTACCAGGGGCACTCGTGCTTGAGAAGAGTGCTTGTGATTTTCCAATCATTACTTTGACAACAGTTCTGAAAGAAACAAAACAGTTTTTCTATAAATTCTAAAAAATGAGAAAATAACAGAAAATTCTCATTTCTTAAATTAATAACTAAGACTTAGAATTTTTATAACTGAAAACTAATTTTAAATTGAATAAAACTGTTTTACATCATGAATATTTTTTCTAGATAAATGCTCATATTCTATTTTACAACCATCATCTACAAAAAAGTGTGATTTTAGTTGGAATTTGAAATATAAGAAAAAAAATAATAAAAAGAGCAATAATCTATTTAAAGAGATGCAAATATTAATAAATAATTTCTAATGGCAAGAGTTTGATTTAATCAGATGAGTCATAATTCCAAGTAGAATAATATGGTAGTGAAAAGATAAAGAAGATATAATACAATTAAAATAACAGATACAATTTATAGTTTCAAAATAATATAACTGTTGTAATAATTAATTAATTTCTAAGCATTATATAAATTCTCACTGTTGATTAGGAGGGACGCCTTCCAACAAAACTATCATAGTTCGTCCAACATGGCCGGTAACCGATGATTCTAAACTAGTGGGTCTAGTTTTCTTTCTCACAGTAAGAGAGGAATGAAGGCTGGTCATTTCGGCTTCTAATTTTAAACCACTGAGTGTGGCCAGAAGACGAGTGCGATGTATTTTTGCGACAGCGAAGACTATGAGTCTCGTTCTTTCACCTATACAGGAATCTAGCAAACAAGAAACTGTTGACACTAAAAAGGGAACTTGAACCATTAACCGATGATATAAATTGTAACAAACTTTTTAAAAATGAAGGGAATTATTAAGATTCAAATGTGAGCTCATATTACTCAAAACATAAAATTAAATATTAAAAAAAAATAAAATAACTGATATACTTGGGTCTTTAGCATTGCTTTGACTTTGGCTTGGAGTGTGGTTCTGAGCTTCTTTTTCGGTATCATCATTCTTGGAATCACTTAATTCCATTTTTTTTCTGAAACTGTCAGACAAATCTCCAACAACAGAAAAGCGGCTGAAAAAAAAAAAAAAAAAATACAGATCAGAATGTTCTGAGAAATAAACCTGAGGGCTATAAATAATAAAACAAATGCAGTAAAAAGGGAATAATAAATATTCATCTTTAAAAAATTGCAAAATATAACTGTAAAAATCTAATTTAAAAGAGTACCTATGAGCAATAGTCCTCGTATGTGGCATTGTTGCATACAAATCAAGAAGGTGGTACATAGTTTTCCAACATCTCGGTGTAATGGATATAGACTCTTCCTTGCTTTTCATTGAAACTCTGCGATCAAGTACAGATGTAGGAGATGTGATTTGGCTGACGTCTGAGAGATTCATGTAGCCTTAAATTTAGGACACGAATAAATATGCTTGCTTCAATATATTAATGGTATCACATAGATAACATAAAAAAATGTACCTCTAACACTTTTGCTTGTTGACCTTAGCCGATGAGCGAGAGATTGAGCACGAACTGATGGCGATGGTGAAACAAATGGTTTATCTGTAAACCGAGATTTCTGAAACACCTTAGGTTTTTCAGCTTCAGATAACAATGGATTGAGCATGTCCTGAATATCTGATCCTGGAATTCAAAAAGTATTTTAATAAAGTTTTTTGTTGTACATTTCAGAAAAAAGTTCTAAATGATAAGAATTTTGAAAGTAACAAATAGCTTTCCAATATGGCATCATATACTTGGATTATTCTTTGTTAACAGATAAATCATAGTGCATACCAGATACAGTTGCAGGAGGTGTTTTAGCTATAGTTTTATTCTCGGTAGGTTGCTGTTCTTTGAGCTCAGACTGTGTTTCTTTAACATTCTGATACATATTACTTATTTGAAGGAGAAGTCTTAGTAATGGCATGTTAACCTGGAATAATGTGTACATTAATAAACTAAAGAAATAAAAACCTAAAAAAATCAATACTAAAGCTGAAGTTTTTTTGAATGAGCTAAATCAGTCCAATTAAAAAAAAAATCTTTGTGTGATAGTGTTAGATAGAACATTTAGTAAGGAGGGCTTTAGGCTTTACACGGAGTAGAGTAGCTCAATGAATAAAGTACTCCTATTTGCTGGGCACCGGTTCAAGAACGGCTGCAACAGATAATTATTTATTCTATTATATCAGCTGTGGATTCCTTCCTTAGGCCCTTAGGCTGGGAAACCTTCCTGGGCCTGACCCAATCCCTATCAAGCAGATTAAATCTGAATTTTAAATTAAACCTAAATAAAGCACCTACATACAAAGTACTGAATCCAAGGCCCTTAATGGGTTACAGTGGTACAGCTTTTTGTTTTTGTTTTTTTAGGGTTTATAAATTATGCTATGACCTACAGGGATAGAGCAGTAACTATAAACACCCACAAACGTGGAAAAATGTAGCATAGCTATAACACCATTACTCTAGCATAGCTTTCAATAAATATCATTGTAATTACTATAGATAAAATGTAGGGACAAACTTTTTAGTATATTAGAGTACACTTAAGAGAAGACTGTTCTACCGATGGATAAACTAAATGTTGCCTTATCTAGAAGTAAGTTTTCATAAATGGTTTAAACCATTTCGTGGTCATAAATTAAATTGTTAGTATCAAGTCATATAACTCAGTTAGTTTTAAGTGATTGTTCCTTTGTTTTACTACATCATTTTCTATTTCTTTTAACATTATTTTATATTAACATAATCTTCATTGTGTTCTCCCCCTTTGACTATGGCTGGCTGGTGTACGGTGGACTCTCGAAACCAAACTTAAATGCCTAATGAATTGCCCATTACGTTTTGTTTTCAGAATCTCAAGAGATAGGCATATAACCCAGTATTACACCGAGTTGGAGTGGCTCTATCCATCCAACCGCCGTCTGTACTTCCTTGCTACCTCTCTGTACCAAGCCATCAGAACTCAGCGACCTTCCTATATTTTTCACAGCCTACAATTTAAATACTACATTCAATCCCGTCCCACTAGATCCCGAACTTCCGACCTCTATCTTCCTCCACACCAGAAGAATTTTTATTAACAAATATATCAGACATTTTTTTATGGAGAAACAGAATGAAATTTGTATTTAGCACCTTGAAGAACTCTGAAATACAAATTTTCATAGCAATCGAAAAATAAAACTTATCTAATTCAAAATTTAACCAAGGCAAAGCAAAATTCTTCTATATCTTTTATAACTTTTTCCACTGAACTTTCAGAATGGTATGACTATGGTTCTTCACGTCTCCATCAAATACCCTTTCATTTGATAACTCATTCGTATAAATCCGTGGTTATCAAAATGTTTGCTAACCAAGGCCTTGGATTTTTGCTGGAAATCACAAACATTTTGATAACCACGGGTTTTCACGAATGAGATATCAAATGAAAGTGTATTTGATGGAGACGTGAAGAACCATAGTCATACCATCCTGAAAGTTCAGTGAAAAAAGTTATGAAAGAAATAGAAGAATTTTTATATGCAAATACCTCAAGATATTTTTTTTATGGAGAAACAGAGTTCAGATTTGTATTTAACATCTCAAAGAACCCTCAAATATGAATTTTCATAGCAATTGAAAAATAAAACATTTTTGCTTCAAAATTCAACCAATATATTCTTTTATATAATATATACTTCAAAATATATTATATAACCTTGGATTTTTGTCAAAAATTTTTATCACAACGGATTTTTACGAATGAGGTATCAAATGAAAGGGTATTTGATGGAGAGGTGAAGAACCACAGTCTCTTCCTCTGGAAAGATCAGTGAAAAAAGTTATCAAAGAAAGAGAATAATTTTTATTTGCAAATATCTCAGAAATTTTTTTATGGAGAAACAGCAACAAACCCTTTTATAATTCAAGCTGTCTCCTTCTCGAATACCATTCCTCCAGATATCCAACACGCACAATCAGTTTCCTCATTTAAATCTCTCCTTTTTAAGCACCTTTCCCAACCCGATTGATCACGACATGTACATACGAAAACTTTTTAAGTTCCCCCAAAAATTATTTTGCTTACTTATGTTATTTCATTTTCCCATGTTTATTTTATATATAGCTGTGTTTTTGTATTGTTATTATTGTTTTTTTCTTCCTATATTTTAATGAGATATTATTTTTTTAATATTTAATTTAATGTATGTGGCATTTTTTCTATATCTATAATTTGTTCTAAAGGGACAAAAGTCCCAGGATAATAAAAAAAATTTCATTTCATAATTTGTATATATTATTCAGTTGATCAGACACAATAAATTAAATACTTATTACGTAAATATTAAATACTTACTGTATGAAACAGGCATGTACAATTCAAATTGAACAAGTGTAACTGCTGGCCATAGCTAATAAAATAATAAATAATGTTAAATACCTGCTGTGATATGTATCTGATGCTGACACTTATGTTCAAAACAGTGCTCGAATGCTTTTTAAGTTGCCCTCTAGAAACATAAAGCATGTTCCTTCTTTGCCTGCTCAGGTCCTCAACAATGGTCATATCAGCCAGGCGACAAAGTTCTAATTCAACTCCAACTCTTTCACATATGAAGGCAGGTGTCTCCGGAGGCATTTCCAACCAAAACTTACTCTCTGAAACAAATCATTTCAATTAATTGAATGTTTTTGCTTAATGAAAAGAGATAATAGAGATTTTTTTTTTAAAATATAAAACAATTAATACATTGTTGACTGAGGACAAGTTAACTCGTCATTGCACTTACTTCCTTCCACATACTATCACAAAATAATAGCCTGTGTTTCTGTTTGATTGACATAGTTTCTGTTTGATATTGCCAGTCAAGTAAACGTTAAATAGGAGGAATGTGACTGATTACTTGAACCAACTAACAATTTAACTTCACAACTACAAAAAATATTTTAACATTTATAATAATTAATGGCCATTTCTGAAGAAATATCTGGCCCAAAAGTATTAGATAGAAATCAGTCCATTGAAATTATATAGGAGGTTACTCAGAAATAAGCAGTTCAAGAAGTTGACTTAACACTTAATTTCATGAGTTTGATCCTTTAAGCCCTTAAGGTTTCATTTCTGTTAAATGATTTTTGTTGGACAGTTAACAAAAAAAGAAAATTGATTCCACTATTATGCAGCAGTTATCAAACTTCTTTTGCCATCGCTCCCTTGGGATGAAAAATGTTGGCAGCATCTGTGAAGAACTACAAAAAATTCAGCAGAGTTATCCTTATGAAAACCATCAAACACCATATAATTTTGATGCTTGAAGGTATTCCAGCGATGACCTCCTTTTTTCTTTATTTTTTTTTTGGAAAATTGATATAAGGGTAGGCGTAGGAATATTAAATCATTTGGCCACATCAACTTTTTTTTCGCCTTAGGCTTTTATGGTGATTTTATGGTGAACTGAATAAAAATGAAAGATATCCAATCCAATGACCGAAAAAATTTACAAACGTGATTTAAAAAAATGGAGAGTGGAAAGGGGAAATTTTTTACTAATTCAAGATTTTTCCATAGGACTAGAAAAAAATTCCAGAAATAGGTAATCCAAAAACTCCAATGCCAAGTTTCCGTTTACTGTTTTTAAAACTAATTTTTAAAGTATTAAAGTATGATTAAGTTATGGATATATCATCAGTTTATTGCAAAGTCATCAAGTACTTTGGTGAATTTTCTCTGAGTGAAATTACAACATTGTGCAACTTAATGTAAATATCTACTCATAAATTAACGAAAACTTACTTAAAAATTACAAATCAAAGATACCTGAATTTTTTAGTACAGACAGAAGATATAAGAGACGGTGAAAAACTGCAAATTTACCTTTTCCTTTCTTATCATGATGTTTCCCATGTTCACTGACAACGATATCAATTCTCATTGAGTCAACACCACCGATCAATGAAAGGTTGGAACCCCATGATTCTAACGTGTTTGTTCTTGTTCCTGAAAAGTTGAAAAATAAATAATCAATAAAATATTTTATATCAAGACAATTAAAGATAATCCTATTGTCATCACTTTTCACTTTAAACACCAAGAAATAGGCAGCACAAGAGATCATAATTTAGAGGTAATCACAAAGAAAGTATCTTCACAATACTATATGACAAAGCCTTGTCAGCTTATTCTGACTTTGAAAGAAATAATTTACAAATACATTTTAGGCAAACTTAAAAAAAAAATGGAGCATGACATAAAATAGTAAAGAAATGTATGAGCTGTAAGGTAACTTAGTATTCTCCCTCCACTGTTAGAAGGCAGAAGTCGAAGAGGCTGATTAGACCAGTGTAAAAGACAGTGGAAGAGTCTAAGAAGAACAGTTCAGCAGGATTAAGACTGAAGATACATGGCGAATTATTCTAATTATGAAGATATTTTTCTTCTTCACTGTCACACTATAGCAATAGACAAGTCCATAATTTTCTTTGATGGTCATAGGTCTTTACATAAATTCTATATCTCCCTATTTTTCCTTAGTTACTGATTTTCAATTTTATATACAATTCCAACCATTCTTCCTAGCACATTACCTTTGTTTTCTGTTTTATAATTCCTTCTTTTCATTCCCAACTAGTAGGCCCGTGTGAAAAATTCGCACAGCATATAGTTATCAAATGCCAAATTAATAAGAAAATGCAACTTCTCAAAAGATTAAGACATCAAATGTTACTTTATCAATAAATATAATCCACAAAGCAAACAAAAACTAATTTAAATCTTCATTTTTGTTTGGAACCAACATGTATACAAATTTCAGTAAGCTGTATATTTGCTAAAAATTGTCCGATTGCGATGATTTTTTTTTTCCTTTTGTAGGGAATTTAGTAATCTTTTATATAATTATGGGCATAACCTAGGGAAAAGTGTGTAATTTTTCAGTTATTCGCAAATAAAGTTTATTTTCTTTCATAACTTGTTTGCCTGAATTTTCTGGGTGATTGGACTATTTTGCCAGCCTGAAGGAGAAGGAAGCCTTCGAAATTGGTGGCTCAATCTTGAGATTTGGTGAAAAATTAACGATGATATGGCTTGCCGATCAAAAACACCATCGATGAATAATATAAACTCCCCCTCTCTCGATCATAGAGACCTCAAGTCGACGAAATGAGACATGTATTCAATGACAGTACTACAATTAATGTAAGGTTGTGTGGATGCGAACCCTATGCCTTGCGTTATCTCGAAAATAGTACGTTTTTCGGCTTAAAAACACAGGATCCGATAGTTCAGAAGGAACTATCCGGGTCTTGCTGTACGCATCAAAATCTTTAAGATCCAATTTGTCCCGTATCGATCTACAGACCTACCACCGTTCTAGTATCGAAGCCTAGCAAAATGTTTGTATCGACTTTATTTATTTTAGAAAGAAAAACAAAAGTGGAGAATATGATTCGCTAACCCCCGTGAAATTCTGAATCCAACGGTACCCCATTCGTGGTATTTGAGCACGACAGGAGCTTATATTTGGTACAAAACCGATTTCGAGCCTTACTGTAATAATATATGTACGGATTCATTGGCCTCATTCACTTTTTCGGATCTTGGAAGTGGGAGTTAATTCATTCTTTGTGTGAGTATAATTTTGGCCTTTCAACATTTATCTCAATGAGATCTCCTACCTTACGTTCTAAACTGATCATACAACTCTCCTGTCTGCTAATTTAAAGAATAATCATCACATCACTTTTATATATCATTATTTGCACTGATTTGTACAATTAGCAAACTTCATTGTCATCTAGGTAAAAGCTAATATTTAAAGAGAGATATTGGATTCTTCCTAAGAATTATAGAAATATTTAAATATTAAACCATGACAGAATTTTTAAGCCATGTTAAAATGCCTTCATTTTTACAAATAAAATTTTATGTAAACTGACCTGTGCTGCTTATCATCTGCTGGGGCATTACTCCAAGGCTGGATAGCAGAGGTTCAAAAATCAAATGTGCATCTAGAAGTCTTAAAGAATCATGCATCGGATACAAACTGTAGCCAGAAGCAAGTAAAAGATAATCTGGATTAATTATTGGAGCCTCGGGAACATCTTTTTCATTTGATTTTGTTTCAACCTGCAGTTTGAAATAAATTAATACTGAGTAGAATCAATAAAACAAACAATTAATTGTATAAAAAAATAAAATTGTCAGTACAGTATTAAATTCCATTATTTGGTATTCAATCAATCAGCCTACATATCACCTCTGCTTTATGAGTTTTATATTAGTAGTTATGATCAGAAGGTGAATCAAACATAAATGGTTCTTATTTATTTATTTTTATTGTTTCTTGCATAATTATAACACTTTTACCACTGATTTGGAAGCTTAAATAACCCTTGTATATAAAAAAATTAGGGAAATTCGTCAGCCAATTGCTCATGTGTTCTTTGACTTCTTCACTTTTATAAAATTGTTCTTTTTCAGATGATTTTTTCATGTCTATGAATAGAAAATAGTCACAGGGATACAAGTTTAGACTTTAAGGAAAGTGTTAGAAAATTTCCCATCGCACTTCTTCTAATTGATCCTTAGAGGAGATAGCAATTTGAGGCCTGGTGTTGTCATTAAGCCAAAAAAAGACTAATAGGCCCACTTTCTGAAGACCTGTTCATCCTCGATATTTTTCAATCCGGCAATTCCATTCAATAAACTCTCAAACAACACAAATTTAGTCATATGTACGATTATCCTCAGATGTTGGTCATGAATTATATTTTAGACTTTTTCTTAATCCCCCTTGAATCCCTTGGCACATATAAACACTCTATTCTGAGAAAATGTAGTGTTCACTGTACATTCAAATGAATACAAATTTCCGAAGGCTTAACTACTTCATTGTAGTAGCAATTTATGGTTATGTATTGAGCAATAAATTATGGTATCTCCTCCTCAATATTGGATATAACGAGAATTTAAAACTTTCAATTGTCAAAAATTAATCAATAAATGTTTAAAACATAGTTACTATATATATTTGATTTACTCTTGTATGTATGCACACAATACTTTACATATTAAACAAAAAATTATATTGGTCTAATTATTCCAATAATTTAGTTTAATGCAATAAGACAACTTGATTTTTCTTTTAGCTTTGGGTGGTTAGTTGCATATTTTGAGATTTTTTTATTAAATATTTTTGTGATTTGAAAATCTGGTCTCTGAAAATGCCTAGTTGAGATGTATTGGTAACATTTTTGATATAAAGATGAGTTATCAACTCTCAACTTGTGCGCCCATTTAATTCAATCAGGATTAAATGAGTGCAGAATGACAATTTATTTTATCAAATACTTACAAGATAACTATAGACAGTGTTGTAATGTATTTGTATGACTAATGTGGTTTTGATGTTTTAAAATTAAAATACAGGATTATTTAAGAGGATAACTTAAAGATAAAAATCATAAAATAGATCCTGTAGCGTTTAATAAATAGAATACATAAAATAATTGTTATGGATGAATGTTGTAATTATAAATTTAAAAAATTGATTCTATTTGTATTTTTATTTATTTATTTTTTTTGTTCATGTCATATCTAAAGAAGAGTTTTAAGAAAATTGAATTAAATTTAAACAGATATAACTTAGATAAAGCACTTCATTTAGGCATCAAATCTTAAAAGAATGTTATAGATCAGATTAAAAAGAAAGTATGTTGTGAATGATAAATGAATAATTATATTCAGTTAATATAATGAAAAAAGATATTAAAGAATTATTCACAAATAATAATTTGTACTAATATTTATGATGATTGAGGTAAGAAAGTGGATTCAATAAAATAAATCTAAAAACTTAAAATAAATTCTAGTTTGATTTTATACTACAATCATACACATAAAGCAAAAATATGGATGCATTATAACAAATAAATAAAAATAAGAATTGTGAGAGATAGGATATGAGGATACAACATAATGGATGTTAAATTTTTAGAGGAATAGTAACTACATGCAATCCATAAACTTAATATGGCATACCTTCACTAGTTTGAGTAACTTAAAACTAAGAGGGTTTCGATTAGCAAAAATTCAGTTCACCGAAAGGAAAACGATGAAAATTAGAGGAAGGATATATTTCTGTTCTGTTTACTAAAGAATGATTTGATTAATCAAGTTAGAAGTTTATTAATTATTGGGGAATTAGCCTGATGTTCTAGTGCATATTTACTACATTGGATTTCCCCAAATTTTTTTTTGGATTAACAAAAAACAAGTCATCATTATCGTACACATAAATGCAGCAAAAATTTGAAATCAAAGTAAAATATGATTTAAACAATTTATCAAAAGAAAATTTAAAACAGAACTTAATTAAGAGTTACCAATGGAGGTTAATATCTCTATAAAATGTAACTAGAATTTTTTTCTTCATATTTTCTTGATATTATAATCCGCAGTTAATGAAAAAAAAAAACCTTCTCAACTGAAATATACAATTCCAAATTTTATCACTTATATGTTACTCAAAATATAAAAGGAGTACATATTTTTAATTACATATGATCTTATTTAATATAATGATTAATTTGATTATTATCCTATCCACACAACAGCTTTGCCTTTTTTCTGCAAGGAGAGGTTCAGGTTAACAAGGATATTTTCAGATAGTAATAATTAAAAAAAAAAAAACTTAATAAACAAATACATAAAATACAAAAAAGCTCTAAGCCAAGTTAATAACTGCAAACTAAATTAATAAAAAAAAACAACATAAAAAACAAAACAAATCAACAAACTGTGTGGAACCTAGGGGGGGAAACATTCAGTTTGATCATTATTTTGCAGTTACAAACCGGAGGCTTGGCCTTTGTGATTGGACTCTGTGGTTGTTTAACCTTCTCTCTTTTTGATTCAGTGAACTCTTGCTGCTTTGCCATCCATGTATACAAGTCTTCCGCTGCTGCTTCCCTCGGGGGTGACACGGTCCTATCCAATGAAGCCATTGACTCTTGCCCATCTGGTTCCCCACGTCCTCCCTTAGAGCAGAGTGAACCCAACGAACCGTTTGTGATGTTATCCTTCCTACCAAGCACTGGATCCTCTTTCAATGTGCTATAGCCTACCATCAAAAATATATGTATAGGTCTGAATATAGATTTAGGATCAAACATCACAAGAATAGTGAGAACTGTTGCGAAATGGTCAATAAAAAAAATTATAATAGGCTATCTTAAGTTTTGAATAAAATTAATTATCAATATATATTTTTAAAATATACAATCATTCGAAGGGATTAAAATTGGGTATACATGAAATTATCAAGTGGCCACTGATAATCATTCCAAATGGAACAATACAATGATGTAGTGTACCAACAGAAGTGCTTAGAGCGAAGACAATTTCCAGGGTTTCACTGACAATCATTCCACTCCTTTCCATTTTTACTGACAAGCATAGATTGATTTTCTTGCATGCTCTAAAAACTAATCCAAACTCATAAACACTACAATTATTAAATAAGAAACATTGTCTCTGGTTATTGTGAAAATTATATTAACCGTCCGAAGATTGGAATTAGCAACTTTGATACCTACAATATCTGATTAGAAATTTTAATCATATCTTTTATCAATGAAATAGAAAATGTTGGTAAATACTTATTTTATAACCTTTACAGCTACAAATATTTCAATACAATATTAACATAAATCTTAAATCTTGAGAATTAATGGGATATGAACAATGTCTCAAATTCAATCCTCACTCCCCAAAAATATTTAAAAATGGTGGAAATTTCAAGTATATTGGAAATTATGAATGCGTTGAAAATATTTTTTTCTTTTTAATTAATAGTTAATAACTTAAACTATATTGCATTTACTATTTTTTTATTTTATTTTATTTTGGTAGACTTTCAGATTACGCAGTTCAGCATTCCACTCCATCAGTTTTCGAAACTCATAGTCGGTTGGAGTGATTGGTTTGGTCTGACGTAAACGAGCCCAGCTGCTGAGAACACCAAAAAACCCACACAGGATTTAACAATCACTGTCATTCCACATTCCATTTGATGTGGAGTGGTAGGAGTTGACTGATTGTCAGTATCCACCATATCATACCTATTCCTAAGCAAACATTATTAAACTTTATTACTGTTTTGTATATTTTTTTTATTTTTCATCCAGTAGAGCAAAAAATAAATACTTTATCGAGAAAATTTATAATATAATCTAACGTTAGAAAATTAGTTTGATATTGGTAAAAATGTTTGACTAGACTACATTGCAGTTAGTAACAACTCTAAACATTAGTAACAGTTTAGTTTATTAGTTATGGTTAATTATTAGACACCTTAAAAATCTGTCACAAATGATATGACTTATTTATCATGGTCTACTACCTGGCTCATAAATGAATTATAAAATGTTAATTTAAATAGCAAACAACAATGATGCTTATGAACTTTTAAATATATCTTCTAATGATAGCCAATTTAAATTTAAAGAAATATTTTTAAGAACCTAATTTATTTTTTAATACAATATTTTCATTTCTCAAAACTCCAGATTCAAAAAGTGATAAGATGAATATGATTCTAAAGTTTTTAGTAAAAGTTTTAAATTAATAACTGTAATATTTCTTTCCCAGAATTATTAACTTAATAATTATTAAACTCAGTTATGAAAATTGATTGCATTATTTCAAATAACAAAATCATTATAATACTATTGTAATATACTTGATGAAGAAGTAATAAATCTTCTAACATAAAAAGATAAATAATTCAATGAAGTTAAAACAAGAAATGGGATAGTTTCTTACCGATTCCCTTAGTGTCACTTTCTGATCTATGATGGCCTAAAAATGTAAGAGGAAACACGATACTAGCTCTAGAAGATGATGGAATCTGCGTTGGTAACAGTGATTTTTTCTTAGGTAACTAAAAAGATTAGAAACAAATGTAATAATTACAATTTATGAAACAAAACATGGCAAAGTCATAAATTACAAATCAGAAAGTTATAAAAAAATTTTTAATTTCTTTCACTGACATTTAAATTAAATTGTTTAATTTTGTATAAAATGGATATACATATGAATCCCTGTTAAATAAAAACTGAATATGAAATTACAAGGCCTACAGATATTATTTCTGAGTCAATAGGAGATTCTCCACCTTAGATAATTCCATCAATTAGAGATGAAATAGGATTAAATATTTTTTCAAATAGCACTCCCCTAGAAGAAATTAGATATAGCTATAATGAAATTTGAAAATAAAGTATTACGTAGAATATTCGGACCGAAGAAGGATGAATTAACCGGAGAATTCAGATGGTTACACAACGCCGAATTGCGTGAACTATATCTGAGTAAGATAATTGAGGTGATTTCATCCCGGCATGTCAAATGGGCCTGTAAAATTGTTGGGCTTAGTAACGAGAGAACTCCTAAAAGGTTAATAATTTGCTGTACCGAATGGTAAACGTCCGAGGGGTAGACCGAAGCTAAGGTGGGAAGATTGCATTAAAGCCAATCTGAAGGGACTAGGTTTGGACGGTGGAGGGAGGTGTGTAATGAGCGATTGGTAGTGTCGGCATCAAAACTTCGGGTTTGTTAAGCCTTTTATTATTATTATTATAATGAAGTAGTCGATAAATTATTTTATTATCATGAAAAAATTTCAGAAAATCAGAAAAAGGTGTGGGATGTTGCATAGTGACCCAAAACAGTCACAGTAGATTGAAACTGAATATCAATAATTCCATTTATACTAGCGAAATGTGGGCAGTTATAAAACCATTCGAATATGTAATCAATAACAATACTACAGAATCATTTATTGTGACTGACTTCCTATCCATTATTAAAGGAATGCAAAGGTATATGGACCAATAACACATTATAACAACTAATGAACTTGAAACTCCATCAAATTGGAATGAAATTACATTGTTATGGGTCCCTTCACATATTGGCATTACTTGAAATGAAAAAGCTGACGAAGGAGCAAAGGAAGCAGTCAGAAGTCCTGATTTACCCATTTTGGGATCAATATTTCTCAATGAATGGAATGTGAATTATAAGTTAAGTTAATAAAAATTGGAATGAACAATGGGTATGACTGCCATTTAGTCACCTCCGTCCGTGCAAAGAATATTATCTAGCTTGGCTGCCTCCAAAACACCTCACCATAGGATTGACCAGTTTCTGTAAGCAGTTCTTTGTTGGTCTTTCTTCTACAATTGTTAGTAATCTGATCTGAGATAGCTCCGATTATCGTGCAGAGGATTTTTCTCTCAAATCTTTCAATAATTTTTTCTAGGGTGCTGGTTAGTGTTCAGGTCTCACAGCCATATTTTAGAACTGGTTTTATCATAAAATTGTATATCATTAATTTGAGATTTTTCAGGATTTCAATAGATTTGAAAGGGAGAATAAAGCTCTGTTTGCACTAGTTATACACTGGTCTATTTCTGGCTGTTGGTCATACATTGAAGTTATTGAGGAGCCGAGATATTTGAATTTTTCTATTCTCGGGAATGATTTTCCTTCTACGCAGATCCTGTTATTGTGGTGGAATTTTCGGCTTATTATCATATATTTTGTTTTGTCTTCATTTACTTGTAGGACAATCTGCTCTGTCTCTCTTATCAGAGTCTTAACGAGTTTCTCGATGTCCTCTTGATTACCTCCAAGGACAGCTATATCATCTGTGTATCCAAGGATTTTATGATTCATGACATTCTTGCCAAGTTGTTTTTATCACTTTCTTCAGGGCTAGGTTGAACAACATTGGTGATAGTACATCTCCATACCATAAGCCCGTTCGAACTTTGAAGGCTTCAGATACTTACCTTTGTATTATGACTGTATATTTAAGATCATTTGTACACACCTTTGTCAATATCACCAACTTACCAGGAGCTCTCAGTTTAGTCATGATTTTCCAAAGACAGTTACTGTCCATAGAATCATAGGTTACTTTGAAATAGACAAATAGGACGTGGACGTCCTGAGCTACTTTCCATCGTTTTTCGAGCACTTATTTTAGGATGAAGATCAGGTCTAGCGTGCTCCTTTCTTTTCTGAATACAGCTTGGTCGTCGCCTATCATATTTTCGTAATACGGATATATCCGGTTTAGTAGGATATTGTTCATTATCTTGTAGGCAACCGGAAGGAGTGCTATGCCTTTTTAATTCGTACACTGATACATGGAGCTTTACTTTAGGATAGAACAGATTATACCCGTATTCCGAGCCTTAGGTATCCTTTTCTCTTTCCATACTTTCTGGATTATTTGTAGTAGCTTGGCTCTTAAGTCGTCTCCTCCCTCTTTAAACAGTTCTGATGGTAGGTTTTCTATCCCTGGGGCCTTTCTTGTTTTGAGTTTTTCGATAGCTATTTCTACATCCAGTATATCAGGTTTTTTAACCTCTTCTGCATCAAGGTTCTCAGTGTGGTCCATTTCTTCTTCGTTCATGGAGTCATTTGATTGAGAAGCTCCTGGAAATGTTCTTTTCAGATGTTCAATATCTTTTCTTTAGATGGTGTCAGAATGTCATCTTTTCCTCACAGTTGCGTATTTCTCACTTTATATCCTACCCTTTCTTTCCTAATGTCTGCGTAGAATTCGCGTATATCTCCAGCCTGCTAGTTGTCCTCAATGGTTAATATTATATATAATATAATAATTAATATATTGTTTCACCGCCAAAGTGAAATGTCTAGATTGAAAAATAACTGCTGTCACCTAGGTAAAATCTAACAACTCCCAGAAGAATAAATACAATTTTCTGTACAAATTTTTAGTATAAAATCTTTAATTTGTATTGGGAAAGTATTAGGTAACAGGAGTTCAACACATAATGTAATTAAATGAACAGCTGCGCAATTAATAGGAGAGCTCCTGTAACCTCCTAATACTAAAATAAAATATGACATATACTAAAAACATTTTTATATAATAGAGAGATCAGGTTTTATAATTAATATAAAACTTCACCTGGTGAACAGAGCTAGGTGAAGCAGGAGTGCTGAAAGCGAGACTTCCCAAAGTAAGATGACCAGTTTGAGGAGACTGCATGTTGGGCGTAGGATCTTCAACACTCGTAGTGGGTATATCTAGAGATAATAAAAATATTACTGAATAAATGTATTCAACACATTAATAATTAAACATAATATATACATGTTAATGACTGAGATAAACATGTATCTAAAATATAAAATTACTGTTTTAAATTTGATAATTTATATTCATAAAATATATCTAGACATTTATTGCAAGGTTTTTATACAATTTCAATTGCTATTACATGTAATATCCATAATATCTATGTAATAAATAAATATATAATGTCCCTATTTAATGGTTATTATGTTTTATATTTTTTTTACTTTTATTAGAAATTTTGTACAATATAAATTATATTTCAATACAGAATATCGGATATATTATATCCGATAAATATTTTTTTATATAAAGATTCAAGTTAAAAAAAAAAGTTCAATATATTTAGACGTTTAACTGTATTTGTTTTTACCCAAATACTAGGAAAATTCACTTTTAATGCTTATTGCCCCAAATACAAAAATTAAATACATGCAAACGAAATATTCCACTTTTAATTTTAATCTTAAAAAAATATTAATTGAATAAGTTGGTGAAAATTATCTATAAAATTAATAGATTTAATACAATAAAGTAACCATATTAGGGTATAAGTAAGAGCAACTTGTAATAAATTGTTAAAAATAGATATCTTGTGCAATTTTGTATTATTTCAAGTTCCATATTAAAGATGAATTGAGGTAAGCTTATAATATCAGATATAGAAATATAATTTGATCAACCTATAAAATAGGCTTATACCGACAAATCATAAACCTAGATGTGTATGCCTAAAAATAAGCAAACAAAAAAAGGAATGATATTAAGCGGCATAGATAAGTTCAAAAGGAAAACATAAAAGCTGAATTAATCATAATGATTATAAACAAAAAAAAACAACATAATTTTGAACACTTATGCAACAAGGCCATAAAACACTTTGATTATGATTAATAAAATAAGAAAAAGCCAGCTTAGACTAGAATTGTCAAACCTCTTTGGCATGGCAACCTAAAACATAACTGTTTGATAAAAATAAAAATATTATTAATTTAATTGCATCATGATTTTGAATTCTACCTATATCAAACATATTTTATAAGGTCTATGTTATCCATTGTAAAAAAATGGGTGAAAGCAGTAATTACTAACTTATAAGTTAACAGGAGACAATAATAGACAATAAAGACCAATCAGTGTAGTATGTATTTTTTATTTTATTTTTTTTAAAGCAAAATGATTTTGAATGATTTAATCATTACCTATGGTATAACAGAATGTTAGCAAATCAACAGAGGATGAACGATTGGAGTAAATATGACTTTTATAAATTAAGTAGTGCCAAATAAAGATAGAATGTAAAACTCATTAGTGTGCTGCATCTTAGTTAGGTGAATGACCCCCCCCCCCTTTCGATACAACCCTATGGAAAGGTTGGGTATTTCTAAATTTAACAGATTTCATTCCACAAGACAGATTACCTGTATAATAAGGTTTTTGATATTTACTTTTAGTAAGAATACATGTTAGTAACAAAAATTATATTAATAGAAGAAAATATTAATACACTGCAGAAAAAGAGATGAAGAAGGAACAAGTGAATTTTCAAACACAACCAAAATTCCCAGTTATCGGAGTTCAACTCAACCCAGCATATGGAAGCAGTTCATTTTAGAATTGCTCGTGAACCAGCTTGGACCAAAAAAGACGGCTCAAGTAATGCCTTCAGGTGCATCTAGATTTTCATGCCATTGGGTTGGTGTGGATAAGGCAAGGCCAGCGTTCTGCACAGAGCAGTATCTCCCAATAATTGCCTTAAGGAGGTGGTTCAGTAAGGGTTTGGATGAGATCACTTTAGAGGTGAATACTGATCTCCATGTGTTCTTAGGAGGGAGCCTTACTGCGCAAAAGTACAATTCTGATATTCTAGAAAATTAATTATTGTACCATTTGCTTGTATTATTGGTGACAATTTTATTTTTAAGCACAATAAGGTTTGGTTATATGTTGCAAACGGGGTCAAGGTGCTGAGTAGATGTAGTACCATTAGCTAGGGAATACCTAGAGACTGGTCCTCACTCAAAACCTGGGAAGTAGCTGAGTAAGTGGAGACCTATAGGACGCTACTGCCAGGAGCGCAGTGAAGAACCACATCCTGCCCGAGATGACTCTGCTTTCGACTCAAAACGACGGATCTGTACCGGAAGGTTGATAAATATCTCTGGTAGCAGACAGCAGTACTACTGAGCTGAAGACGGTTGAAGTCAGTTGAGTCCTGACGAGAAAATCAACTGCGAGGGAACAAATGCTACAAATGACGCAGAAGTCGGAGATGTTGGCCAAAAGGTGAACATAGTTCTCTGACATCTTTTACGACGGTCAAGGAGAACTGGACATCACGTATTATTTTCTAAAATGATGAAACCTGGTTAGTGACTAACTTAATGAGGTCAGTATACACACAATTACTAGCCTGCAACACTGACCTTAATTCCATAGAACACGTATTGAACGAGCAAGAGTAGTGTTTCCGAGGAGACTAAATCTTCCTGTGAATCTTCAAGAAAATTTAAATCTTCTACATTTATAATAACTTTGAAAAAAAAAAAAGGCCCAACACACCAAAGTTCTGATGAAACTTTTATGATATTCTTCTAACACGAAAATAACCTTGCATACCGACTTTCTGTTCATTTGATTCAAAGGGGTATATTTGCTAGAGATGTCAAAGTGTAATTCAAAATCTGTCACACCAACTCAGTCTAAACAGTCATTTTGGAAAATGTTTTGCTTACTTATATAATTTTGTCAAAAATATGTTTCCAAGACATTTGAGGTTGAAATTGGTTAGAAACTATAAAAAGAAGGTCAGTAATAATTTAGTCATGAAGTTTTTTTGTATCATCTGTTAATTTGGGAAAAATGAATTATGTGGTATGACGATATATCAGTTTTTTTTTAACAAATTATTACTGATACAAAGCAATAAATTTAAATTAATTTCACAGGAAATAAATAATCAGGAAGCAGTAATATTTGGGATATTTTATTTGTGGGAACGTTTCAACACAAACATGTGGGTCATCGTCAGGGCATGTTTGGGTTGAAACTTTGGCAACAACAAAAAATCTCATAAATGAGTGTTTCATGATTATTTATTTCCTATGATATGTAGTGCAGTCAACTAACTTCCTTCAATAATTAAATTTATTTCGTAAATCAAATTTCAACTATAAGAGGAAGGGACATTAGATAAATTATTAGAAATTATGGTTAGTTCTGAACTTGCTACTGATAATACTGAAGAGAATTTGCTAATGATTGAACCAATTAGTCAAAGGTTCTTTCTGAAAATGTCTTAATGTAATAGTACAATGTTTTGTTGGAGTATCTATACTCAATGGAAACTGAAAAGTTTAGCTATTGAATATATTATTATAATTAGGTTTTATCAGTGTTGACATATTTATAACAATGCCTTCCATGATCCAGCATTGGTTCTGAGGAGCCTGGAAAAGAGGTTTGACTGCATCCTATAATTACTAGGATTTAAGTGCTAATGCTATCCTTTATCAGTAAGTGTGTAAATGAAATTATAAATTGCAAACTAATTCATAAGGATAAGCAATACTTCTTTGTTATTATTATCATGTAATAATTCAAATGATCATAGAAAAAAATAACTTTAAAATATAATATCAGAAGGAGATTATATAGATAAATATTTACCTATGCATAAGTAATAATAAAGAAAACACAATTTGAACTTGACTACAATTCACCTTTAATCGATAATATGAATAAATTAGAATGTCCACATTATCTGTATAATTGTATATTAAGCATTAGCAGAGATTTTCAGAAAGGAAAATGTATAAGTATATAGTTGATAAAGAAAAGAAAGTAGGTAATGGTATGAATTTTTAAATAAAATATATATATTATGACTCTAATGTGTCTGATTATCATAAAAATAAAATATTGTTTCTAATGCAATTTTACTTATGGTCAATTTCCTTTTTGAGCAGTAGCATGCATTCCAGTTTCTTAAAAAAATTCTTAAAACTTGCTTGCACTTAGCACATATTATGCTGTGTTTGGAAAAATCCATCACGATTATTACTAGTTTCATCATATAAAAAAAAAACTATCATCTACAAAAAAATAATAAAATTGAAACATTATTAAAAAATAAATACTAAAGAGAGAAATCAATAATAAAACATACAGTAAGAAGAAATAAAAAGATTTTACTGTTCTCATTTAGAATTTAAATATAGGTTTAAATGTGAGCACAACATGAACTAATTCATGACTACTTAAGACAAACATATCTACTACTAAGTACATTAATTTGCAGTGTATAAAAAGCAGGCATGCAAGGCAAGCATGCACCATGCAATTGCTAATGCACTACCGTAATACTAATAATAATGCTATTAATACTAAAATAATAAAGGAAGTAACAGGCTATGAAGCAAACATTATTGCATGAGAATTTAAATATAATAAAAGAATTATGATGGAAACATATTTTGATTATTTCATTCCAGTATACATGTTTTTTTTCTTTAGTTTTTGGATTCTAAAATTTTTGAATTCTGAATTTCTATCCCATTCTCTTAACACACTATATGCCAGACAATAAATATAAGTATGAATTCCTAAGTCCTGTTCAATTTATTATGACAATAGGAATAAAGTATTTCTATTTTTTTTTGTTTTATCTACTTTGTTAAATAAAATATTTTTTGTCACACTAATATTTATTAATTATGAATATTAAAATTGAATCAAAGTTATAAAATTATATCAAGAAGATGAAAACTAATCTATAAATCTGGATTTAGATATGTTATACGATATGAATATTATTTAACAAAACATTTTAATCATTATTATTTTTCATTTTTATCACATATTTGATTAGTAGTATATTGCCAATTTGCACAACAAAATTTATATTTTTTTATATAGAATTAAAATTCTTAAACCCACAAAAGTTGTCTTTTATAATTTTACTTAAATTAAAAAACCACTGTAGATGGCACAATTTGCAATTTGGTAATATCAGAAACATATAATTATTTCCAATCATTACAGTATAATTATATAATACATATTATGACAGTGCTCGCATATAGTGTGTTAAATTTTGAGCTATAAAATACAAATTGTTCATATATTATAATAAAGTAAAGAAAAAAATATTACATTAAACCAGATATATTAACATAATAATAAAATGAAAAAAAAATTATTGTTAATATTTCCTTTTTTTTTTTTTTAAATTTTGGTTACCATTTTTTTGAGTTGCCTTGAGGACTTTCCTTAAATTGGTTCCTGCTTCAGTATTAAGTAGCATTGCACATTCATCAGTGATTTCGCAGTCCTCATAAGAAAATTCTCCATCCGTGAGAACATTTTCCTGTGCCCAACACCAAAATTGGACTCATCGTTTCAATATTTCAAAAAATTAAAAAAAAAAAAAGAAAGCACGTGTTTTGTTACACATGTTTGCCACATAATATAAAAATTGGTTAATAAAATATTTAAATAGGGATTTACAACATGAAAAAATTCAAATATATACACCTTCCAAATAAACATAAAAACTTTTAATGATGCTATGCTAATGAAAACATATGTAAAGTGCATACTGATGTATTTTTACGTACAGCAGTGCAAGGCTAACACTTTTTTTATAATAAAAATGAAACATATAGGATTAGTAAGCAACGTATGAAAGTTATTATTTTTTACAGGAGGAGAGAGAATCGAAAAAATTAAAAAAGGTAGACAAATACATGCTTTGGGTTGAAAGCTATATTTCATCTTTCAGCCTGCGGCTCGGAACTATAATTGCAAAATAGGTTAGCAACACATAATAAACATCATAACATAAAGAAAAAATAAGACTAAAGCAACTAGTACGGAATGTTCATTGTATTTTTTCTGATGTTTTATCATTTGAGTATTTTTTTTTTTAACTATTAATATGCTCAATAGAGAAATCCTTACAAAACTCTTCACAGTCATCGGGCAAAGCCTCATCACTCCCCTCTGAGATGTAACACAAAGATACCTGTAGTGTATGAACATAAATTGAACCAATGAAAACTTAAATAAATAAAAAAAACTATAAGAATATTTTTTTTTTTTTAAATAGTAAAGAGGGATGGAAAAACAGGGATATTAAAATAAATAAAAGTTAGTTAGCCAAGACTGCAAACAAAGTACTTGTAAAAACTAGGACAATATCAAATGATTAAACATATTTTCAACATAATCACAGAGCGTTCTATATAGTTATGCAGTGCATTTTACGTAATAAAACCAGATGATCGAAAAAGGAATTATTTATAAATAACATCTAGTGGTCTTCACTTAAGATTAAAAATGCCTTCATTGAAATGAAAATATTAGTCTACTTATGATAAAATTTCCAAACAGCAGATGTCCATAAATATATATTATCAGAGCTTTTGAACAGAACATTCTTAGACTAAGAAGTTTTATTCAGGATGTCTTATATTCATTGAGATCCATAACTCATAATTCAAATTCACACTAATTATTTTATACATTACATGACCATAAAAAAAAAATATTTTTCTATATGTAATATACATTGCAATAAAAAACAAACAAAAGCTTTATATAATTGTTTCATCAGAGGTCTAATCCACAAATCTCATGAGGCACTAATCACTTTAATAAATTTTCAAGTTTACATCATTAATTAAAAAAAAATTATTTAGCTAAGAAATTTTGTTTCTTTCTTACTTATTTCTAAAAATTATATATACAAAGTGTATTTAAAATTGATTATTTTTATTTAGAGATGGGTAATTAGTCAACTGATCAATTATAAGGATGAAAAAAAAAAAAAATAACAAAGGTGTGTGCTTTAGACCATACGATAGAAGCTTGTATTGATGTCCATATTAAATATTGACTTATCAATATTAAAAAGTAGACAGAGGAGGTAGTACCGTACGGGAAGGACAAATATCAATAAATGCACAAACATTTAAGGAATATGGTTATCTTTGGTATTTGGTGTACTACAAATAGTTGTTCAATGAAATTATAATATTGAAATACATTTTAGTAGATAAAAAATTTTTTTTTTTGATAACTTGATAATGAGCTAATGAGCTCGAAACATTGTTGGAAGTAGAATAAAAAATTTGAAAGTATAAGGGCCTATATATTCATTGAAGACACCATATATAAGTGCCTAAAGAAATTTTCACTTCAAAAATTGTCAGGAATTTCAGTTTTTATTTTTATTGGGTTAGCCGATGTTTTGACCCTCATCTTTGGGTAAAAACGTTGCCTAACCAAATAAAAATATCAACTGAAATTACTGACAATTATTTTTATTTCATAGTTTAGTTCTTATTTTTATTATTAGAGTTATTCTAAAATATTTTCTTACACAGTATTATACTATGTAATTCTAAAAAAAAAAATCAAGTAGCTAACATATCTCTTTTTTTTTTTCAATACAAATGATTATTTAAAATTGCAATATTTGTTTATCTTAACAAAATCTTAAAAAATGTTTTATTATATAAAATGCATTGCAAATGGACCTCAGGCAGAGTGAAGTTGAAAAATAAATAATTTACATAAACTGTCTTCTCCTTTGTAACTATAAATATTTTTTTCTTATCAATGAAAGCCATTTGTAATCCCAACAAAAAAATAAAGTTAGTAGAAGTAAATAAAAAACAACAATGAAAAATCAGAAAAATTCTTACATCGTCTGCATCAGGAATAGCAAATGTGACATTTAAGGGCTTAACTACATTGTGTCTTGTTTTAAAGTTGTGTTCAAGAAGCAGAGGAGTGTAGAGAATGTTTTTCCATTGCCTTGTAAGAACAATTACTCCCTGAAAATATTTAAATTCAATTAAACAGTTCAATAATTTATTTAGTAGCCGACACAAAATGAGGCTGATGAGCATTTTGCCATTATCAAACTAAGCCCAAACACAGTAAATTAGTTCAGACATCAAACTGCCACTAATTGGAAATGTCAACTTTAACTAGTTCCCTGGTACCCTAATCTTTATCAATAGATTATATTTTGAAAAAATCAATACATATTATAATGTTTGAATTATATCATAAGAAAAACTATAATTTTTGGAAGATTTTAATTAAAAAGAGGTTCCCATTTGAAAAATTTACCAAATTTATATCAATATACATTAATTCTAATGAATTTTAATTTTCAACTTGTCTGTTGTTGGATAGACTAATAATATTACTTTGATTTATACTTTAGAGTTATTTACATTTTACTAAAGAATATTGTAGGCATTAAAATAATTGGTTAGAACAATCTTTATTGATTAGGAAGATCTATGAAACTACAGGTAAAGTATTCCAAACAGTAAGTGAATAGTGAGTTAGGTTGCGGAGAATGTGTTAGCAACGCTACTACTTCTCAGAGCCACCTAATTTCGTGTCAACAACTATAAATCTTATTATATATTATAAATATCAATGAAGTATTACTTGTCGCAGTGTAGATAAATGAGGAAGTTCCGGCTCTTTAAGATAATCTTCAATGTTAGAATCACTTTCCAATAGATAGCGTCTTAAAACACAACATAATTGGCAAGAAGGGTCTTCTTGTAATGTTTTACTTAAAGGAGTCAATCGTCCATAGCGACTCTATAATATTGAAATCATAAAAAATAGTCTGCAATTAATTTACAAATTCATAACAAATCAATAATTGGATAGTGGTATAAGTTTACAAATTATGAAAAATGAGGTCTGGCCTCACAAGCCTTAGACTTTATTTATTTTATAGTAGCCACTGGTATAATTATGAATCTCAAGTTTTTAAAAAAATGTATGGGAATGGAAGATTACATTTGTATGATGTACCTACACACATAACACTTTTGGGTACTCAGTACAAAACAAAAATTATTTGTACTGTCTTCACTAATATAGATCTCATGAGTATGTTCTTTTTTTTAAATTAATTTAATTAGTAGAAAATGTAGTTATCTTTAAAATGAGTGTTTGGAATGTTCCCGGAGATGTATAGTCTTGAAGTTATTTCAAAAAATAAAATGTTGTTTTAATGAGAACGTGTGCATAATACTTAAAATGATTTTAATTACCTTTCAAGTGATAACATAAAATTTGCCATTAAATGTTATGCTTTTGAGTTATGACCAAAATCTAATAGTTTTTCAACATAATTTTTTTTTGTGAGAAGGAGTTAGTCGAGGGTGCGGTCAAATAAATAATAAATTAAAATAATTAATATATTTTAATTTATTATTTAATAATTAATTTTTTTTGTGAGGAGTTAGTCAAGGCTGCGGTCAAATAAATAATAAATTAAAATATATTAATTATTTTAATTTATTATTTATTTGACCAAACCCTCGACTAACTCCTTCTCATATTATATCAACGGTCAACCATTTCTACATCATAGTTTTTTTTTCTGTTTTTTTCTTGAGATTTTTGTATGTATGAAAGATTATAATTAATTAATAGATTATTATGATTAACAATAAATAAATTAATTCGGTAAGGAAATACCTTTATCGGCATATGAATTCCTTGAACATCGAGAGCTTCAGCCATCAGACAAGTAACTATAGCGGTACTCCTCCTGTACTTACACCTCAGCATATGAACGACTCTTATTGCAAATCTATTATTAGGGTTCATCCATGCATTTATTGCCGGAGAAGCTGTACTGAGTAAATTCCAATCCAATCTGAAATATTATATCATTACATGTTGTTTTTCAAGTGATAAACAAGTCTACAAAAATTATTTTTAAACATTTTTTTTTCAATTGCCCTGATTTTTTATCTTCCTATTATTAATGTGTACTTTACTACAAACTTGCATGACTTTCCTCATTCACATATTATTTTATGAAAATTAGTTTTTTTATTCTTAATCGCTACCACTGTTATTGAAATACAATATCATGAACTGGGAAAAACAACAACATTTAAAGATGTATAACTTTTTTTAATCATGAAATGCTGTATATATATATATTGAGGTGGGTTCACACAATGCAATATCTGGAACTTTTTATCAGTCAATTTTATGTATAGAACATATTATCAGAAAGCAACCAAAACTGGCCAAGTAAATTTTACTATTTTAAAAAATATAATGTTGAAGTTCTGGTATTAAGGAGAACAAAATTTCCAAAGTATAGATCCAACAATTGAAAATAATATGTTTGCTTTAGGTTTAGTAAGTAATGGATCACTTACGATATTTTTCTGTTTAAATGGTTTCTTTAAGATCATTACTACGGTTCACTATTGATCTCATGAGTTCATGAGCTTTGAAAGAGAAGAAAATTAAGCAAGAATACGAAATGATTAGAAAATATATATTTAAAACAGGCCTCTACTAATAAGAAATACTCTTTTCTTATCTTTTATTGTTTCTCTATTAATATATTTTTTTATTCAAATTTCCTAGCTGGTAATACGGGTTTCAACAGTGGTACTATGCATACTTATATTAAGTTCAAGAGATAAATCCAATAATGCTATGATTGAAAATATAAAATTAAGGAGAAAAACAAATAAAATTCAGCATTTTGAGAACTAAACTACTAATAAATACCCACAGTCAACTAGATCCAGTGTTGAATGAATTGTTGACTTTTTCCACATTAAGGAGTAAAATAAATATACAAATTACAGCTTGATAAAAAAAATCCCTAAGAAAAAATACAGCTGTCAATAAATGTTAGAATTACTAACCTTGTGTAATCTATTTTTCTAGTAATAGGAATCCTGGGAGGTGCAGCAAAATTAAACCATACTTGTTTCACATCGATCACACAAGATGATGCATTTCCATCTTTACCTTGGATAGACAACGTATTATTTGCCCTGAAATGAGAAATATAAGTAATATATTTTTTAAAGAGAAAAGGTTAACTTAAAATTAAAACTGAAGTTAAAAAAAAATTCAAAATATTACGTGGGCTCAGAATGGCACTCCTGATGACTGTTTGAATCTGTTTGCTGGCTTTGGCTAGTATTAACGGCTTTTACACTTGTAGGTGTCATGTTTGAGTTGTCTACTTGAGCAGAACCTAGTTTAAAAAAACAATTAACAAGCAATTAATTAAAAATGAAATGCAAAACTAAAAATATCTTGATTTAAATTACGAACTTTAAAATTAATTTAAAGTTTTGCACCTTAACATCCATATGAAAGAAATGAGGATAAAGATATTGTTACAAGATTAGATTTATGGAATTGATTAAAATACAAACTGTTACATATAATTTTTTCTTTCCTTATAATCATGTAGAATTTCATTAGTTCAATGATATGAACATGTATTTTAATATAGACCTTTATGTTTTCAATAAATAAAGTTACATAATCCAGATAAAAAAATAGGTATAAATAATGTTCCTAAATAGTCAAAATTGTAGTCAATCTTGAGTAATTCTGCTCAATCTAAATCATTGTCGTATTTGTCATACTTACTGAATAAAATTAAATTTGATCAATTTAAAAATGATATTGTACTTCCTTTACCATGACACAAATTATATGACCTTTGAACATAAGATCTAACACAATAATTAGTCACTATACTACCGGAAGTGTCATTATTTAAAAATATTATGTTAAAATATCTTAAAATAAAAAAAAGTCAGGTATTATCTAAAAAGATCTGCAGCTTATAAAATATGTAAATAAAAAGTTTAATCTGAGAAGGAGTTGGTCCGGGGTGCGGTCAAATAAATACTATAAACTAGAATAGTATTTTATTAATTAAGCCGACATTTCGACCCACTTTGTAGGTCTTCATCAGGGTCTACAAAAGATATAAAATATAAAGGTACAAAGTGAAAATAAAATAAATGTTTTTTTTTTTCTTTTTTTCTGGGAAGTTGTATGATATTCTTTGTTATTTGGCAATGATTACTTCCAATTAACAACAATTGAATATATTTGTTGTATTATCAAAATTGCATGTTTGAAAGTTTACATTTCGGGATATTTACTCCCTTCTTCAGAACCACTTCAATGACTAATTATGGGCAGACACCCAATAATTAGTCTAAAAGCAAGATGTTGCTCTAGATGTTATATACCTAGATTTATTATAACATGAATTAGAAACTGACGATGGAGCATATTACTTTTAAGCCATGTATCCACAAGATCATTGGGATTGTGGTTCTGAAGATGGGAGTAAATATCCCGAAACGTAAACTTGTAAACATGCAATTTTGATAATACAACAAATATATTCAATTGTTGTTAATTGGAAGTAATCATTGCCAAATAACAAAGAATAAAATAAATGAATTATTGGTAGATATTAAATAAGAAACAGTTGTCTGATAAAGAAATAATAAGATGACATCAGTGGTATAGTGTAGTTATAATATCAAGTTAAAATTTTATATATATAGAAGATACAAACAAAAATTGAAAACAAGTGTGAATAAAAATAGAAAACATAGGCAAATATAGCGTGTAAGTTAAAAGTAAAAGTTTAAGTGTAAGTAAAAAATAAGTTTGATCGATGACTTAATATTTATTTATAGAAAATTTTATTATAATTTTAAACTGAAAAATCACCCTGATGAAAAATATTTTTTAAAATATGACATTGTTGAAAGTAATGATTGATCTATAGTATGAGTATTAATATGAACATAATAAACAAATTGATATTACAAAAAGAAGGATTGCACACCTTATCTTGGTCTCATATCCATCATATTCACATTCAGCACTATCTCAATCAATTAAATATATTTAATATCATTTCGAAGTTCGAACTAATTTAGAAAATGATAAAGAACTCACTTGGATGTTGAGGATGTTCTACAATAACAGATTCCAATTCATCCTTTGAACGAACTGAATCTGTATAATTCGTCTCATTTTCACAAGGCTGGGCAGAAGACCCTTTACCATCGTCAGTTTCTTCCACATCAAATTTCGATCTATTAACAACCTTTAGAACAAATATGATTAAAATAAAATACAAATACAAATATAAATAGTTGTAAAATGACTGTATTTACAACACTCTATAAACACCAAATGAGAATAACAATAATTTGTTTCTATTCTTCAAAAATAAATGATACATTATTATATGGATAATAAATTCAATAGAAAATTTTTGGTGAGATCAATATAAGAACCTTACCAAAACAGAGAGGAAAATATAGTAATACTTTTAAAGAATTTTATTCACTCAAATACAGGGACAGTAAAGAGGAACATGGTGCAAAAAATCTTTATTCAAAAGCATCAAATCATTTGCATTACAGAAGTCAAATTGATAGCACCCGTAGATAATAAAAGGCAAAGGCAACATTTTTTATAATCAAGTTAAGTTAGTAGATTTATATTAACGGTAAAATATAAGTATATAATACCTTAAATGATACTCCTTCTAGACCAGATTCAAACATAATGAAGCCTAATTTTTCCTCAGACAAAGAAGTAAGGTTTAATTCTTCATTAGGGAATCTGACCTGGAAAACACACTCAAATAAATATTGGATTGTTGATAAAGATTGACCAGTTCAAATAAAAATTATATAAATAATAGTAACCATTCAGCTTTGCTGAGATTTGTAAACACCGAAACTTATATATTTTAACGTTTAAAACTAATAACTATTATTTCCAATTTATTGAATACTTACAGAAGATTCATCAGTAGCTTTAGTAATTAACTTTGTCGTGAATATAACTTTAGAACAATGGCTGGGTATAGCAGTGATTTCTGCATCCTTCAATAATGAACATTCATTGTGCAACCTTCTAAGCTGGGCATGAATTTTACCTTTGATGAGATATAAATAATTAAAATATTGCTGAGAATTAAAAAATATATGTACTCATAATAAAATCAGATAAAATTTTTCTTACTAATGTTAAGTGTAATGACTGTTTCCTCTTGCTGTTTTTGTGATGTTTCAATAAAAACAGGTTCCCCAGTTAAATCATGTTTGGCAGTACTAGTTCTAAGGCCCAAGAATAACGCTTTTCCTGTTTTACCAAACCCACTTTTCTTAGCACCACTAGGCAACACTGCCGGTCGCTCGAAAGTTTCAACTATTTCTCTTGTCTATAGAAAAAGATAATTAGAAAATAATGTCGAAACTAATAAAACAATGAACAAATTAAAAAAAAAATATCTTACTTGCTTTCCACAATGGAAACTAGCTGTTAAATTTTCAAAAGACACGGCTAATAATGAAACACAAGTCAAATCTCGAACGTTGTCGAGAGCTGAAAATGATATAACCTCTTCTACCACAGAAGCTTGCAAAAGTGCAATATTGACCTAAAATAGGCAGTATAAGTGAGCATAAAAAATATCATATAAATACATTTAAAAAAAAATTATAGTTGCCATATAAAACGTTAATTATAGATCTGAACAGTTCAATACTTCATCAGAATGGCACATCAACTTCAATTTTCCCACCAGGTCCATTATATCTGTATTTTGGAACAAATAGGGCTGATATCTAAAACTTTTAAATTAAAATAAACTACACAAAAAAATCAGGGTAGGATATACATTTTTTTAAAGGACTGATGTTATCCAGTTATTAGCTATTAAGACTAGCTGATTGTTGGAGGATAGTTGACCTCCTAACAATCAATGTAAACCCTACTCTGATTCCTTCTATTTCATGCAGCTCATCCGAATTTCAACATTGCGTACATTGGCCCTTTTTCTTTTAACTTTCAGATTAGCATAAAATTTCATGATCAATTTAATAGTATAAAGGTGACCAATACAGACTGAGAACTTACTTTAGGCAATATAACGGTGGCTTGCACTTGCGTTGCAATACATTGTTCTATCACGCAATGCGGCTGACCCTTCAGCTTACCACCTCTCTCTGCGGTACTCCTTTTGCTGCCGCCTCCCTGAAACTGACTTAGGTACTGATCCCTTTTAAGTACGTTACTGGCTTCAACTCGGCTCATACAGCTCAAGTCTAATTTGTTTATGGCAGTTAACGGATGTAGAGTTGATAATGTAGGTGTCAATGCATCTACAAACCTAAAAATCAAAGATTATACAAGTTCTGTTACTATCATAATTAGACAGAAAACTATATTTTCTTCTTTAGAAAAATGGAAATGTATTGGCTGGAGGCAGAGTTTTTACAACAACTTTAGTCAAAATTATTGAATTGATAACCATATTGGCCATGAAACAGTATTTACAAACTACTGAACCCAAGACCCTTCTTGGTTTGTTGAGGTACAGGTTTTTTTTTTTGGTTTTTTTAATCGAACTAACATCTATCAAAGAAACCCATCAATCCCCTACATTTGTTTTATATATATATATATATATATATATATATATATATATATATATATATATATATATATATATATATATATATATGAAGGGAATGTATACAATTAAAAATTAACTGCATATTAATAAATCAGATTGTCAATTCTGAAATAAGTCAGCTAACTTTTGTAAAATCTAGTATGGGAATAAATGAAAATCACAGAAAGAAGTAACTAATTGAAAAATATAGAGGATTATCAAGTAGTTAATAAATAAATATTTTCCGATAATTAAACATATTTTTTATAGAAATAATATATTAATCATACCTTTGTAATGATTCAAGAGTCAATGGACTGACCATTACATCAACATCACCTTTCATTTTGATAACAACAGTAGTTCTGGTTCCTGTTTCATTTCTAAATGACAATAATTCATCACGAGTACCTGCAAATAACAAAACAGTTGTTTGGAAACTCACATTATTATGTTTTTACATACATAAAATTGCAATCATAAAATATATTAAATACTCATAAGTTTATTAAGTACTAACAAATAAATAAGCGACAAAAGATTGGTAAAACTATTTAAAGGGCCAAAAAACGCTTTTAAATAATTTGAGAAGCATAAAATGTCTAATATCTGAATATAAAAATAAGTGAACATGACTATATTATTGGAGTAAATCTATATTTGTTTTGTTTAATATAAATGATTATCTTTGGCAATATATTTTTAAGTAATCATTAATAATATATTTTTACTTTCCAAATACACAATGGATAAAACATTTTGGCTCTTCTCTCTCAAGATGTTTAGTAATTTTCTTCAAGAAATAATAATACGAATAAAGTCTACAATTTGAATTAAGTTTTCAAAACTTGTGTTCTAGCTAAGCCTATTTCAGTAAGTAATTTTGGAGTGGTGCACAGATCTTCCAACTCAAATAAAATTTAGACCTCTTTTAGATAATGTTCATTGGTCAAGTCAGCAAGTAACTGAGTGATTAGGTAGTCATAGTTTGGTTCATTAACATGCCTATTCAGGATTTTCAATAAAGAATTTAATTTTAATTTTTTTTTCTGTTGGCATTACAGACCATGCAGAATTTTTTGCAGCTTTAACAAGCCTGCTCCATCTCTGCCTGCCTTGGATTATTTCTTTCCATTTATCTGCATGCAGATCTATTGCATCAGGGTTGATTCTATCTATCCATCTGCTTTTTGGCCTTCCATGTGGTCTTTTGCCTTCTATTGAGACATTAATTATTATGTAGCGGCTTCCAGGTGGATTGGTACGAGCTACATGCCACACAAATCTTAACCTCTATGCCTTCATATCTTGGGATATTGATTGACCACTTTCTGTAGACAGTTCTTTAATGGTAATTTTTCTCCATGAGTTGGTACTGATGTCAGATCGCTTTGGTTATCGTGTGGAGGATTTTTCTCTCAAATCTTTCAACACTTTTTTCCAGAGTGCTGGTTAGTGTACAGGTTTCACAGCGATATATTAGATCTGGCTTTATCATAGCATTGTACACCCTTAATTTGAGATTTTTCAGGATTTCAATACCTTTGAAAGGGAGAAGAAAGCTCTGTTTGCGCTAGTTATATGCTGGTCTATTTCTGCCCATTGGTCATTCATTGAGGTTATTGTGGAGCCGAGGTATTTGAATTTTTCTACTCTCGGGAATGATTTTCCTTCAACACAGATCTTGTTATTGGGGTAGAATTTTCTGGTTATTATCATATATTTTGTTTTGTCTTCATTTACTTATAGGCCAATCTACTCTGCCTTTCTTATCAAAGTCTTAGCATGTTTTTCAATGCCTATTTAATTTTAATATGTATATAAAATAAAATCTGGATTGAACTGAGGCTATCTATTATATATATATATATATATATATATATATATATATATATATATATATATGGAATAAAAAGAGAGAAATGAATATATAAATTATTAACTATAATAAAACAATACCTAATTCATTTTCTGATTCAGCCATGCTGGTTTCAGGAGGCAAAATATCCCAGGTGTATGGATGGGTAGGTGTTTTCCCTAACGATGGAGGAGGTGAGAAAGCATCCCTGTTACGGGTAATCATTTTTAGAGACGTGAAACCTTCAGTCAGCATTTCAAATTTTGGTGTAAACCTACTACCTGTAATTTAAACATATATATAAATAAAGAAAGAAAATTTTGGAAACAACAAATTAATTAAATAAAAATTAAAAAATGAAATTATTACTAAAGTGTTCAATAAGATGTTTAAGCCAGCTCTACAATTTATGTTTTGCTCTATTGGACGTCTCTGAACTAAATTATAAAACGAAAATTTATATTTAAATTATATTTATAATATTGAGTTATTAGGTTTATGTAATTGATAGAAGTTATGTTTATAATTGTTATTAAAACAATTACATGGGACACGTCTATTTCCTGTTATCATGATGAGCTGAAGAAATGGCTTTATCCTTCCTAGCAATGTAAGTATTTCCTAGCATCCTTCCTCTTCCAAGTCATCCAATCCTGGCGTCCTTTATACATCTCTGAGCTCCTTCAATTCCAATCCTCCGTCCACTACCACAATACCCGTTCCTGGTCTTCAGATTTGTATACAAGATCCCACTGAACCGTTGCTTTCGACAGATCTTTTATTATTTGATCCACATCCCTATGAAATTCTATCCCATCCTACATTTGTTGCTCCAATACCCTCCCCACCTTTAAATCCCGCCTGTTCAATTACCTCTCATAAAATTGTAAATATATGTTGTAAATATGTATATAAATAATTAGTTTGTTTTAAATATATTTTTTTTAAATGAAGATTGAAGGTATATAATATTCTTTTCTTTTATTTATTCATTATATAAATCAGTTTATTTTGTAATTATTCTCTGAGGCTCGAAAACCCACATTTTGAACTTTGTACATTATTATAAAGGGACTTGTCCCAGAATAAATAAAACGTTATTATTATTATTAAAAATAATTTATGTTATTTCAATTAATATAAGTCAAATTTTCATTATTTTAATTTTTAACTATGTGAAAATATTTATGGTTCATTAACTATCTAAATTTTAGGGTGTTATACTCCACCTGATAGCACAAATGTGAACTACTGGTGGTACACATCAGCATGAACATGTTAATATTAATTTATTTTCTTGATCAAAAATAATTTTCGCATTATTTCAAATTCCAACAGTTGTCAAAAGAGCAGGTTTAGTCATGTGCTAATAGATTTGAGTATATTTTTCAGTTCTGAAAAAAAAGTTACTAATTTAACTTTCAGGTAAATAAACTCATAAACTTGCCTCTAAGCAGCCTGCCAAGTCAGTTTTATCTAATGGGCCAACTGGTGTTTTAAGCTACCTTCTCGAATGTAATTTTTACAATGTAATTTTTGTATAGCCCACAACTATACTAACCATACTTAATGAATTCAAAAGTTCCTTTCACCTACACCATCTGTGCAAATATGAAACCCAAATTTATCTGTAGAAGGCTTTAGTTGTTAATGGAGTTACCATTAAACCGTATTATTGGCACCATATTATTTCTTAACAAACATAAGAGAATTGCTTTCAAACATTTGAGATTTGAGTTGCTGCGGTCAAATGTATAAAATCAAATTATATGTGTAAAATTTGTTAAAAATGTAGAAAATCAATAAAAATTACTTTAGCAACTAACAATAAAGAGGAACTATTTATTTATTATATCTTAAATGAGTGAAATTTTTTATGAACTTGGACAAAAAATTAATAGGATTTCAGTAATGGATTCTAAAATCAAAATTGTAATGTGATCACTTTTTTAATTTAGAAACACAGCATACGTTTATGAAAAATGACTGTGTAAAAAGTTGCAAATGTTCATGTATACAATATCTATTAGTACATGTACTTACCAACATAAACTAGTCGACCGTCTTCTGTTTTATGGAACAAAGGAGCTGTAAACGTATCAGCACCAGTTGGAAATGAACATAGAGCCCAGTTGAAACAACTCACCTATTAAATACAAATAAAGAAGAATTAACGTATATCATTAAATAATACTAAAAACAACTCATTTATATTTGAAGAAAATTTATTTAATAATTAAACATATAAAATGCTTTTGAATAATAATAAAATGTATGATAATAGAGACCATATATGTAAACAAAAAATGTTTAGCTTAATACTTTATTAATATTTGAGATTACTGAGTAACATAAGACAAATTGTGAATACTGGTATATTGTGAAAAATATTGAGTAGAAGAGTTAAAATTAAATTTAATAAATTAAAAGAATATTTAAATATTAATAATGATTATCTTTTCGTACCTGGGATAGATGACTGACATAACTTGACATTAGAAGAGGAGATTCCACAATCGGCCGATTTACTTGCATATGGAGATTGACCATCGTTAAATCTTCTTGCGATGAAACAGCAGAAATAAATGATGTACTAGATATGGAATGCGAGTCAGAAGAATCTAACAGAGCACCACTCAAGGGATCCTGCATAAAAAATAATATATACTTAGAATTTATTTAAAATCATCTATTAAGTAAAAAGAAAACAAAATTTAGTAAAAAAAAATTATTGAAATATAAAAAAATCTTAAAATTCACCTGCTGTTCAGAATTAGTGGACTTAGGACTAACAGCCCCATGTCTGAACTGGGGTGTAACAAGATTATTATTATCTTGTTCGACATTTGTCTGTAACTGAGAAATAAAAATAAAATAAAAAATCAACCATAATAGGTAAATAAAATTAAAAATAATCAAAAATAAATTTTATCTAACCTGATCGGCACGGTGTTGTGGAGTATGAATTTCATGATCACTACGGTGAGAACATAGCCTAGAAACTTGTGAAGTCCCAGGAGCTGCAATACCTCCAATAATACTCATGTCACTTCCATATCTCTTCCTAAAAAAAAATTAATTGTTCATATATATATATTTTATTTTTCCAGAAAATAAATAATATGGAATTTTGTCTTATTTTCGTTTTGAATCATTGAATAAAAAGTTTTTTTCTTAACTTACTTTCCATCTGCTCTAGTAATTGAATGCCTGAGGGAACCGGGGCGACTATTGATAGCAGCCATGCCTCCTTGGCTCAATTCTTCTTCCGCTGAAAAGAAACCTTCTGACTGATTTTCACTACACATGGAAATAGTCCTTTGGACCAGCTGCTCCTGAAGAGAATGGTCGGATTCTGAAGGGTCCACTTCACACTATTAAAAATAAAATTAATGAATATTGAAATTTATAAAAAGATAAGAAGTAATTACTAAAATAACGTCAAAGTAAAAAATTTAGTAAAATTTTAATTTATTAATTAATAAATAACTTAATTAATAATTGATTTTTCGACTTTTTATTTAATATATTTTTCTTTTGTAATGTTCAATGGCATATTAGCCTTTCTGCCATAGTGGGTTTTAGAACAGGTCATATTGTTAAGAAACACCGAATAAGGTATCATTAGACATGATAGGTTATAGTAAAAGAACAAAATAAATATATAATTTTCTTTTGTTTATTATAATAACCAACCATTGGAGAAGATGGATAGGTTGGAAGTCAGAAATAAAGCATTCCCATAAAAAGAATTTGATTTTTTCCAAACTGAAGAAAAAGTATAATTTCAATTGGAAATTTAAGAAAAAAAAATTCATTAGAAAAAATCTTATTACAATAAATTGTTATTATATATTTACCTGATGGGCAATGGCACTGTTGACAAGTGCGTTATATTGTTGCACAGTTGAGTTGAAATAATCAACGGCCAGTTTTGAATCAGAAATGCTCGATTTAGGCTGGCTTTCCGTGGACTCTTGAGGAACACTTAGGATACTTCTAGTCTTTTCAGCAGAGCCAGCGCTTAGCCTCATGGATACGTTATCAGTTTCTAGTTTCGGTGGGAAAAGGCTGGTAGGGCTTGCATCGAGCAGGCGAGAATAAGGCACATCACGGGCAGGTCCATTAGAACTTCTACTAATTAAAACACAATTCCAGAAAGTTTAAACATTCATCAAAACAAACTTCAACAAATCAAATCACACCAAGTTTAAGATTTTTAAAAATTATTTTCAAAATTTAAATATAATTAAAACCATATTAATGACAGAATTATAAAAAATCAACTGAGAATAAGAACTAATGATTTTCATAAATCTAAAGAGTAAATTTATTAGTATGATTTTTTTTATATTAAAGCCAGTTAAAAATTAAAAAAATATTTGTGTGAAAAAATTAATAAAGTATGGATATGAAGTTACCTTTAAAAGATCAAAAAGTGATAATAATATACCATTTTATACTTCAACAAGTTAAAATTTTAAAAATTGCTTTACACTATTACATATAAAAGACATTTGGTATGACTTATGATCTATTTTACCAGCATGGAATCATTTAAAATTATATAGAAAAAAAAATTACAAAAACAGTTAATAGGAACAATAACATTTTCATAAAACAAAGTACAAAAAATAGAAAAAAATAAATGAAAAAGTTACTTGTAAGCCATTTACTGTCTATCTTCATACATTCAATAATGATTTCCCTTATTTTATCAGATAACATAAACTCCTCCCTTACAAATGGAGTACATATATTATGGGATTCAAAATAAAATCATGCATTAAAGTAAGTTAAAAAAAAAGTTATTTTTAGTTTAATATTCCTATCATGCATAGAATTCAAGCTCATACTCTAATATTCATTTATATATTCCTATTTCGATTAAAATTTTTCGAGGAATGAATTGCCTGCTGACCAGACTGGATTTAAAAAAATTAATACTTAAAGATAATAATGTACATTATTAAAACTTCTTGAAGGACTGACTTGGAACACAAGTACAATGTCATAATCACAATTATTAAGGATTGCTTGACTGATATTTGATATATTTCAATGTGTCAATAGTAATTTCAATAATATTTTCAGTGAAGATGGATAAGGGTCATTTAGTTTTTTTACTAAAAATATATACTACTGTTATCTACATGATCATTATTGACAAGTACACAGAGTCTATTAAAATCTTTTTATCACATAGAGCTAAAATGAATAGCAAATACTTTTTTTAACCATTGCTACGGATTTTCTTCTAGAACTTCAGGCAGTTAATAAATGTCTTTTACTTGCTCAAGATATAAAAAAATTCTCTCAAAAAATCTTGACATAAAAATTTTATAGACATAGGAGCATATTTTTGTAGATAGTATATTTAAAGATGTAAAAGATTCAGGATTTAATTTTAGAGGAAGAATAATGCTTTTAGGGATACAATTTTTATATTTTTTACAATAGGGGCCGCGGTGGTTGAGCGAGTTGAAGCGCCTGCAAAAATTTGATATCAAGTGTTCAAATCCTGTTCGCGGGATTAATAACAAAAAAAAAAAATTCATAATAAATTAAAATTAATAAGGCAGGCCCTATTCGACTACTGAGATTACTATGGTTCGATTCCTATATGGGGACGGTAACATCCCCATCCTGAGATTCATAGGGAGATAAGTGATCCCTGTGTCTTATACCATAGCTCATCCAAGTTTAGGGTTGGGTATGAAATGAATGAATGAAAAAATAATTTTATTCTGGGACTACAGTCCCCAGAGAACAATAACAGAGTTACAAATTTATGGGTCTTAGTCTGGCTTAGAATGATACAAAATACAAACTAATTAACTGATGATTTTTATTGCAATTGTGCAGTTGATTGAATTAAACAGTATACAGGCGCAAGTAATTTTACATGTTTGCGGAAGTTTGAATGTGCAGTAGGTAGTGGAACAGTTGTTTGAAGGAATTTATGGAAGAGGATTGACTTATGGAGGTAGGAAGAGAGTTCCAAAAGCAGGTAGCACGAATGACAAAGGATTTGCTGAAGGAAGTAGTTTTATGGGACAGGATATATAAATTTATAGGTCGAGACCTGGGATTAAAAGAGTGGATAGAGTAAGGAGTTCCACGAAGGGAGGGTTTTTGGCTTTGAGGACTTGGAAAAGGAAAACATATAGGGCTGATAATCCCCTATGCCATAAAAAAACTAGTAGGAAGATTGCCAACCATCCTTCAGGAAAGTTCCTGATGAAGAGGGAGTGAAATTTGATCGCGTCCAGTTAGTAAACCACGTGCTCCCTAGATATCTCAAAGAAGAGAGAACCAAAGGATCACTACTGTCGCCCCAAGTTGCTGAAGAAGACTCAAGACATAAAAGTGAAAGTCAATAGCCATAAAGGAAAAAAAAAATACAATTTTTGCTGTAGCTCTGTCACTCATAAAAACAAATATGGATCAATGAAAACATTTTAAAGGTCTTCAGCCTGACAGTCCCTATGAATCCACTAGTGGATTTTTGACAATTAAAAATTATTCTGGAAGGCAATAGATGACATTTATTTCAGCATATTTGTTTTAGTACCAATTCATAACATGATTATATATTTAATTTTTAAATAAAGTATTATAAATAAATATCTATCGTAAACCACTATTGAGGAATTCTCATCATCTAAAATTAATACAAAACTGAACAGTAAACAAATTCCAGTGACACGAAATGAAATACAACAAAGAACATAGCAACACATTGAAATATATCAAAAATTAGGCAAGTAACCCAAACATATTGCTGATGAAGCATTTAATGAGTTGTAGGCCAGATGCAAATATTATGGAGCATTAGCTAATAATCGAAACCAATTAACTATAACTAATAATACTCTGCCTGAAAGCCTATACTATAAATTTACCTATTAGGAGTTGTTGAGGTATAAGAGAACCTCCTAGGCTGACTAGATTTGATACTTGCTACAGGGCTTGGAGTTTCTACTTTCCTCCTTTCCCTATGATGATCAGTAACTGACCTGGATCTTTCCACTCTCGTTTCGTTATGAGGGCCCTCGACAACTTCCTGAGTTATATGATTCATCTAAAATATCATAAGGAAACTATGAGAATAGTCAATAATATTAAATTACCATTTACTAATTATTAAAACATTACCAAGTTAATTATAAAAAAAAAAAAAAAAACCTTAAGTCCAGTAGGGCGAAGAACCGGATCTGCAGTCGTAACAACAGATTCATGTATATTAACATCATGTGAATTGTATGGTGGGGTATGAAAAATTAGGTGGGATTCGTGTAGAATGCTTTGCCCAAATCCTGGATCTTTACCAGGTTCATTAACCCTGAAACAAACCAAAAATAGTAGGATTAAATAAATTTAAGTTCTAAAAAAAAAGAAGATATTTATTTTTGTTCTTAAAATAAAAATTTAAATTTTTAATCAACTCTGATAACAAAAAAATTACAAACTATACTAATCTTCAGTCAGGCGCAATATCAATTCAAAATGTCTAGATGCAACTTATCTTTGATATTAAAAATAAAATTTCTGTATTTAATTGGAGAGAAAAATGTTTTATGACAACGTTTTAGTAAAACCATATACCAAGCATAAGTTAAATTTAAAAAAAACCAAAGTGTGAATGCTGAACATACTTTACCACACAATAGAAGTGAAAACATAAACAAGGTGAGATATATAATATGAAATATAAATTATAAATAATAGCTCATTATAAAGAGGATGAAATGCTGAACATATCCCTCACTTACAGTATGCAGGTCCAATTATTAGTTTCTGAGATATTTTAATCGGTACCTTCAATAAAAATGGTTATCATTTGGTTTTCGACACTATTTTTTGCTTTTCTCCTCCCTTACACGACATCACAATAAGATAAAATTTTGAATAATAGCCCATTACAAAGAGGATGAAATGCTGAACAATTCCCTCGCTTACAGTATCCAGGTCTGATTTTTAGTTTCTGAGATATTTTAATCCATATTTTCAATAAAACTTGTTATTATTTGGTTTTCAATACTATTTTTTCCTCTCTAATACGGTGTCATGTTCAGATAAAATTTTGAATAATAGCCCATTACACAGAGGATGAAATGCTGAACAATTCCCTCACTTACAGTATCCAGGTCTTTTATTTTAATCCATATCTTCAATAGAACTCATCATCATTTGATTTTGGACACTATTTTTTTCCTCTTAGCCTCTCAAACACGGCGTCGGGATCAGATACAATTATTATGCAGATCCGATTTCCAGTTTTTGAGATATTTTAATTTTTATGAAAAAATACTTCAATTAGTTGACTTCAGCCGACTTTACCTAAGCTTTACACATTGGAGATCTGACGACTCAATCTAATTCACTCTCCACAAAAAAAGAGCAAAACACGTCTTTTTTCTGACAGACACCCAGAATATCTCCTAGTCAATAAATAACTTTAAAAATTAAGTTAGGCAGACACTATACACCCTAACCATTTTCAACAAACCCTACCTGAAGGGGGAAAAAAAGTAGAGAGAAAGTTGTCTTGTATAAAACTTATCATCTAACTGCGAAAGGTTGGCCTAATTTCCAACCAAAGAAACAATAATATGATTATAATATATTTTTTTCTGATATAATAAAACAAGTTTTTGTAAATGAAACATACCTGAATGCAGCAATATTAATACCATCAACAGCGTCTTGTCGGCTAGGCCTAAAAAATCTGGGACCATTTGCATTACTACCAAAGAAACTGCAACCACCAATACAACCGCACTTTCCTGATTTTTCACCAGGCCAAAGCAACCATAATCTCCTTGAGCGTTCGTCATGAGTTTTTAAGAATCTAGAATATATTTGGAAGAAAATAACATATATATGTTTATAAAGTAATTTATAACACAATAACAACATTAATTGATTGGGTAATGACCTATGTTGGACGAGATGAAGATTATGATCTGTATTTGAGAGTGAGACAGCTGCTTCAATAATTAAAGGTCCTAAAGAAATAGAACCAACTTCAAGCCATATGTCAGGTTCATTACTTGATCTAAAAATGAAAAAAGCCTTTAAAACTTGACAATTGGATATATTATTCCATAAATGTCATTAAAATATATTTACTTGTGTTGTGAGCGCCCACTGCCTGTTGTGTTTGTGGCCGACAAATGGTTAGTAACTATTACCTGCCTAACTTTAACAGAAGGAATCACACCAGTCATACCGGATTTAACTTGATTACCATGAAGGTTACAAGTCGAAAACCGTATAGGAGCAGCCTATGAAAACATACATATATTTGTGAAAGAAGTAAAAAGGAAAAAATAAAAGAAGACAAATTTTCATGATCTAATTTATTAATAAATATCCCTTCAAATTTAGGTTTAAAATATTTTTGTATCATTACTAAAACAATAATTTGCTTGTTATTTTAACTATTGTAGCTGTCTGCAACGAGAATATCTTAATGTTCAATTCAAATCAAGAAAAAGTACAAAATAAAATAAATTTCTGTAAATAATGTATTATTATCAAACTTACGACTAAGTTAATGGCAGTTCCTGATTCAACAAGGAACAAATCCACAGAGTCAATAGCCACCCTGACAAGGCGGTATTTGATTTGATCAGGAGGAGGGCACCTGTATACTCCAGAAGGGTCACTCTCGGGACAATCAACTGGTACAAGCCCATGATGGCACGGCGGTGGGGCACGAGGAGGTAACAATCTGTTTTCGCTGTCTAGTGTAAGCAGCAACAAGCACTCGAGGCTGCTCATCACATTATATAGCTACAGAAAAAAAAATATATAAATATAAATATATACATATATCCAATTTTGAATATAGCTTACTTTATTTAATAGCTTAAATTTGTAGAAAAGAGAAAACAAAGATTCAAAGTATAAATTGTTCTAACCTGAGCGGTTGTCATTTTGCCACTTAGTTTTCCAAGCTGTAGTTCAAGTAACCAAGCATATTCAATTGTTTCCTGATCGTAACTTCTTCCTTCATCACTAAACATGGCTTGACCGCGCAACTGAACAAAAAATTAAAAGCATTATTTATTCATTATCAGGTTATGATGATCAAACTCTAATTCAATCTGAATTCCTTAAATTAATGAGAGGTAAAACAATAGCTACATTTATCTCATAAAGGGACTGAGAGATTTTTTAAATTAATGTAAAAATTGAAATCTGCCTTTGAGAGCATTATAAACAAGTACAATAGCAAGAATAATTTCTAAACATTAACTCTGAGATATGATTAATGTTTTAGAAAAAATAGTATGATGAATGACACGTATACATAATCAGTGACAGATTTAAGAGAGGGGAAATTTCAACTCCCAAAATCACCCTTAAAAAAAAAAAAAAGCAATACAGCTGTTTAAAATAAAGCGACAAATATCAGTACTTTTGTTTTTACAGCATAGAAAGTGGAGGTGTCCCCTGTACCATAGATAATCAACAGCTTAGGGGGAAATCGATCGTTACATATGCTTCACTGAAATTAATTGATTACCTTATCTCAGCCTGCAACAATTGACTTTAAATAGTTACAGATATGAAATAATTAATTTTTTCAAAAGAAAAAAAAAATTCCTCAAAATTCTGTGGTCAGTTTGACAGCTATACCACCTACTCCCTCACTTTAAAAAAAAACTATTAACATTTTGGTTTTCATATATGATTCTCATTTAAAATCAAATATGCTAAACTGAACAATAAGAAGCTTGGTTCATAATATTGCTTATCACATAAAAGTTAAATAAAAATAATTTGTTTATTTCACTTTTATAAGATCTTTCAACGACTTACCGGCTACTTAAGCCATAAAAATACATTAGAATAAATAAATAAGCACGCAAAACAAAAGAAAATTTAAAACATTAAAGAAAAAAGTACCTGAAATCCTGAAAGCATGAGATGACCTTGATTCAGATGTTTATCTTTTGAAGGTCGGTTAGCTAACTTATCACTGCTTAACAGAATAGCGGGTGAAAGAAGAAGCTGCAGCATTGTTTCTTTATATCCTTTCTTCATTTCAAATCCAAACCTTTCGAGCAGAATAATTGGGCAGGCTGGATCCTTTTCTGTACATTCCTAAAATTAAGAAGCTATTTATTTTGTTTTCTGAAATAACTAATAGAAACAAATACTTAGTTCTAAATGATTAATAATGCTCTTATAATTATGGACTGACAAAGGAGGTGGAGTTTTAAGTAAGTACAAACCTTCATCAAATGAGCTTGGATATCGTGCATTGTAATGGAAACTGAAACTTCAAGAGGACGATAAATCCTGGGATCAAATTCTTCTTTAATGGAATCATCTGTGACAGAATTTGGTGTTTCTGGGACGGGATTAGAACTTTTAGGAGTAATTTGAAACTGAGGAGCTTCATTCATGTCGGTGAAATTCTGATCATCACCAAAAATATTTTCCTAAAGAAAAACAAAACCTTTTGTTAAAATACAAAGATAAGTATAAATAAACAAAATCATTATAATAAATATTTCAAATAAATTTAAAAGATTGGTTTAAAAGAAGTATGTAAGTAAAATTAAAAAGTGGTAAGTGAGTTTTGGGAATTTTATTAATGTTATAATTAATTTTAAGAAAATACTGTTCCAATATAAGAAAATCAAATTGTGAGAGAGTTCATAATAACTATAAAACAAAATAAATTTGTAAATGTAAGGATGGAATGAGTTCAGGTTTTTGAAAATGTGAATCAAATTTTTTAAAATTAGTGTAAATGATTTTTAAAAAGTATTTAAAGTTTAAAGAATATATTCAAATATTTATCATTATTTCATACTTGATAAAATCTTACCTTTAAATTGACAAATCCTTTAATCCATGTACCATATATCATCATTACAGATGGTCCTATTTCCAGCTCAAGACTAACTTTGTCAGGTGGAAGAGTAGTTGGATCAAATTTAGGTCCATCCTAATTTAACAAAGTAACTTTTTTTAAATCTAATGTTTTCAACCAATAAGCATAGGTACATATACAAGTTTTATTTTTTATAATCCCGTAATCTATCTATTTTAATATTAATTAATACCAGAACACTATTATTAATATTAAATCTTATATCATTTATAAAACATGTACATATATAATCAGAGCACATGTGTTCTTTGCTTATGATATAGTATATTAACAATGTGTTAGGTTCAAAACAGTCTTAATCTGTCGACCCAAGCTTTCCTTCCTTGGTTCTCGGTCCTATCTGACAAACCATTATTTCTCCTTTAGTCATACATAAAATACTTTCATAGTTCACATTTACCATTTTTCATAGCTAGTTATTTAATGTGAAACTGTTAATTATTTTTAAATAAATAAAATTAAGGTATTTTAGAAGAAAATTAATGAGTTTCAGCAACAGTCTTTTTTTAAAATTATATACTTACTATTATTATAACTAAAACAATTTCAACAGTACTCAAACTGGTCTAGTGAAAATTTGATTAAAATGTTATAGTAAAGAATATCCCAGAGATGCAGAATCATCAAATATTTATAATCTATAGCATGCGACAAGCATAAATATGTGTTTAATACTTTATCTATCTAGCATGTATTTGTACCTGTTTCCAGTTCCTTATTAATGGCCTTTTTCTAGTATGTGGAATTCTCATAGGAGAAAGTAGAATTTCTTCTTTTTCAGGTGTTGTAATATCAGCCTGAGGAGAAGGTCCGAATAGTGGCATGGGATGGTAAATATAATTAATTGATAGCGCAACAATTGGGACTGACCAGCAGTCCAACCATCCTTCTCTGAAAATAATTTTATATATTAATAGAATCATAATTCCTTTAATCAAAATATTAATATACACATAAAAAAATAGGAAGAATTTCGTTTGTCTGAGATAACAAAAAAAAAAGTTACTTTGGCAAACTATATAACACAATGTAACTGGGAATATCATTTTCTATCATCCTGGGCCAACAATTAGATATCTTTTCTCAAGCCAATGATCAAGGATGCTCCATAATATGACACTAATTTCAAAGTTCATGGCATGCTTTATAAGTTATATAAACTAAAACCTTTTCAGCTCATGTATTTTACCTTTTTTTCATTAATTTACTAAAAAAAACATTTGTGGTGCCATAGGTTTTACAATAAACACAAGAAATGAGTTTGGGGAAAGCAATGAGGCACTATCATTATATTCAATATATTTTTAAATAGTTTTTATAAAAAATTTAGCAATTCACTGATGTGATTTGATTTATGTGTAACGTTAATATATTTCACAAATATAGAACAAAGTTTCATAAACAAGGCAATGTAAACCTAGTATATATTTAATAAATACAATCAGAGAAATAGAAAATTAACTTATAAAATGTTTCAAATTTGTTATAAGACATGTACAAAACCTCGGTAATCTTATTATTTTCAATAAATTAATGCTATACTTACTTTCTCTTACAAATGTTTCTCCATTTTTTGTTGGTATCAGTAGACCTGGGTGGCATAGTATTGCCATCTCTACCAAGTAATTTAGCATTTTTATCAAGTGAAAGAAGTATCAGTCGTGATGTATTCACTTCAGGGAGGTAAACTGACAAATCCATACTCTCACCCTAAACAAATAGAATAGATATGATATTTTCAACAGTTATGTATTAAAATCATTGAACATAAAAAGAAATAATATATTTTTTTTTTGCTCAATCAAGAAGAAATATTTAACAAAAATTGATGCAGGATTTGATAAATATGATGCAAGAAACATGAGCAGGGATCGCCAAACTACGGCCTGCAGGGCACCTTCAATGGAGAATTTCTTTGGTTACATGTAAAATTTTAATAATTATTTATTTATAACAATGGGGGCTCCTCAACCTTTTATGGGTCATTTTAGCCCTTACAGTGTTTATAATTAAAAAATATGAAAATTAGCAAATAACTCACACAAGAGGTTATTATAAGATTTATTGGATAGATTACTTTTTCCGATTATAAAGCTCATTCTTAACTGAAGTGTCATTCATAGAGCAAACATTTTTTTTATCACAAGCTATGGCTTGTGGGACTTAGGAAGAGGTCTCAATGCGGCTTGCGTTACTTAGTGTAGGTCTCAATGTGGCCTACACTAATGTGACCAAAATGTTTGGAGAACCCTGAACTTGAGTATATTTTAACGAGTATATTATTTTATATAAATAATAATTTTTAAGCTTTTTTTACAATGCTGACCAGCACTTTTTGGTATTTTAATTTAGAAAACATAAATTTGTGCTTTGTAAGGAATTATTATTTCTATAATACAATTATACAATAATAAAACATATTTTACTATAAGTGTGAATAAAATTAACTGCTAATACCTGAATCCAAAATTTCAAAGGAATATTTGGAGGAAGAAAATCCGTGAAAGGGAGATCAAAAGAAAAATCAAATACCTCTCCACAGATTGCTATGTACACTAAAATGAAACAAACAAAGTAATTTAATTATATTAATTAAACATTTTTATTATTATAGAAACACATGTCGAATATAATGATGACTCACTATTTTCATGGCTTTGCGATGAACAATCAATCCAGTTATATTCATTAGCAGGCATAATGAATTCAAATTCTTTCATGAGCAGATTAATCCTCCACGTATAAGGAACGAAGTGAAGGAGATCTGGGCGAGCTTTTGAAGCCCAGTCGTTCATCATTGCTTGAAAAAATTCCTTGTGAGCATAAATAAACCAAACTGTAGCTTTGCATCCAGTCAGATTCAAAACCCAATCCTGGTGTCCATTCCATTTTGAGGGAAATTTTGATTTAATCGTATATTCCAAAGTTTCACTTTCTACTAAACTACGATACTGAAAGAAAAATCAAAACAAACATATTGATAAAAAAATACAGTGCCTTATCAAATAAAATATCAATAAAAAGAAACTAGATACAATTACCAGGTTAAACAGAATAAATTACACATTCACAGAGGTTCTGAAAACTTAGTAAGTTATATAAGTAAGAATATTTCTTTCCCAGTGATTTATTTTCCCATTTATTCCACTCAATTACATCATTACATCATAACGTTTCGGGATCCACTTATATCCCATCTTCAGACACTATCCCGCATCATCTTATTCTCCATAAGACTTGTCATATTAATTAAATTGTTTTATTATTGTCCTATTGCTGGAAATCCTATTTTAGTCTCCTCTAGGAAGATACTGATCAGTATCTGACTAGGCTCTACCTATAGGAGACTAAAATAGGATTTCCAGCAATAGGACAATAATAAAACAATTTAATTAATATGACAAGTCTTATGGAGAATAAGATGATGCGGGATAGTGTCTGAAGATGGGATATAAGTGGATCCCGAAACGTTATGATGTAATGATGTAATTGAGTGGAATAAATGGGAAAATAAATCACTGAGAAAAAAATATTCTTACTTATATACCTAGAAAATAAGTATCTCCCTAAGGATAAATGAAAAAAAAAAAAAAGTTAGAAAAGTTATATGAATGAATAAATTATATTAATATAACCCAGACGAATAAAATTAATATATTGATAAGAAAATGAAAGAAACAATAAATAAAGCATGATACATTTTTCATATTTTGTTCAGCAGCTAAAATATATTGGTGCAAAAATATAGTTGCCTGTATGATTAAGTAGAAATATGCTGAAGTAATAATCACCAAAAAAGTAGGGGCAACCAGTGGCAGGGCTAAAAGTCCTACTTCCAGCAACAATTCTAATATTAGCACTTAAAGAATAAACTGGGGCGATAAACAAATAGCCACTGAGAAAAGTTTATAATTACAATAATTATATAATTAAAGGTTACAATACTTGTAAACTAGTGGAGGCTTCTAAATGTAAAAGCTGTCCGGTAACTTTAGAGGTATATCCGTCAGGTCCAACCACCCACGGCATGGTGACTTCTAAATAAGATCCAGGACCTATATTCACATGAACAGCATTGGTTTCCTGTAAGTTAATGACATTAATGATTATAAAAAAAATAATAACTAAATGTTAAATTAAAAAGGGATATTAAAAAAAATTTTTTTTTTCTTTTTTACCAAATCTCAATCTCATTGTGCTAGTTAAACATAGGCAGTGCAGTTGAGTGAATAGAGTTTGAAAGACTAGAAACCCCCAGGGAGTGAGAAGCTAGGGACTAGTTACAACGCCAGTGTAACCAAGTGGTAATATGGCCACTCTCTTTGTTCTCTTTAATATGGTTTCTTACATGACTTGTCCAGTCACCAGTTTCCTAGCTAATTAGTTCCGAGATGCCACTGGCCGAAGTAATAATATCAAATCTTGCCCTTTACTATCTGGTACCAATGACCTCCATGGGAAGATAGACAAAATATCCCGTTAAAGACAAATTAATAAAGCTATAATGATCATTATATTCAATATGATAACAGTTTTATTGGTAATAGGAGGGTAAAAATGAAAAAAAAAATTTTTTTAACTAGATCAAACAGTAATAAATAAGCAAGTAAAATAATTGCAAGAAACTCATGAATAGATTGTGAATGTTTGATAACATGATAGATATTAAAACACAACTAAGCTGGTTTCAATTTCTCAGTAATAATTACTGAATCTAATTTTAATTTGTAGATTATTATAAACAATCACCTTATTTTTAGAAAATAAAATATCGATTGTTGCGTCGTATAATGTGCTTAATCTAATGTCAAATGACTGGACCTGCCGCTTTTCTCCAGGCATTGGAGCCTTTGTCATCTGAAAAAATAAAATAAAATTCATTAAATACTCTCACATTATAAACTGATTAAAAAATAAATAAAGGAAAGCTCTTCATTTACCTCCAATGGTTGATAATCTTGAGGAAAAAAGAATTTGAAAAGATGCTCTCTTTGTCTATCTGCCCAAGGACCATAACTAAAATCAGTTCCTTTACCGCACTGAAATTGAAGGTAGTAAATTATTCAATGAAAAATGTAACACATTATAAATAATTATTGACATTCAAAATTGTTATTATAGCATACCTTGACATCCATTCCCCAGATAGGTGGAGCAGATTCAACTATATCTCCATTGGCAAGCTCCAGCATCAACGGCTCTGCTGGAACTATTCCTGTAAAAAGAATTCAAACAATGAATAAACCATTTACAGTACAAGCTAATGATCCTTATAAAGTAATGTTCATCCACAGATTTCACAGACCACCGGCATTCAGGTAAATATTTAATTGTGAAGGTGGAACTGTTATGTAATAAACAAAGCATAAATATCAAATATTTGAGATGCAGTTAATAATCAGATGAAGATAAGATGGACCTATCTACAGTTTGGAAAATAGCGACTATCATTAATTGATATAGAACTAGGTATCTTAGATGTAAAAAGTTTTGTCCTTTAATCATATATCCTGTAGGGTTATGATGTGTCTTATTGAGAACAATAATCAGAATAAATGTAAATACATAACAAGTCTTTATCTTGCTCAGTGAGGAAGCTAATGGACTATTCAACACAGCTGTATAAATTTTGTCACACACATAAATAGTGACAGTAGAGTAATAGCAATAAGAAAAAACCAATAGTCTCAACAATGAAATGAATTTAATGAGATATAAGTGATTAGTTAGAAAAGATCAAAAATTTATTAATTTAACAAGGCATTTATTTAACTTGGAATGCCACTAAAATCAAATAAATTATGTAGTGAACAAAGCCTGAGACCAGGAGACACTCTAGCATGCACTCTGTTTAATCTAGCTCATCATGGAACCTGGTGGGGACAGAAAAGTGAGAAGACCGAAACTGAGAAAAAAAAAAAAAGTAGATGGAGTGGGTCTCAATGCTAGAACTGTTGGAATCAGGAACTGGTGGGAAGGTGGACGGGGTGGCCGAATGGGCTAAAGCGTGTGAACAGCACCGCCGTTGCCCGGCAACCTGACATATGAATCTAATGATATAAAAGTAGTCACGAGTTCGCCTCCCGGTGCTGGGGGAGTCTTTTAAATCCCCGCTCACACCCCCTGGCCCGGGAAACCCCGTATAGCCTTAACGGCGAGGAAGGGGAGGATCCAAAAAAAAAAAAAAAAAAAAAAAAAATTGGTGGGAAGCCGCCCTGGAACAGAAAAAAGAGAAAGGAGACTCTCGAGGCATCCAAGATCCAGTAATGAGTTGAATAGTTCGGGATGATGATGATGCGGCATTGTAGAAGGGGTGGCCGAATGGGCTAACGCCTTGTGCACAGCACCACCGTTGCCCAGCAACCTGATATATGAAATGGTATAAAAATAGTCACGAGTTCGTGTCCCGGTGCCAAGGCGTTTTTTAAATTCCCGCCCACACCCTCTGGGCTGGGAAAACCTCATATAGCCTTAACGGCGAGGAAGGGAAGGACCCAAAAAAAAAAAAAAAAAAAGATGATGAGGCATTATATACTGCTCTGAAGATCAGAATCAATCTTCCGAGAGTGGGTATCAGATAAACAAATAATTAATAATGTAATTTCTGTAATATGAATGGTTTTTTTTCTTCTATCTAATGATAAGTGAAGGAACAATGATCACCTGGTTCATCCATATAATAATAGAGATCAACATTGTTTGAAGAAAGCACTACAAATCCTTCACCCATGTATCTTGGTGGGTCATCTGCCATTCCAGTATACTTCGGACTGGGGGCTAAAATAACCTAATAACACAAAATGAAATGAAAATAATAAAATTATCAAAATAATTTAACTTTGACCTTGTGAATGTTGTATATGGTTTACCTTAAAATTTTCAGCTTTACACTTAGCAAAATGCATAAAATGATCTAATCTCGAAGCAGCAGGTTTCGTTGAATAAGTTACGTGAGCTTCTTCTACTTGAATAGAAAGAGTTGTAGGAACTAGTCGGTTTCCAAAAACAACACGGGCCTAGACAAGATACAATTTACCATAATTATGTTTCATTGTAATTATGTTACTTATTCAATAGAACATAGACTAATACACAATATTTGAAGGACTCAATAGTAGTTTTCCTAACATCACTCATACATTTATTACCTAAAACTAATCTTTAGTAGGAATACTTTAAAATAATTATTCTGGTTTCTGTATCTGTATTTATAAATACAATATATTTTTTTAGAGCAATTATATATTCGTATATATCTATTAAGTACTGATAAAACTTTTTAATTATGTCACCATTAACACAAAAAGATTAAAATTGTAAAATGTTTACATATGACCTTTTTTTTTGTGTACAATAAAGAAATTACAATAGACAATTTCTTACAATTACAAATGTAAAAATCCAAGCAGGTTTAGTTTTTCTAGATATACTACAGGAAACTTTATCCTCTCTATAAAAAATAAATTCCATGGTTAAATATGATTTCTGCCAATTATTACATCATTAAATATTTATATAATAGTAATAATTTTTTTTCTTCTGTTAGCATCATAGACAATGTAGATCTTTTGCCGCCTAAAAAAGCCTGCTCCATCTCTGCCTGTCTTGGGCTATTTCTTTCCATTTATCTGCACGTAGCTCTATGGTATCTTTGTTGATTCTATCTATCCATCTGCTTTTTGGCCCTCCATGTGGTCTTTTGACTCTGTTGAGACATTGTTACGTAGAGGCTTCCAGATGGATTGCTACGAGCTACATGCCCTACTTATCTTAACTTCAGTGCCTTCTTGTATTCATTATTCATTATATTATAGTAATTTAATAAATTTTATAACTTCTTAGTGTCATTTAATATTGAACAGTTATAATTGCTTTATTGATACCTAATCAATGATTCATCACCATGATTATTAAGTTGTATTAATAATTTTTAGCATGCGTACTAAATGTAACTTATTGTCATGAAAGGGTGACCAATGTGAAATACTAAATAATCAGGTTAAGTAAAACGCTTATAAAAGTGAATTATATGTAGAAAATAAAACTTCTAAAAAATATTGTAAGAGTTAATATTTTCCTTGTTATTATTAAATTAAATTTAGAACTAATATACTTACAGAAGATAAATCAAATTTAATAACAGGAATTAGGTCCCTCCAACTCTGCCCTAGGGAACCAGCTCCAGGTTGCGGTCTCTGCTTTTTTGCAAGATCTATTTTTTCCCCTATGATTCTATTAACTAAAAAAATTAAATTAAATTCATGGATTTTCAATAAATTAAAACAAGATATAATACTTTATGCATATAATGCTGAATATATTTACCATCTATTTTTTCATTGTGAGAAAAAATACACGAGTCTAACCCAAATACACTTTCTAAATGATTATATACTTCTGATCGATTAAAGACATGTAATTCAAATCCATTTAGCATGACAGACAGCCTGGTATCTGAATGAGATAAATCTGAAACATAATTTTGGCCAAAAATAAAAAAAACAAAATTAGGTTGAATAACAATTCATAAATGTCTCAGAGACAGAAACAGTTCCTACTGAGGATTCTAAATATCTCAATTCCAACAAAAAATAAAGATGTCAGCATCTTTATTTAGAGCTATTTCACATAAAATTACCAATTATTTTTTATAAAAAATAATAATAAGCAATAAGTAAAATATAAAACCTTATAATGATGTAGAGATGGTTGACCGTTGATATAATATGAGAAGGAGTTAATCGGGGAGGTGCGGTCAAATAAATACTAAATTAAAATATAGTATTCATTTAATTTTTGCCGACGTTTCGACCCACTTTGCAGGTCGTCTTCAGGGCATAGGATGTAGGGGGGTGGCCTCCCGCAGTGCTACATTCTACGCCCTGCAAAGTGGGTCGAAACGTCGGCAAAAATTAAATGAATACTATATTTTAATTTAGTATTTATTTGACCGCACCTCCCCGATTAACTCCTTCTCATATAAAACCTTATAATTACAGTATAATCTAATGCTTCTATCTCAATAAGGACTCCAGATTCACTATTTTTATGATTATATTTTAGTGTCCAGTTTTGCTAATGAGAATTCTCTTATTTGTACAAGATTTTAAGAATGTACAAGGTGCGATCAACAACATATCTCTTACAAAACTTTTGCTAACATATTCAATAAATAAAGTCTAGGTCTATTTAAAAATTATTTTTATTTAACTTATGTCCCTTTAAATAAAATTAAACTGCAATGATATTTAGGTTTATTAAACAATGATATAATATGTTCCTTCATAAAACGGTGATTCTTAATTTTTCATTTGTTGGTATAGTTATAAGGAAAATAAATTTTTTAACAATTTATTAATAATTATTTATATATTTAGATTTATTTTAGTGAACTGTTACTTAGTTTCAAACTTTGACCTAAACATAATAATTTTTTTCCTTTGAGTTTCAATAGTGACGGGTGCATTGAAACATTTAAAGTTTATTTTCCCTTATTTAATGTTTATAGTAAGTTGTCTAATATAATGTATAAATGTATGTACTTTTAAGTATGTTTTGATAAATTTGGTTAATACTTTAAATAAATCACATTTTCCTACTTGACCAGTGTATTTAAAAAAAACAAACAATGAAACCAGGTTTCAGAATAAATGACTTGAGCTAAGCTCAAAGCTCTGATCTAACTTTACTAAAAGCCAAGAAGATTAGGTATACAATAGTTTTATGAATTTTTAAGGAGTACAAAAATTAAAATATGAAGATTTGTTATCGAAGAATGGCAACAATATGGTATTGTTAAGTAAAGTTTATTGTTATGGTTTGCCATAACAATAAACTTTACAGAATGAAGTAAGCAGTAACTGTATAAATACATGGTATATGCTAAATATTTAACAAAAATAATGTTATTGTTCAACATTGTTTTCTCTTTTTTATTTCTAGGAATATTATGTACCTGATTTAAAACAGTTTTCCCTTTTATTAAAATAAAAATATCTTTAAACATATGTTGACATTTATTCCTAGTTAATGTCACTTAAGGGGCCAAAAATACGTGTATGAACTAGTAAATAATTCTATATTTCTTAAAATTTTCAGGGGGTGATTTAATTGATACACATATCATATCCTATCAAAATATCATTCAAAGGATTAGTTAGAAGAGGTGTTAAAAATAAAATAAACCAGTTCCACGATAACATTTCTAAAATGACAACACAGGCTATGACAAGATATATTTTTCCCTGTAAGTATCATTAGATTTTGTTAAATTTAAATAGTTTTGGAGTTATAAGAAGAAAAAAGACATTTAAGAACACAACACCTTCAAAATAAATAATATATACTTTTTATTCTGAGATATTCAAATAATTTATTGGTAAATGGTATAATGGTTCATGGTTTAGAATATAACAAATAAAACTTAACTGTTTATAATAAAAATACTAATATCTGTCTTTGTAGAACAAAAAAAATTTCTTAACACATAAAAGTTAATAAAAAAAACTTGAAACTCCCAAAATTTTTAAAAATTCAGGTCTTAGTTTACATTAACTTTTTTTGATTAAACTAACAAATTTAACAATGAAATTAAATTTACATTCACAACTTACAATATTAATATAATCTCAAATATTATAATTGTATAAAATATTATAATATATTATAATTGTACTGATATACTGACTAGTACTGCCAATTTTAGCACAATTAAAATGAGTAATAGAAGTTTAATGAAAGTTATAACATTTAAAATATCGTTATTGAGATTTATTTCTAACTGCTAGAAATATTATAATATAAGCTTAGCACTAACTACTTTTAAAACTTTTCGAAGAGAGAAACAGAAGAAACACTTATTTTCTTATAAAAGCGGGCTGCCCAATTATATTGGTTTGCTAGATACACAGCGTACTTGTTCATCACTTTGGAAAATTAATCAGTACAATGTAAAAGAAATTTTATACAAACCTTCGGAAACATCTTTAGGAACATAGGATCTCCACCAACGAAATATCATCCAACCATCTTGTATACGAAGACTAAAGTCATGAGTAATGTAGACAACATCTCTAAACATGATCTTTCCAGAGAGCATACATACGGTAAAAGATCCTAAATAAAAGCATTTAGCACTGTTAGAATTTAATAGTAACCAATAAAGAATATCAGATTCAAACTAATTACCAGCTCTAAAATATCCATCAGTTACATATAACTTGTTCAGAGCCCGGGTGAATACATATCCAATTACTCGGGAGTTGTAGTATGTAATGTAAACAACCCATACTATTGCTGTTATTAATGATACAAGAAGCCAGGCGAAATTGCTGTCCATCTTTAAGTCGTCCAAGTTTAATGTAGATGAAATATTCCATGGTGAAGCCTCGGGCACGGTTGTCTCAATAACTTTTGTAGCTGACATTGTGAAGGGCTGTTTCTCAAGTTATCATGTCTCACCTGTAATCCAAATTATCTTAGAACAGTGAGTAATAAGTAGAATGAGAATATTGTTAATTCCTTATCTTGTGTGAGATAAGACATGTGATATATGACACTATTATTGACCTAAAATCATTCAAACCCTCCAAAATTTGAAATAGATCATTTTCATAATGAATAGTTTAGCTACTTTAGTGATCTATAACGAGGGAATCCCGAATATATACTTTAATATAAACACTATTGCACTTGAAGAATATTTACCTAATGAAAATTGGTCTAACGTTAAGAAAAAACGAAGTTGAGTTCAAATGTCTTCCAGTCATGATGATTTTTGATGCAGAAATAATATAAAGCAAAGCAGGATAACTACAGCGTAAATAATTTCACTTAGTTGCAAGCCAAACAGTACCATTCCAAAGCTCCCTATCACACTAAACTGTCACAAAAACAATAACACCTCCCACAACACAACCTACATTCACTTCAGCTGTCACTTGGGCGGCATCAGCTGATGAGTCAGATCCCTTCATTTTGAACTGTTCTGATTATTAGTATCGTTGGAGGGGGGGGGGAGTTAATTTCAGCAATTTATTCAAATTTAAACTTATAAATAGCTTTATGTTCTCCAAAACACCACAGATCTTTTAAATTAAGGTTTTCGAAACATTTGAAAGTTCAATTTTGTTAAGAAACGTATTATCTTGAGTATAGTTATAAGATTACAGTTCAAAAGTATAGCCGATTAGTTTCTTCTTATAATCTGATTTTTTGCACTTTCTCTCGCCCAAGCAAGGAACTTCTAATAATCCGTCATAGACATGATGTAATGTAGCTGGACAAAGAATTCACTCTGTGAGGACGAAAGTGGAGGGAGTTGCATTGTATTTTTTTCCCGTCATTATATTAATGTATCGTTTCAGAGATTCCATTTAAAAGGAAAAAAAAGAAAATAAAAAACTGATCTGTGTCTCAGAAGGTTATTCAATTATTTTTATAATTTTTTATTTATTGATTGAGTATTGCAAAAATCTGTCACTTGGAGATTAGTTATAGTTAGGTAGGACAACATTCAATTATTAAGCAAACATCATATTTATCGGAAATGTGATTCTTATTTATTTGATTATTCCAGGATTTTATGGGAAACAGGAAAACATTTTATTTAGCCACTAAAACGCTCTCTTGAAACGAATCTAACTGAGACAAATCCACTTATTTAAACAAAGAATTGACAAAGAGATTTTTAGTTATCACTTCCTGTTCAAGAAAATTAAAGGTTCTTCAAAAACATAACATTTTATTCTCATGATTTTCTGTGAGAAATAGGAGCGTGCCCTACATGATTTTCGGACTTTCAGGCTGAATTTGCTTTGTTTATTACAAATTACGATTTCTATTGGGGAAATTATAATCAATCGCTTTACTGAAACATAAAAGATGGTTTTAGAGTTGCTACATTTAATGCCAATGTTAATTTATAATTTGTTTCCAGAATTATTTGGTTTAATAACATTAATATTTTTTTACTTTCCAACAATTTGATTTAATTTTTAATACAGTTGGATTAGATTTGTTAAATCTCTTCTATGTATTTAGGCGCTCACAGTTTTCCAAAAGGCGCTTTCTCATTAATTTAAAATGCTCTCGGCTGGATGATACACAAAGGGGATGGTATAATACTTGGAAATGGAATATTACTTTATTGGAATTATGCTTCAAACTGTCAGAATCTCATACTATAAACACATACAACAGTTTGACTACGCAGTTTCAATAAAAATTATGGTGGAATAATTGATTATGTTTTTTAAATATTACTAATAAATATTTAAATATATTATAAATATTAAATGTACTACAGTTATCGTCTAGAAAATGTAACTTACCCTAGAGAGTTCGAAACTGCACCTTGAGTCGATTGACAGTAGAAAACTTACAACTGCCAGATCAAACCCCACTTTACCCTCAGCAATTTTTACCAGATCTTCAACTTCATGCATATCTAATGTAGGATTAACTAGTCAACCTTATTGCTATAATACTATGGAAGTTATGAACTCAAATTTACTTATAGAAACATTAAATATGCCTTCAATATTAATGGAATTTATAGAATATGTAAGTGCTATATCATAAATGGGATATTTATTATTGGTATATAAAATTCAGTTCGATTTCGCTCATCGCACAAGCGGAAATATCATATTTTAGGTTTTGGTTAAGTTTATTTAATCCAATCGAAAAAATACCATTGGCCAATATAGCTAAAGATATTAAATTGTCGCACAGTAAACTGATTTATAACAAATATTTTTATTTAAAAAATATTTTATAGCCAAATCTATTATTTATTTGATTGAATACTAATACACCTATAATGTAAAATCACAATTAAAATGTATAAAAAATAAAAATAACTGAAGTAATGTATCCTATGTATATGTATCCTTGAACCTTTGTATATTTTCACTAGTAAGGTTGTAAGCCTTGAATGAGATTTATTAATTCTAAAATAACTAGTTTTCGAAAAGAACTAAAATAACCAAAAACTTACAGGTTCCTTTTTCTGCTATTAAGGGCTACGGATTTGGATCAATGAGTAATAAAACGAAATGGAATTTCATCGAGAAGTCAAAACTAAGATAGATTCAAAAGTCGACGGATCAAGAGAGCATAAATTTTGTTTTAAAAATTTCGACCCGGAAATCGAGACCTAACAAAGGCAACTATGGCACACCAGTTCCTGCGTTTCAAAGGCGAAAAATTCAACGTTTGAGAGATAAACGAAATTATTATTCAAAGTGTCTTTGGTGCTATGGTTGTTGCAGGATATTTATCAAATATTTAGGCTTTATATATATTTTAAAATATTGCTATTTATGATAGACTTCGACGAACTAAAAAAAATATTGAAAACGTGGATGGAGGAGAACAGTTTTATGATCTTTTGGAAACGTCGGATAATATAAAAACATTTTCATTTCAATATTTTCAATAAATAAAAAAATACCGAGGTATGCCATGTATACTCTCAATAATAGACTTCAATATTCTTGGTAAGTGAGATATCTGCAAACCAAGGAACTTTTGCTCCAAACAAATAGGTCTTGAGCTAGTATAATAATGAATCAAGTTTAGGGTTAGCTGCTGCTTAGCTATTAAATTAAAAAAAATATTTTCCTAAAAATATTTATATATTTGGGACATTCTAATCACTTATTTAGTAAATCGTTAGTTTTACAGTCGTAGTGAGGGACTTCAACAATTGTGTATGTTGAATAGACTATATCGATAATATTATATTGTATATAGGAATAAACATGTTTTATTGATGTCGCTTACACGTCGAATGCACTACAATTCGAAGATAGCTTTCCAATGTTAGAATTATCATTAGGAAAAATTATATATATATTATTAATTAAATATTAGTATTTATTTTGATTATAATGTGAAAATAATTTAGTCATCTAGCTCCTTTATATGTTCCTGATGAAATTCAAATTTCGCTTTACTTTGTCCACAGCCAGTTTAGTTGAAACTTCGCCAACTCAAGAGAGCTTGACTCCAGTGTGCTGAAAGTTAAATGTGACTTCTGGGACCTCCTCTATTTACATTTACCATTCTCTTCGCTGACGAGCAATAAACAAGAAATGGAATGGGTTTACTTTAACTCATAAAATACAATAGAATATTTTAAAGAGAAAAACACACAATTTCAAGTTTTATATTATCATGTATTTAAATCAACATTCGTTCCAACTCAGTTTTATAAATAATATTTTCTATCACAAGAATAGATATTTTAAATTTTATAATTTGAAAAAAAACAATTATTATATTATAACAAGTCGGAGTGCTTGATGTGCACCTCACAGAATTTTTATCAATTCAGCGGTTTTGATCAAATTGTAGCGTTTAAGGATTGACTTTTATTTCGTGGCTGAACATCTAATAAATCGGAACCAATACAATCTGGATACAGTAAGCTGGTAACCTGTAGGAAGTCTATTCTTTCTGCTCTAAATAAGTACGTTATACCAGATTACCAAACGAAATTCTGAAATAAAAAAAAAAGTACCGAAATATATGGTAGTGAGCCCTCTGAAATCCAATTTTAAATTTTACCGACATTATAATTCTATAAAAGTTACCTTTTTGGAATATCTATATATGAATGTGACATTTTGATTTTTATATCTAGGAATTTGGATAAACGTCTTACTTGGAATCCTCATAATAGACTGACACGACAAGAAACTGCTCGATGTTTCCGACTGCTCCAATACTTACTAGACAAACGCTCTAAACTTTCAATTAATTACAAAAGACTTATCTACATAACTATAATATGACCTATATGAACATACGGAGTTGAGCTTTGGGGCTCCACCAAACTATCGAATTCCTATCGTATCCAATCCTTACAATCCAAAATCATCCGTAAAATCCTTAATGCTCCATACTTTGTCACAAATAAAACCATTCATAAAGACCTTAATGTACCATATGTCGCTGATTTAGCCCGAGCCAGATATCTATCCTTTCATGATAAACTCCAGTCCCATCCAAATCCCCTTGTTTCCACCCTTGCTTCTTACTCGATTCCTGATAATCCTCCTAGGCGTCTGAAAAGGAGATGGCCTCGTGATCTTCTTACCTAGAATTATTTAGGGAGTGCTACCACTGAGTAGTATCTCTTCAAGCCTGTTCATGTCATTATTTATAATTTGTGCATATTTACTAGTTGTATTTGTATACAGTTGTAAATTTCATTAAATAAACAAAAAAAAAAACAAAAGAAAGAAAAATATACCTAGGAATGGATTCAGAAATAGAAGTGAGTAACAGGTACAATAAAATGAATAAAATACTTGTTGATATGTACCGTGCAAAAGTGGTCAAACCGTCTAAAATTGTTGCTTAGAGATATTCAACACTTTAGTAAAAGTTCTGTAAAGATATGTATACCATCGAGAAATAATGAGTATTTCTTGGTAAAGAATAAAAGCTTACTTTCATTGCGAAAAATAGTAGGTCTAACATGAAGCTGGCACACTAAATAATTAATTATGTATTATGAAAATTACTTGGACCATTTTAGCATCCAATGGTTTAGATGTATCGATGTTATTTTTTAACATACATCAGCATTTTTTGGTAGATAATTATTTTAATCGTCCATAAATTATGTAGCGCTAATTTGTTTTGACGATGTATTATTATAATTGTAATGCTAGTTATTTATAAAAATTTTAAATAACAAAAATAGAATAATTTATTTTAATGTCCTGTTGATAGTTAAGCGTGGTCAGAGTTCTCAAACTTTTATCGTAGTATAGTTCACCGTGAAATAGAATTTATTGACTTGTGCAACTGTTCCCCTCCAATTTGTAATAGAATACTGAGTTCTAGGTCATTTAGGTTGTAAAGTTTCAATACTTTTTTCTTTGTTTTTGATTTTATGCCTTACCATTTCAAGGAGCCTGGAATCCTTTAAAAATTTCCATATTTATATAACGATGCCCTGGACATCAAACTGTCTACATGTGTTCATGTTTAGCAGCAATTACTGCCAAAATTCTGTTTATCAATTGTTTCAGAGAATAGAGGTTTGAGTATAATAGAAAGACCTGAACTCGGATGGTTTGATCTTTGCAGAGAAAATTATCATCTTATATTAATATCAGGAGGTTAGGAAAACATTTATATGGCTGCATCATTCGAGATTACAAATGTTTAAAAAATAAATAAATAACAATATAAATTTTTGTTTATTTTAAAAATTATAAAGGTTCTCTCTAGTACCATGTTCAGTTTTAAACATTATTTTTGACTTAAAACTAAACAAAAAAAAAAATATTTTAAAGAAATCCCATACAAAAACAAAAATAACAATCTATTATTTAGAGTATTAATAAAATAAATATAGCTAAAAAAAACATTCACTCAAACATTTAATATAAATGCTTAACATTATATAACAATATTTACAATGCATATAAATCTCACTTCTATCTTGCTTTCCTAACGTTTCTTTCACAATAAGAATTCTCATTAAAAATATTCCGTGCTCTGATATATATTATTCGTTTTTCAGGATATCGGTACATATATCAATATAAATGAGCATAATTAAAAATCTTAATAAAAACCTTTTTTACTTAATTATCGCCAGTTACTTTTAGCGAAATAAAAGTTATTATTCAGAAATCATATGCCATAAAAGAATAAATGTTTTATTGAAAATTAATATCCAACAATAGATAAACACAAAATAGGTCAACTTAGAGAATAACAAAAACTCTAAAAATTTAATGATATTAATCTTCAGTTTCTCATTTCCTGCAATATTTCTTGTAATATCCTCGGGAACAATTTTCCATTTTCTGTGTAATATAACTCCTTCATTTGTGATGGAAGAATGTTATTTAATTTTAACAAGTTCATTTTTTTTTTTAAATCCCACACTCAATAAAACAATACGTTTATAATTCAGGTCACAGGCGGAACTACGGAAGAGAGTTGGGGGGCTTTCGGGCTGAAGGCCTCCCAAAATGGGAAAATATAGCCATGTTTTATAGAAAAAAATATTAAAAACTATCTCTTAAACTATTATTGTTCGTGTGATTACATTTAATAGGACTTGAAGAATCACTAAGACATCATGTCATATCGGTAGTTAGTTTCATTCTTTTTTTTTCAAATTAATTATCGTTATATATATGAAAAAAATCCTTCAGGCTGAAGATTCCCCCAAAAATTAAATCCTGGATCCGATAATAATGCAGGTTATAATCCCATTTGTACAATCACAACAATTTATCAAATCTGGTGTATACGAAATATCTGCAACAGTCCTACATAAGTGTTAAAAAAGTAACTGGTAAACTTAAGTAAAAAAGACCCTAGACGTTTCACAATAAGAAATGATGCTCAAGTTATCATACAAGTCATCTATTATAACCTAAAACGGATTCCTATCATTGAAAGCTAGAATTTTTGGATTACGCTGATAATTTTCGAAATTACAACTAGTTCAATGACAGTCTGGTTAAAGTCGAAAATTACTTGGTAATGCTGCTTTTTACAATAATATTTATCTGAAAAATAAATTAAAACTACCTTAGTTATTGATTTTTTAATAAATAGATATCTTACTTATATAACCTATGATTATATTAGAAAGCACCAAATTGAATGAATTTAAATAGGATAATAATGGTATACATAGATCATCGTATTATTTGGACCAAGGATCTCCAAACTACGGTCCACAAAGATTTTCAAGCCGGTATGCGAAAGCTTCTTTGATTCTACGATAAAATTAAATAAAATATGAAATATACCAATTTTCTCTCAAACGAGGTTCCTACAACATTTATTGCGTGTTTTTTTCTCATAGAAAGCTCATTTCACAGCTGATTTATAGAACAAGATTTTGTTTTTCATCACAAGCCATGACCCGCGGGACTTGGGTGGAGGTTTCATTTCAGCCTGCGGAACTTAGTCGAGGCCTCAATGTGGCCCTCAGGTCAAAACGTTTGGAGACCCCTGATCTGGACGAATATACTTTCAGCTACTTTAATAAACTATAAAAATCCAATATTACTCTATGAATTTAAAATTTTACCGCTCAGTAGCGGTTAATAGCACGAGTTCAATATACATAGCTAACCCATAGCTCTAGAGCCTGTGAAATCCTTCGATAATGCTAACAGTTTTGTCCACTTTTAAAAGTACCGTTGAAAGCCTTAGACTTGCAGTAATATGACATGAGCTTTCTAGATTAAAGGTTGCGCCAGTCCAGTAGTAGATACAAACCTTCTTTCTAATAAGTAATAATTGAGCACAATATAAAATCAAGGGCGCTGCATTTAAATAAAATTAAAGTTCAGGGGCTTCAGGATGCTGAGGTTTGTGGACTTCGGCGATTTCCACGTGAGTTGGGGACACCGGGGAACCCGTTCCGTCGTCCTGAGATACCTTCAGACCAATCGTCGCTCCAATTTTGACACTCGCTTGTCTGAATGTGTCTGAAAGCTTTTCCTATAAAATAATAAATAGAATTAGAAATTAATACTTATAGATTCATAGAGTCACTTTATCAACAGAACCAACAACTATATAGAATACATTTAAGTCACCAATAGAAATAAATTTTATAAAAACAAGCAATGAATAAATACGTTACAATAAAATATAATATTTGCTGTATAAAATACAAACGGTTATAAATCCGTGTAAAGTACATCAAGTAAAACAACACACATAAATGACACTAATTCGAAGAGATTTTAACCTTTTTAGAAAATTACAAGCCTTTCTTTCTCGACTTTCTAAGATACTTGTAAATTTAGAAAGGGCCAATTACTTGAGAGGGTTGGGTTAGTTATATTTAGCGAAGAAGGATAGAAAGTGGCCAGTCAGGGAAAAAATGACCTTCTCCTGATCCTGATGTCAGAACTGATATTTTAACTTTGACGCTCACCACTTCCCCTACACGAGTAAGCAAGAATTATCAGTCGACTGGAGGGAACTCCCACTGGAAGTTGGAGTCATGATTTCGTCCAGTACAGTGCCGGCCTTAAGTCCAGGCACCCCGGGATATTGACCGGCTTCTGCCTAGGTTGGTACAAGGAGGGGCAGAAGCTGGGATATAACAACCCTATGAGGCTAGAAGAAGCTGTAACTTGCATGAATTAAATTTGTTTACAATATTAGAAAAGGGGAGTGAGGTAGCTCAGTGGTAGGGTACTGAGCTTCCAATGCTAAAGGTCGCAGGTTCGAACCCCGGCTCCTGGTAGAAAATTTATTTATCTGTTTCACTGGCCGTGGGGCTACCCTGGGTCGGGTGACCCTCCTGGGACACACCCAGCCTCTATAAAGTGGGTACCCTTAATTAAATAATTAATTAAGAAGGAAACCCTGTCGGTTGAGCATGATCTCGGTCAAATCACCTCCTTGCACAACCGTTGACCCAGAAACAGTGATTTCCCTAAATAGAACTGAACCCAAGACCCTTCATGGGTTGTAGTGGTACAGCTTTTACAGTATTAGAAATAGCTTGATTTACTTTATTTGCGTTAATTTTGTTATTATTGAAGGTCTCTTGGCCATTTCCTTTTAATCTGCGACGAGCAGATAACTGCGAGGAATGGCAGAAATGGAAGAAATTGTAAGAACTAGTGGATTAAAGTTAAAAGGGGAGGGGGAGTAGGTATCCCTGGTTTTTTCAACTCTAAAAATAACTGTGATTGTTTTTAGTATGAAAAAACACTAGCTTTTTATTTATCCAAAAAAATCTATGTGAATTTAATATTCTATGCGAATATTCTTATTAAAAAAAATTTTTAAAATGATTTACTAATAATATTCACATAGAATGTTAAATAAAATAAAATATACATCTTGCAAATACATTGTAAGAAACAAATACAGATTTTCTTTGTTTTTCTCTTTCTCTCTTCATTCTTTTTTTTTTATGATCTGTACAGTATGGACCCTCCGTCCATCGTATCGTCACCTAATTGAGTCATCATTTTTTTTTTTAATTTATAAATAGGTATATATTATTGTATTATAATACAATTATACTGAAATATACAAGAGGTGTAGCTACAATTACGTTGCATTTATGTCATATTTTTATGACAGTTATATTATAGGTAATAACTGATTAGTAATAAGTAATCATGCTTAATATTTCATTAAAATTTAATGTTTCAACTTGATATTTTCTGTACTTTCAGGCTTGGAATATATATTTATTTACCGTTTTTTTCTTTTAGACAATTTTCACCGTTATGGAGATTTGCATAACGCAAAGAAGTAAATATCTAATCTTTTATAGAATGCTCCTCATATAAATGCTTTTAGCTTAAATTTTTTTTTTTTCAATTTAGATAAACCTCTTTCACATATTCTTATGATATCCGTCATTAGATTTGTCAATTAGTGGTTAAGACAAATACTACTCAGGTGCAGTCACTTATTGAAAGTAGAAAATTGAATAGATAATTTATTTTCTCAAAGCATGTAAGGAAAATGACTCGAGCTGACACAGCAGAAATCACACTCGGATTTATTTTTAAGGCCCAATAATACACACACACATATATATATATATATATATATATATATATATATATATATATATATATATATATATATATATATATATATATATATATATATATATATACATTTTTTTTTTCGGTTTGCACTACAGACCATGAAGATCTTTGGTCGCGATATATGGTCTGCTTACAGATATATGTTTCTTGCAGGAGCTCTGATATCCTGGAGGGGGTCACCTAACCTCACGTTGTTACGAACCATGGTCTCCATGGTGCAACTGCAGGCCACTCGTAGCTTCATAGCCGATCCCTTTGGGGCAAATCTGGCAGTGTCCTTCCCACCGACTCACTCGGGTTCAAGGACAGTGACAAGAATTATGTTATGACAAGGGTTCAAGATGTAAGGATTATGGCTGCTCGGAGTCAGCAGGCGCACGAGGACCTGTATTTCTTCTCTCGGAACAGACCGTCCAAGGACCGAACCTCAGGGGGACCACTAACACATCCTGTTAAACCATACCCCGATTCCCGATTTAAGTACACGGGGTAGGGTCATCAGTCCTACGCCCAGTCGGCGTGAGTTACCTCCAGTAGGCTGACGGGGGCAGGGAGGAGACTCGGGAAGCATGGCTTTCCTTGGCAGACGGTTACCCATCCAAGTACTAACCACGCTCGATGTTGATTACCTATTGCTAGTGCCTTATCCCGTACGGCTACTCCAGCCCATAGATATATATGTGGGTGTGTGTGAGTGTGTATATGTGTGTGTGTTTGTGTCTTTGTGCTGTGCCATCCATCGTCCTTTCTGTTTTTTTAGTATTAAGAAAAGTGAGAAAATATGTATATTAGTTATATCCTGTTAAATTGATCTAATACCAAGAAAACTCTTTGAATTAACTAAAATTAGTATATGCGGAATATTTAAAACAATAAGTTTGAATTTTTTTTTTGATGATCTTGAAACATAAATATAGACTTTTTTTTAAATTTTAATCTTGGACTTTTAAACAAAACAAAAATTCAACTGTAATTTTTCAGGAAAACATTTCAAGCACATTTAAACAAGCAGTCCATAAAATAAGCACTGTGGTGAAAAAATCAGGAACTGAAGTAAATATTGGAATTCAAACAAATGAAAATGTAAAAAAGAAAGATAAAAGTTTTAAATTATTTCAAAGTTAAAGTTTTAAATTCATTTTCTTACATTTCATGAACAATACTTCTAGACTTGGAACTCTCAACAATTTATTCAGAAATAATATGTATTATATATCCAGAAATATATCATACGTTATAAAAATGAAAATTATGAATTACTTACAATAGCTAATAGATTTATAGAAATTAGATAAATTAAGACTGGGGGACCCCTCCGAAAAACGGTTTAAATCGTCAAGAAAATATACAATCATAGTATTTCTTTATTTATTTGCTTATTTTTTTTTTTTTATTGAAAAATATTACAATCTGTCTCAAGGACATTTATAATAGTGTTCACAGATCACATTCACACTCTATGTACAGTAAATAAAATTATTTGCTTATTAAAAAAAAATTTCGACTTTAATATTTTAGGAATAAATCTCATGGACATTTAGTTTGAATTCTAATAAATGAAAATTTAAAAAAAAGAAATAATAAGTTTCAAATTTACATGACTGGTTCATTTTGTTACAATTCATAAACTAAATTCCGAGTTTAGAATTTTTCTGAAATAAAGTGTATTCTACATCCATAAATATATCACATGCTACCAAAATGAAATTTATGAATTACTTACTATAGCTACTAGATTTATAGAAATTACATAAATTGTGGATAAGGGTCACTGAGAAGTAATACAAAAATAATATTTCATTATTTATAAAAGTAAGGAAGTTTTATAATCATAAGAGATGATAAATAAGTTTTTTGTCCTCAGAATAGAAAATTTACATTTGTGTTTTACGTTTTATACATCAAATAACAAATTTGGTTCCGTGTATACCTGTTGGTCTGTCTGATATTAAATCCATCTGATGGAAACATTAAATATATACTACAGTTATTCCGAATTTACTCAAACTTCTAAGGATTATAGGAGTTGGTAAATAAATGGTTCCATGTCAATTTCATTAAATTCCATCGACTACTTTCGTTCACGCACGTATAAATGTATTTTCTTAGATACACATATACGATTTTAAGAACTGCTTATTCGTTTTGGATCAAAAATGGAGTAGTTTTTTAATGGAAACCCAGATTTTTCCATTCGATGGATGAAATAAAATAAAATAAAAAAGAATGGGGCAGAACACGAATTCTCAGGGTATTACGTCGCAGGTTCGATTTCGCATAGGTATGGTGACGTCCTGGCATTGATAGAGCACATGGAGGTCAGCGAAACCTAAGATCACGTCTCCGGATCCTTCAGGTTAGGCTAATTATAATCCTATCCTACCAAAAACATCTTATTACGAAACCGTAAACTAATCTCGGATTAGGAAATCTCGGATCGGAGACCCAGATAGAGAAGGCTGGTTCAAGTAAAAAGGCCATCTACAAGCACTTTATAACCAAAAAACGAAAATAATGTAGCACACCCACTTCTTATTATTATGGGTGATAAATATTCAGGACGCAGTCATTATAAATTTTTAATTAGTACCGACGTTTCAACCCAAACATGTAGGTCCTCATCAGGGCAGACAATTTTTAAATACAATCATCAATATAATATAAATACAATCATAATATTTTACGACCAATAATGGTTGAGATATATAATGATTGATGATACATGGAATATACAAATGAAATATGTAAAAAGTGATACAAAATAAAAATAATGTATATAATAATTTATAAAAAAATGTAATATTTTCTCTTACTCACCATGTTTCGAGGACTGAAGATATTCAAGTACTGACACTTTGGTAGGTGAGTAAAATGGTCGTGGGAGGATTTTCCAATTGTGCTTTTTCAGATAGC